GTGGGTCACATGTAGCCTACCTCCTACCTGAGCTTAGAGGTATTGTACCTTAGCGCGTAGGGCTGCTCAGTTGTGCTACGGTGCGGTCTTGGTACTACCTAGGAAGTCCCCTAACGTGCCACACCTTACCCTAGAATTAGGTGCATATTAGGTGCATACCCCCTCCCAAATACTCTCTCGTATAATATATTAGCTAACGAGCCCTTATTGTTTACCTTTATTACCTATCCGTACCTCCTAAAAGGGACGAAATATATGACAGCTTTCATGTAAATGAAAAAAAAAGTTCCAACGTCAACCTGCATCTGCATCTACATAACCAACAACAACCATGCCGAGCGACCCCACGACCTGTCAGGTACGGCTGCACCACGTTGCAAGGGCGTTTATACGTAATCTCGATTTTCGTATCATTGCCTTAGGTAGGTACCCAGTCTACTCCAAATCGACTGGCAAAGCACTCGCACTCGCCCGGTAAGGTGAATTTATCTGTCTTGAACAGGTTGTCTCATGCCGTTCCGAGACAAGGCTGAACCGCGTGCTACGCAAACGCGATAATTTTATCGGCCGGGAACGACATATGTAAGTCATTTTCCACGACAGGGCTAGCTAATGCAATCAAGGCACCTATGTATTGTACTGGTAGTGCTCCCTTGCTCGCTGCTACGCCCCGGGCATGCATCTGTTATCTGGTCATGTGGCCAGCTCTTGGGTACGCGCCGCTCTACTGGCCCAGGCTAGATTGCTTATGGACAGGATTACGATAGGAACTTGGTCGCTGCCGTACTATGTATAAACTAATACGCGCTAGAGTCCCTAATACCTCTAAAGATATCAACGTGGACGTAAACTTGTAAGCCCTGCAGAGAGAACCCTGAGCTAACATCACAATGGGTCGGAGAATTAATGATTTTGCTCATCTCAATCTTTAAAGACGTAAGTGAGGCTTTACTAGGGAGAGAGAGAGAGAAAGAATGGATATTCCCGGGTCTTGAGCTTGTCGTCTCCACAGCTTTTTACTATCTATAGCACACACAATATAGAAACTACGAACCAAAGCCTTTTTTTCCTTTTTTTTTTTCTCTTTGCCTTGCGCATATGAGAGGTCAATAAGAGAGTTTTCGGTCTTCGGTTTGGCAGGCTAACGACTGTTTATTCAGGTGTGCTTGTGCTTTGGACTTCTTTAGCGGATCTTTCGGTGGCCCAAGACCAGCAACCCACCCCTGACTAACCTGGCTAGCTTCAGTCGTAAGCTGTAAGCTGTAAGCTGTAGGCATTATTAGATAGTTAGAGCGCTAATCGGAGGATTAATATGTAGTGTAAATACCTAATGAGCAAATGATATCTACTCGTACGATATATTTCATGGGGGGAAGTGGCTGAGCTACCTAGGTTAGGTAGTTAATTCGCGTCGTACCTGAAGAAAGACGTTTCTGGTTTTATTCTGGTTCGTGTCTGGAGAATGGAGAAATATGACGGCCATTTCATTTCCATTTCTGGCGTCTTTGCCGTTGGCGATTTTTTGGTGCTGTACTATGTACCTGTATGTGCGAAATAATCGGTGCTTGGACCACAGTCGACCGGGGCCTAGGTAAAGGTAGCGGAGTTAACGGGATCGGTTGCGGTTAATTGTGGGGGCCGATACGTAGATGGTACCTAGGTGCGTTAATATATGTCTTGGGAGACTTTTTTTTTATCAAAGCTTCTAACCCAAGTTCTTTTTCAACAAGATTCTAGTGCAGCGCAACCAACTTCTTCAGTTACATCGCTTATCGACGCTTATTTTCGTCCTGAAATTACATCGTGGCATTTGCCCAATTTATTATAACCACGAGCCTCAGGAGATTTTTCCAAAGCTTGACCGCTCTTCTGGCCTGGGTCATTTGATCGATTTTTTCCCTCAACACCATGACCAAAATATCAGAATATCATGGTGTAGCTCGTAATAAATGGCCGATTATATATTATATATACCTATATACCTATCTCGGAGCCGATGACGTTTCTGTCCAATGCTCCGGCTGTACGTAATGACATGTACTGCATCTTACATAGCATGCATGTATGACATTAGCTCGTTAGACGAGGCTCTAGATAGACTAGGGCCTATACCAGCTCGACAGTCCAAGCCAATAGTAGTTGTCCACGACGGCTAGCTCTTGTTTCATCACCTGCGGGCTGAAAACGTGGAAGAAGTCTTCACCTAGCCTCAATCAACTACTATTCGCTAGATCGATTATAGATAGGTCACCTATCATAGGTGAAGGGAATATTAGCAACTTTTCTTGCTCGAGAGTCGACAGTAACCTAGAGCTAAAGAATCAGGAATCGAGTAGGATTAAATCTCCCGGACTATGGGGTCCAAAAAGGAAGGGGATCCCCTTCGTCTCCCCCAATGGTAGTCCACAAGACCACCGAACCGCTCAACGGAGGTTGCAACCTTGAAAGAATCGACAGAACATTTTCGGTCTAATAGTGACCCCGACTTTAAACGAAGTACCTATTCCAACACAGCGTCGAAGCACGACATTTATGGCTTGCTTCGACTTCCTTATTATTGATGACGTGACGTACATTAAGCACCTGGTATATGGATATATAGATATCTATTCGAGACAACACCGGCTGCCAGTAGCGATATTAGAGATTATAGATGCTTGCTTTTGTTGCAGGATCGGTCCGTATAAGTCATTGTCTCGTCATTTCTAGCCGGTGGCTTGGACCGGTCTCTACTTTGACAGCGATAACCGTATAGATATTTCAATTGATAGCCTGGACAAGCAGATAAGGGTATTGACCAGAGACATTTGCGAAAGAGGCTTGGCGCATTTTCATCTAGACTCACATTTACGGACAAAAGCCCAGCCTGGCTAGCTCGCCATTCCGATTTCTCTCGTGCAGTGGCGAGCAGCAGCAGCATGCACCGTAGAATCATTACACATGCAGAGACCGAATGGCGGGTTTCATTCACCCTACCTGCCATCTTCCTGACCTTCCTACCTACATTAAGCCCAAGCGGGCAAAGTCGAGTCAGTCCAAAGACGCCTCCGAGACAAGAGACAGACACGCGATCGACGAATCCCACGCCCGCGATAGCGCGCACGTTTCTAGCACGTTGACGCTCCGGAAGGGAAGGGCGAGGTCAGATTGGCTTGAACCGGACCCTGACCTGATATACTACCTAACCTATACTCGAAAAAATGTGTGGAAGCGTGTAACCCGGTTCCCACAAGTTGTGACAGAGATGCCGATGCGAGGTCCCGTTTTCGGTAGTCAACGAAAGACAGGAGAAGTTGTCCAACTCGGGCCTGAGAGCGCTACGATTTGCTGGATCCGGAGAACCCCCCCCCCCCCCCCCCCTCTCCTCCTTTCTGGTCCTGCACAACCTTGCGCTTAAACTCGACTGAAGCTAGTTTACTCGCAGACGCACACACACACCATCCCCGCCTAATCCACCGAGGCCATGCTCTTGGAAGAAGTGCGTTTTAGATCTCTCATTCGCCAGGACCTACCATTTATGCTTCGCGTACCTGAATCTTTCTTAGTACCTAGAAGAAAAGGCTGCAACCAAGGTCATGTCCCGAAAAGAAACTGAAAAGAAGGGCCGCGAACACCTGGCGCCTCGTGGGCCATGTTCCTGAATAACTCGACATCGACTGCGTTCACTGGCTTTACCGAGCTTAACCACACTTTGAACAGTGTGCACCCTGTACGTAATCCGTAATCCGTAAATCGTACCTAAATCGTGGGATGTGATGGGGCCAAAGTTGGGGCCAGTTGGGGGGAGGGGGGATGAGCGCCATACAAGCGCAAGCCCTCAAATTCCGTACTAGGAAATTCCTCATACCTAGTCTGGGCAAAAAAAGAAGAAAGCTATGTTCCTTTGGTAGATACTGTACGGATCTCAGACCTAGCTTTTAGGTACGGTCGTGGGTCTGACCATGAAAATGCAACCCTTGCTAGGTTCTCTATTATCCGAGGGGCGCCAACTCTAAGACTAGGTACCTAGGTAAGCTCTACTGTACACCCCCCCTTGTCTTATCTGGGATCAATGTTAAGAGAGGTATCATGAGGTGCAGCAACAAGCAGCTCTGCCGTGCGGCGGCGATCGTCTGCAAGCCCAAACCCAAGGTTCCCAACCGTCTTTAATAATGGTAAGGGCGAAGTTGCTGGCTGCAGCGAAGATCGGTTTGCGAAGGAATCTTCTGAACAAAGTCTAAGTCCTTCGGGAACCCCCATATCGAAGCGGGCAAATGGGTCTTTTTCTTCTTCTTTTCTCCTTCTTTTCTTTTTCTTTTGGCCCTTTACTTAGCCTCATCTCATCTCCAACTTATCTTGTAAGCTCTCTTGTCGATCGTCGTGAGAAGGGTCCAGTATTAGTCTTGAAATACATATTATACCCACACGCATTGTTCTCGAAACAGCCCGCGCGAAAATAATAAGTTCCCCTTGTTAAAAGCAGGCTCCCACCTACACTACCTATACCACGCCGCCACTCCCCTCTAAATTACAAGCGCACACCCTCTTCGGCGGGCGTTGTCCACATTTCCCTACGGCATGGTGTGTTACTAACCCCCTGTAAAGCCGGTCCAGGTGAATGTCTCCTCTCCTCCACGCAAAGTGGGAATATCAAGATCTCCTTGTCCCCCCCCCTCTCTCCCGTCATTTCTCCCTTAGCGTGGGTCTTCCTTTGCGCACGGCTCCGTTTCGTCCAGCAGTAGCAGCAGCAGCAGCAGCAGCAACATAAACCACCCCCCCGGGCATAGAAGGCTTTGCGCTCCATACCTATACATATGTATGGGTGGAATACCGTAATTTCGTATTTCGCCCAGTCCTTCGTTTCATGTTTTTGGTCTCTAGCGGGAATTGCCTTCCCCTTTCTGCGTGAAGAAGAGATCAGCTCTACTATCATAGACTGAATATCAAGCTTATTCTTCCCTGTTTCGCCGCCCCTCAGACTTCCACTGACCGTCGAGTGAGAGACCACTCACTAAATGTTAGTTAATTTTTTTCTTTCCTGTTTTTCCCTTCCTGACCATCTAGCTACCGTTTTCTTTGTCTTACTTCTTAATTTCGCAAAATTCATGCTATGAATAATTCATAACAGCCAGGCGGGCCAATGGCTGGAATTGACTGCTTGATTATTTACGTGGTGATGATCATTGATGGCTACTCGTCCAGCTGCGCTGAGACTGATGATTGGAGACGCTCGCCATGAAATTCGTTACGGTCTTTTTTCTACTGAGCTTACCTGGCGTAGCTCGAACTTCACTATTATATGCTCGACAAGATGGTCCAAGTGGAAACTTCTCGGTAGCTCTGCCATTGCCAAGCCCGAGCAGCCAGACGGGTTCGTTCAATGCACACAGCGTTGATTTTTCGTGATATGCAATCTTTTGTGAGCCAGTGTACTAACTTCTTCTCTAGAGCCCTCGGCACCTTCATTGGTAGCCACTTCGTTAAGCACCACCAAGAAGGAGCGCGGCCTACGAGGTCCTGACGGTATCGGTCCTCAGGGTCCACCACCTGAGCCCGCTCCTGGAAGTCCGACTTCCCCAGTGGAATTACCACCACTGGCAGAGGATACCGCTCAGCCAGCAGCGACATCGACTATTGTTGATGTGGAAACTGTGCGCAGTACGACGACACTTATTCTTGATTTACCAACTACTCCAACTACAGTAGCTTTGCCCGACACTTCATCGGCCCAGTTTACGACTATCGTTACGACAAATTCTCAGTCGGCAGAATTATCCTCGCCGACCACTTTCCTTACGTCTAAAAGCGCACCCAGTGTTACTAGCCCAACGCTGAGCGAAGATTCTAAAATAACAGCTATTGCGCCAAATTCTAACACAGTTTCCTCAACTACTGGAGCAGTCACGATGAGCAGTTCTACTCCAGCTCCTAGCGATGCCAGCTCGAATGATAGCGGGAGCGGAACTTCAACATCAACCATTGTACTTAGTACGGTCCTGAGCATCGCAGGTGTAGTTCTGATTGCAGTGGCGGCCTATTTATGCACCGGGGATCGACGGAGAAGGTTACCAATGTTTAACAGAGGCATCACACCGATCGGAGACGATGAGATAGCAACATGGAAGTCAAACCGGTCGGCGGAGAAGGCCAACAGATATACGACTCGGCCGACTCACTCGCAGAACGGATCGACATCGACATCTACGAGAGGAGCGCCAAGCCTAATCCAATATCAAAACGGTGCACGGCCGTCGCTCGAAGTTGTATCTCCCAGATCGTTCCTTGGCGACAAGAACAGTTTTGACCTACCGCAAATTCCCGGAGCTGTGTTGGCACGGGCACCTAACGCACGGTCTGGTCTTACGGACGAGACGGTTCCTGGCGACGACCCATTCCTGCCAAGCCCGAGACGACATCCGTCGAGATTGCATAAGCTCCCGTCAAACTCTTCATCCCCGAATATTCGGAAAGGATCGCGGAGTGACAGTCTGAGAAGTTTTTCTGAGCCTTCATGGCGGGATAGTGCGGTAGAGACATCGTCTCTTAGGGGTTCGAGTGATGGCTATGCGCGAAGCCATCGCATCTACTCGAATTCGCCACTTCCACCGCCGCCAAGGCTATCGTTCGGTGAAAACGAACAATTTACGGGCTTATCGCCGCCTCCGTCGCGGCGGGGCGAAAACACAATCGGATTGGCTGTAGGTTGAGAATTGTGATCTACCATGCATTTCGATATTCAAATTCCCACCCCGGCCGGTTTCACATCCAAATCTTGGAGATTTACCGGGGGGTGTATCTAAACGTTCTTCGTATGTTTCAGCCCTCCAGCCCTCGAGCATGCATGCCTCAAAGGATTAAGAATGGCCGGCTCGACTATCCTTGCGCACGTTGAAGAAACAATACCCTTCATGCACGTGGATCTTCGAAGAAATGAAACTAAACAAGGAGAACCGTGCGCTTTCATCGTTCCGGTTGCGTCGGTGTCAGCCTCGCCTTAGAAACTACATCTTAGCCAACCAATGGCAAAGTCTCACACTTCATCTGTCAACTTGATGCCCCTTTTCGATGCATCTGCATGATGCCATTTCTTTTAATCACACCGACTTAGTATCTTCATGGCGTAACGCCGACAGCAACAATACATTTTTTTATTATCGCAATTTTTGATTCCTTTATTAGGAGTTTTTGGAAATGTCAAGACGCGAGAAACGCGTGACACGGAGGATATACCCCAGAGTTTTTTCTTTTGGATTACCCTGAGAGCTTGTCAACGAAGCATTATGGCTTTTCCCCTTGAGGAAATTAAGATGACATTTTTGCATTGGTTTTGGGATAAGCATGGGGAAACATCTTGATGGTTTATCATTTTATCATTATGTCATTGAAGATATGACGACGTCGCATTATGAGAAGCTCAAGCGGAAGCAGGAGAGACAACGGTTGAGAACTTCTGTTGTTGCTTGGGCTCCTCAAACTCGTCATGGGAATTGAGATCTCGGGGTCATGAGCAGAGGGGGCCATAGGGGAGATAAACCCACCGAATCCTCAATTCCCCAGCGACTTATTTAATTCGGATTGTAGATAGAACTACACTCGTAGTTAGCTTGAAGCCTGCTACTATTCAATTACGCAGTTTAATTGAAATAAACTAAAGCATCGACCTGACTTTGTTTTACCTTCTAGTCCAGTATGGATTCTCGACTGCGTGACACTACAGATGGTAGTGATATAAAATATCTTAGCTTCTGTCGACGATGCTCTGCGGAGAAGCCTTAGGTCTTGGTTTAGGTAGCTTCCAAGTTTTCGTTGTTGTGAAATTACAGTTCATGCCAGACTCGGCTCAAATTTCCTTCCACCCGGAATCTGCGAAATGAAACGCAGGCCGAATCAGAAGGGAAGAACGGGGATGGGGGGGATGGGGGGGCCGTTACGGAGCGGCCACAACTAGGGGGGCTATCCCGGAAATCTCGTGGATCAGCGATCACATCACGATCATGGTTTCTCGTGCCTGCCACGTTTTATTGCCATGCTCATTAGTATTCGTGATTCATGCGTGTGATATTCGTCGTTGTCGCAATTCTGTCTGTGAATACCGTTAGCCCTGCAAGTCGATCAAACATTCTTCCCCGAGCGACGGGCTGCTTAATTGGGTATGTTTTATGCGGCATATTCCGTTGCCGGTCCCCCATCTATTGCGAGTCAATGATTTTTGTTTTACTTTACCATATGCCGGTGGTTGACAAGTAACGTGTATTAATACATCATGTCTTACTACGGGATATTGTCTTGCTCATTTCCAAATGGCACATATATTATCGGAATGGGTGTAAGCGTATTATGGTAGTTATTGGTTAGGTCGTTTGATTTGAAAAATTCAACTGCATTGAGCTTGTAAGAACTTCCTGGTATTATTAGGGCGTTACATATATATATATATATATTCAAAATGATACTCTGTCAAGCCTTGAATGTCCTTGAATTTCGATGCTTCTCGTGACAGACTAACTAATTGGTGGATTTTAACAAGTTCAATTGAAATTGAGGATTGCTTCTAGACATTTTATATGCTGACGCCCTTGTATGAATGCAGTGTAATAAGATTGAGGTGAAGAAAACGTTTAAGAATTTAGGTACCAAACACTGGTGAAAACAAGACTGATAGTGTATAACAAATTGGGTTACTAAGAATAAAAGCTCTTTACGCGTCTGCGGCGCGTCAAAAAAACGTGGGGCAAACGTCCACTAGTTAGAAGCTAGAATAATCCTACGGCAGGTGCTACGATGCAGCATAACCCAATTGCACCTTCTCCATGCCTCACCTCGACCGGCAACTTCAACCAGTAAATTAATTGGTTGTTTGACTTAAAAAAATAGTTCAAATTACAACAACTTGTTAAGGCCCTTTTACTTTTCTCTTTTCTTGATACGGCTTTTGCCTCCTAACAGAACAGCACGGTCTTGGTTCACTAAGGTTGCACAATGCCACCCCGTAAAACCGAAAATGCTCGACAGAGCAACTTATCCATGGCTCAATTCGTATACGACGGTTCCGACGCAGATGTCGATACTTCTTCAACTTCGCTCCGTCCTGTTATCTCTGTCCCTGCACGATCCAAGCCCGCGATACCCACACAGCCCACGCCCTCGATAGAGATGGATACCCAACGACCTACCGAAGCCGCATCTCCTGCAGAGAAAGATAAGGAGAGAAAGGATAGTGCTTCTAAGGATAATGTTACCATTGAGGTACGCCGAGAAATAGTCTGAACCGCATAAGTCGTGACTAAAATCTGGGTTTTTATTATAGGATGTCACTCTTCCGAAGTCAATAATAATGCGACTTGCGAAGGGTGTCCTGCCTCCTAATACCCAAATCCAAGCAAATGCAATCCTGGCTATGAGCAAGAGCGCTACTGTATTCATTAATCACCTTGCCAATGCGTATGTTCTTACATAAAAATCGAGGCTACGAAATAAATACTTGTACAGGATGTCTAACATATCACAGGGCGAACGAGCACACGCAGAACTCCAACAAGAAGACTATTATGCCTGCCGATGTTTTTGCCGCCCTTGATGACATAGAATTTCCATTCTTCCGGGAAAGACTTGAGGCTGAGTTCAAGAGTGCGCATTACTTCCTTTGCGATATGTGAATAGGTTAAGCACCAATTACTTACGCGAACTGCAGAGTTCAATGAGACCCAAACGACGAAACGAAATACCTATCGTAGAAAGGTGGCCGCTGCGAAGAAGGCGGAGAAGGCTGGACCAGACCCTAATTCCTCCATCATGTCCACCGCCTCTACCGCAGCCCCGAGCCAACCAGATTCGGCAGCGCCGCGCGCCATCAAGAAGCAGAAGCCCAACGCGCCTGACGACTCCGCTATGGACGTAGACGACGGCGAGGAAACGCGCGAACATAGTGATGCCGAGACGGAGCCGGAACAAGAACAGGAGGAAGAGGAAGAAGAAGAAGAAGAGGAGGAGGAGGAGGAGAATGATGGCGCTGAAGAGGAAGTAGAAGAAGAGGAGGAAGAGGAAGAGGAAGAGGAAGGGAACGACCCTGACCGCCTAGAGGACCGTGAATCCCGTGACGATCACGATGACGCTCTTGATGACGGAGACAGCGATTGAGGTAACGGCGTAAATTAAGGCTGCTATAGCATGCTTAATCACGCCAAGCCACGTTTTTTTGCCAACAGGATATGTCTAAATCTATCGTTGGATAGGGGAGAGAGCGCCTAGGGTAATAAATGGCCTGGGGATATAATTATCACCGCGCAGATAGTTGGGATATATCGACTCCCTGCATCTAGCACATTCCTAGTGCCGTGGTAGGATGCGTGAACGGAATTCTTGCTCTCCAGCCTTGGCACGCCGAACTTCAACACATCCGTCAAGTCACATTGCGCATGCCCCTATTCTGGGCGGTAGTAGTATATAGTTCGATGTTGATTGCTAGTCGGATGAGATAATTGATACGCCGGGTTTTTAATTCTTATTATCTAATGCCATCGCACTTGATTCATGTAGGGAAAAGTTTTGTTTACCCGTGATTGTACCTGCGCTTGTGTTTACATTCAAGGAGTTCTGCTTCACTTATCACCGTTACAACGGCGTGACTGTTACATACCTACCTAGGTACCTGGTACGGGTAACATATCTGCTTACATCGACGTAGGCTCCTAAGTCGCCGTTGCAGAATTTCTGCCAAGTGTTTGCATTGACCTTTAGCGTTTGGTATTATTATTCGTATTGCTCCTCCGAGGTAAGGCAGATTATCTGTGGTAATAATGGCTGTGACGAAGCAGTATGTTAGGTACCTATGTATGGTCCATCAATCTTCTTCAATCCTGCTTGAGCGAACGAAGGGGCAAAGGGGGTGGGGGGGTCACGTTGCGTTAGCATCTCTCGATATGCACTTCCACGTCTTGGGATCCAGCAATTAGGTTCCTGCTACTCACTCTCATGAAGGGATGATAGATTATGCTATTCCAATATCGTCATTTGTGCATGTCCTTGCCTTGCCTTGTCTTGCCTGAGAAGACGACTATTCACCGCTCGCCATATTCGTTCTTTCACCCTAGACAAGGCAAAAAACACATGATGGGTCGTCTATCGGCGTGCTACCATATGACCTGCTGATAGATAGCATTACTTCACCTGCAACCACACACGCACACACACACACACACACCCATCTACCTACCTATATACACGCATACATAAGCCGAGAGCCGAGACCCCGTTTCCGTAATATAGGTACCTCTCTTCCGGTAAGCTAGCAAGCAAGAAAAAAAGAAGCATCATCTGCCATCGGAAAGCCCCCCTAAAACATGATTTACTCGTCTCCGCACCGCTCAGAACAAGCATCATCCGTCTCACCGCGGAACGACCCCATCGCCGAAGGGGGAGGGGAGGGGAGGGGGTGACAGACATTTACTCCGTACTCCGTCTACGTTTCGGGGAGGTATCGATAATAGTATTGCGGATTGCTCTCCGGACCGGGCCGTCGTATAGGAAGGAGCGCGAAAGAAGAAATTACTTATTGCCTGCTTACCTTAGGGAAGTAGGTAGGTACCTGGTAAAGTATCTTGTAAGGTTATGAGGGTGCTCGTACTTTGGTTAGGCAAGGAGGTAGGTAGGTTAGGTACTACTTCTATCTCGTAAGAGTGTAACATGGTAAAACATCGAATATCAATGCGATGTAACGTCTTCACGTGGACGCCCTTTATAAGACATTTACAGGGTATTATGGTTGTTTGTTGTATAGGTACCTTAGAGGTAGGTTAACAACATATTATATACGCAAGTTTCCCCGATGCTGTCTTGTCCTGTCCTGACTTGTCCAACTGCATCTCTATCTCCCCCCGAGCAACTGGTCCACCTAGGATTTTTATAGTGACATCTTGACTAGTATAGCAGCATTCTACCAAGTGAATAGGTTATAAGCCCCGAGGCGTTCTTAGTCCACCCCATTTGTATATAGGTAGTCCGTAACGCCCAAGAAATGCCCCGAGAAAAAAACGAAAACAAAACCACTCTCGACTCCATCGCTCATGCAGCCGGACGTATGAATCACAAGTCGTATAGTGGATCTCAAACATTGCTCTGCCCCTCGTAGTCTTATTGTATATAACCCCATACAACAAGCTGCTGTTTATCTCCTTCGTGTTGCCATATAGTCCCACATCATCATAATAAAGTTTTCTCTCAAGGTCCGCTGTTGGATGAGCTGGGTCCAAATTCTCTTTCCAGAGTATTAGATAGGAAAGTACTAGGCAAAGCCGATTCAGATTCTGCCCGTGCACGACTGACAGATTCCCGGATGTGAGCTCTTCTAGCGGACTCTTGTGCCGCTAGCATAGTGGTAAGGTGAAGCGCTCGGTTACTTGCGTTGAAGTCCCTGTCTACGTACGCTGGAAACGGGACGGCAGCGTTATCACCAGGTATAGTTAGTATCGTTTCGCTGAACGGCGAGGTTCCATCCTTCTTCGTTTCTAAAATTTGAAATGAGGGCGAACCTTCAGGCTCATATTCCTAATAGAAGCCGTCTCCACCCCCACTTCCCCTACTCCCACCTGAAAAACCATGTGGTGTACTCTGAGCAGAGTTGCTGCTAGTGTCACTTGGAGTCGGTGGCTCGACGACTTGGTTGCGGATACACATGATCCATTCGTGTTGAAGTAATTCGACAGCGCTTGCTCTTCTTTTTGGGTCTCTAACAAAACATTTGCTCAAGAAGTCGATGCCCTGGGCGCTCAACTGATCCGCACTCGGGAGTTGCGGTGGGTTGCCTTGGGCTATATTATACATAATCGCCCACTCGTTGTCGAGATTTGACCACGGTCGACGACCCGTAACCATTTCGAGGATTACACATCCGAGCGACCACACATCTACAGCCCCAGCGTGCCCTGGGTTCTCGCCCTTAATGACTTCGGGCGACATATACATGGGCGTGCCTGTCATCGACTTATTAGGTTTTGTAGCAGCTAAGCCGTGTACCATAGTGCGCCCTTGTCGTGCAATAACCTTAGCGGCGCCAAAGTCAACGTATTTAATGACTCCGTTGTGGTCGAGTAGGATATCTAGATGTTAGTTAGCATGCAAATTAGTTATGGGTGATGGTAGAGAAGAAACCTACTTTCTGGCTTGATATCACGGTGAGCAATGCCACTTTCATGCAGGTAAGCTAGACCCTCAAGAAGTTGTAGTGCATATACCATGACAACTTGCTCATCCTCGATACGACCATGTTCTAATAGAGCAGCCAATGAACCACCCGAGCAAAACTCCATGAATATATAGACTCTATCACGATGAACTTCGATACCGTGATAAGAGACCACGTTGGGATGGTTAAGGACTTCCAAAACACCCATCTCGTCTTTGATTTGCGTTGCGATTTGTGGTATCAATTTGGGGTCCTGTAGTCGAATCTCCTTAACGGCCATCAAATGACCCGTATCTAAGTTCATAGCAGCGTAGACGTTACCAAACGTACCACCACCTACGAAATGTCCTTGCTGCCATCTCATCGTGACGTTCGTGGCAGAAGATGATAAGTATGCCAACGACCGATCGACTTCGTTGGAAACCTCAAGAACTCGTCCAAGTCCTTGTCTCTCTTCAATATTTCGTCGCTGGACTTCATCGATTTGGGCGAGTTGGGCCAGACGTTGCTCTTGAATATACTTGATGGCTTCCTCATCATCAAGCATGCGGTTCTTATCGAACCTCTTAAATTGCCCAACAAGAGCTTCGATACGCTCGCGCTCTAGTTGTGCGGCCTGATTCGACTTCGCGCCTAGAATATCAAAGTGCGAAATGAGGAGAGACATGCACCCCGATACTTTGGCACGTAGTTTTGCGTATTCGTCATCGCCAAGTCCTAAAATCTGTCGACCTCTCGTCATGCCCATTGCAAATTCCAGAGCGGGTACAGCCCAACGGAAAGACTTGCGATCGGTGACCTTACAATCATCGCAGATGAAGCTAACCCAGTCCAAACTAAGCTTGGTGAGCTTCATATTATTCATCTGCCGCCGGTTGCTATCCATATATAGAAGAGATCTTTGGCCGAATTCCGTAGCAAAGACGAAACATGTCTGGATCAGATCCTGGCAATCGAACCCTTTTGTTTGCTTCCGGATGATTTCAACGCTGTCCATGAACGTGTTAGACAACTTGAAGCCGACCTTCCGAATTTCGAATAGTCGAGTATTAACTTTGTGGAGATTTGAGCGTGCTTCTACAATAAGATCGAGGTGCATATCGATTGTCTCCAGGAAGAGTTTCCTCGCGTTCGCTAATCGATCTTGAGATCCATCTGCGATTAGACGCATTTGGCCGAGCTTGAGATCAGTCGATTCAATATTGAGGGCCTGAGGAAACCGGTTTCCAAACCAATGCAATGGAGCCTCTGGGCGGAGTATTAAAACGTAAGGGTCCGTAGGGTCTTCTGAGATCCGCTCATGAAAACAAGTTCGTAGTATTGATTGAACTTCATCATCACGACCTATGAGAGCTGGAGATGCAATGATTTGAACGCCGTCCACCTCGTCGACGAGGAAGTGCCCAGTAACTGATAAGCGTTCATAGAGTGCTCTCAAACCTTCGGCGCCAAGGGCGATACTCATATCTGATGCGTTTTCGTAATGCTCACTTAACATCCGTGAGAACCGTTGTAACATTCTCTGTCTAACCCGCACCGAATCCAACATTTGTGTGTATCTCTTGCTCATGTCGTCTGGGCTTTCCTTAGGCTTCTTCTGCAGCTCACGCTCGAACGTCTGGCTCAAGCGGTTTAGAGCTTTGTAGGTGAGATTACTGAACTGCTCGGCGACTTCTATATCACCTCCAACAAGGTGCTGACCGACCTCATTCGCAAAATCCCATTCTTGGAACAGAACCTCAGCCTCCTTGAAGGTGTTCTTATTTCGGCTAAGCTTCCAATTCAACATCTTGAAGTAGTATTTCAAGGCATCGAGTACAACTTGATCGAACGATTCATCGATACATGGAGGCAAGTTCCATCCGGGCTGGGGTTGAGACACCATAAGATTCTCCTGTTTGATTCGAATCGCAAGCTTCAGTAATATCTCAAATTGTGAGATCATTTGGTCTTGAAGAATGGGTGTTTGCTGAGTATTCTCTTTCATTTTCCGCGCATAAGCAACTCTAACCTTGATAATTTCTTCGATCAATCGCGATGGAAAGCTGATAAGAGTAAGTAGCTCCTCGATATAAGGAGGAAGGTGACGTTTATGGAAGGCCGCAGAGTTCATGATAAGGGTCTCTTTAGCTTTAGCAATCGTGGTCAATATCGGCGTCAGCATACTTCTTCGGATAAGCGACTTGGTTTTTAGGGCATGCTCCTGCGTTGCGGTTTCATCGTCTTCGTGCAACGATCTTAAGCCGTCCTCTTTCAAAAGACGGTCTAGGAATGACGCTTCGTCACTTAAACCATTGGTGCTTGGCGACCTCTGCTTCGTCCTCTGGAAATCCAGATCATCATTGCCCACCCATTTCTTAAGGATTGACAATTCGGTGTTGATCATTTCGTTAGTATTATACCAAGACATGACGACATCGTAAACTTCCTGGAACGACTGTGACGTGACCTGCTGGTGGGCGATCCCCATTGCTTGCCAAGAAGGATATAGACTCTCACACTTCTCAATTTTCTTAACGATGTCCCTCACCTGTTCGATGGCAGGTTTACCAGCAGCGGTCTCGCCTTGCACTTCAAACCGTGTGATCTCGTCAATAGTCCGGTCAAGGTTTCCTCGCGCCTCTTCGATTATTCTTCGTTGGACAGCAAGTGACCGGCCCGTCATTTTCGCTCTGATTCCGAGCCACAATTCGGCCTTATAAGTAGATTTTCCACCTGATAACTCAGATGTACCAATAAGTCGCTTCTTCTCTTGCTTCACAACGTCGCCGGTCAAAACTGCTGCTAGCATCCCATGCCACTCCAGTCGCTCACGGTTCGCTGGGTCCTTTATATCATCTTCGGTAGGTTGCGTGTCGTCGATCAAATTCTGAAACATTATCGTCTCGTCGTGGGGGAAGCGGTCGTCGAAGACGCCTTCCGAGGAAGGAGTCTCGCCCTCGGACTCTTCGTCAGAGTAATCAACGCTGGGTGTGTAGGGATCAAAATATCCACTGGGAGTGCGGTCTTGACGTATCATGCGCAGGTAGGCAGGCTCCTGGTCGCGGAATTTGTCGGCAGGATCTCGTCGGCGTGATCCAGACCGTGTTGAAGTAGTAATGAAGCTGGGCTGTTGTGGAGGACCTCTTTGAGGAGCATAAGTGCTAGAAGGCGTGCGCGTCACATGGGGTCTTTGTTGTTGTTGTTGCTGCTGCTGTTGTCGACCACCGACCCCATTCGCGACGTTATGGGCGTTCGCTTCGGCCGTAGAACCTCGTTGTCTCCCAGCATTGTTGGCCACCGAATTCGGGGCTAGCGATGCCATGGAGCTCGTAACACTGCCATCTCCATTCGGGGGAAGTGACCGCAATTCGTCCTGGCGCTCGAGCTCGTGAGGGTCGGGTGTATAATCTTCAGACGAGCCCGAGCCGTCGGAATCGGTAGAAATAGTAACGGGCCTTTGGGGTTTGGACTTGTCTTGTACCAACTCGACTTCGCTTTGGGAAAATCGAACGGCGCGTGGGGATGTTTCGGCCGACATATCGAGAATTAGTGAATGTCACTCGCTGGAATTAAATCCAGAAGCACAAAGGCTTTATTCGGTTTATCATCCGGAGATATTGGCACTGACGCCAAGTTAAAGTTAGAGGTATAGAAGGTGGGAATGTATGTATTAAAAAGCGACCTCAGGATAAAATTGTAATTTTTGAGAGTTGGGCGCAGTCAAAAACAAGAGGCCAAGCAAATCAGCTGGCAGCTATTCACGATAAACCAGGCCGGGGTCATCCATGAGGGAAAAAGCCGAAAAACCCTTGTGAAATTGCAAAGTGGACGAAAGTGGACAAGACTTGTCGACTCGAGTGCTGCAGGTTCCCACTCAGTCGGGCAGACCTCGACGGATTTGTTCGATGTGTACCAAATTAATCGAATCGATTCGACGGCGGAAATCAACTTTCACGAGACGGGGGGAGGGAGGGGACCTTTTTGAGAGTAACTGACTTAGGTTAGGTTAGGTACCTGGAAAATTGAAAATAGAAGATCGAAGTAAAAGATCGAAGTGAAGATTAGGTAGAGATGAAATATTATTTCCGAGCCCTGGAAAGTAAATTGGGGTCTGGTCTGGGGGGGGGGGGGCTTTAGCTGCAAGATGGCGATAATAGCGACAATAGCATCTCTAACCATGTAATGTGGATGGGTTTAGGAGGTTTAGCAGGTTAGAAGTAGTTAGAAGAAGCAGGGAAATGCAGATTTAGGTAAGATACCTGATAAGGTAGTGTTCAATGTCAGAAGAATCAGGATAATTCGGTAATAACAAGCTATCATAACTTCTTTGCAATTCAGAAACCTGCATAAGCGACTTTTCCATATTCGAAACTAAGAGAGAAAAAAAAAGGATGTAAAAAAAGGATGTAGTACGGAAAGTTGGCGTTGATTGGTGATTGGTCGGTCGGCGAGGGGATAGGAAGGCAAACTATAGGTAACACACAGGCTTTGTCATTAGCTTTGGAGCTGGAGCTGGAGCTCCGCTATTGTGTTACAGGTCAACCTTGATTATCACATATTATTTTATTCTTGATAGAGCAATGCACGTGTCTAATGGCCTTTTGAAAGTGTGACTTAAAGTCGGACCATAACCCATTGAAGGATTCAACTTGCTAAGGCGCATCATCGTGATCTTTGTTCAAAATCGGGATGCCAAGCCTGTAATAATCCAAGCTCTGCGATAGTTTCAATGTTCTAGGTAGAAAACATATGCCATAGACTGATAGATAAGAATTCAATTTTAATAGGTTAGGTAGATCTATGGAACATTGAAGTTAGGTACAGGTACATACACATCATACATGCACCTGTAAATTGTGTTTGTGGCTTACGTGCATGTGGGACCAAGTCAACCTTTACCGGTTGGAGATACCCGCTCTGCCGCTGTACATGTAGGTTAGGTTAGGTTAGGTACCTACTTCGGTACCTACGTTCAATAGGTGGGTATTGTACAATACCTGGAACCTGGCAGCCTGGCATGCTTATTCAAATTTGTACCCCTCATCGCGGATAACGTGTAGGCCAAAACGCGTGAAATCATTAAAAGATTTGAGCAATTTGGTCCGTGCACCTGTTCTCCTTTCGGCACGTTAATTATACAATACTTATGTAGATTCTTAGGTACTCGGGAATTAGTACTCAAAGCTAGCTACCCATCATCTAAGATTGGTAACCAGGCATTGTACAACTTCATTCTGCCAGAATATAGGTTTTTATAGTGACTTCATTTATATCTTTTTTTTCCCTCTTCATACCGTATATACCGGTAAATGGAACAACCTATATGCCTTCAGGAGCTCTAGGTTCAGACGCGTCGCGTCTACCGTCCAGCGGCACTCACATGCCTTCGGTCGAGGCCCATCTTGACCTTAATCATGGAGATCCCGCGGATGGCTCCCCGAGCCCGAAGCGCAGAAAGGATGTTGAAGCTATGGAAGAACTCCTACGGCCTTCAATCGTAGTCAAGGTAGGCCAATTCTTCTTAACATGTCCGTGCTATCTCGTCGCATTGCTAAACCAATTTACAGCCATACCCTCCAAACATTTCGATCAAACCTCGCAGCCTTCAACCTCTAATGATTCTCCCTCGAGAACATCTGCAGCTCTCATTCCTCGACCTCTCTTCACCTTATGGAAGCTTCGAATTCTCCCGATATTTCGAGTCGAAGATTAAAGTTCTGGAGCTCGAGAGTCGCATAGGATCCCGTCCAGTTGTTCTCATTGCCCGACTAGAATCCGACAAGACTCTTTACGTATTAGAACGTCAGACGGATGGATTATATACACTTTGCCAATTCGGTTCATGGGTGGACCTCAGAGAACTCCGTCGGCTTGCTACGGTATCATGCAATCAGTTTATCGAAAAGCGGCCCAGTAGTTTCATAAACCCCAATACATCCGTGCCATTGACTACTCCTCACCTGCACCATGAAACTAAAAAGAGGAGACTTGCGATAGAAGCTATACAATCCCTAGTCAAGAAGCCTTCGAGATCTCGTTCTGTTTCAACAACGTCACAACTTGTTCCACCCGCACGGCCACTTACACCCGCCCAAGATAATGACCAGTCACAGTCCGAAACCGCTCAAATCTCTCTAGAAAGTCTCTTTACCGAGAGGTCGGAATCTCAAACCCAGAGCCAGGCAGCGAATACCCATGCAGTAGGCCAATTGGTGACGACGCCAACTGCCGAGGGCATATTTGAAAATATTCGTAATCAGTATTTTGAATCCCTTTATCATTCAATGGTAAGCTCCTCAAGTATATCTTCGCCTAGCTCGTTTTCTGACGCTTCCACAAGGGTTCCCTGGCATATTTTGCGAAAGGTCCTTTATCTCGCGCACGTGCCGCTTTCCATCTAGATTGCGATTCCAATCTAGACATGAATGATCTCGTAGACTTTTTGAGAAGTCTTGTGATGACAACTACTCAGATCGACAAGAAGTATCGAGAAACAATTCCGGACTTGATTTCAAAAATGAAACCTATTTTTCAAGACTCTGATGTCGAACAAGCTAACGTGAAGACCAAAAAGCGGAAGGCCAGGAAGATGAAGCTGGGTAAAAATGGGTTGTATCCAATGGAGCATGAACATATTCAAAAGTGGTGGGGCGCTCGCAAACCGGATTTCAAGGACGATGAGGCCATGACTACGGTAGAACCGCAGGAGACTAAACTTCAAGTAGCCTGGTTACGGTCGAGAGAAACGCAATTACAGATGATCATTATTCTCGAAATTATGGCATTGGAACCACTGGTTCCGCCCCAGAATAATCAGGATTCACAACTGCCAGGCCTACCGCTCGAAGAGACTCTTGCCGAGGCACTCAAGGACAGTTCTACTAAGAAACGCAACAAACATAACTTACCTTCCCTCGTTGATGTTCACGCGGATCGACTATGCATCTGGCAATCTACTGCGTTAGACGAGGTTAAGTTGCCAAATGATACCCAGGCGAGCACAGAGTTAGAAACGCAGAACTCATTAAGGGCTACATCAGACCCGTTAAAAGATTTCTGTGTCGATATTATTATGCCATTGTAAGAATGTTCTTTGATTTATGAGAAGAAATTAACTGCTAACATCTACCGAAAGCTTCTCCGCCAGGTTGCCGGAGAAGTGTGACTCGATCACCCGTAAGTTAGGCGGGCCAGTCATGATACCGCCATCCAAACCGAAGGCGAAGAATCCCGAAAAATCGGAGTTAGTTGTAAAATTAAAATCAAAATCTAGCTCTGCGACAAAACGCCCAGCATCCAGATTATCTCGAACACTTGAGAGTGTTCTTTCCAAGGAGTCCGAGAAGCATCGCCGAAGCATGTCGCGTGGCCCAAGCGGGGTGATAGCATTGATGAGATCCGCTTCTACTTCCATGTTGAAGCGAGAGGCCAGTGAACCATTATCTATGACGAACATCCCCAAGGCAGATTCCGTCACATCGAAAAATAGCACATCACGTGCGTCCGTATCAACACCCATTAAGCGGAGATCAGAAGGGGACAAGGCAAAGAAGGATGCTTTGGTCAAGGCAGAATTGCACGACGCGATATCTGCCCTTAGACGCCCTAACAGAGATGTCGTCAGTAAAGCCATGGCCGAAGCAGATGAGAGACGTGCTATCACCAGTCTCTCTCAACTGAAGAGTAAGTGAATACCGATTTTCCACTTTGTTTCTACCTCTGTATAATGTTAACATTTCCCGTAGAATCAAGAAAGCCGACTCAACACCGCCCCAATGATGTGGTTAAGGCAACTCCTATTAAAAGTCAATTTAGAGATGTACTAGGCACAAGCACGGGCTATCAGCCGAATCGTCTCCGAGCTCTGGGCCCTGCTGAACCAAGCAGCACACCCTCATCTTCCATGATTCCTTCTTCCGCCCCAAGAAAACGTACCCACGAAGCAGCATTTAGTCTAGATCGACTCCAAACCTCTCCCCGACCGAAGACCTCAACAGGTCAAATTCAGGCAACCCCTGCTAAGCTCTCAGGCCTACGAAAGACTTCAATGCCTTTCCCCGAGATTGACGAAACAGATATTCTTGCATCATCACCTATCGTGGCTCGAAAGGTATCGATGATGTCCTTCCGCGACAGTGGAATTGAAATGCCTAGTTCTCCGCCTGGCGCGCTCGCGGAAACTCCAGTCAAGCCCCGTACTGCACCCATCCCAATAAAGGGGCTTGTGGCAACCACGCCAAACAAACGAAGGATTCTCGACAAAGATGTTGCAAATATCGCTGATGCTAGGAATTCTAAAACCGAAATAACGAAGGAACCAGAGAGGAAAGTCTCCATTTTTGAACGGTTAGGTTGGGACGACGATTTTGACGAACTTGGTTAAGGAAAAGTTCTCGTACCAGATAATTCAACGCCACTTGTTGACGACAGAGCTGGAGGAAGTCGAATTTGAAGGATATATAAGCAAGCAGTGGCATGACTAATGACAAAAGACGAAAGAAATGATACGACCGCATTAGAGGCAATTTAGATAAAGCAGCATTTCGAAGCATTGTATACTACAAGCGGAAGCGGAAATGGGCAGGACTAAAGGTTAGGTACCTAGGCACCTGCCTAATGATATACTTAATAAGATCCTGAATTATTTTATACCCCTAAATCTGAGAACCAGGTGCCAGTAGAGCAGTTTTGTGAAGCAGTGTTACTACAATTGGTTCATAGGTACCTAGGTACCTAAGTAACGTATTAGGCGACTTTAATATTAAATTTCATCTCCATCGTTTTGTTTTTTGGTTTGTTCCGTATATTCCTGCCAGAACAATCCAGGCTTCGCATGTGATTATCGGAGAGGTTACAATCGGATTTCTCAATCAGATATGGTGGCCTAGGGTCTAGGGACGAGAAGAAAACTCACCTACCTTGCTTTGAGGCGATGATGATAACACATTTGGGCGATTGTTCCTGTGGAGGTGTTTCCCTTAGGTAGGTAGGTAGGTACTGTATGATATGAAAATAAACACCCTTTTTGAGCCTCTTTTTCCGCAGGGGGAAACACCCCGAGAGAGGAGGATAAGAACAGCAAGCTACCTATACTAAAGGTAGGTAGGTACTTAATTGAGTGGAAGGCACTGTTAAGGTTAATTGAAAGGATGAGTAACCTCCTTGTTCTCTGTTCTGACTATGCGGAGGTGGGAGGCTCGATATTACTGCAGGGCGGTGATATTGGGGATTGTCAAAATTGCTCAGGCATTTTGCGATTAGCCATATTGCTACGTTAGACGATGCTCACAGACGCCTGAATTCAACTCAGGAGTAGTAACCAACCGAGCACTCACACGCCATGACAGGTAAGGATGTTTTGTACTACAGTGTACCTGTCGAGTGAATTGTATCTCAAGTCAAAGCCTGTTTTATATGCCCAACAATTGACAACTACCGTATTACTATGGGATACATTTGTTTACACAATTAGGTAGGTATCTATCATAACATAAGCTTCGGCTAGGTCCAAAGTGATCCAATACCTATAGGTAGATCAAAAGCGAAGGTTCTTAATGATCTTGTCCGAGTTAATAAAAGCGCATCGCTCCTTCAGCTTCTGCGCAGCTATCTCAGGCTTGGAGTTAGGACCATCAGTAGCGGAGAGGCCTTCGCTTGGCCCTCCCGCAACAAATACCGAGAATGTTCCATCAGCATTGCCTTGGCTTCCTACAGAGAAAGAAGGTGTGAATCCTTGGAACGTGTCGTGACCCTCGAGGCCTGGGACTCCACGGCTCGTGAATGTCGACCACGACCGCGAGCCACGGCTCACGAGGCTATAATCCTCAGGCGTAGGATCGAACGGGAAGTCTCCATATTTGTAGTGCGAGATGTTTCCAAAGATGTAGGCAAATTCGGACGTATGTATCGGGCCGAGCCCCGGCACGCCTTCGAATTCTAAGATAGGATCTAAAATAGTCTGATTCCAGTCATATAGATAGACGCTATTGCCCTTGGCAGAAAGTGCAGCGCCGTAGTAGACCGGCTCGCACACCATCAGGACGTCCCGAAATATGCGCGCGGCGCGGTAGAACTCGCTCGATAGGTTGGCCGCCGGGTTAGGGGGAAAATCGGAGGATGGATACAGAGAAAGTAGCTCATTGATGTCAGAGTCGCTCACGAAAGACATGTACGACTTGACGAAGCTGCGAGTGTCCTGTGGCGTAGAAATATCGGTATCCGTAAAAACAGTCAAGTCATTATCGCACCAGCCCATCATGACCGTTACATTAGCGAATCTCCCTTCGGCTATAAGTTGAGATGGTGGAGCAGGAAGGAAGTCGCCGTCAACGACTGGCAACCAGACATCGCCGATATTGTGAGCGATATCGACTTGGTGCGTCGCCGCCGAAGCATTCAGGAGTGTGTCCATGTCTAGGCCCCGCAAGCACGCTACTGTCTCTTGCGAGTGTAAAGCGCTCGTGTTGCAGCCAACATGGTCTACGACGAGCTGCAGGGCATCAATGGTAAAATTCGCAATAATCCCTGGCTCCAGGGCTTGACTTTCGCATATCCCCTGTTGGAATGGAACAGGCTTGCTTCCACCATAAGCCATAATCTGTATGCCGACAGCGAGACCTGAATCATCCGATTAGAAACGGTGTATAATTCTCACGCGTAAGGCTAGGTAGGTACTTACCACCAGAGGATTGTCCATGGATAGTGATCTTTTCAGGATCCCCGCCGAAATACTCAATATTGTCGCGAACCCACTCAATTGCGAGCCGCTGGTCTCTCAATCCGGCGTTTTCAGAACCTTCCACCTCGAGAGCATTAGACTGTGCGAACCCAAAGACTGAGATATGATTGCATTAGTACATGTTGTAGATACTTCATTCTATTTACTGGAGATGCTTGGTGCTTACACCCGAGGCGATAATTCATGGTCACGTGAATAATTGGAAGCCCGTTTGCGACAGACTCGAGGATCATGCCATCGGGCGCATTAGTAATTTCCCGGTTCTGACCAGACCAAAAACCGCCGCCATAGATCCAGACCAGGACCGGAAGCCGGTCTTCAGGGCATAGACTTTTAGGTCTTATCACATTCAAGTTCAGACAGTCTTCCGATATTTCCGTCGTATCGGTAAACCCTAACGGGAACAACTCATTCCCTAGAGGTTGAGGGCATGCAGGGCCATAAGAGAGGGCGTCGATTATGCTACCTGACTCCGGCACGAAGGGTCGCGGCGGCTTGAATCGGTTCGGCCCGCTCGTGTCTTGTCCGTAAGGAATATTCAAGAACGCCTCGACACCATTACGATTGAATCCTCGGTACGTGACATTGTTCTTGGCGTCAACAACTTCCGGATTGCCCTCAGCTGCAACAGTGCCACGACATAGCACCAACGCACCGAAAAAGGAAAATGGTCGCATGACTCAACCTTGTGGTCTCACAAAACTGCGTAGGTGTTTTTCTTTTCTTTTCTTTTCTTTATTATATCTTTTTTTCAGAAGTGTAGAAGAGAAATCATTTTATTCATTGTTTATATTCTACTATCGGAGAGCAACCTCCGAAGATAAGGCATCCGAACGACGCGAAGGAGCCGCAAATTAATCGTGTCGCATGTTGTCAGCATCTTGTAAGGTGATAATGTGGGAATAAACTAGCCTATAGAGGATATTACGGCTTTCTTTCCCCTTGCCGAGTGGAACTGTGCCATAGATACGCGAATCAACGTATAATAAGTGCAAGGCAGATGGACGTTTGCCTAAGGTAATAAGAAATTGCTTCCTTACGTGGCATGGAAATGAAAGACATAATGTTGTCTCTGATGACGGTTTTCCCAATAGGGCCAAGGCCCCAGTAAACTCATTATAGCTCATTGCTTACCTTATGTTAGTAGATGCATAACTTCAAAGTGACAATGGCGCTTATTGGTCATTAGTTATAACAACCTTCCATATTTGAGGATTACATAAACTCATCGGTATTTCATATGTTGTATAAGTACCTAGGTACTACATACCTATATATACACCGTATTCTTCCCTCTTCTAGGTTGAATAACTCTGCGGTTACCAAAGCCATTAATCTTTGGATATGGGCTGCGAGAGGTTCTAGCATGATTATTGGATCCTAGGCATTCCCCATCCGTGTTCTTAGAATATGCAATACCAAATGCCGTTGAGAATTGAGAGTCTCCTGTCTCAGCGAGGTCTCTATTCACGTGTCCAAGTTCGCATTCTAGTAAGGTTCTAGGTCGAGTCCAAATAGAGCCAGCCAATAGCTTCGTCGGACGCGGAAAGTAGGAGGAGCAATTCGAAATCGAAAAGACATACCATACAAGCATGGAAGTACTTTGCTAGGATCACGGAAGTTGTGTGAATGGGAAATCAGAAGCCGAGACTCAGATGTCTCATATCGGGGGGTCATATCGGGGGGGTTGTTTGTGGGCTGCACAGGCCAATCCACAACAGCACGTTGCTGTATTCTCGCATCTGATTGGTTCTTCATTAACTTCAACCAATGCTAAAGCTCGAATTGATCGCGTGCCTCGAGTCGACACCTTTCAACGCTCTTCGTCGACTTCGACGAAACTTTTCGCCATGTCCAACTTACATTCTAGACTCTGGCCCCTCTCCAGGCTATTTTTTTATGATTAGAAACGAGGAGCTTGTCACGATTTTTTTTCTTTCTTTTTCATAAATCTTCAACTTCTTAAATTCCTACCTCTTACCTGTCATACTTCCTTGAGCAAGGGAGAGATTCACTTCATTGCAGTAGATATCCCTTGATATACCATTTCTCGTGGCGATACCCGACTTTCAATCGGGACTGGATCTTTCATCTGAATCAGAAAGCGGGCAAAAAGTTGTCCTACTCGGCGAGCTTCCCAACGCCGTGTCTCGGGTAATATCATATTGATATCTCTCTTGTCGTGTGACCCTTTAGGAAAACGATCAATAAGCCATCATTAAAAATGACACGCCTAAAGATGCTGCCGACGCCGGCATCTTCCACCGAGATTAAAGGTCAGGATCATTCTCATCAACTCTCCACTCTGCAAATGTCCTTTGAGCTGCCCCCGTCAGCTATAGGTCCAAATGCAAAGTCCCAGCAACAGAACTCCGGGGCTAAGACGTCGCCCGTGTCGCCATCTACCAAGACGACTTACCCGGTTCAGCCGAGCGAAACGGTCAAGTCGAGAAGACGCTCATCTACCGTACAGAAAGAGGCGTTTGCTTTACCCCCTCCGCCAACAAGATCCCGTAGGATTATTCAGATGAAACCACGTCCCCAAGAAGAGCCGGGTGAACAATCCACCGCAGATAAAGCAGCCTCTACCACCAACGGCAAAGGTGCTGCCGGTGCCGGGTCTAAAAAGAAGCTGCCATCAGCAACTAGCGCCGCAGGGAGAAAGATGGCTAGGAAGACAGCACATAGCTTGATTGAACGACGTCGGAGGTCTAAGATGAATGAAGAGTTTGCTGTGCTTAAAGGTTTGATACCTGCTTGTACCGGCGAGATGCACAAGCTGGCTATCCTTCAGGTACGCCTATTCAAAACTTAAGTTGTAACGCTATTCCTTCGTACTAATACTTACTCTTTTAGGCTTCTATTGAGTATGTGCGATATCTTGAAGACTGCATCACCAAGCTGAAGGAGCAACGCGACGACCAATCTGCGACGCCAGCTCCGGCCCAGTTTAAGCTCACTCCGTCAAACGACGTTGACGCATATGATATGGACGAGGAAAAGGATGATGAGTGCCAAGATGATGTTGAGATGACGGGATCGGAGGCGCCGTCACCTGTTTATGCGCAGACTCCTGCTCGCTCTAATCAATCGTCTATATCGCCGGCGCTAGTAGCACAAGATACGCCGAGCAGACATCATTCCTATTCGTCGATCTCCACCGAGTATCGCCACTACAGTTACAGTGGGCCGTCCAATACCTCTCCAGGGTTTGGGTCTCAAGGGTATCCACAACATATGGGGACCACATCTACGTCACAATCCACGCTTACTAGCCCGGCTTTGAGACCGCAGCAGGAGATTGATCAGGAGGCATCTGCAGCGCTCCTGATGCTCAACGTGGATCGAAGAGGAACTACTAGCAGCGGCCCGGGACGAGGTATGAGTGTCAGGGATCTGCTTATTTCATAAGCCACATTAAAACTGTGGCTGGATGTTACTATATATTACATTACAGGTCCTTCAAAACAGTCCGCTCTGGAGCATGCATTGAGTTTAGTGGGAGTAGGGTTAGTTCTGGTCGGCAGGGTTAGTGCGGCTGTCTGCGTTTGCATTTGCATGGGCAGGATCTTGGGGTCTAGGGACGGTGTTGGGAGTATAGCATGGCACCGAAACAAAAGATTATAGGTATAAGGTTGCAGCTTTGTTTATAAATTGGGTTGCTAGGTGCCTAGGTAGATTTAATATATCAGGCTTGTGGCGGAATATATATACCTATCTGTGCCATGCTTATCTTGTGACCCATGCAAAATATTGCATGCGATTTTTGAAAGCCGTTCGGTCCGATATTGGGCTGCTGTCCACGGGTACGATTCGGAGGGATAGTCGGGGAAGGCCGGTCCTGAAGATACCTACGGTTGGACGGTATATGTTGGGGTGAAGATCTTCGAGAAATCGCATACCTATTGAAGGGGCTGTCTTTTAGTGTGATAGGTATGTCAACCCGCCATTTTCTTCTCTTCAGACAAGGGGGTTAATCGCGACGCAGGAAAATAAAAGATTGTGCAATAGTATACGTATAATACGAGCATCTAGAATCACGGGAGAACATTGCTGTTTTTCTAGTGCAGTAGCACATTGATGAACAACCAAATCTGGGCTATACTAGACAGAGTCGTAGCCGTTACCGATTAACTGGATGTCACGTTGCAACCCAGCGATTTGGGACTAATGACAGGCGGTAAAAGTTCTTTATCTGCATCTTAGGCGATATTTACTGGCATCAGCAGTATGCTGTGAGACTTTATTATCATACTTCCTTACCTATCTACGGGCTATAATCTGTGACACCTTAGGTAGGCGCTTTTCGTACAGTAGCTACCTAGTAGTAGGCACAGCATATCTAAGTTATGGTCTTCCCGTTTTCCCGACAACTCTAAACATTACAGCTATGTTCCAAGGACTCTTCAACGGAAGATTAAAAAGCAACTGTGAAAACTCATTAATCCCTCAATGTGAGATTTAAGGGATCGTCCCGTGCCTAGACAAGTCGCTAGAAGATATATCGGGATGGCGATAGACATATGCATACATCAAGGGAGATAGATGGTAGGTAGTATTTCTTACTGGCCAGGAGAATATTCCGTGGATGCCAAGTCATGCACGATCTGAATGGTCGGATGGGATCAGAGTGTTACTTCGACAGAATCAGTACCTAAGCCATGGAAGGTCCTTAATGTCGTGAGAAATGCCAAGAATAAGATATCGAATACGAATAAGTTTATATGTTTTATCTATTAGATCTCGAGTTATCGATACCTACACCAAGGAGTGGCACATTACTGCAACATATCTGACCTGAGCCATGCCAATTTCAACGATTCGCGTTTGCCGCCGTACTTTTTTAGTCTGTAGTTAAACCTTGCCCCTGAATGATCCCTGATGAACCCCTGAACCGTTCCTGAAGCCTTTTAGAGCCTCTTCCGCCGAATCCCAACGTCTAGCTTACGTTCGTTCGCGCTAACAGCGGGACTTGATCTCAGTAATGGTTACTTGATTTCTGATTTGTGACGGTAATAATGGTTACTTGATTTGTGACAGAGGTACGTATGTTGTATGTGGGTCTTCTACGTGACCACGCGGGATTTATTACCAGGTACCTAGGACCCGCAGATGACGGTTTTTTGCTTAATTCGTGCCTCACTTTTTCCTTTCAGCCTCCCTGCTGTACCATAGCAGACCCTGGTGCCCCCCAATAACCCCGAGATGGGGCCCCACGAACAGTACGGCTGCGACTCTATGCGCTATGACGTATGTGCTGAACCGTGCTAACGCCCGCCGTGTCCGCGTGTCCATTGTGAGCTTAAGTTAAGGTACCTAGGCACCTAAATGATTAGGTTAGGTTAGGTAGAAATGCGAAAGATATACATAAGGTACCTAGGTAGGTAGTAAACAGGTACATCTTTTATGCAGCAATATTTCCCAATGCGCTTACTACGAGTTTGTGGAGAGATCTTGGGATGTTGGAATGCAGACGATTACCGAACTTTTCCATCTTTTCCGTGTCCATGGGAAGCGGGAAGATTCAAGGGAGGGGCCTATGGAGGTCCAGATTGAATAAATTGACGCCTCATTCGTTCCCCAAAAAATGCTTGTAATAAAGGTGGAGTTTTTTTGCGGGTATCATTCTTGGCAGTAAGGTCGTTAATTGGAAGCCGTTAAATGGCCCTAAGTTCGTTAGGCAGGTACCCAAGATGAAATACGGCAAGGTCGAATCACCTAATTCCCTAGGCTCGGGCTTTTTCAAAGGAATTTCCTTGCGCGGGATGACGCCGAAGTCTAATTCTTCTCCAGATTTCCCCAGTCGGCCCAATTGCGACCCCCACTGCTGGAACGTGAAACTTGTCTCATTGGACAATTCAACTTATATAGTCAAGACAGTTGTTACAAAACCTGATGAAGCACGAAGATCATCATCGTCCATTTCAATCCGTATTGTTCTATTTAAAAGACCTTCCTCCCGCTCGTAGTTTATTGCTATAAATCTCCAGTATACCAAGAAGAGTACCAAGAAGAGTACGAATAAGAATACGAATAAAGGAGCAGACACAAGCCTATAGTTATCGTAATAACAAATATGGCGGTATCGCAAGCAAGACAGCCCTATTTTGGGCTGAAGGGTAAATGGCTGACCTTCTGGATCACTGTAAGCTACCAACACATTATAGGTAGCCAAGTGTCGTGAAGCTAACAATCATAGCTCGCTTGCGCTACAGACATGACCCTTTTTGGATATGACCAAGGTGTATTCAGTAAGTCCTCGCCCAAGTCATCACACAAGTTACCTAGGTATATATAGCACACTGGTATTAACGCCTTGGCTTTAGGCGGTGTTATTATTTCGAAAGACTATCTGGACGTCCATAACCTAAACGGCCCGGAAAATACAAGCCTTCTATCCATCATTATCTCGATTTATACCATCGGTTGCTTCCTCGGCGCTCTGATTTCATTTTACATGGGAGAGGCGATTGGCCGTAAGAAAACTGTGCTCGTTGGTACTACAATCATGACTGTCGGTGCTGTTCTCCAGACTACTTCCTTCAGCGTTCCACACATGATAGTTGCCCGTGTCGTCGCAGGGTATGTACTCGCAAGGGTTTACAGGCGGTGATTAAACTAACCTACGAAATAGTATCGGCAATGGTATCAACACAGCTACTGCCCCTGTTTGGCAAACGGAGACCTCTAAAGTCCACAACAGAGGATTTCTTGTAGTGCTTGAAATGAGCATGAACATCTTTGGTTTCTCCATGAGTAACTGGGTCAACTACGGAATGTCCTTCGTTGGAGGATCCGTCGGATGGCGGTTTCCCCTGGCTCTCCAGCTAGTCTTCTGCATCATTCTCTTCTCCACTGTCCCGTGGCTACCCGAGTCACCCAGGTAAGAGTTCTGTTGACATAACCGTTGTGTGATATGTGCGAATTTTCTAACCCAATCATAGATGGCTGCTTGCACACGGCCAAGAGGTTGAAGCAGCACAGATCTTAGCGGACTTGGAGGACAAGCCGGTTGACGATCCTTACATCGTTGCTGAGCGCGAAGAAATTGTTTACGGTATCGAGTATGAACGCCAAAACTCCATCAACTGGAGTGACCTGCTCCGAGGCCGTACCAAGGCTGGAACCAAAACCATTCGACGACTGATCCTCGGCTGCGGCACTCAAGCTATGGAGCAATTTGGTGGCATTAATGGTACGTATAAGAATACAAATTAGTCCCCATATGCAACTCGTTTTATACAAATGCTAACTAGGAGGTAGTGAGTAACTCGATTATAATTCCCTTACGCTTTTGAGAAAGAGTGCAAGCTCTTTAACCCATTACCCCTAACTCCTTTTCACCGGAAATCCCGACTAGATGGTCGAATAGAGGATGCTAACGAAAAAAACAGGTCATGTCTTACTACCTTCCTACTGTGCTGATCGAGTCAGTCAAGCTTGATGAGAGTATGGCCCGTCTTATTTCAGCCTGTGCGTCGGTTGCATATCTCTTCTCATCTTTGGTGGCAGCGCCTCTTGTAGACAAGCTTGGTCGCCGCCTTATGATGATGATTTCGACTGCGATTCAGTTGGTCTGCTTCTTGCTCGTCACCGTCCTACTCCACTTCGCGGAGAAACCCGGTTACCTTCACCAGGTTGAAGTGTCCAAGGCTTCCGTTGTTTGGTTTTTCATCTACTACATGGGTTTTGGTTTAGGGATGCTGGGTGTTCCATGGCTATACCCCACCGAAATTAACGCGTAAGTCTAAGACTCCCCCTCAGAAGCGTTAATTGCTTGTGAGATATTCCCAAAAAATAAGCGTAATTACTGATTTGTGATAGTCTTCCCATGCGAACAAAGGGAGCTGCTGCCGCTACCATGACAAACTGGATAACAAACTTTATTGTCGTCGAAGTGACACCCATCGGTATCCAGAAGCTGGGCTGGAAATTCTACATCATCTGGACAGTGACCAACGCACTTTTCTTGCCCATAATATGGCTATTCTACCCCGAGACGGCCAACCGCACTTTGGAGGACATAGACGCTTACTACCGCGACAACCCACCCCTGGTCCTCCACAAGGACCGCGACTCTACCTGCATCCGTCGACCGGCGAGGTTTGCCGAGGCACAAGGTCGGGACATCGAAGAGGCCGCGAAGCACTTGGAGAAACGTGCCACTGTCGCCCATATCGAAGGGGGGTCGGAGTCGAGCGAATGAACAGTTTCCTTGTTTTACGAATTCCCGTCTATGGGATACCCAGCGAGGTGCATTGACCACATTGCTTGTACGGATTGGAATATATCAGGGCGTTTTTTACGACATTTATAACGAGCATATGATCTAGTAGGGGCACATGCGCATATCTGGGGTTTCTGGGTTAGACTTGATACCACTTAGTTCATAACAATTTACAACAGAGTTCATGAATTAACGGAGTTCTTACTTCTCCTTATCCCTGTGCCGAATTTGAACTTGAAACTTTAGGTCTTGTTCTATAACTTTTGTGAAGCTTAAGAGATCACGGCTTGGATGATATGCTTCAAATCGCGAAAGCCTCAAAATTATACTTTATCAAATGATTCGAACTCCGGCCTTTCTTTTCGTTGCCACGCGGACTTGGAAAACATATAAATATGTGAGAATCGATTTTTTTTAATCCCATATCATCATCTCATCCTCAATAAAACTGATCATCAACCAACGAGACTACCATCACGCCTAGTTTGTATTCATTGCCCTTCTACATCAGAATATTTTCACAATATACACAATGGCTTCAGATCCGCCGACATCTCTTGATACAAATGTACTGGAGAAGATTTTTACCAAGCCTGTGCTACTTCAAAATGATAAGTCTTACTATCTTCGTCGTTACTTTCCCCTCCCGAAAGACCAATCTTGGAATATATATCAAACTACGATGGAGGGCACTGTGACGCAGGGCACTATACCGATTTCTGTCTTCGTTACTGCGCCGGGAGCTTACATCTGCACTTACATCGAGACGAAAAATGCTTCAATACCATTTAAAGCTCGTCATTTGCTGAAATATTATTACCAGCAACTATACGGCAACCTGGCCGGGCTGAATTATATTGGTTATTGCGACATCACCTACGCTACCGCCCGCACCGCTATGTTGAACGCGGCTACCACTATCCATGGGCTCAATGGATGGAAGCCCTGGTCGGTAATCCGTTCATAATAGGAACACAAAAGTTGGCGAGCGAGAATACCGACGAGATGCGAAACGCACGCGTCAGCGAAGTTTGGTTTGTCCTCGAGTCGTCGTCACCAGACTCAGATCCCTGGGATAATAATTTCTCGCTTCATATGAAAATCTTCTTTTCCCGTTAGTTTGCAGGTGGTTTTGGTTAGAGGCATAGTGGTTTAAACTCAGTACCTGGACGATCGACTGGTCTTGTGGTTATGTATCGTCGATCCCCGATTCCCATCCCGTCCGCCTGGGTAATTTGAGTCAGTCAACATTGCATACCTGTATTTAGTATCTAATATTAAGTCATTCATTACTATCATAACTTATCTCTGTTTTTCTTTTTCTATATTAATGTCCTTGTAGCGAAATACACATGTATTTTGTTGTAAACTTTTAACCCTCAAAGAATTTCAAGAACGTATGGGAATTTTACGTTAAAAGTATCAAGTTTCACAACTCCCCCACGAAAAGATCTGCACACTTTACTTTTGCGTAAACATGTATATTGAAAGGCATTTAATTTACGAGTGAAGACGAAAAAATTCTTCCACCAATATCCGAAGAGCTATGGGCTATTCATTCAACTACACCTATTAGCCCAGTAGTTTTCAAATGCCCTAAAAATAATATACCACGTTGATATGTCACGTCTTCCCTTCTAGTAATTGGAGGTTGTATATTTTTATTTATCTTGTTGAATTAAATACACGTATATCAAGTTGTTGATTTTGTAATCGGAAAGGGGGTGGTTCCAGTTAAGGGGGCCCCAGTGATGTGGTCCCAACTTACAAATACCCGCAGAGATGTAAACCTTAAATATGCGTTTTGTATACGCCAGTCGACCCAGCCACGGCCTTGCCCGAGGATCATCCCAATATAAGCTCTGCCAGGTACCTAAGGAAGTACCTAGGTAGCTAGTGGGTTTGGAATACATATAAAATACCACCCCAATAAGCGTTTGTCGGTATCGAATTACCTAAGTATCTAATATCATCAACAGCTGTAAAATAAGAGAGTAAGCCCATCTTTAAGATACCAAAAATGAGTGAAATTCTATCAACTTTGACTAGTCCTAGGCTGAGTGTGCCATTCATGAGCCACGTGACTCTCATGCTCTTTCTTGAGTGTTGAGTGATCGTTTATAAAAAAAAAAAAAGAAAAAAGAAACATCTTTTACCCTTGATGCTGAAGTACATTGGTCTATTGCTAATTCTCATAGTGCGGTCTTCCATTTCGGCTTCCACCAAGTCCACGTCATGCGCAGTATTTTAGATAGCAAAGTCTACACTCCACACCCGGCGATCCGCTCTACACCAGGCGGTGGCAAGTAGCACCACGACATCATGGCGTACTTGCCACATCGCAGAGAATCAGGGCGAGGAACTCTAACTATGATAGCTTTTGAAGCCAAAACTTTATACAAGTCATTTGTCCCCAAGCGAGACGCCTGGTGGTACCTAGGCGGGATGAACATGTCAGTGGTCCTCCTCTCGGTTCTTCGACTGTACGCGTCGGTGCTCCTTCGCGATACCTCTCTTCGAAGACGAGCGCGGGTGATATCCCACTCGACATCACGGCCCGGCGAACTTCTCTCCAGGAGATTCTGAATTTCACACTGAGCCGGGGAAAAACGGCAGGTTAATTACGGGGAAGGGGTTTGATCGTATAACGGGTCTCTATGCGCTGTTTACGGTATTGGATTGGGGTTTTCCAGTGGCTAGGATACTCACTAATAATTAAATAGGGTAACCTTGGGGTCTGTGAGAGTTTCACCCGCTAGAATGGCGAGTCACATGGTAACCTTTTATGCTAAACAGAAATGTTGAAAGTTCATGTGAACGCCCAATACGACTCACGATTCCAGGGCGAGAAAGAAGTACACCCGATTCCGAACCAATGCTCCCAACCCCCTAACATACCTACTCCGTAGACCAACGCGACAGTTAAAGTCACCCTAGAGAACTTTTAGGAATCCATCTGCCTTAGGTACATAATGAAATATCAGCAGACTCGTTTAGATAGGTAAGTAAGCTTGTGTCAGCGTTGATAGATTATTATAGTCAAGTGAAAATATTGCGTGATGTGGTTTGAAATCGGTAGATTTATTGGCTCGTATTATTCAACCAAGTTACCATAGCATAATGATCATCGACCAGAGGCCATTGGTTTGCGAAATCCAACGCTAAGCGTAACATGTCCAACGATTAATACTCATATGTTTTATTTAATAAACTTTTTTTTGTACCCAAGTTTAAAGTTCATTCGATTCTTAGTTCAGACCTGCCTTATATCAAACATGAAAAAAAAAAAAAAAATATCTGATCATTACGCCTAAACCAACGCTTAAAGCCTATTTTAATGGTAAAAATTCCCTGTATTCTGCCGCTATGGCACTTCATAGTTAACGAAATAACCTGAGACTAGGTTAGGTAGTCATTCCCTAAGCCGTGGCCTTATGAACCTATTTCTATAGCAAATATTATCGCCCCCTTTTCCTTCCAGCTTTGGGCAGAGTATACCTGAATACTCCGTAGAAAGGCTAATCAAATTCCATGTACCTGCAGCACACCCCCGTGAAACGCATCCTCAAATACCCAAAAATTTACACAAATCGAAAAATCAATATTACTCGTCTGCGTACCTAGGTAGCTACATAAAATAAGGCCTTTGTGAAGCTGGAAATTTCTTGTCGATAGCAGACACTTTTAAGGTCGTGGTCGGAGTATGGATGGGCGAGAGAGGAACTGTCGTGACCAAAGTGGGAGTGTGGGTAGGTGACAGAGACACCGTCGCGACCGAGGTGGGTGTGCTTTGGGAGGAGTGGCCCGGAACGGTGGTGGTCTGCATTGTCGTAGCCTCACCATAGCCTGTTCCGACGCTGCTGGTGCTGGTTACCTGCGACGAGGTACTCGTGGTAATAGACGTCTGGCTGCTGCTGGGTGGAGTTGGTAAGGCGCTGCTCTGACTTGTAGAACTCGAGGGTTCGCTCGAGCTTGTTTTCGGCGGAATGCTAGGCGACAGGATTGTACTGCTGGTCGGAGTATTGGGGGCGGATGAGGCTTTTACCGAGCTTGAGGTAATCTGCGGTACGATGAAGGACGATGATGGCGCCTCTGGGGGGTTAGCGATTCCCGGTTTTGGCCAGAGAGTAATTGCGGGAGACGCGCTTTTATTCCCCGCTGTGGACGCTGAAGTCTCTAAGGTCGCTACGGAACTTGCTGAGGGGATATAGGGAGGTAGGGTCGATAAGTTAGAGTTACTCGCCATGGAACCTGTTGAAGGGATGTAATGAGGCAGAGTTGATAAGTTAGGGGTAATCGTTATACATCGCCCTTTAGTTCTGCTCTTGGGGCTCTTGGAAGCCTTCGTGGTTGTTGTGTTTGCTGTTGCAATCACCGCGCCCCCGGCTCCTTCGGTAGTATCAAATACGGATGCCATAGCAGTCTCTGCTGCGCGCAGGGCCTCGACGGAGGTATTTATCCACAAGATTGGATGGGTAGTGACTGTTCTCGTGGACGTCAGCGTCGTCGTACGGACGGTGGTCGAGATAGGCTCGGGCGACTGGCTTGCATCGAGACCGAATGCGCGCGCAATCAGAGCAAGCAGAAAACCACCTATTGTGTATGTGTTCATTGTTGCGACAGGAGGCTTTGATAGCTTCACGGCAATACGAGATGTTCAACTGATCGGGGTCAGGGCTGCGTAGGCCTTGAGAGAGGACAAACGGAACCGAAATATTGATACGATGCGGAGCGATGCCTTTAAGAAGGGGTTTTAGGAAGTTGTATTTTACTATATAGATACTCAGTGGAGGCGAAGGAAGTGACAGCTTCGAAGAATCATTCTTCTTGTCAGTTGTGTCGTGGACACTGGTCTGTATTTGAGTCAGAATCGAGCCGAGCATCGTTGCTTGTCTATTCCCAAAGTGACGTTGTATCCTCAGTAGATAGGTGTGATTTAACGTAGTCACTCGGTACCTACCTGGTAGTAACAATTATTTCACACTATTACCCCTTTGCCGTCACCCATACTCAGATCGACGAGAGAAAATGATATCGGAAGTGACTAGCCAATATGTTACAAATCACAGCCTAGCTCTTTAAAAGAAGAGTGTACGAGACTCGTGGTAGGTATGTCAATAGCCTAACTCATCGGATTCACCAAACTAATTATAAGCAATTCATTCACTGCTGGCTCTTTGTCATAGGTAATAACATGCCCAAAAACTATTTCAACGACACTTCTGGCGGGAAAGGGAGGTTATGAGGCGTAAACAGACACCTTATTATGTCCGAGTTCGGGAGGGGAGTAGGGGGGCTCTTTGTGAAGTCGCTGCGTCCGCGGTTCATGACAATGTAGGTATTTCCTCGGAACTTTCCCCTTATGTGGTCTAAAAGGAAAGTAGCATTGTTACAGCAAGAACTATATGGTACCATGACTTCGAATCGGCCTCCAGAGACCTATGCTTCCTAGGTCGGTGCCATGGAAAGTAGAAAGGCACCACAGGGTCATATAAAAGATATCGTTTTCGCATCGAAATACAATTGATACAGCTAACCTCCATTTAATTCACAATTTTCGTGGTGACCCAAATAAGGATCCTAAGCAGTACCTTACTACTTAGATATTTTTTTTGATGAGATCTAGGCTGTGAAGCATTCTTTTCAAGTTAATTAGACAATAGATCTTGCAAATTAATATTAACATTCACCTGCAAGGGACCGTTATAAGGCACCTAGAATGCATTAAGTGCTCGTAATTCAAAGTTCGCTGAATTGAAATATGTATCCTTGTCGCTGCAGTATTCGTTATTTCTCTCCCATGATATGAATGCCCCGTTTACCTACTACCTCTTGCGCCTCCTCCACGAACCATGGATTGAAGCTAACGTACCGTCTATAGCTACCTAAAAGGTACCTATAACGCGACGAGGGGACGCCGATTCATACATCTATAGGCAACAGTAACCTTATTTCGTCTATCCGTTCCGGCGTTAAGGGACAAGGTCCATCGTGAACGAACCACTCGTTTATATCAGACAAAAATTGAGTCTGATGGTGCTCCTCATAATTGGCCCCAAAGTCCCAACACTCTCGTTGGTCAGTGAGTACTGCAGTGGGATCGGACAAGTTTCCCACTGCTTCGGAGTCGCCGAACAATAGCTTAGAAAGACGGATGCGGTCAAGTTTCATAGCCTTCTTCATTTCCCTTAACAGTCTTGCCCACGAACTAGTAGAAAGGCTGCAGTGGCTAAGAGCAATATACTTCAATGTCAGTTGATGTAATTGAAAGAAGTCAAGCAAGTCATTTATATCAGCCTTAACTTGGTGTAGGTAAACCATGCCCAGGTTTTCCCATTTGAATCTAGGCGTGACAATGTTGTTGAATTCAGCGTAGCCCGCGTGTCGATAGGCAGGCTGAGTAAAAAAAAGTCCTAGATTCTTGAGTGTAGGAAGGGCCTCGAGAAGCTTTGATATTGTCCTTTGTTGTGTACCCGGGAAATGCATTCCTTGGGCTTCTGGGTAGAAAATTGGTAGTATGTCTCCTTTGCTCTCAAACCAGAAATGCATAGTTTCTAAGCCCTCATACACGGTTCTAATTCTGTTGATAAAGTTCTTCCGAAACGACCTCGCATCTGCCCTGGCGCACGTTAAAGAGCGAATCTGTGTCCCTGATTCTTTTAATCCATTCATGATTACTTCCATTGGACGGTGGCACTGTGGCCAAAGCGAGTCGCGTATATGAACGAAGAACTGTTTGAATGGCGACCAACACGTGAGAAAATCGGTACAGACGAAGATGCTCTTCAAGTTGGTAAACTTCGGTATAACCTCTTTGAAAAGTCTGTAATCTTCTTTTGTTGACAATATGTATTGCTGATATTTCACAGCACATTTATAACGACGGTAGTTCTCTTCGACGTCTTGCTTAGACATGGGATCCCTCTCAGCTGCGTCATCCGGAAGCCAATTTGTCTTACAGGCCAATACCCTTTCGCGCAATTCGTTATTCGTAGTATTCGATACATATTCTTTCAGCGATATATATGGGTCATTGCTTCTTTTTGGCCTTGGAAGCTTGTGGCAGACGTAGACGAGCTCCTGGACGCTTTTGCTAATGGCCGGGTGGCGTGCAAAATGACACAACATGGAGAAATCAGGCTCGTAGATATGAATGATAAGCATTCTAAAGCCATGCCAGGCACCGATATCTGCAAATTCGCTGCAAACTAGTCGTAAGGATCGGGCTTCGGAGGCCGACATGAAGGAAAACACGACGTACAAGAGCTCTGGGGGTAGGGGTAGCGGTAATATCTGATGTTGGCGATCCATGTTAGTTTAGGTAAGTTAAATTACCATAAAATCGACGGGATAGATGTTTTTGTCCTGTTTCTATATGATATTATGAGGCGGGTTATTTTGAATGAGGCGAGGATGAGTATGCCGAATTACCCAAGTTGAGTTTCTCTTGGAGACCAGTACCTTAGAAACACCTTGCCCATACGCCATTCCCTTGGTTGCATAGGGGCCAAGGTTACCTACCTTAGGTACCCAAAGTACAGGCAAGTCCTATTCCTTCTTCGAGAGCTTGGATAATTTACAAGAGGCAGGTACATTAGAAGGCCTCCCATTAATCTGGCATCGTGGCTGTTATGTTGATAGGTACTGTAGATAGGGGGGTTATAATACTAATACTACACTTGGCTCAAGACATCTTTTCAATGCCCCATTATGTTATTTTTTTTTTATGATGGCCTTTATTTTCGCTTGATATATTATGAAATAGTAGTATTTGTTTATTTTCTCTATCTTCTAGTTTGCATAAATCATGAACTTTGTTTTAAGAGATCGCTAGGAATAAAACCTCCTTGTGAGGAAGTGATCCTACTAGGGTTCTGCCACTTTCAGACTTTGGATTGATCGGATCTTGGAGCCGTTGTCGTCATACTTAGACTACACCCCTGTTGGCTTGTTCCTTGGGAACCAATCATTTCTCCTGAATTCTCCCGTTCCTGGCTTAAAGTGGCAATGAGCAGCTCTATTCTACCGTCTTCTATCAGACGAGCTGCCGAGCTGCCAAGTTTTTCCAACTTCGACTTGCCGCATCCAGCGCATTTTACTGGTAACCACCCTTACGGCAGAACACTACTGGCTGATGCAATCATGGCATCCGATTGCCATGTCCATGATGTACTTAGTGAGCTAATGCCCATGTCACCCCGTTACATTCTGACATTCACAAACCTCAACGTTACCAGGGCCTATTATACCCAAGGCCGATACTGTTGTATCTGCAAGTATTATGATAATTCTGCCCGTTATTGGTCCCGGAAATTCATCCTTTGCGGTTTTGCTGTCCCCTATAAACCTCAGACGGTCGCAGTGACCTCATATCCATATATGAAGATGCCACCCCGCCTTTCTGTAGTCATCGCTGTGCATAGAGTGGCGATACCCTTCTATGCGGTGAATTTGAGAAGAGATAACCCACGCGATAGCCGGATGCCCTTTCACCATGACATTTACCAAAGTCTTCAGTAGAAACTCTGACATCGGAAGTCGACGAAACGAGACCCCGCGTCCAAGATTTAATTCGCTGGTTACCTCAGATCGCCTGAGAGAAGGCTCACGGCCCCCGAGATTTTCGATGGGTAGTAATATTAGGAAAGGAAGACGATCGATATTTAAAGAAGTAGGGTTGACCGAGGAGGAGGAAGAAACCCAACGAAATATAATCCCTAAGCCGCACGAAGAGAGTGACGCCGGTGAAAGAATTGAGCTATCTTCGGAGATAACGTCGCCGGTGGAAACAAGACCCTCGGAGGGACAGGAACCGGCAAAGGGAAAGTCGAAGTGGTTGTCTAAATTAGCACTGTCGAGGCGCCCGAGGATGAAAACTACTAGTAGTGCGCCACCTCCTAACATTGCTGGGCTTCATAGGCTCTCCATGATCGCTCTGCTCATCGCAATTGTTCTTCCTACCATTAGTTATAATAACGGTCGTAAAAAGGTTGAGATCAGCGGCGCAGACGCGGGCGTAATTAGGCCAACTCCGACCGTGCTTCTCAAAGGCAGAGAGGACAGCCCTACCGATGTTTGTACGAGATGGGCTGGCCAAAGTAAGAGTCCACTAAGCACATTTGGCTTCTTCGCATTGCGATTACTAACCCCTTAAGGCGCTTTAATCAACGGGACCGTGTACTTCTACGGTGGTCGTTCGAAGACTAACGGAGACCAGCAAGCGAATACATGGAGTAAGTGAAGCATTGATAAGTGGAGCAAGACTCTACTAACTAGACCCTAGACAACGACTTTATAACCCTCGATCTTACCAAGTCGTGGGATATCAGCTCACCGGCTCTGTCGAGGCTCCCTAGACCATCGGGTCCGCCCGCGGTATCCCTTGGCTATCTCTGGAACGACTTAGACCGCGTATACCTCTACGGCGGCGAGTTCTCTGATAATCCAATCGCGAAACCCGCGCCGGTCTCTACGTGGATGTACGATGTGGCTTCCTCGACATGGACGGAGTTTCAAGACCCTAAGACATCAGCTGGGAACTTTTCAGATCCCGAAGGCACTCCAGTGCAACGGGCGGCAGAAGGCGCTGGAATATCCGTGCCCGAGTTAGGTGTTAGTTGGTATTTCGGCGGACATCTAGACTGGGCTACTACGCCAGGATGGACGAACCAGATTGACCGTGTTTATTTGAAAAGCCTACTCGAGTTTACGCACCCGGGATATGCAAACTCTGGGGTTGACTCGCTCTATTCTTCCGGTGCCCCAGCAGGTGGTGCCTATAGAAATATCACATGGGGCGGCATTCAAAACCAGGAGGGCTTCACCGAACGAGCTGACGGCGTTCTTGTTTACGTTCCTGGCTGGGGTCCAAACGGGATTCTGCTAGGTCTAGGTGGAGGAGTTGTCGGAGAACACGAAACCACCGATGCATTCGCCTCCATGAGCACTATTGATGTTTACGACATCAAAACTAGCACCTGGTATCACCAAAAGACGTCTGGTGAAGCACCTCAGGTACGAGTCAATCCATGCGCGGTTATCTTCTCGGCCCCTGATGCGAGCTCGTTTAATATCTACATGTACGGCGGACAGAACCTGCTCCCGTATGGAAACCAAACCCAGTACACAGACATATGGATTTTGACTGTGCCGTCGTTTACTTGGATTAAAGTCGATGCTTCAACAAGCAAGGAGCCACCGGCCCGAGCTGGCCACCAATGCGCTGCTCGAGACGGCCAGATGGTTGTGATTGGGGGTTATGTTGGCACCAATATTGCTTGTGACAAACCTGGGATCTACAATTTCGACGCCTCAAATTTAAACTGGAAAGATTCCTTTGACGCAGCAGACCACCCGGCAGACGATCACCCGGAGAACAGTATCCTCGCCGGCAGTTACGGCTACAAGGTGCCTGATATAGTCCAATATGTCGTGGGCGGCTCGTCCGACGGCGGCGCAACAGCAACCCAACCAGCATCTGGCCCTGCTACAGACGGGCCTTTCAAGACGGGTACGCCACCAGTATTCACCATCACGGCACCCGGTAGTACCGCGACCGTGTCAAATGGTGGCTCCGGACCCGGTGGCCCATCTCCATCCCCCTCCGGCACGAACGGGGCCCTGATTGCCGCAGGCGTAATAGCAGGATTTGCAGGTCTGGCGGCAGTATACCTCGGCTTCTGCACGTGGCTATACCGTCGCCAGGTGACCGCCTACAGGAAGCACATGGCCGCCGCAAACCGGTACTCGGGCTCCGTGGAGGGCCCCGCCGGCTTCGAGGCGGCGTTCGCGGGCATGCGCGACAAGCTGCGCAGGGGCGGTCACCGGCGCGATTCCCCCGGCGGCTCCAGCGAGCATTTCGGCTGGGTGGGGCGTCAGAGCGAGCCGAAGTGGGCAGCGGGTGACGATCCGAGTTCTGGCACGTCCGGATCGGGCTCGGGCTCGGGCTGGCCGCGGCCTAGCGATGACAGCCCCTGGGCGTATGATAACTACCTCAGCGGGGTGGCGGCGGGGGTTGGGCGCTCGAAGAGCGGCGCGAGTCGTAGCACGGCTGGGTCGGCGGACGCGCTGCTGGATGGACGGGTACGTAGTGTTGAAATATTTCGTTTCTTTTCTTTCTATCCCTTCTCCCCTTCTCCCCTTACCCTTCCGGAGTTTCTTTCTTAATAAGTAAGGGGTGGGGGTTAGGGATAATGGTTCAAGAATGGAAGCTTCCTTACATGATGCACAATTGAATTGACGGCTGACTTGGATAAAAAACAGCAACCGAATTTCATTAGCGTTGTGTTGGCGCCTAGACGTGCGTTACGCGTTGTGAATGGGATAGAAGATCAGCAGTAATATCTTCTTGCTTGGTCCCCTCCCCCCCTTTTTTTTCACCCATCTTGAATTGTACATTGGTAAAACATGATATCTTGGCAAAAAGGCACCCGGGTGAAGGGTCTCTGGATGAATTGAATGAACGATATATGAGGAATGATCTGCGAGAGTCAACAATTGTTTTGGTTTCGCTTTCGTTTTGTTGAATGATTGTACGATACCCAGACTTCGACGAAGTTTAGAAATATGGTAACAGGTACCCAACCTAATGTAGGAATATATAGCAGCCGATTGGTATACGTCTAACGAAAGGAATTCAGATCTACAAGAGTAAATTTGTTGATATATTGATATGTTATCCCAAACCTGCTTTGTGAACTTCGATTTCCATTCTATTGGATGAAGTTCGGTATAGAGAAACATGCCGTCCCATGCCCTCGAAACGCCGGTCCAACCTGGATTTCCTTTCCCGTAAAATATAGCCGAAAGATGCTATGGCCGTTCTTATATTTACATATCGACTCCATGTCTCTTATATCATTTGATATATAGGGACCGTAGACGCGATCAAGTCCTTTTCGGGCGCGTTGAAAATGTCAAAGTTCAATTCGTTCATCATCTTTAGCAAGAAATGCTCGACCCAGGAGAGCTCGTCGGCATCTCCGATTTCTTTCAGCCGATCAGCCGTATCTAGGGCCAAGCAAAGAACCCGTCTCCTCTGAGACGGCGAAAGTTCTTTGGGGCTCGAAGTGCCGTGTAAGAATTGGACAGCGGCGGAATGGTCGGGATCAACGGGATGGTGGAGCCCTAAATGTGCCAGATCCAGGTGCACCTTCAACGGGCGTCCTATGTCGACGTACGATTCGAAGAGGGGCGCCGAGGGCTTCGGCCATTCCGAGGCGAACACCGTAGAACTCCAAGACATGCGAATCCACGCGTATCGAAGACATCTGAATGCTACGCTGTCGTCTTTAGGCAATATATCGTTGCTACGTATGATAGTCTCATACGGCTTGTCGAGGCTGACCTTCACCCCGGAATACGTAGTGCCGACCTGCTTCAGGATAGCAACCAGCAGGCTAGATAGAGCAAACATACGATGATTTTCTACGTCGTCCGCCTCTTCACCTGCAGCCATACGCGTCACCCACGCCCAAGCTACCTCCTCCAGACCTTCGGCATACATGAACGGTATTAGAGTTGTGAACAAGGACGGGTTGGAAAGGAACTGCTGGCTCGTTTCTAGGCCGGAGGCCCGGAGCCACTGCACCACCCGCAGCCCAGCTTGAGACTCGGCCATAGCCCGCCGGATGTCGTCATCCGATTTGCTCTTGATCTGAGAGCGCACCTTGATGAGGAAGCCTGCGGCACGTCGCGGGGTCATAAGGCCCCGCGACACGGCGGAATCGAAGACATGGAAGGGGTCTCTGGGTGCGGAGGGTGGTTTCTGTTCGTCCTGTTGGGCCTGGTGGGAGAAGAGGGGGTTGGAAAGGATGGCGCGTAAGTGTCGATCCGTCGGACGTTGATGACCCAGGGTATTATTATTATTATCTAGGGAAGAAGAAGAAGAAGAAGAAGAAGAAGAAGAAGAAGAAGAAGAAGAAGAAGAAGGCGAAGAGGAAACGGATTTCGCAGAGGCAAGTTTGTTTATTTTAGTTTTTTCCCACGGTGTTATATCATCGGGATATCCCCAGGGGTGTTCCTTATCGAGGTTCTTCCGGAAGGACTTTGTGATGGAATTGAGTAAGGACTGGGATTCGCGAGGGGTCAACGGTAAGGGATGATGTATCGAGGGGAGGATATTTTTGAGCGAGTTGAGCGAAGGTGTTCGGACCACCATCTTGAGGTTTTATTTCCCGATGGAAGTTGGGTTTAATCCCATATATGTTCGACTTCGGCGTTTTTATGCTAAGTATGTGTACGAAGTAAACCGTAGTGAAGTCGATATCGTCACTTTGAAAGTGAGAAGGTTTGCGATAAGCGCAATTGGGCGGTTCGATAATAAGCTAGGTACCTAGGTACCTAGAGGTAGCTAATGATTGGTTCCGGTTTCCCTACTTCCCCGCCTATCGCTTTAGGTACATAATGTGATTCAGGTACAGTTTAATGTAGTTAGGTATTTTATGCACCAAACCAACCTTAGGTACCTACATGTATCTTATGGGTGTTGGAGGTCAAAGTCGGGTTTTGGATCTATTGAATCTTCTTGGAGGAATTCCGCGACATATCTTACTCCAATTATGGATCTGTCGATTTATATGTACCTAGATACCTACATATCAGGTCATACTTATAACTACAAGATATTGACCTTAGTAGGCATTTGTATGATTTATTTCCTTTTCAAGATTACCTAGGTAGGGACAAGATGTCTTGAATACCTCTTATATTATTTATAAATTATCCCTCGATGAAACGCTCTGCACTTAACTCCCACAAACCCATTGTATTATCGTGGTGCCATAAGGCATGTTTTCTGCCTTAGGTAGTCTCGTCATGCCATGCGAGATAACGCAAGCGGCGATAGGATCCGAAGAAGTCAAATGATGAACCAAATATGCGACTGAGTCAAGTAATGGTCACACCGCACCGAACCGCGCGGCATAAACGACGCCGTGGCTTGAAATATGTAATATGTACATAGTAGTAATGCCTACTCCGGATAATATCTTCAATTTGTTGGTGAATTGAATAAGTTTAAAAATGCCACGACGATACGGTGCCTTCAGCCCTATAATATTTAATATTTTAAGTACCCACTGGATTTACGCACTGCTCTTCATGAAGCTTAACCAAGGTAATAACTAAATAGCAAAATCATACTATATATCCTAATCCATCTACAATGTACCTACCGAAGTGTAGTTTGATATTTGCGTCGACTAGTAAAGGTATGTCGGTATAAACATATCCGGATTCGGAAAGATTGGTACGTGGGTTCAACCATTGCAAATTCCAACATTAACCTCCTAATATGTTCATCTTAAGTGAAATCTCGACAAAAGCACATTTCTATCCCTTCTCTGCTCTGAATAGAATTCTGTTTACGGCCAGATCCTAGGTAAAACACTTGTAAGTCCTTGCATCCTTTCCGCACGGAAGCTTAAAACGCACTTAAGAAAAAAAAATAATGAAGTCCGTGTACCATAAAACATGCTAAGTTGTATATGAGTTGTATATACCCGTGCGCAACAACTCATTCCATAAGTGTGATCTTACTGTATATCATTGTCTGTGAGTGTTGCAAGTTGTAGCGACTATCCTCAGCCCAGCTGTCAAATGGAAGTCGAGCTTCCCCGTATTGTACGTATTTTTGTCGACAAGGATACTGAAGTACCCCGATATGTAGGTACTGACTCGCACGTGCCACTTCAAGGTCCCACCTGCACGGTTAACCAATCATAATATGTGTCAGGTTTTGTATTATGGGGCTTAGTCCCTACCCAAGTCAGGTCAGGCGGAATAAGGAAGGCTACCTGCACCAATCCGGCCTGAGGTCATGGTTTTAAGATACCAAGGTACCTATGGTAAAGTGGAGACCTTGCGTAGCTGGGCACGTAAGTACCTGAGCACCTAGGTATTTACTATGTCACCCACAGTGTACCCGCAATGTATCCACAAAGTATTTAAAAAAATCTTAATACGCCAGTTACGCCTAGAATATCTGCCTAAGCAAACCATGGTGGTACAAGTGGTGACTTCCCCCCCAAGATAGGCCAGGACTATTAGATAATCCAACAGCCGAAAAAGCCTTCAGATCCAGTCCACTTCCCTTTTTCGCTGCAAAGCTCCGGATTGCCTTCTCACACACGCACGTAACTTACAACACACAAAGCAAATATCTAAACACATCCCTTTCTCATACTGAAGTTTCTCTTACTTCAAACCCCCCTTCCAATTGCCATTGTCTCAAGACAATTGGCCAATTCGCCTACCGTCGCGTTATTGACACGTCGCACATTCTGTCAGCCTCACCTGCGTCGAATCGCATAGGAGACAGTACCAAGTGCCACGCGCCCACCTCCCCCCCCAAATTCTTACCTCCAGGCTCTTCCAAGTTTGAACCCACCCTAAATTCAATTCTTGTTATTCAACCTACACCACTACCAACTAAACAAACTACAAACTATTTCTCCACCATCTTTACAACGCACAACTCACAACTCAACCAACCGCCCACCATACTGGTGTTATCGCCGATTTGACTGCTATCGTTGCAAACCCCTTCTAAGAAGGGAAATTCATCTATTTCACATACCATATTGCCTAACCTAAGTCTTAAGAGATGGCTGAGGTTCAGGCTCGATCACAGGCACCGTCCTCTCGTGGTAGAGGTGGTGGCCGCGGTGGCAGAGGAGGCTTCGCCAACCGTGCTTCCGCAAATAGACGGTCTAACGGTGATAAGTTGACGAGTGCAGATGCAAATGCATTCGAAGACGACGGTGATATTAGCCAACTTAGGAAGCAATACGGCGAAAAGCTCGACACTATCAAAGAGCTATTCCCGACCTGGTCGGATGCCGATATTCTCTATGCCCTCAAGGAGACAGATGGCGACGTTGAAGTCGCTGCTACTCGAATTGCTGAAGGTATGCTCTTTTTTTTTTCTTCAATCATTTGCCACCCTCTGTCCTTCGCTTTGCTAATATCATGTTACTTATAGGTACTATCTCCCAGTGGGGCGAGGTATCGAAGCAAAAGAAGACTACTACCCGTCCTAAACCGAAGGATGCTTCTACCGCAGCTGGTCTCGTCGAATCGACCGGTAACAGCAGACCAGTTCGTGGCGGTCGCTCAGATGGTGTACGAGGTGGTCGTGGTCGTGGCAACGAGCGAGGTCGAGGAAGTAGCAGAGGTCGGGCAACTTCTCACGCTACTACGAATGGTCATCGATCCAAAGAGAATCAGCAACTCTCTATTCCGACTGAAGAATCCTCCGGGTGGGGAAATACCAATACTACTACTACTGAAGATACTACTGCCAACGATCACGGCGCCTCAGTCTGGGGCACAACTGATTCTACTACCGAAGCTACCACTACTCCCGCTCCCGCCCCCACCGCCGCTGCTGTTGAACCAACCCCTGCTAAACCCAGTGTCATTCCGCAAGGTACGCAGAAGACTTGGGCTAGCATGTTACGCCAATCGACCGCCCCTAAGCCAGCACCGAAGCCGAAAGAAGTCCCTGCGCCAAAGCCCGCCGAGGTGTTGGAACCTCTTCCTCCCGTCGAGCCTACCCCTACCGCCCCCGAGCCCGAATCGCAGCCTGCACCCGAAGAAGCTCCGAAAGAAGCAGTCGAACAACCTGCCCCTGTAGAGACACCTAAGGTCGTTGAACCCGAAGTTGTACTACCTCCCCCCGAAGACGATTTGACCCGAGTCAATCTCGAGCAGTTACCCGATGAATCGCAGCCCCCAGCAACTGCCACAGCTGCTAGCACTGCTGCAGATTCCTGGGATCCCAGACAACCGCAACAAAGTGCTACCGCTACTCCGCTCTCAGCGTCCCAGGCCCAACATCAGGCTACCCGTCCTGCTGCTAGTGGATTTGCCACAACGGCCATCAAGGCGACCGAACGTCCCGCACCTCGCATGCCTAGTTATCAAAAGCGTATTCTTGAACAGGAAGAAGCGGTACGGATGCCTGGCAACCGTGAAGTTGACCGTGCTGCCGTACAGTTCGGTGCTTTCAGCTTGAACGGAATTGAAGATGACATCGATGGTGACCGTGAAGATCCCGAGACTAGGACACAGCCGCCACCCGAGTCTCCAGTTGCCGTTCCCCGTGCCTCGCTGCCTCCTGTATCTCAACCTGCTGCAGTATCTGATGCATTTGCAGCTGCTCAGAAGCCGGCCACGTCTTTGCCCTCGGCACCAAGCGCAACTGGTAGAGCACCCTTTCACCGTTCCCAGAAGAAGAAGTACACTAACCGTCGTCTAGCGACGCCCGTAGCTCCCCCAACCGGCCCCGCCGCCATAACAGCTCAGCGTATGTCAGAATATCCCCAAGTCAGTCACCCTACTAATCCCCCCATAGCGCCCCAAGCGCCCTCGAGCAATCAGCAATTCGGACGCTATGGTCAAGCCAACGTGCAAGAACCGGCTGGCTTCCCACAGAAGCCATTTGATACCTTCGGCCAGCAGACCGCTACAACGTCAGCCGGTCTAGATACATACCCAACGCCTACTACCCAAACGTCGGGACCGCAAACTAGTGGGGCATTCAGCTCTACCCCGAGCGATTACCCACCTTATTCGAACGACCCGCAACTTCGGAGCACCTATAATAATTATTACGGTCAGCAGCAATATGGACAGCACGCCGGCCAAAGCCATCACGAGACTTCCAATGCTCCAAACCGCGGATTTGGTAGTTACAACGCTGGCCAGACTGATAATCTCAGCCAATATCCCCAAAGCGGCGCTCAGCAGACTAGATACGGAGCTGCTGCCTCGACCGAATCTCATAACAGCGGCCATAACACGCCCAACCCGATCGGCCAGGGCGGTCAACAGGCTTCAAGTCAAGCAACCCAGCCCCAGTCTAACCTTCACCAGCAGCCGCATACTACCCAGTATCCTTATTCGCACCCGTACTACTCGAGTCCGTACTACGCCCAATACATGAGCCAGTATGGTAACGCCTATGGACAGGGAGCATACGGCAGCCCATACGGTAAAGGGGGACTTTATGGACAACCTCACCAGTACGGGATGTCCCCGCAGGGTCCTTATGACCATACCTCTTCTCCTGCAACAAGCTTTGGTCAGTCCTCTCTAGGTGGCCGTGATAGCGCGATAGCTTCTGGTATCGAAAACTATGGTCGAGCAGGTTCTACCCAATCGGGAGCGCCTGGTGGTCTCGGCGGTAGCGGATTTGGAGGGATGCATGACACGTTTGCACGTGGTTCCGGCTACCCTTCTCAAGCCGGGCAGTCATTCAACGCCCCGAACGCACCTGGTTCAACTACCGGCCCCGTGAACGACGATTTGAAGCCGTATGGCGACTCGAAGACAGCTGGCGGACCTAGTCCTTCCCTTAGCGCTGCAGCAAGACCGGGCTCTGCTACAAACACCACTGCTGGATCAGGGCTCCCACCTCCCCAGTCAGCTCAGCAAGGGATGGGCGGATATGGGGGCTATCCTAGCCATCTAAGCCACGGCCTGCACGGCAACCAATCTGCAGGGAGCGCTTACGGTCTCGGAGGTACCGCTGGCCAAGGGCACGGCAACGGTCCGTATGGCGGCTACGGTGGTAACCAAGCCTTCGGAAACTACTATGGAGCGCGACAACAGCAAGGTGGCTGGGGCGGCAATTACCACTAGGCATCACGTAAGCCGTCGAATCGCAGACCTTGAACCTATATAAGGGGCTTCAGGTTAAGATCCAACAGTAACAGTACTACCTAGATCCAAAGTACTACTAGCACAGGTGACAACAATGATCGTTGCCACCTTTTCTCCCTTTATTTTCCCGCAAAGTTGATCATGAGACTTTCTCTACTCTAATGAGCTCTTGGGGGTATCGCTTACTCCCTCCTTTCTATTGGCGGGGGCATGGAACGGACCAGAAAAGTTCTTGTCGAGGTACGGGGGTCTGAGATTTGCATGTACGATTGTTTTTCCTTACACAGGGTTACATCTCCGGCATCGAGGCTACGGTGCCTACACTAGGATTAGGATGATACCGATTACCAAAACTTTTCATACTCGGTTGAGTAGCCCACATATTGTACGTCTTTATTGATACTTGTGACCAACAGTTTAATCATAATAAAGAACGTGACACGCGTGAATTGGAGGTTCCTATTGCGTAAGGGGTTAGCTATCCCCCATGTATAATTATAAGACGCTTCCTAGTTAAGCTGAAGGTAGGAGGTAGGTAACCCATCACGAAGTTTATCCACTATATCCATTACAGATCGGGTTGAAATCGTCAAGAATCAATATAGATCCCTACTAATAAATAATACAAGGTATATGTAGATACGTAATCTTTCTACGTGTCTAGTCCATTTTATATACTAGACACGTTTTACCGTAGTCCATCATCATCCCCATAAAACTCATACAATGCCGTTATAAGCCAGCAAGTTCGGGCTGCCGCTCCCCGCATCAACCACTACGTCCGCAGTAGCCAACTCCTTGACGCGGGCAACCGTCTTGGCAGGCCAGTCTAGACCCTCTTCAAGTCCCTTAAGGTACAACACGAGCCCCGCGACGTGCGGGGACGCCATAGACGTACCGGAGCTCAGGATCTCGGCGCCCTCCACGTTCCACAGGGAAGGGATGTCGACTCCCGGCGCGAACACGTCGACATGCCGCCCGAAGTTGCTCCACGACGCGCGCGTCCGGTCCCAGCTCACGGCGCCGACCGTTAGGGCCGACTTGGCAGAGGCGGGCGAGATTGCCGAGGCGTCGGCGCCATCGTTGCCTGCTGCTACGACGGAGAGGATCCCGAGAAAAGAGGCAGCGTTGACGGCCCTGTTGAGGGCTCGCGAGGAACTAAATTCTGTGGCGTTGTTAGATGGGGGATGGGGGAGAGGGGGGAGGGATAAATAAATAGGGAAAGGGGAAGAAGTGGTGAGATTCGTGAGGAAAGGTAATATCTATTTACCTAAGCTCATGTTGATAACAGACTTGCTTGCTCGTCCCGGTGTCGAGGTGATGTTGTGTACCGCCCAGTTTATTCCGTCGAGAACGTGGGAAACGGTTGAATAACCCTACGATTCCAATCAGCATGGCTGGCCATAAAATACGCACGACAAGAAAAAAAAATTTGCTAAATATCCATCTTACCTCACCCCTAACGACCTTAACGTCGACAACGGTCGCCTTCTTCGCGACGCCGTACGTCTTCGAGGCGATCGTACCCGCGACATGAGTCCCGTGGCCGAAGTGGTCGTCGAAGGATTCTGTGCCGGTCCAGCTGTTGTAGCCCTTGATAGCGCGGCCTTCGAACTCGCTGTTGTTGGTCAACACCCCTGAGTCGAGCACGTACGCGTACGTCCCGGCCCCCGCGCTCTCGTCGTAGCAGTACCTGTGGTACGGCGTGTAGCTGTTCGTGAGCTTCGATCGCGACGACAGGCTCGCGACGCCCCATGGCGCGTCGCGCTGCGTAGTGGACGTCAGGCGCGCCACCCTGTCGGGTTCCACGGCTAAGACCTGTGGGGGTTAGCATCGTTCAACTAACTAACTACCTACCCTAAGGTGACTTAGCGGAATTGGGCGTTTTACATTGTCATTAGCGGTAATCAGAGCGATGACCTCCTCGTCGAATTCCCCCGCGTACCCGTTGAAGCCCTCGAACCCGAACAGCTTCTCCAGACCAGCAGTGAAGGTACCGCGACGGGAGAGGCTCCCCTTGTGCACGTTCTGCACCCAGTTCAGGTGGACCCCGATGTCGATGTCGGACTTGAGGCTCACGATGTATTTGCCGGGCAGCACGTCGCTGTCACTACTGCCATCGCCATTGCCAGCTTTCAGATTCAAGATATTTTTACTGGTATCGAGTATCCCGGCGAGGGCTGGGACAACGAATCCGAAAATGCCTAGGGCTAAAGTTGCTACACGCGGCATGGTGTCTCGTCTTGTCATGTCACGTCGATTTACACGGAAACTTAGGGGAGAGAGGGAAGTGAACAAAATCTAGGGCCATGATCTAAGCTTTTTTTTAATAGTTTTTTACTCTTTCTTATTTTTTTCGGGACTTCACCCCTTATCCACCAAAACCCAGGGGAAACCCTCGTATCCAAGGTAAGTACTTTACCTACCTAACCTTGGGTAGATAGCCTACCTAACAGCCGGCTATTGTATTGTACTGACTTGCGCGGATTATCGCCGGGAAACGTGGTGAACGGACCCGCGACCCTGACCTGGGAGGGCTGTGGAAATTGCCGGTCCCATTCATTGCCAAGCCAGGGTTAGGCTAAGTGTGTCCCGGAGCACAGCTCGTCGGGTCCTAAAATCCCCCCTGACCCTGCTCGTTGAGATGACGCAAGTCTATCAGTTTGGCATGTTACGGATAACTTCGCCAGTGCCTGTTCAAAGCATTAGTATCTACCGACCTGGTAGGTAGTGGTGAGTTGAGGAGAGGAAGCGTAGGATAAAGAAAGAAGAACAAAAGAAAGAGAGTAAGAGATGCCTACCTGTTAATTCCAATACAAGCCAGGTAGGTAGTTGCTTTTCTCGCAAATTTACATGGTCCAAGTCGCCGTAACCTCGAGATCACGATTTGCATACCTGCCATCCAAAGCATAAGGGAAAGAATTGGTATAAATAATCCCTGATAGTCGTTGATACGAACCTAGAACTCACACGATTGCCCCTTAGTTACATAGTAAGCTATTTAGCATTGCTGTGAGACATCATTAGACATCTCGTACTAGTATGGTTGGATATAACGTGACCTGATAATCAATATTACGAATATTTAGGGGTTCCTTCAGAGACAATCTTAAAACGGACAATGGCCGTTCTTATCAGGGATTCAAGACAGACTTCATGAAAACCCATACGTAGGTCTTATTCGAATAGATTAGTGTATATAAACTCTTCAGAGTCTATTTCCAGCTATACATGCTCCAAAGACCTAGCCAGGTATTAAATTATGCTAACATAGTGTAAGTCATTCTCCTCTAAGGCTTCTGCTAATGAACTCGAGGTTAAGTAAATACCGCTACGTAAATACCAGAGTCGATGGTCGTTGAAGTATCGCCACAATATAAATAAAGTCAAGCTACTTTTTATTCTTGGGGGACGGACGGTAAATAGGCGGTGGTCTGGATATGGTTGCCTTGGTTGCCTTGGTTGCTTGTCTATCCATCCGAAAAGGGGTGGCAGGCCAGTGGAAAATAAAAAGAAACAAAAAAAAAATTGACTTGAACCATGGACCTTGAACAACTAGCAAAAAAGCTGGGGAGGCGTGACTTCTTAACTCTCCTTACGAAGGGCCCCTTTGGGTTTTTCTAACCATCAAGTCATGGGGTGGCACCAGTTTCTCAGGCCGCGGCCTCCACTGGGACGTTCCATTCTGGGTGATGGATTGCTGTTTCATTATGACTTATAAGTTTACTTTGGTTAGGCAAGTACTCGTTTGCTCTGCATCACCACCCTCGTCCTCGCGCATAGCTTGGCACCTGACCAACCATTTACACTAAGGTAGGTACCTAAGATAATAAAAGTATTTCTTGTACACCATCCATCTATCTATATGCTATATCTATAATGCAGCATGCTGATCTACATATCTAATAGCCCATGACGTTTATACGACCGGATACTTTGGCTGGCCCGTAGTCAGCCACCCAGCGATATTTTCTTTCAACGCTCTGTTGTAGTTCGCAATAGTGTCACTCGCGCACCAAGCAACGTGCGGCGTAGTAACTATGTTCAGACCAGCGACATCCGGCCCTACTAGAAGGCTATTATCAGTATTCGCCGGCTCCAGCTCATACACATCCGTCCCGTAACCCGCGATCCTTCTCGACCTTAGCGCCTCTACAAGCGCCTTCTCGTCCACGATGCCTCCCCGCGACACGTTCACTATCACGGCATAGGGCTTCATCGTGTCGAGCTCCGCATCGGAAATAAGGTTCCTCGTATCCGGCGTCCGCGGCAGGCACAGCATGATCACCGAGCTCGCGCGAATCAGCTCGTCGAACGGGGTCCGGCCCTCGGGCACCTCCGCGGCGCCTTTCCGCCCTGCTACCAAGACCCTCATGCCGAGGCTCTTCGCCGTCGCCTCGAGCGCCCTCCCCACGGCGCCGTACCCCACAATCCCCAGCGTCTCCTCGCGACACGTCCTCGGCGCCCGGCCGTCCGGCCCGTCCAGCGTCTTATGCAGCATGCCCCTGCCCGCCCTCTCCCACTCCCCGCCCTGGACCAGGCCGTGCGCCCGCACCACGCACCGCCGCGCCGCGAAGTACAGCGCGACGGCGTGCTCGGCGACGGACACCGTGTTGCAGCGCGGCGTGTTGGCGACGCGGACGCCGCGCGCCGCGCACGCCGCCAGGTCCACGCCGTCGGTGCCCGAGGCGACGACCGCGACCATCTTCAGGCGCGGGGAGGCGTTGGGGTGTAGGACGTCGGCGCGCAGCGGCACGACGGTCACGATGGCCACGTCCGCGTCCCGGATGCGCTCCGCGACTTCCTCCGGGCGCGTGAGCCCGTACGAGCGCAGGGTGTACGTGTACGGCGCCGGCAGGTCGAGCGCCGGGACGGGCACGATGGAGGTTTCGAGCGCGACGACCGTGAGGTGGTGGGTGCTATCTGCGTCTTGCGGCGTATCGCCTTGTCCGACCATTTTTGCCGACCCCTGCTGGGTAGGTAGGTGCAGTTGATAGGTATTGCTGTTTTTTTTTTCCTAGTTTGAAGTGCTCCAACTACCAGGTAAGTAAGTTAGGGGACTACCTAGGTAAGTTAAGGGGAAACTTTCTAGATTTGTCGTGGGTCCGGGCCGTAATATAGTTTGCGGGACCGGAGTCCGGGCGGCGGCTTGTAGTCGGGAGGGCGCACGTAGGGTTTAGCTGATAATCCCGTTTGCGTCTGATTATTTTCGTATCCCCCTGCTGTCGTGACTCGTCATCCTCCCTAGTGGGTCTACGGCTTTTACTGATTCGCTTATATCTGGCTAGAATGGGAGATAGTGTATGCAAGGGCGTGAATTAGTGAAACCAGATGATAAAGCACAACGATAATAATCTTCTATCTTGACCTGGTACCGCTTATATATACACCACATGAACGATCGGCATCCTGTAGCTGTATTTTTTCTGGTTACAATACTGTTGTAAACTTGGGCATGGGTGCGCCGTTCTTGGACAATCGATATATTAGCTTAGGGTCGTAACAATATCACCTCCCTGAGTCCCATATGGGGAGGTTTGGAGGTTTATTAGATCACGCAAAGCTTAACAAGAACTGAGATGAACCAATATAATAACAATGGGCCGAAATAATTTTTATTCGTATTGTGAGTCGAAACTTATCGTCTTTATTACCGATACCTTCTCACCTCCGAATCCCAGTCCGAACAATATAGACATAAATACCTATGCCACGCTGCGGTACTGCAAGACTTCCCGACTTAAGCCGAATCTGTCTTGATTATTATTATGGCGCTTCCTGGAGCTTTTGGTGATGCCCATGTCTTTCCTTCACAGTGAGGGAATCTTCTTCCCCCGGTACCATGTTAATAACTTCACGACTTAATGCGAGTCTCCAACAGCTTGAATTCGCCCAAGGCCTTGAACTCGGGAAGGGCGGCTAGTCGCTGCGCCCAGGCCACGACATTGGGAAGCTCCTTGCGCATCTCGGCGTCGAGGAGGAAGTTGGCGGCGAAGAACACACCGCCCCCTACCAGGATGTCGGCTAGGGTGACGTTGTCGCCGACGAGGAACTTCTGGCCGTCCTTGAGAGCGACCTCGACGCGCTTCAGAGCGCGCTCAGCGCTCGCGGCAGATTGTTCGTAGCGTGTGCTATCCACAGGGATGATTTTGTAATACACCATAGCCGCGGGCGGGAGGATGTTCGCGACGAGCTCGGTTTCGGCGAAGAAAGCCCACTGGTCGATGAGAGATTGGGTCTTGGTATCGGCGCCGAGCAGCTGGTCCTTCTTAGGTCCCGAGCGCGCGAGGTGGTAGCAGATGGCGGCGCTCTCGGCGATGCAGAAGCCGTCGGCGCACTCGAGAGCCGGGACCTTTCCAAGGGGGAACTTGGCCAGGAACTCGGGGGTCTGGTTGTCCACCCTAACCTTGAAGTTCTCGGCCAGGGGGACTTCGAGACCGTTGAAAGCAGCCACAACTTGGGCCTGCGAAAAAGAAAGTTAGACTCTTAAATGAAACTTCGATTGGGGGAATCATATCAAGGAAGAACCTACCCGATCAACACGGAAGTTTCCGGGGTAAGAGTAAATCTTGCCGAAAGGAGCCATGGTTAGTGGTTGTTATTATAACTGTGAGTGAAGGCGGAAAAAGACTATTGGTACTGTTGTGATTGATGAGCTAAAATGTTGCAATCCAAGCCTAAGTAGATGGAAGACAACCCCCCTCTTATTGACATTTTAGACTCAGAAAGGTACCCGGTATTTATATACATTTTAGACGTATATATAGAAGCTTCAAGAACCGTTATGGAATTATTCTCGGGGTGGATCTTGTATTAGTCAGTATCAGTATGTATTATTTACGAGCATTTACACGGGGGATGAAACGTGTTACTTCGTTCTGGACAGGTCCGAAACCTTGCGGGACTGCGGCAGTAGAGCGGTGACGGACGGCTGTTATTTCCTATTCCATCAGATTTGTAACATACCGTTCTTTTACTACCTCACTAATGATAACAATTGGCTAAGAGTATGTGAGCCTAACTGGATTCTTTAATAGATCTCAAGCCCCACTGCATTTAGATTCTGTAGCTTCTGTATATTCTGTAGTAGTGTATTGTTAACTACCTAGTTAAGGTATCCTGTCTAATCGTTAGCGACTAGCTAGCTTATACTTAGCTTCATACAAGTTTCGTTTCTAGATACACCGGATACATTGCCGTTCCAATGTAATCCCATCAAGATACAGGTACCACTAATATGGAAGTGTCTAATAAACATCGGAAGGGGATAAACCGGTTTTGCCAAGTGTAAGTGCTCGTTAATTCGGCAAGAAAACGATCTAGATATTATTAATTAGATGCTTATATATCTTAGGTATGATTTGATTATGAATCAACTGTGCGAACATAGGAGTGAGGTATTAGTCCTATGATGATGATCTCTTTTATTGGATGGGCTGTTTTCTTGTGTAATGGAAATCTTACTATGTAGGTAGAGGTAGGTATATACCTTAGGTACCTGGTACATTGTTTATTATGTTTATTAGTTTAGTAGGAATAAACTGATAAACTGGCTTATGGCCGCGTAGGACTATCCTTCTCGGGGTTTACGACTTAAAATGTTTTGTTGAGGGTCCCATTGACTGGGGAAGGACTCGAGTTGAACCTTTACCGAATCCCTAAGACATCAAGATATGACGCAATCAGCTTTACAACCAAGTTCATAATGTGCATTTCATCCCTTCATGTCTGTTTCGTGTGGCGTACTACGCAAACGTTGGGTACTCAAAGTGTGGATGCTCTCGACGAGATGGGTAAATCTCTCTCTCTCTCTTTTTTTTTTTTTCTTTTTTTTTTAAAAAAAAAAAAAAAATAAAAAAAAAAAAATAAAACAATCCACGTAATAAGTAATCGAACACACCGCTGTTGTCTTCCTCAACTGTTTGGATCCGCTGAACCGTACCCGATTCGAAAGGTCATAAGGTACACACGTACAACTCGAAATCGTGAATCGCCAATAGTCCCCAACCCGTAAGCCGTCTAGTCGTAATACCCGGTAAAAATAAAATTCTGAATGGGCCCCTGCCACGGGAGTAGCCGCCGATTCGTCTTGCTGTTAAGGACCCAACTATCCTCCACGGTGTCGGAAGTATATTTACGGCTCACTGGGCCGCCCTGCACATATAATATTGCGGCCTGACATGCCTCTTTACCGACGTCGACCATATCTCTATCATCCGAGATGAAACATTCATATTCGAATAAGACATCGAAACTACGTAGTCGACGGCCGACAATCAATTCCCAACTGCCCGTCTCGTGGCCGTAAGTGGCCTTCTCGGATAGCAGAACATCGTAGAAGAGACCCATCGTCATCCCGGATGGCGGCAGATCGACTTGATAGTAGTCGACCACATCACCCCCTTGAGCGAAATAACTCTTGACTACGTCTAGGTGAGTGATGGGTGCTCGGCCAAAAGTAAGACTAATTTCGCGCCAGGTCGCTCCCGGGCGGAGGTACGCGTCACGTTCACTTTCCGTTTGTGCCCACGGAAGCCTACGGAAAGGCAGTGTGTAGTCGCCGTCGAGGGTTAGATATGCCATTCTAGTTCTCTCTGCGTCCGTGAAACAAACTGACGTATTGAAGAGGCCTTTGAATTTGGTTCTCCAGAGAGGATTGATTTCTATCCCCTCAGCATCATCACCGCCATTCCTGTTCGAAATCTTCCGAGTGTCAAATAAGATATCTTTTATGAGTGCGTGAAGGCGGCGGTTCATAAGCTGTAACAGGATAGCCGATTGAAGGTCGACGATAGAAAGAATGTCAAGGATTGAGATAAGAATCTCATTAGGTAGGTCCATCAGGGCAGCCATTCTCGGAGAAAAGTGAGAGTGAGTAATATCTAATGTATTTCGTAGCATCGACTTTCTTTTCACTTAGCGGAGAAGGAAAATGAGGATAGCAGACAGGGAAAGCAAGAAGAAGAAATGAATATAATTATTCAATTGTTGTTGTAGAGTTGTTGATTTATTTTACGGCGAAGAAGTGAAATTCAAGAAGACTCAAGTGTGTATTGCTGGCTGGTGCCTGAGAAGACCCGCTAATTCGATCTCATCGCTCATCATGAGATCATTCGATTACAAGGAAGACCCCTTATGCTTTCACAATGCGTTACCTCCTCTTCGGGAGCTTGGGGTTACATCCATGCGACTTTGAACTTTTATGGCGGGGCATTTTTAAACTGGATGCTTGCCATCTCAGCTGAATTATCGAATACGTATTATATTATCTTATTTCTTATTTCTTATATCTTCTAGATAGCCTCAACAAATCTTTTTTTTTTTTGTTTGAATCTCAGTCCCTATTCTTAGGGCCCTCATGTTACTCGTTAACAAGGTCTCCCTCTCTAGCATCCATTCTTGTATTATAATTCTGATCGATTTGCAATGACGGCCCTCTCAGATCTACCTGTCGAATTACTCCAGCTTATCGCCGGAACATGTACAGCCCTGGATATTCTAGCCCTCAGCCGGACGTGCCGACTTCTCCATGGAGCGTGCGATTCTGCCGCGGTCTTCCGAATGTCGTTTCAAGTTCATGTATTTATTATTTCAATGAATAATAACCCAACAATCTTCGGATCCAGAACTGATTTCATACTACTAGCTCCCCGAACTTACCTCGGCCACCTTCGGAGACAAGCCTGCACTGGTGCATTTTTTGGATGCTTATGTCGATGGTCCGAATAAGCCTTGTCAGCGCAATGAAGGACCGAAGATGATGTGGTTTTGCCTTGCTATAGCAGTTGCCCGGCTTCCAGATGCGCTAGCGGACTTGGAAAGATTAGCAAAGCCAATAGCATCAAACGTCAAGGTCTGCGGGAACCTTGCGCTGACTATGAAAAGGGCATCACAACTAAAGGAAGATACGAAAGCATCTCTCCAAGGAGTTGTCGCTTTCCTCTCTACGCTACCTGTATGGGGATGTGAGTGTGGTATCTTTCTTATAGTCCCTGGTCCCTCTTTGGAACCGCATCACTAACTGCTTGCATAGATACAGCGGCGTGCAATTCTGGTGTCACTTCCATACTTGAGAAGTTGTGCCCCAGTATCTTTTCTCTATCGCGAGACCTAGATGCTATCAGGATCGACAAGTGCGTTGGCGGCGAGAATCCCTTACAGTTCGCTTTCTGCTTGGTTCTAAGTAAGCTCGAAACGTGGTGCAAGCCTAGAGCACGCCGTTCGCCTAGGCAGTTCCCAGTTACGAATACTTATGCCTCTATCATTGAGAAAATTTACGACGGTAACACGCTAGATCAAGGATACGACAGGTTTCAGAATTCGTGGATAGGCAGACAGACGCATGCGCTTCTCCTGATAGAACTTACTGCGAGGAACGTTTACTATTCATCAACAGGTGAGTGATCCAGTATCTTATCTCTCCCAGAAGCTCAATCGTTAATTAAGAATGCCCATGTTCCGATAGGACTTCCAAACCCAAGGAACATCGAATTTATCGGTTCCTGGTACTTTAATAAAGATCATGAAGATCTCGAGCACGGTACGTGGATGGGAAATACATCTTTACGGGCACGATTTCCACTTCCTACACCCAGCCTTATATCCGTACCAGGGCAAAGAGGTCGCTATTTCTATCCCTTCGCGGGTGACGGATGGTGGTCATGGTACACGACACGAGTGCGCGACTTGGCAAAGAATATAGACGATGGAGAATGGTGCGGGCTGTTCGTATACAGCCTGTTACCTGGAGCCCGAGTTGGCCCACCCTTTCGGATATGTTTTCGAAAGACCAGCACGGACGGCGACACGTACACGTTTGATGCAGCCGACGGGGTAGACAACATCGGAAAATTTAAACTACGCGGCGAGATAAACGCCGCTCCTGCGGCATGCGACGTTTGTCTGCGGTGGCAATACTCAACAAGTACGATTGAATGGCGAGGCATAGTCACGCCGCTGGGTCTTTGCGGCGGCTGCTATATACCTGGGCCTCAGACGTCGGCATCGCGCGCTATCGGGTATTTCTGGATGTGGAAAAAGAACTGGCTGGGCGAAGCAGGCGCCTTGAGTAATTGAGGGATGTGTGTTGTTTCCTTACTTTTGTTATAAGTGGATAGGTGATACTGGTATGTTGATTGTGGCCTCTGTTGATATACGATGCTTTACTTTATTGACAAATGACCGACGGTAAAGCGTGAGTTGTGACCTACCATAGTAGAAAGCAGAAAGCCTGTCGTCCACATAATAGATCACATTTGACCCAAACAAGACATATGTCAAGGTTTCAGGAGAATCAAAGTTCGCATCCATACAATATTCTTATATTTAACCAGAATTCCGCCTATGAACTCGTTCTAGACTGATATCTCCGATTCCTTTCTCCTAATAATTCATCCTGGGTATATCTCCGTCAAATGCACTCCACCTGTGTCTTTCACTAATAGCACATGTTGTCATAAAAATGAACATGCATCCATCCTCGTTCACAACCTAGAAATTCATACCTACGTCCAACAGAGGTCGAAGCAGGTTACAACCACCCTTAGCTAAAAAAGGGTTTCTTATAAGCCACCCCCCAGAAATCATTTATACATTTTCAACAGAGCCGCCGGCTCCAAATCAATATACGAAAGTCCCCGGCGCCGAGAAATTAGTGCTGCGGCGTGTAAGCAGGGGCAGGCATGTGCATGCCTTGAGGAGACTGGTAGGCTTGAGCGATGGGTTGCGCCTTGCTCTGGCGGAGCTTGACTTCGTTGTCCTGCTGGATGAGAGCGCAGCACGGGCACCAGAAGGACACGCAGCAATCGCCGCATCCGCTTCCCTCGATGTTGTAGCGCTCACGGATTTCGGTTCGCTTGAGCATGGCGTAGCTATAAGAAAGAAGGACGAGAACGTTAGCGATGAATTTGATTTGACGGAATGAGAAGGAGGAAACGTACATCCATCCGCAGCCGGTGAAGCAGCTGATGGCACCGTGGATCATGCAATCGCTGTTCATCATGTCGGCCGTTTGCATCGAAGGGTCCCGAATCCGCTCGGATGTTTGTCCGAGTACTACGGAAAATATCCTCCGTTAGCCATCTGGAATACCGACACAATACTCTCCTATGGTAGATCGCGTCCAGGGCACTTACGAAGACATGGTAAGCACCAGGCTAATAAACAGCTAGAGCACGGCGAGCAGTCGCATAGACTCGCTTGCCATTCACCACCTTGCTGGCCGTAAGCTTCTCGGGGAATCGCTTGCGACTGCTGGGGTGCTTGATGGTGCATACCCGCGGGGGGATAAGGTTGCGGCTGGGCCTGCATTTGGTATTGAGGATCGCTGCCTTGGGGATATTGAGGTCCGTCGTGAATGTATTTCTCTTGGTGGTCCATTGCCGTGGTATTCGCAAACGGGGTGGTTTGCGGGAAAGTTTTAAGTTTTAATAGAAACAACGTAAAACCAATTCGTCCGTCTTTGTCTGATTTCGTCTTACACCAATTACAAAAATAGGCGATCGAGTATTACGAGAGACTGACTGACCGACCAGGAGAGAGATGGAGGGCTTATTAAAGAAAATGGGAAAAAGACCAAAACCTTCGGAAATCCTCACCGATATGGCTACTCGGGACTAATAAATAGGCAACGCGCCACAAAACCCTGGAACATGATATCTTAGGTTAGGTTGGTTAGGGAACTGGCAAAGGATTCATCTCCTGACGAAACACCCATCACATTACACCAGATCCACAACCAAAGGTCCTGTAAGCTGCGGCTGACTTGAGTCGTGCTCCAACACAAACGCCATAAGCCTACGAGTTACCTGGATTCTATTCAGCTTTGGTATTAGAGTGTCCATCGTTTCCCCCAAGCCGTTGGCTGAGAATGAAAATCCTCTCTTGATGAGGACTTAGAAGGGACTTGGAAAACCCGAACATGACGATATGGTTGCGATCTAGCGAATAAACGTATCGCGTACAAAAAAAAACCAATGTTGCCTTGAACAGGCTTGGTCTGCAGCCTGCCTGCTGCGCCCTTTGGTCCGCTGCAAATTCAGCCCCCTCCCCAACATGGCCAGGGCCGGCCAGGGTTAAATTAACAGCCATAAGGCAGAACTTGGACATGGGGGGTGTGGGTTAATCCCTGGAAAGACCCCAATTCTCGTAGAGAAAATTCAACTGTAGATCTGCCGATCTTAGCGTAGACTTCACAAATGTCGGTAACTTAAGTAATTCGAAGTTCAATACCGTAGGCGACGCTTCTTTATGTGAATGCAAATAAAAGAACACAATTCCAATCCTTATACCTTATAAGAGCCCAAAGAATATATTATAATGTTTAAGATAACATCGCATAATAGCTTTTTTATAATCCGGCCCAACAGTTACCATTGAACTATACTTGAGCTAAGATTTAAAAGAACCTCGATGCCTCTAATGCAATAGGTACACCTTACATGGTATTATTAGGACGTACAGGGCCAAGTCTGCAATACCACCCTTTTTGGACGTAGCCGAGCTAAATATAGCCCGCTGCCAGGAACACATTCCCGCATGTAGTAGTTTATGCCATGTGAAACAAAAACCGAACGCCTCTTTACCTTTACGTAATACAAAGTACTTAGTAGTCGTTCTTCAAAAGCCCATCAACAATAGCTGAAAACCATATTCTAGTGAATTGAATAGGGGAACCTTTACACAGCACCAATGGACACAAAAAAACTTTACTGTCTTACTGACTACAAGAGTTACGCAAGTATCTTCTCCACTGTCATACGGTGGAACCGAACAGCATGGAAACCACGCCGTTGTTCAACAAAAGACTCTGAGCTAGCCATAAGAGAAGTCTTAACTATTAACTCTGAACGTGTTCTTTGCTATAATTTGATGAGGCATCTAGAATTTTGATATCAGGTAACTATTTTATTATATCGTAACAGGTCCCATAAATAAGGCAATTATGAGACGGTGGCCCTATCACGTAGAGGCAAGATAATAAGTCTTTCCTTGAACTCAATCATAAATGACGCAGACAGCACAATCAGAGTCAAGTTAAAATCAAAGGCAAATCTGCATTCATGCTACTGACATCAGCGTAGCAGATATTCGCGAGAACCACGATAGTCATTCGAGTCCGTCTTTAACCACTCTTCTGACGTTTTCTCTTTTTGTTTACATAAGTTTTCGTAAATCAACGCACTCTTCTTCTGCACAGGCCGTTCTCTTTTTTTTCTTCTTTTTTTTTTCTGTCCCGATTTAACGCCTTTGGGTATCACTGAGACTCCGTATAAAGACCACCGCAAAGAAACTCCCCCTGCCAGGGGAAAAGAAAGAGATATTGGCATTTAGTCAGTCTTCTTCTTCTTCACCATCATCTTCTTCCCGATATTTCATGTAGGGCTCCACAACTCGTTCGTATAGGATGAATTCGCCTTTGTGAATAGGACTTTCAAGAGGCTTGCCTCCGTGGCTGTATCCCATACCCAGAACATCGTAGGCAGTCAAGCCATCATGAATCCGGGGCTCTTCCGGGTAAACGGTCTCGACTTCGGGGACGATATAGCCGCAAGCCTGCAACAGGTAGATAGCTTGGACGCTGGGAAAGAGTGACAGTTAGCAAAGATCGAAAGCTACCTACCTACCTAGGTAGTGACGCTGTACAAAGCAGAAAGTTGAACTTACACAAAGTCTCGACATCCGCAGAAGTTGCCCTTAGGGTTGAAGTTGAAGCGGAAATACTCTAGGCTTTCACTAGTCATGGTCTCCACAATCTGCAGCATGGTCACGGAACCTAGTAGGGGGAAGCCAAAGCTGCGAATGGATGACCTGCTCGTTCCGAAAAATGGAAGGAGCTTAGTGATCAGTATACCATCTCTCGGATGTAGCCCTGCTAGCTCGAGATCCATGGTTGCTTTGAAGCCCATGTACTTGCCGACGGGTGCAGCGAAGTCGACCTTGAGGCAGGCATGGGTGGTAACCTCGTCGTCCGTGTCAAATGATTCAAGCTCTTTCTCATTCAGTTTCGTCAGGAACTCGATGTAGAGCTTCGAACACCGAGCCTCGAGGAAGTGCTGAGGGATCACTGTAGGGTCGTTCGCGGTGAGATCGAACTGGGCCTCGTCGGGATGGAGGAGTCCAGGGTTGTTGAGGAGTTCTTGGAAGAACGACTGGTCGGCCTGCGGGTCTTCGTCCATGGCTTCAAAAGCTGGGCTACAAGCTCTCGGCTTCGTAACTTTGGCTTTATGGGTGAAAGGAAAGAGAACAAGGGATAGAAGATGCGAGTTGAATAAAAGCTATGATAGAGATATCACGGTTCGCTCACGGCTGTGGGGTGGTTGATCGACTTTTAGGCAAGACTGAGATGAAAGAAGATGAAGGAAAGATGAAGGAAAGATGTTTCAGGAAGTGAAGCTCAGAAAAAAAAAAGTGAATGTACCAAATTTAAATTGCCCTAGGGACGTCGTCCTTGACGATGTTGCCCTTGGGGGTTTGAAGTCGAGGAGTTCCTAATCAACCTTGATTTTATTGGCTCTCTAAAGCTCGAGTAACGAAGAAAATACTTAGTGCGAAACTTGTGTACTCTTTATGTCTAATGCAGGTGGTGACAGCTATTTCAAGAACTGTCTCTGGCAGTGGAAGAGCGTTACAAGTTCTTGTTCCCCTTTTCGCCATCCCTATGACAAATTTACACCTAAGGTACCTAAATGCTAGCAACTCTGCTGTGCTATTGACGTATTCTATCACTTCTAATATATCTATTATGTAGAGCACAACAGTTACTTTGTTCTTCCAATATTTGTGTGTCTATATTTCATCCATATAGTCCCCCGGCGATCACATCTACGTAACTGCTTTATTGCAAATATTCCAGCAATCCCATGATGGTCTCCTAGTATATGCCTACTAAGAATCATCGCTAAGGGAATGAAATATTTATTTTTAGAAAAAAAAAATAATATCATTGTAGCTAAATCATCAAAGTCGATGTTGAAGTTGGGCTCTCCTATTATACTCATGAGAAGCCTGGCTTATTTGGGGGCTAGCGATATAATGTTAATTATTTGGTGGTAAGCATAAGCAACAGCATGAATGGTGTAGCGGTAACATTCAACCCTTCCATTGTCCAGTGCAAGGTTGAGCTCGGGGTTCGACTCCCCGTTCATGCAATTACTTTTGCATTTTTCTTCGATTTTTACTGCGCCAAGTGGAGTCAGAATTGTGTACTAGTTTAATTTTTTTCTCGTTGTGGATCCCATTATCCTATCCTGTCCCTTCAAGCTAGCATTGGTTTAGTCGCGTAGGGAATTTTAATTTTACCAGCTTCGATTTAATTGGAGATTGTGTCGTTAGCATCTCATAGACTAATAGACTATTCTCAGGGGTATATCACAGGCAGGGAAACAGATAGTTTGGCCCTAAGCGATTCAACATATGGAATATTCCTATTAGACGGGTATCTATGAGTGACAATCTGGTAGATATAGACGGATTAGATTGTTTATGAAATATGAACTTGATTCAAAGTGTATATTACATTATATAATAGTATAACACCGGCTCAATGGTACTTTTATATTGTTTAACGGGGTTCGATTTATAGGACGCATCATCGGTGAGAAGATTATGAAGAAGCGCTACGAAAATGCTATACCATTAAGGGATATATACAAGAGACAATTATATGTAATCTTTCAATATCTCATAGTTGTATTTCTTTCATCTTGCTGCTATAGCTAACCAAACCTTACGCCTAATTACATTGCTATCTCATCCATTATTTCCCATTCCTTGCAGTGTCTGTTTTCTTGCACAATTCATCCCGCAAATAATCGTAATACATCATACCGGACCTCCCTTCCCCTCTAACCCCCCATCGCTCGTACTATCATTCTCCGTTTCCCATTTCCCTTTACAGACAGTAACCCCTCTCACGTGCGGAAGTACCCCGTGATATCATTCTCCTCGCCACACTTCCTGCACCGGTGCTGCTGCAGCAGCAGGAGTAGTAGCGGGATGTGCTGTTGATGTTCTTGCTGTGGACCCCTTGGCCTTGCTAGGACTAGGAACGCTATCTAAGAAGTTCTTGCGCCCGACGTCGTCCCGCTCGCCGATGTTGATCCCGGACGGCGTGCCGGAGGACAGGACGTTGTACTGCCCCCCGTGGCTGGAATCCGTCGATGCGCGGCTGCCGGAACTGCTGGCGGTTGCGGCAGCGGCGGGAGACCGGTAGTCGCGAGACGCGCGGGATGGAGTAGATATATGATCGTTGGAGGTACGGTGGGAGTGGTGGTGGTGCTGCTTTGCGGCGGCTCCAGCTCCGAGGACACCGGCGGCTCCAGCTGCGGCTTTAGTACCGCTATGCTTGTTGTTGTTATCCACGGAACCGTGCGCGACGGGGGATGATGTAGCGACGTTCCGCTGGCCGTGTTGCTGACTGTGGTCGACGTTTATACCGGAGGGTGTGCCAGTTGGTAGGGTCCTATACGTGTTACTGCTTGTAGAGTCCGTAGCCGCAGGGCCACTGGCGCCGGAGACCCCGGATGAGGCGTTGCTGTGACGCTGGCCGGTATAGCGAGCTGCAGCGCCTGCACCGGCGACACTAGCACCAGCCACCGCCGCTTTGGCACCAGTGTGGTTATCCCTTGCCGAGGCGTCATGTGTAGTGTTGAGCGAAGAATCCACCACGTTTTTCTTGTCGTCGTGATAGTCGCCGATGCTGATGCCGGAAGATGTGCCGCCTGGTGGGATATTATACTCGCCATGGCGGCTAGGGTTGTCGAGGGAGCGGTTTGCGCTGGAACTTGTATGTGGCAAGCTCTGCTCCCTTTCAGAGGGGTCGCTGATCACTCCCCTTTCGGGAAGCACTGCGAGTTGAGGCTGGCCGATAACATAAGTTGATTCGGACGGCTGCGCGGTAGCATGTGAATGTTTTGGTGTTGATTCGTGGAATTTTTGCTGGTTGGGATGCACCTTGTTCATCTCGCTATCCCTATGGGCAGGCTCGTGAGCAGCATAGCCAGCACCAGCTCCTACGCCAGCTCCTACACCAGCAGCTGCAAGGCCGTAGCCGAGTTTCGAGTCATTTCGTTCGTTAGGCTTGCCTGTGGCCTGGGAGGCCAAAGAGTGATCTCTCATAGCCACATCTTCAGCGGGGGTATAAGAGTTCGTAATCTTTCTGGTGTCCTTGCTGCCATGTCTCATGTATCCAGCAGCTACGAAGGGATCGTCCGAGTCAATCTTCTCGTTGGGATGCTGGTAGAGTGCATTAACCTTGTCATCTGGCACTCCATGTTCCAAGTCCCTGGCTTTCTTGACATGCTTGTCGGAGTGCCCCTTCGCACCATACGCTCCAGTTGCGGCGGCAAGGGCCACACCCGCATCCCTTTCGGTCAAAGGTCTGTTGTCTTTACTAGGAACTGGCTCAAGCCTACTCTCAGACTTGATGTCTTTCTCGTCCTTGTGGTCCCGATGGAATAAGCCACCGATTCTGCTCTCTTTCTTCGCATCTGCTTCATGGGGTTTGTGAGAGACGGGTTCCCTTACGTCGTCTTTATGCTGATGGTCTCGTCGCGTTCCGGCAAGTTCAGATGTGGTGAGACCTGCAGCTACGCCTGTAGTGGATTCATCCAAGCCTTCCTTAAACCGCGATCCGCTGGGGTTGGTAGCCTCGTCGCGAGCAGCGTTACTAGAGAGGACAAGCGGGAATGCGCGTTGCTGTCCATGACTCAGAGAAGGGCCATGGTTTTGAATGGACCCTTCAGTGGCTGTCTCGGGGCTACCGTGTCCAGTAACTGTGTTATAAATGCCGGTCCCGCGGGGAGCGTCGCCCCAGTACGGATCCTGATGCTCAACATTGCTGGTTTGGCGCAGGCCGTTCCGAATGGTGTTTCGATTCTCGGGTGATTGCTCTGGCTGCGTGTTGTCGGTCGTAGAAGCAGTGGCTATCCCAGTTGCGGGACCAACAGCACCAATTCCCCTTGAGCTGGTTTGATTCTGAGAGGAAATATCCTCTGTGGTCGTTTTAGGATAAGGGTTGCTGGCACTGTTGGCATTGTGACTGTCAACAGCACCGGTCATAAAGCCAGGTTTACTGTCATTTCCTTGATAGTTGGGCGATCTTGTCGTGCTAGGGGAACTAGTGCCTGGTACTACATCGCTATCTCGTACAGTGACATTGTTAGACTGAAGAGTTCCTTCGTTCACTCGGTCGCGAGCGTGGGAGTTTGGCTGTAAGGTTTGATCTGGATCTGTCAACTCAATAGCGGAGTCCGTATGCTGGTGTTTTCGAGCTGCTTTCTCTTCATCACTCCATCCCCTTGGGTCTTCTCGTTTATGCAGCTTATTATGATGAGAATCTGAGGAAGCTAAGCTGGGATCTTGTGCGGCTATCGTGTCGTCTGTTGGAAAGGATCCTGGTAGGAGGGATACAGATTCTCGGGAAGCGGTATAAGAAGCCATTATGTTAGTTATATGAGTTGCAATGGACTACGATTTATTTGGTAAGTTACTGAGTATATGCAGGGGGGTATCTTATTGCAGGTCAAAGTTTTAAGTGTTGTGATGGGGAATGTACTATTATATCCTCAAACGTATAAGACAAGAGGATATGAGTGTGTTAAATACCTAGACATATCTGATGAATATAATGGAGAAACTGACCTATAGTATACAGATTGGATAACTTACGCCATATCCCCCAATGCCTTCCAGAGCTACCGCAAGTACCTACCCTAGTATGCTTCGGCGTTCCATCTTACACGATAGCAGTAACATCAGTGATGACATCAGTTGCTGGTAGTGATCAAGTTGGACCTTTTAATGGCTTTGTCTCAGTCCGTTTTCGTTATCCAATCAGAAGTTGGGTTGTCGTGAACTAAGACTTTGGTACCAAACCGTCATAGACTTGGAGATCAATTTCGTCATTGGGGTCCGGGTCACTCGGTCCCGACTCTCTACTTTTACGGCGAGATCTTGATCGCTTCTTATTTAACAAACTAGTATTGCGTAAGTGGTATTAGTTAATATGACATCTGGTATGCCATGATACTGGTAGACTGGTGAATATCTGGAGCTGACGTTTAGCTTGAGACGAAATCATGAATCTTGGCGATGGGGATCATCGGTAAGTCAAGATCCCCGGGGACGTAGGAATGCGGGAATACGGCAACACTCAAGTTTTTACGACTTAATAAAGTATTAGGTACCTACATACATGCTCACAGTAAGTTAGAGGGGGGAAATATGTGCTTGTGCAAACGGCATCTTATAACCGTTGCGGGAATTCTCTTCCCCATTGTTGTAACCAAGCCTACGTAGTTTTTTGCTTATTAGTATGTGTTGTAATTTGGTATAATCGCCAAGTAATCCTTGACTATTAGCTGTTCTTTTTTTTTGCGACAAGACCGCAACGCCTTAGCTGATGAACGCCTTGTAAACAGCCCACTACTTGCAAATGCAAAATCGAATAACATCCAGTATAGCTTGTCCTCGACGGATAACCCGGGATGAGCGTAGCAGTTGCAGCTCCAAAACTATATACTGCAATGTTACCAAAATGATCTCCCTCCACTAGGACCCAAAGGCCTATCGTGATTGCTAGCGTGCCTCAACTAATTCTCTCGTCCGCACTCATTATCTCATCTTCAAATCCATATCCACCGTCATCGTCCTCTTCAGCAGCTTCCCTGGCCAACCGTGCAGCATTCCATCCTGCAAATTTGGGGATGTAGTCGGGAGGCGCCACCCATTTTGGAATCAAGCCGTGTTTTCGTAGCCGTCTCCTATGCCTCTTACGCTCCCAAACATTCATAAACTTTTCGTCAAATTGAGTAAAATCCGTGTTTGTGATCCAGTCTGAGATGTCGGCAACTATGTCCCCGACTTCTTCGCCAAACCTCCACGTCAACGCTCTTCCTTTGCCGCCCGTGGCCCATTCGTCTAGCATAAAAGGTATTGCATATGGGAAATATGGCTCGTTTGGTGACCAGTCACACGGCACTTCGGGCGTACAGTTGTAGTGAGGTGTGTACAGGGAGCAGAAAATAGACTCGACGATATACCATATAAACACGAGGAATGCTAATACGCCAAACTTGGTGAGTCTGAATTTAGGGGATCTTCGGTAAAGAGCAGGAATGGGGAGTACAACTGAAGTGGCCTGAGGTGTAGGTATATTTGTTTCCGATTTAGTGACGGAGACAGTCGAACCAGTCTGAGTTGGATCTGGCTTGTGCTCGGTATGCATAACCTTATCTTCTAGACGTTCAATCCCTTTCTTCGCAGATCGGATCCCTAGAAGACCAGTTTTCAATGACTTGCTCATCCTGTCGTAAGCTTGAAGCTCACGATCCCTCTCCGAGAGTCCGGGAATTTCAAGATCGTTGTCAACCTTGTTCTTGGTGTCGTTTATCATTTTCTCGAGTTCCTTCTCGTCGATTTCTTGGTCAGCGAGAATTGTGTCGAAATCTTCAAGTGTCGAGTCGTCTATTTGGTTCATGCGTAGTATCGCGCGAATATCATCTTTGACCGACGGCGGTTTGGCAGTGTTAATCAAAGGCCGACGAGGTCGACGGCGTCTGGAAGCGGATCTAGCGCGACGAGAACCCGCGGGAACTGATGAAGAGCGCGGCATCGATGCATTTTTTGACGCTTCAGTATCGTCCTCGGATTTAGTGTGGCCGATATTTGACGGGTCACTAGAGCTTCTAGCACGAGCCTCAGAATCTGCATTTGAAGTTCGATTGGGTTCACCTAGCACCCTTTTACTTTCTAGGCGTTCCTCTTGTTTAACCCTGACGGTAGCCGGCGTTTCAACATACGCCCCAGTGACACGCGGAGTGGGCTGTGTTAATGGGTCGATCTTGGTTGGGCGTGGCGTCAGTTCATCAGTTGGTTCTGGCGGAGTAGGCGACGGCGCTCGGACAGAGCCCTTTTCGGAGTAATTATCAAGCGGTGCGAATAGTTTCATTTCGGCTTCGATGCGATCCGTAGGATCTACTTCAGAGCCGGAGCGACTTGTTCTTTTTTCTCGAATAGAGTCAACAGACAAATCCCTTCGTAAACCTGTGAATCCAACTGTTGGCCTTTCTCTGGAGTTCTTAGCTTCCAGGTTCATTGATCCCTTCTCCTCTCGTATCGAGCGTGGGCGACTGTTCTCTCTATTATCAGAGTGTGTCTTTGTCGGAGAGTTATATGGGATGACCGTCTGTTCGTTCTTCTCGGGGGACGGGCTAGAGCTTGCTGCTCTCGCAAGACGCCGAAGTAAATCCTGTGAATCATTTCGTCGGAGTTGGCTGCCCTTTATTTCATTTTCAACCTTGATTTCACTTGCTTTCTCTTTCAAGGGCTCGCAGGGTTTCTGGCTGTTGGTGTTTTGGAAAGTAGTGACGGTAGTAGTAGTCTTTGGACCCTGGTCTTCTTTCGTTTCCGATCTTAGATTGCCGTCTAGGGCTTTCTTGACGTCTCTGGACTTCTCTGGACTCTTGTGTAGATCATCTCTATAGGATTTCCTTTCGGTTTCCGGTGATTCTGAACGCGCTTCAGAATTTTTGATCCGAATTTCTTCGAGTCTACTTGTGGCCATCGCCCGTTTAGAGAGCGCCTCTCTTTCTCGTGCTCTTAATTCGTCGAGTCGACTGTTGGTTCGCGTAGTTGCGGACATGTCTTCTTCCGGTAAGACAGCATTCGCAACCTCAAGTTCTTTCTGTCGAATTTGATCGATCCGATTGTTGCTGCGACGCATGTTAGGCGTGCTCCTAACTGGAGAGCTCGTCGCACTCGGAAACTGTCCGGTAAGTCGCCCGTTAGACTGACCCGCCCGGATGCGAGGGCTGTCCGAAACCTGGAGGTCTTCAGCTGTGAAATCGGCGTCTAAATGCCAATTGAAGCTTTTTTCAGGCGATCGAGGAGGGAGTTCGTCTATCGGCGAAGCCTGACCGTCGCTAGCCGATTCATACTCGAAGGACGGAACAGAAACAGGCGCGTTAGCACGACCCTCCCTTCCTAGTCTAGCATCCCATCGGTTCTCTCCGCGACGGGCTGGGGAACCTCTGAGATTGTTGTCGCTTACTTTCTTGGCGAGGCCGTTGCCAGCTTCCGATATTGTGGATCCTACTTGATTCTTGCCAAATAAGCCACTAAGCGGTCTGCTGCCTGTGCCAAGTTGGTGGTTTCGGTCAAATCGTTGGAGATGATGCCCTAGATCAGTGCTCGGACTAGGTGCTGAAGTTGGACTGGGTCCGGAAGTTCTTCGCGGGATCGCGCCGTATGATTGACGTTTCTGTTGAAATTTCCGCGGGGCAGGGCTAGGGGAACCGTCAATACGCCCGTCCATCTCAGCACTGGCAATATTAAACGCATGTCTAATGCTAAAGGTGTCGTCGTCAACCTGGTCATCCACCTCCTGTTTCTTAGCCAGCGCAAAGGCTGACCTGAGACTCATAGGTTGGCGCATATCGAGAGACTGTCCCTGAGTGTTTCCTTGCTTGTCCCTCGGGTTAGGCGAAGTTGAGAAGGGTGATGCACTCATAGGGCGAGGTATTCGCGTCTCGCGTGGTGACTCGGAATTTTTACGTGGGGATGGGCTGAACCTATTCGGAATATACTTGGGACCAGTGTAGAGCGGATGACGAGAACCGCTACTACCGGTGCTATTCTCGTTGTCGGATGGAATATTATTCTCTTTCGAGTCGAGTTTGCTAGTGTTGTTGTATACTCGTCGGTAGGTGGAGGGTTGCGTCGCGTTTCTACTAACGCGACCGTTGCTGTAGCTAACACCGTTCGAATATCCGTTGGGCTTTGCGGCTAAGATGCCCGTAAAACTCGGCGGGTCGCGATCCATTATCTCGAGTAACGACGGTAACGGGGTTCAAAGTCAAGCAAAGAAACGCATGGTTGTTCAGGTGATATATACATGCACGACAAGTAAAAGATTCATGCAAGATAAAAAAAGAAGAAAATTGAAATGAGAAGGGAACAATAGACAATAGACTTTGTAAGAAAAAAAAAGAAAAGGGAATCAGAGTAGGTATTTATTAACCATGGATCTCAAGAGTAAGATTAATTAATTTGAGCGCATGAAGAGAGTGAGAGAGTGAGAGAGAGTGTGTGAAGTAAGTGTATAGTGAAAGAAATTACAAGAATTAGAAAGTAGAAAGAGAATGGGAAGCTGTTAAAGCTCTCATCACGGAGAGAAAGCTGCTGCACTCAAAAGTTGGCGTCGCGACTCGCGGTGGGGACCCATGGGACGACCCACATTGATTCTAACTACCGTAAAAGGAAGGCGGTGAAGCTATGTGCAGTAGTATGGTTGAGCTTTCCACCAATCAGGGTCTTCTTCCGAAGCTTACAAGTGTCTAATTGGATCAATTTTAAGTATTTTGAGTATACGTACCAGTACGTACCAAAATAATCGATGTACCTTTTCTATGAACATGTTAAAGCATTGTTAACAGACTGAGCAACTCATCACAACTCGTACCTTGTCAAACGTCACCGTAGGAAGTGCGCAAAGCCGTAGGACCTTGCAAAGTGCCGGTGCGGGGAACCAAGATCCTACCTAACTGGGTATACTGTCAATACTGATACTAAAGACCTTTGAAGAATTTATTAGGAGGTAGTCAATTTGAATTATACTAATAAATATATTCATTTCAAGCATGATACGGCGACAATGTCAAATTCCAAAGTAGCCATCATAACTGGCGGTGCCTCAGGACTGGGATTGGCTACTGCCAGATCTTTATCTCAGAAGGGTTGGCATGTACATGTCTTCGACTTGAGCGTAACTGACGATGATTCCGTAAAGTCTGAAATAAACAGATGCGCTTTCCATAAAGTGGATGTCACCTCTTGGGATTCGCTATCATCCGCATTCGATGCCGTCTTCAAAGCCGAAGGTCGGCTTGACTTCGTTTTTGCAAACGCCGGTGTCATGGAAAAGGGAAATTTCTTCGAAAGGCATAATCCATCCTTACCTCCACCAGAACCAGAAGAGCTATCTGTCGGTGTCAATTTAAAAGGAGCGGTCAAAACAAGCTATCTTGCCCAGCATTACTTCAGAGCCAATGCGATCAGTACCGATGACTGCGTGCTCATTATGACATCTAGCATAGCTGGCATAGTAAGTTTTCAACAGACACTTTTGGTAATACCTTGGCCTTATATACATCCAGTACCCTCAATCCATCACCCCTCTTTATTCGGCAACCAAAGCGGGTATAGTGAATTTTATGCGCTCGATAGCTCCTATCTTCTACCAGGAAGACGGTATAAGAACCTACGCCATCTGTCCCGGGTCGGTGCGAACAAACCTACTACCTACAGAGCTATGGGACGCGTATCCGCAGAAATACCTAACTCAGATGCAACAAGTGACCTCCACCGTCGAGTCGCTTGTTTACGGTAAGAGCTTCGAGGATTCTTGGGGTCAGAAGTTTGACAAATCAACGGTTGGTCTTGTCGTTGAAATCTTTGTCGACGATGTGTATTTTAGGGGTCCGCCGAGTCCTTGCAACGATGACATGAAATTTATATTGGAACTTATGCACCCAACGAAGGAGGAAAATGTAAGCGAGAAAGGGACGGAAGCCCAGAGTTAACTAGGTAGGTAGTCACTTTCAAAGCATCATGGCCTTCCTATACCTAGCTATTCCTATACATCATCCCCTTACGACAGCTGATCAAAACATATGCTCAAGTAGACATCTGGAAAACTACTAGATCCAGGAAAATATTATCATTCATACCAGAACCTTAGAAATGGTAGTAATACCGACTATTGACTTCGAATATGTATAGGGGTAAGGGTGTTTCTAAATCTCGGAGGCAGCCCATGCTACCACCTACTCAACCTTAGGTAATTACCATGTCCCAGGCAGCACTAGACTTAGAATATACATAGCCTTTGGGGGTGAGATTGCCATTCACGCTTTCCGGGGGCACATTAGCTGTAGTACGCGCATATGTCCCTCTTACAAGTGAGTGAAGCTTCAGTGCCAGCCTCCGATTTTACCTCTAGTGGCTGGAAACAGAACTGCACGGGTAGCATCAATAAACCTCCGGATGCCTCCCAAGAAGTACTCCTAATAGCCATACCGTAGAAAGAACCCTAGGATGTACAAAAGCGTTTACTTAGTCTGACTTAGTCCATGGACTCACTTAATATAGGCTCAACTCATATAGCATCCCCAGTATGACCATAAGAGGGTTCACGAGTATTCATCAACTCTATTATCATCACTTAAAGTCGGTCTATAGCTGTTAACTGACTTTAAAGGGGGAGATAACGGAAAGGAACCGGTTGATCCAGGCAGCACAGCAAGTTCACTGAGCATAGGTATGTACGGTTTATGAATGAAGTGGTTTTCTTTAGGGGTTTACGTTAGATGCACTATATAAATACGTCTATGTAGTTAGCCAGCATTGAGTTTCGTAGACGCATTGGGGTGGTTGGAAGATTACCTAGGTACTATCTCCGAAGGAGTGGGCCGGTATCTGCGGTATAGAGGTACTTTAATCTTATAAATCTTGCTGCCTAAATCTAGGTACACTTTGTAAGTACATTCGTAAAGAAAGTGTTATAAGAGGTAATTACCTTATAATAAACAAGTAAATATTTACATAAGTAAGTACTTAACCTAATGTATTTAATAGCTTATATATAAAAGGTTATAATTATTTTAACGTTTTAAAAGGGGTTTTTTAAATTGTATATATATTATTTATTGTGACGAACCTACACTCAGGTCCGTTAGAGTGTAGTGCCGATGGGTCTTGATTTTCAGGTAAACAGTAACGATACGAGTCAAGTGTCAAATAAACGTTAAAGTGTTCGTCAGGAAGGCTTGGAGTCCTTCCCCTTATATAGGTTAGATATAAAACTTAGATTAATAGCTAATAAGCTTGAAATGAATGACTAGATACATGAGAAAACGTCCGATAGATATATGAAATGCCCTTTCGCTGTGTTGCTCTGTTTTGCCGTCTTTCTTAAGTGATCGAGTTGATCGAGTTGATCACCTCGATCACCTCGATTACTTTATTTCTGAGGCTATTCCGAGGTTTAGCCGTGATGGGATCGTTGGTACCCCGCTCTCACGTCTTGAACGTGACCTCCCTGGCTGTTGGTTCGTAACATATATATAATAATTTTACATTTATTACTATTACTATTATTATTATTATTATTACATATAAAATTATATATATATAATTAAATAAACCTCCATTAAAACGCTAAAATATATTTATAATAGGTTAAGTACGTACGGTATGATTATCAAGTAATGTCGGCTAATCTCGCTAAACGCGGATACAAGCAGCAGTCGTAGTAGCGCTAAAGTTCTATTAGTACCTGCTTAGGATATCTGCTACTTGAGGTTTACGATGGTCTTGATTGGCTACCTCCTTTCAGGGGTTTTGCGGATTCAAGTACCTAATCCGCTTTACCCGTTCAATTGGGATTTAGAGGCCGCCTATAACCTTCAAATCCGCAACCAACCATCCACCTTAGGTAGTATTTTCGTAGCTTGTTTGAAACCCTTGTTTCCGCTGATTAGTTGACTGAAAAATTACCTAAGGCGTATAGGACTTCTATATGCGATGTTCTTCTTGGCATACTTGATTACGTAGGTACCTGTTATCACGATTTAATACATATATTACCCAATTCCTAGATCATGAATATTCAGTTCACCTTTTCCCTTTGGCTCAGCTCCTTCAAGGTTGTTTACATACCTAGGTAGATTACTTCGTGCACTCTTATATACCTAACCTATGGATTAAATCAATATATGTTCTTGCAACACTTAATAAATGACGCACACCGGTATAGACTCCGATATAAGGGAGTCTTTTACGACGGAGCCCAAGACGTCCGGTATAAGTACAGACAAGCCGGAAAATCCGTCGGTCGAGATCGGCCAGCCTGAAGCAGTTAAGGTCGGTGCTGGTGCCGGTACCGATGTAGACGTGCAAGCGGAAGCAGCAGACGATGGCACAGCAAAAAAGAAACCATTGGGGTTCTACCTCTCCTTCTTAGCCATCAATATTCTCGTCTTTCTGTTTTCTCTAGATGCTACCAGTCTCGCAGTAGCTATTCCTGTAAGTGGCTGGTTTGCCCCTTTCTCTTCTTCTTCCCCCCCTTATCCTCCATTCCTCGGTTAGCGTTGCGAAAGTCAAGTTGAGTTTGAAACATCCACACTGATATTTCCCAGGGGATTGCGGAAGAACTTCACGGTAGTACATTAGAATCTTTCTGGGCCGGAATCGCCTATTATCTCGGCCTCGTCGTCAGTCTACCTCTATTTGCCAGCATTTCCGACGTTTTTGGCCGGAAACCTCCGCTTTACGTAGCTTTCCTGCTCTTTACCGCCGGCGCCCTCTCCTTCTCTCTCGCTAAGAACATGGCTGCTGTTATCGCCGGCAGGGCCGTCCAAGGTCTAGGCGGCGGCGGTCTCGATGTTCTCGGCGAGATCATCGTTTCCGATATGACCTCCCTGAAGGAGCGACCGCTGTACCTTGGAATCATGGCCCTGCCTATTGCCATCGGTAGTATTATCGGCCCAACGATCGGTGCGCTCTTCAGCGACTTCGTCACGTGGCGGTGGATTGGCTGGATCAACTTGCCGTTTTTGGGAGTCGCCTTTCCCCTAATCGCCTTCTTCCTTCGTCTTCGATCGCTTGGCACGTCGCTCGACGCTCAGCTGAAGAGTCTGGATTGGAACGGCATGATACTTCTGACGGTTGGATGTACAGTATTTGTACTGCCCTTGAGTTGGGCTGATGCACTGTACCCGTGGAACTCCTATCAAACACTCGTCCCTCTGCTCCTGGGCGCCGCAGTCATAGCTCTTTTCGTGTTTTACGAAACGAAGCCCAAGGCCCCGGTTATTCCGCTTCGAATCTTCCAGTCCCGAACTGCGGCAGTGACTTTGTGCGGTGCTTTTGTCCACGGCATGACGCTATACACACTTCTGCAGTACATCCCTCTGACGTACCAGGCTGTTATGCTTGATACGCGGATTACAGCCGCGGTTTCGTTGCTTCCTACCAGCGCCGTCAGCGTTATAGGTGCTATAACTTCAGTAATAGGGATTGGAAAACTCGGGATGGGATACCAGGGGCGAATTTGGCTGTCCTGGGGCTTGGTAATTGTAGGAACCGGCCTGTTGATTCTATTAGACCCGTATTCATCAGCTGGTATGCGGCACGGAATCCCTATCATATGGGGTGCGGGAGTTGGCGCTCTGCTCCGTCTTCAGCATATTCCTATGCAGGCAAGCGTATCGAGCGTCGACGACACGGGCCACGCAATCGCCCTGATGTTGACCTTCCGGTGCCTGGGCGGCTTAGTCGGGCTTGCTATTGGTTCAACAGTATTCAGCAGTACTTTTGGGTCCGCGATCGCTGCAGTTGGAGAATTGCCCGACTCTCTTAGTCTCCTTAGAGACCCGCACAATGCCATCGCCTTTATTCCGGTGATACGGACCGTAGATCTTCCAGCAGATGTCATAGCGCCCGTCTTATACGCGTACCTGTCGGCTATGCGTGGTGTATTCTATGCCATGATCGGATTTTCCGGCTTTGGTTTTGTGACGTCTTTGTTAACGGAAGAATTGAGTCTCCAGAGAACGGAACGCGGACGACAGCACTTCGAAACGTAATTCGCTGCCGCATGGATGAATTAGGGTTATATGGGGTTGAACAGCCCAAGTTGGCGGTAATGAGGCTTGAGGAATACGGTATTAGGAATATTTTGACGAGGGCTTTGGAAAACAGGCACATGATAATGCTAATAGAGGCTGCAACGTCTTAAGATGTTGCAATATAGTAACGATAATAGTAGAGATACGACAAGATACGGATATTAGATTAGATCTATAATCACCAAATAATATAATCATGACCGCTATATATAGCGGGCTCTCGTTCTACCATAGCGGAGCGCAGTATCATGAATGAGTTTATCATGGGGACTACATACATATATCAAGCCTCCCCGTCCGTAATTTTAACGTCTGCAAATCAAAAGAAACAGATACTACTGGATCGTCTATCGCAAGCGCGACTAATTCAACCTCCGAAGCAGCTGTGCGATAATAGCCTTCGAAACCTCGGGCGACTCCAGCACGTCCTGGAAATACAAATTGGGCCACATCTCCTCGATATTGCACGCGGTGTACGTCGCGAGCACGCCTCTCAGCTTATCCTCTCCGGCGCCCTTGTTCATCGTGTTCTTGTACGCGTAGTCGATGAGCTGCGCGACGTCGGTCGCCCGGACCCCCTTGTGCAGCTCGAACACCTTGAGGGTCCGGTGCAGCTTGCGCACGCTGAGCTCCGCGAGCGCCGAGACGTCGTAGCAGTCTGCGAGGGCGTATAGCCGCGCATGCGCTAGCAGCACCTCCGAGTAGTTGAGCGACGGGTCCGTGTTCGCGCTCTCCTTCGCCCGGTGGTCCGGCTCGTCGCTCACGTCTTGCCGGAACTGCTCCCACATCCTGTCCCTGTCGCCGGAAGACCCTGATCTTACAACTGACTGATCGAATATTGAGCTGGACTTCTTTTTCTTCTTGGACAGACCGCCGTGAGTACCGAACCCATTGTTCGTAAAGCTCCCCCCCCACAAATCGAAATTGTCGTCCTCACGGATTTCTTCCTCCTTCGTTAGCTTAGGTGCCCGCGGCGTTTCTTGCGTTCAAAAGGTATCAATGACACACTATTCTTATTTTTCAGCTCTGCAAGCGCATCTTTGAATGGCTCCGGGACTGTATAATCTCCCGTATACGCAAATTCGCAAAACCGGGCGAAGGTCCCTTCGTCGACTTCGGGCCATTCTGTGAAGCTCTCTTTTGCCTCTTTCCATTCGCCGTTGACCAGAGCGTAGAGGGGCTTGGACATCCGCGCGACTAGCTTGGCATGCATGAAGAACTCCTTCTTGTCCGGTCCGACGAGAAATCGGAAAGGCTTTGAAGCCGCGATACTAGCAGAGAGCCTGAATTAGGTTCTATAGTAACAGAATCCCTTGATTTAGGGCAGCCTTACATTTCATATGGGACGTTCGCCATTTCTTATTCGTAACTAAGTAATATGTTTAAGGGATTCTAACATTGAAGATCGAGATGGTGAGCTCGTTTGTATATAAGGCTCAGGCTTTGCTGTATGTATGCGGGGTTCTCAGCAGGCAGCATCGACAACTAAGCCTGCAGTACGTCGTGCAATGATTGGAGATCGCAATATGATACTTGAAACAAGACCGCTTTAGATGCGTACCTAATGTAGGTGACCAATGGAATACTCACAAGACCGGAAGACTGCAGAGGCCACTTCAGATCTGAGGGATGTTTTTAGGTAGTTAGACCTAAGGTTCTCAATAAAGTTTACTTCGCCCTTACATCGACAAACAAATCTACAAGGATCTAGGAGATATTCAACTTAGCAATCGTAAAACATTAATAATATTTAAGACGGCCCTCTAGGCGTGTCGGCTACTCTTCTTTCTTGCAAATTCTAAGACAAGTCGGCGGCTATAAGCAAGACCCGAGTCCCATCTATCCAAAAAAGATCAAGTCGTCATCATGCATCCCTTTCTATTATAGCGTATAACTCGACATCAAAAACGTCGTCGTGGATCGTCGTCACCAAGTCTAACTGTCTTCAGCCAGAAACGCCGCATCCGTGCCGCCGAAAGCCCCTATAGCCAAACCTGCATTTTTCTTGCGCCGAGCTATATGTACATTCGTCCTCATTGGTAGTGAGTTGCTCTTAATACCTGCGTGAAGTCCTCGCTTCTCGGAAGTAATTATATTGCGTAGGGTCCTGTTCTGGCGGTCCAATGTCCTCTTGTGGTAGATTGCCGTAACCTCGCGGGCCGCCTCCTAGCATTCCTGCGCCCCCTGGTGCCCTTAGAGATCGCTCTTGGCTTCGTCCTCTATATCCAGGAGAGGTAGCTACTGGCATTGCCGCTGCATTTGCCACTAAGCTGGATCCGCTGTCATTTGCATGTGCATACAACGGGCTACGTGATCGGCCAATACCAGTTTCGGGAGCGTAGGGACTGCTCAAAGGTTGGTTGTATCCGCTTGGGTAAGTCATGCCTACGTCTGAACCAGGTGAATGGGTTCTATTGATCATTCCCGGGCTGTCCAGTTTGGGAATACTCGGGATCGTCGGACTTCCTGATCTTGATGGTGGCTCGCTTCCATTCCACATGCTACTGGGCGTACTCGGACGGGCAACATCGTTGGAACGGCCGAAAATATCACCGCCACCATGTTCAGACGCAAATTCAGCACGAGTCTTATAATACTCGAAGTCAAGCCTCGACTCTGGTACTATCTCAAATCCTGGCAAGCTTGCCATTTTCCCAGGTCTGCCGGCATTCATGGGGTTCATGATATACGCATCAGAATAACCAGATGTAGACATCGTATCTCCGGAATAAGCTTCGCGGCCATCCGTCAGACGCCCTTTATAAATGGAAGCTAGAATATTCTGAGCTTTTGCATGCACCATAGGTGTAATGAGAGGCTTGTAAAGAGCAGGATGACCAAATCGGTGTGCAAGCCCAACGGAACGCAACGGATCCTTCTGCATAGCGCCCTCGGGGTGCTTTTGGATGTTGCGAGTTGAGTAGAAATGAATCTTATCATCGAATGTTTTTGAACAGTAGATCTTAAAGATAATCATGATAAAGGGTAAAGGAATGGATGCGAAAGCCATTGTGTGGGTTCCGTCACCGTGCACCCAAGCCGTTAGGAACACCACCAGATTGGAGAGGATGGTGCCAAAGACGAATCGATTGAATAAGACTCTCCAGAACATTCCACCTGACTCAGTCTTCGTAACATATATGTAAAGCAATAAGTACTTCTTCAACCATACGTCGATGGAAAAGTACAATGCTGCAGCTGGAAGAACAAGAGGTTGGAGACAGCTGAAACATAAGGCCACAGTAGAATAGAATAAGAAGTAATTGTAGTAACTGGCGTAGTCGAAGGACGGAGGCGCTGTGAGTTCGATCATCTCCCTCGGCGTGGGACTAGAAAACTTGCGCATGAAGAAGCTGTAGATAAAGGTCCACAGTTGAGCAAGATCAACAGCAGCGCCCAAGTTCCTCTGCAGCAACCAGGTAACCCAGAACGAGGAGATATCACACAGAGAGATGAACAGAGTCACGCCGAAGCTTGATAAGGTATCCCATGCCTTCTGCGGGTTTTTAGCAACTGACGAAACCAGATTCCAGATGGTACTGAAGAAGCAAAAGACGATCAGGTTGTTGAAGACGAAGAAAGCGTAAAGCTTTCCAACGACATGTCGCTCGCGTCCAGTTTTTGTGCGATCGCCAGCTCTGATTGAAAGTCGACGGAAGATAATAGGAAGCACCAGATAAACCAGAGACAAGATAGCTGGAGACGCGACACCTTGCACAATGGACCAGAAACCGGTATTACCAGACAGCTGAGCCTGAAAAGCAGGCCAAACCAACCCCAAATTACTCAGATTGACCAAGAAAATAGCAATCATGGCACTGGGCGCAACCCAGACAATTGTTAGTAAAGTAATCCAGAGGTTGATAATCAGCCTTCTCCAGCTTCGCGTCGCCGGGGTTAGGGGCATGTTATCCCATATGATGTCGTTCGGTTTTGGAGCTAAGACAATGGTAGCACCCTGAGGCTTCTTCTTGCGCAGAGCATATGCGATACTATGGGCTTCGGAGATATCATCATAACTGGCAAAACCATAAGATAAGCTACTGCGCTTATCAATGTTAGCCCGGGCCTCCTTCACTTCCAACTCGAGTTCCTTTATTCGCTGGGTGAGGTATTCGATAGCATCAACTTTCTGTCCCTTCGGATAAGTGCTGTATGACGGGTCCTTCTTAGAAGGATAGCACGTTGGTCGAGCCGCAGGTAGGTTTTGAGGATCTTTGAGATATTTGGCCAAAACCTTCTCAAGCTTTCGAACGGTATGATCGTGTTGCTGAATCAAATTGGGGAGGTCCCTAACGTTACGGGCAGCGGCTGTTTTGGCAAATGAAGCGTGCGGGACAACGTCATCAATGATTCTCGCAATGCCTTCGTCATTCGCATATTTTCGGGGAATATCGTTCAACTAGATACTTCGGGTAAGTTACAATGCAAACTGTAGATGGCGAGAAAAAAACTAACCATGAGTGTCCGGGCAGATAAACTCTGCTGATACTCCTTGGTTTCAAAATATACCCGTCTGAGCTTCAGAACTTCCCTATAGTTCCACCACAGAAACCCGATGATGACGAAGTTGAACACATATGCTGTTAGCACAGTCGCCCAGATAGGTCGGTCGTTAACATTTGAAGGTGTCAGTCTCATGAACCATTTTTGATTGCCTGTCTTGTCGCTGTTGAGGGTGTAGTAGACAGGGAGAAGAATGCCGCACCCAAGAATACCAAGCACAAGAAAGATATTGCGACACATAGATGTGAATCGTATAAACATAGCGGCGTCCATGCCGGCATGGGAAATCATATCTTTCTCACTCGTCTTCCATAACGGCACGACCCACGCAAGATACCCTTTACCAATCGGCGGCGGCGCATGTTCTTCATCGGCATGTTTGAGTTTTGGTGCATAGACAACGGAATTATACGGTCGAACGAAGGAAAAAGCAAGAGCGATAAATGCTGTAAATCCTAGCGATGTGCCCAAGGCGGACCAGATAGCACCGTCTGTAAGCTATTAAGGAGGTTAAGATTAGCTAAATAATTCCACGATCGAGTATTGTAGGTTATGTAGGTTAGTCTACCCACCGTCTGTTTAAAAGGGTTCTGCAGCAATTCTAGCAGCTCTACAACCGGATTTGGACCATCCCTAGGTAATAGGAGCCGCGCATGAGCCCAAACATCCATCTTATCGCAGAGGCTTGATTAGCCGTCCGTGGCCGGGAGCGGAAGTGAGTTCCAAATGATAGTCAATTTGAGGCCCGGAGAGGCAAATCCTTGGTGGCCAATTGTCCTAAGAAAAGAAGAAGAAACGATTAAGTTCGTATAGGATTCATTCGCAAACGTTTAGAGAACATCGGATAACAGGTAGGTAGTCTAATATCCTTTTAATAACTTATGTCTTTTCGTTGGACTCGACGATAGGATGCTGTCGGCGTTTTGTATTTTTCTTCGACAAGAGAATACAAGTTCTTATTCTCTAACAAAGGCGATCAGATTAAAGGCGTTCGCTATAGTGGGAGATTCTTGCTTAGGTCGAAATGCACAAAGCGGTTACAAACGAGCGACGTGACCGCAGGAATAAATGGAGGGTCCTATAGGTTACACGAGCAAAGGGAGAAAGAGATAGTATGTCTAGTATGTATATCGTAAAGGCATAAATAAGTAGATGATATTGTTTGTAAGAAGGGGAGGGGGGGCAAAAGAGAGAATGGATGATAGGATAGAGAAGAGCCAAGACTGGCGCCTATCAAGACCCGAAAACGACGTGGGGATAACGACAAATAAGTTATTTATGTGAATGTATCAAGTAGTATATGTACCTATGTACTTGATAAGTTACGTGTATAGGTGCTGGTACTTTATGTATGGGAATAGCGAAGAGAAAAAAAAAACCCTCCAAAAAAACAAATGCCTTGTTTTAAGAAAATTTTTGGAAATTTCAGGAATAACCATGACTTTAACTTCTAAACCAATTCTAGACCCAAGGGGATGTTTGATGGAATGACGAAAGGCCGCATTGCCGATTTGGAACACGTCGAGCTGCTCGTTACATGATACAATACATGCACTAATCCGATTGTAATTGAAGCTACAGAAATAGTATTCACTTATCAAACAAATCTGGTCAAGTAGCAGTTTGCAGTTTCGAGCGGACATATACACTAATATAATATTTTACTAGATGATCACTCAATCAGGGGTTATATAGTCAGAATTTTCGGCTCTTACAAACAGACGCAAAAGTATCAAACCTAATTCTGGCATGACATTTGAATATGGAAATATGAATACCGGATAAATACATACTACTCGAACAAGAAGGTCTAATCACATAACTTTGTGTGCACCTGCAGTACCTCTATCCAGTCCCCACTATGCATTCTATTTTTGACTGGGCCTATGCCAGGGGTTAAAGGCTATGGTCTAGCCAATGGGACCGTGTGGCCCGGGGATAGCTGAGTGGGGCAATTCTAGAATACGAGCTCAACCGCCAGTTATGCAAGACATTGTTGGCCATAACATTGTCTCTTGATACATAGTAGATGGCCTTATGCGCAGGTCATTTTGTGTCTCAGATATCACGCGCTTACTATGTACAGACGCGTGCGTATAAAAATAAACTGCCCAGTACCTATGGCCATATAAAAAACAGAAAGAATTACATAAGGTAGCAAGGCCCAGTATAATACAACACAAACGTTACTATGTAGGTACCTAAGGGTCGCCGCCGATCCCCCAAACCAGGGTCTCGGGAATTGGGGCTCATAATCCACTATGTTAGAACCTCATCCAGGCTCATCCTAGCGATGCGAAAATCTACTCTGTTAGCTTCTAGAGCATCTCCTAAATTATTGAACGACTTGCCAATAAAAAGATGCGGGAAATCTCCGATTCCATTACACATACGAAGCATTTAGCCCCATACGATTTCGCGGCCGATCGGCGCCGACAGCCTCGGTCATCTAGACGGCGTGTTTCGCAAGCCGGGCTAACAATTCGATGCCGCGTACAACTGTAGGTTAAGCATCAAGATATTAGGTTAGTCCCGTACCATGGAATGGCAAGCGGCTCGACCCTCTATGCATAATTGAATATCTTAGATTCCCAAAGTCAATATACTCGGGAAAATCTCATATCTCTTCCGCATATCCGTCCAAGGTCCATCCATGTGGGCGAACCCCACGTGACGAAAGGCATCAGTACCAACTTCCAAGAACTACGCATTCGTGGGAAAGGGTGGCTCCTAATCGATGATATCAATGCGTACGTACCAGATTATGAATGGAGTTGTTTCTTGTTTCGACTACCTAAGTGTACGCTAGAGATTCATCATAGGAGGCCCCTCACGCACAGCCCGGATGATGTCACATAAATGCGACGAGAAGGAATAGGATAGGTAGCTTAATGTTATACGTATTCTCTTACATGCAATTGGGAGCATACGTGGTAATAACAGGTAGCTTATTGAAAATGTTTGGAAAGGAAAGATGCGTTGCATCGAGACTAAGACAATTGATCAACAAGACTCCGTAGGAGACTGAAGTGAAGTTTTCTCCTGGGGGTTATTGGCCATCTTATCGACGCTATCGAGCATAGAACAGCACAGAACATCACCAATACTCTTTACTCTTTCTTCGCAAATTCAAGTATTCTCGATATGTCTAAAGAGGCGTCCGCACTTCAACCCGAAGTTGTGAACTCGTCTATTACAATAATCTAACCTACCAATATTATGCGGACACCCCACTATAGCCTCACCAAAACATATCAACTTCATAAGGCATTAAAAATTTCAAAACAAGTGGTAAAGACACGAAGCCTGTTAGTACCGATTCAATTTTATAAGACTTCTACGCCTATAATTATAATTCTTAAATCTTGGCTTTAGTTCACTTAGAAAGCAGTAGTAAAGTTGTAAGAAATAAGTATAAGTCGATCATTTTGGTGGAGATGGAATTTTGTCAAGTATATTCCAAGACAGAATGTACAAGACAGGCTAAACAAATATACTATTATTAGATTTAAGCATTTTTATCATACGAGAACAAGAATTTTATTTCTTTCCATTGTTTCCCGGAATTTCTACAGGTGTTATGAACTTGCTAGGTCTTGGCGCGAAAATAATGGGTGTCCGCATAAGATTGGTAAATCACTGAGGTATACCTTAGGTTAGGTACCTATCTATCCTATTCAGATATCCTCCAAAACATGAAGGTATACGGGGAACAGCTTTGAGTAGCAGGTATACGCCCGAGTATAGTCTCGTCTAGTGTCTATCTATTAATCGGGACTCCGTCGTGATCATGGCTTTGACGTAGGATAGTTTAGAAGAGGAATAACTACCCAACCTAGGTACGTTTAACATTGTTAGGCTATGAGTACTCCCTTATATAGTAGAGTGTAGGAGGGAAAGGACATGCGACGGTGAATCATATAGATGATGGCAACGTACTATTTCACTAATTCTATGATCGACCCTATGTAGGTACCTAAGGTAAGAGGTAGGTAGCTTTATTGCATGAATCTAATGCAGCGGCAGACATACCTAAAGTCAAAATATAGTTGTCAATCGGCTATCTGCTCACAACTAAGTTCGACAGAATATCTAAATAGTAATAGCGAAGTTCACTTAACAGGTAGTCATTCATCACAGACTTGGAGTATTGGAGTATTGGTATATTCGAAAATAAGTCGCTGAGTAGATAGGTAGCTATAAAAGAGCAAGCGTACCGTGTAGTCGCCATATAATTCACATATCTATGCTGTCTACGAGATTTAATTTACGATTCTATTGGTCATTCTCAGGATACCTACTATAGGTGACCCTACGATACTAACATGTCCTATCTTTTTTGCTACCTAACGCTACGTTGTATTTGTGTCGCACCATACATGATCCCATTATCCACTTCGGATTTCCGTATCATGTATACACCCAAAAAGAAAAAAAAAAACAATAAAAATAATAAAGGCGAATCGATCCCTAGGCGGTGCTCTCGTGATATGGCTTTTTATCATTCAAGTACCAATATGTACAAACCAGTATGAACGCACAACATATTACGCCCCGAAAATCCTGAGTGAACGGCGACTCCCCACCAGCGCCTCCAAGAATCCCAGTTCATCCATACATAGTAGTCTTTTTAGATAATCGAATCGATGTATACCTAGGTAGGTACCTAACTTAAGGAAGGGGGTTAGGAACCAACCGAAATCATTCATCAATCTTGTTTTCTAAGCATGAATGGGGTTTAGTCCGCGGTGCCTTGGCTTCTAGTCTTTCTCGCCGTCCTTCCGACGGGAGGCGGTGCCTTCTTATCTTTCTTAGATTCTTTCTTCGGCCGGCCGACTTTCTTGGGCGCGCCGTTAGTAGCGGCTCCGTTGGTCTTTTGCTTCTTCTCGGCGGGCGCGTCTTCCGGAGACTCGTTGTGCGCGACGTCGCCAGTGGACGCTTCAGATACGCTTGACTTGCGCTTCTCTCCAGCATTAGCCTCAGATTTGTCAGATTCGGTAGGCTCGGCGGTAGTTGGCGCGGGATCAGCCTTCGGCGCATCGTCATTTGCCGGTTCTTTGACGGGTAGCGCTCCGGTCATTTCGGCTGGTTGAGTTGGGGCTGCGTCTGGCATGTCTTGGTCGCGGACCTCCTCGACACTGACGGGCTTAGGAGGTTCTTTAGCTTCACCATTGGGAGCTGATGATGCATCAGCTGTCGCCGTCTCTGTAGAAGCGGGTTCTGCAGATACATCATCGGCAAGCTTCTCCGGCTTCTCCGGCTGTGAAGCCAACTCGTTCGCAGCGTCTATCTTCTCGGTCAACTCCTTTGAATCAGTGGTAACAGCATTGATTTGCGCCGGGATTTCGGAGTCTGGCACAGTCGTAGGCGCAGCCCCAGGAGTTTCGTTATTTGTCGCAGCTGACGGCTCCTTAGACTCTTCTCCAGCGGTGACAAGGTCTTTTGCAACTGGTGGGATACTGGGCTGCGACACGGCTACTGTCGCTTCGCTGGTCGCGACTATTTCTATACAGTTAGTGCACTGTGTTGGATATGTTGCGACCCAGGCGCAAAGTCGTATAGCTGCGCACGGGAAGTTAAAACGACCCAATTGGGTCTAAACACGGATCGCAAAGGCTTCTATAATGCATAGATGAGGGATTTGATGAGAACAATACCTTTATCGATGCCGTTGATCGTGCTGTCGGCCATATTGATGACGTCAGAAAAGCTGGTTAAAGAAGACACACAGTATGCGATAAGTTGTATGAGGAGGCCAGAGCTGATGGAATATGCGAGCTGTAAAGCGTCACTATGTAGAGATTCGTTGGAAGTGTTGTGTTGAGGGTTATGGAGCTTTCAGAGTGTTGATAGAAGCTGACATAAAAAGAAGAAAAAAGAAATAGAAACGGAGGAAAATCGAGGTGAGGTCGACCAAGCTTCTTGATCCATCTCACAGTTTTAGTAGCACGAGCGAATCAGAAGCATCGACGGACCGGGAAAACTATTAAGGACAGGAAGCTTTCCACATTTGCTTTCAGATCCTTACCGCGACCGGGTTACAAACATACCCCGGCACTATGGTATGTAGGCATGTACCTATATAAGTACTATGAAGTACACACACACAGACACATACCTCTGGCGCATAAGGATAAATCGAGCAAGGGGGAGAGGGGAGGAGGGAGCAGGGGAGTGGCATGGAAGCAAGAAGAGCTAGGGAAACGCTTGCATCCGACTACCAATGGACCAATGAGACTCTCGATAGAACTATCCAATTCCAATAAGACTACCAATGGGGGAACCAATGAGGGGAAGCTGCAGAAGAATTATGAAAGCTGGGAACTTGGACCAGATTTGGTTCGACTATTGGAGATTTACGAATTTCTCAATTCTCAGAATTTACTCAAGAGAAGTCAATCATCAGACCACAACTACACTTACTACCAAACGGGATATAAGGTACTGTAACAACATACTGTTAAGGAGGTAGTTAACATATTTGTGTAGTTATGTGTATTAAACAAGATGGTTATCATGTATGTAAGTACATCATCGTAGAGATAAAGAGCTATATACAAAAGAAAGAAATAAAGCGAAATAGAGAAACAACAAACCGATGCTAACCATGTTCAAACGTTATAAGAAGATGGAAGGCCATTGGGAATATCATTTGTCAGCTTGTGGGATGACGTTTGCATCGGACATCTTGCTTTTGTACCAGCTACCAGCTAATAACAGCAGCATGAAATCCAACAAGCCACCCAAATATTGTATGCAAACAGTCCGAGTTGGAAAATAGTAAATGGATTCGTGCTTTGACCTTACTTGATTATTTTTTTTTTTAAAAAAAAAAATAGAAAATTCTAAGGAAAGCTCTATTAGCAGACCTCACACATTTTATTGTAAGGTGAGGCTCTTGTGGAAAATGGCATGATAGGCGGGTTTAAAAAAAGATGGGGAGATCGATGATCCATATTGCTAAAGGGTTAAAATCTTATTTGCCGGTTTTGGTGATCGTTATGCGTACGACATAATGATTGCACAATTCCCCCCCCCCCCCCAAAAAAAACATTCCGAGCCAAAGCAGTGGAAAGAAGTACCTAGGTACAAACACTAGTATGCCGACTAGCCGAGATTCTACCGCCAAGAAGGAATCCCCAACTAAAAAAAATGATCAGTCATTGCGTCACGTGGACAAGACTTACCAAGCTTAACCAATCAGCTGTAAACCTTCTTCCCCAAATCCAAACTGTCGGCTCCACTTCTAAATTCTCTTTTTTCCCTTTCCAACCTTTCAAGACTTCGACCGCGAGTCGCGCACCGCCGTCACCCAGCCTTGTGAGCTTCTCAGAACAAAGCTGTATGTTCTGTTACAACAACAGCCAAGTCTTAGCGCTAAGAAACCAAGGCTTGGGTTACCTTGGGGCCAAGCATCATGCTACCAATTATCTATATAGATTTTTCTTATGGTGTGTTAAACCCCGCTGTTATCTCTTGCTTAGGAGCCTCATCCATCCCTCTATGTAGTGATTTACTGCTATCTCTGACGATATAATTTCTTGGGATCGTGTATATGCCACTTTTTCAGCTTTCCATTAGCCAATTAGAAATCTTACCCAGTTCAACATCCACGCTAGCCTTTCCTCTTGGTGGCTTGTCAACTTCTCGAGCGTACTAGAATGCATCATGGTCGTGATAAGTGCTCTTGGTTTACTTGGCGCCGATGATGAAATGACAAAAATTTTGTTCCCCCCCGTCCCCCTCGGCGTGTTTCCCCGCGGCCATGCGGACTGCTTGCCCTCATTTGAGGTTATAAAGCTGATATAAAGCTGATCCATACCCCGGGCCAGTCCGGCTGGGCTTCGTAAACACTTATATGATCAGATGATTCCTTCTTTTATAACATCACTCGTTTTAACCTGTCTAAGAAGGTTTTAAGCGAAAGGCTAAAAAGCTTGGAATTCATAAAAGTATCTACCCAGGTACTTCCTATAGTAACATTCATCTATGAGGAACAAAACTCTGAGACGAGACACAAGCCGACAATATTCGTGTCAATCCCTATCTCGACTCGATGGCTGGCCGATTTGAACGCCATCCGTTCCTCTTGACGGCCGAAGAGGTTGCCAGGGCTCTGGAAACAGACCTCGAAAGAGGCTTGTCCTCTTCGAAGGTCAAAGAGTTACAGGAGAAGTATCCCCCTAATGAACTAGATGTCGGCGGAGCCATTCCAGGCTACAAGATTTTCCTCAAGCAATTAGTAAATGCTATGATATTGGTAAGCTACCTTAGGTACCTTAGCTACTTACACGAGGAATAGGGAATCGCATAATGGAGCTAATATTGAATAATAGATTTTGTTCCTTGCCATGGCATTAAGCTTTGCTATGCATGATTGGGTTGAAGGGGGCGTCCTTCTTGCTGTTATCGTACTTAATGTTTCAATTGGATTCTATCAGGAGTATGGTGCAGAAAAGAAGTTGGACGCTCTCAGAGCTCTCTCCGCTCCCAGCGCCATGGTACTTCGTGATGGCAGAACTCAAGTTATTCCCAAGTAAGTGTGCTTTCTTCATTGATGCCACTCCACCAGTCCCATGGTCAATACTAATGTTTTCACAGTGCCGAGGTTGTACCTGGCGATATTGTCATTCTGAAAATGGGTGACACAGTACCTGCGGACCTCCGTCTTTTCGAAGCCATGAACCTGGCTGCCGACGAGCAGTCTCTTACCGGAGAGTCAGTCCCCGTTGAAAAAATCGTCGAACCCTTGGAAGATGAAGACCTCGGAATTGGCGATCGGATAAATATTGCCTATGGCACAACAACTATTCGGAAAGGGCGTGGCAGAGGTATCACTATCTTTACAGGCATGGAGACTGAGGTTGGCAAGATTGCTGCTTCCACCGCGAAGAAACATCGCAAGGCTGGCCGTTCTATGAACTATAGAAAGTACGGAAAACGACAACCGATCATTGGTCTTGCCAGGCGCATCTACGATTTTGTTGGCAAGTTTCTTGGGCTGACTGAAGGAACCCCGCTTCAGATCAAGCTCTCGAAACTGGCCTACATCCTTTTTGGCTGTGCTCTGTTGCTCGCTGTTATCGTCTTTGCCGTCAACAAATTTGCTGGTGATAGAGAAGTTGTTATTTATGCTATAAGCACTGGTATTGCTATCATCCCTGAGTCTCTTGTCGCGTAAGTTCCCAACACATACGTACATATCCATTCTTACCCCCCTAGCGCTAACACCGTTATACTTCAGGGTCTTAACTATTACTATGGTCGTTGCCGTTACTGTCATGCGTAAGGCTAACGTGGTTGTCCGGAACTTGTCAGCCTTAGAAGCTCTGGGTGGCGTTACCAATATCTGCTCGGATAAGACAGGCACCTTAACCCAAGGAGCGATGATAGTACGGAAAGTATGGATCCCCTCTAACGAAATTTACACGGTTGAAGACTCCAAGCATCCAAGTAATCCAACTGAGGGTAGAGTGACGTTCTCTGAAGTTGATGACGAGGTTCAAGAGCCTGAGAAACGAGATTTTGATGAGGAGCGTAGTGCGGCAGTTCTCAAATTCGACGTCCCAGACGAGAAACTCAATCCTCCTCGGCAAAAGAAAGAAAACGAAAAAGAGGCCACCATGAACCCCAAACTAGAACTTTTCCTCCTCGCTGCGGCGCTTTGTAACCTTGCTACCGTTAGGCACGAAACAGAGCCCGCCGAAGGCCGCATTGAATGGCAAGTCACTGGTGAGCCAACTGAGATTGCCCTACAAGTGTTTGCGTATCGCTTCCAGAAAGGCAAGAAGATCTTGGAAGCAGATGGTTGGAAGCAAGTCGCCGAATTTCCGTTTGACAGCAGCATCAAGCGCATGTCTGTCGTTTACAATAATCCACACCTTGACCATAGCATGGTATTTACCAAGGGCGCCGTCGAGCGAGTCATTGATCTTTGTACTTCCGTCGGAATTGGAGACTCGCAAGAGCCAATGACTGAAGAATACAAGGAAAAGATACTAAAACAGATGGACGTCTTTGCTAGCCAGGGACAACGTGTCCTTGCCATTGCTTATCGACCTTGGGACGGCAAATATACGGAAAAGACTAAGCCTGAAAATAGCGAAGAGGACGAATCTCTGCGAGAGAAGGTAGAAAGTGGCCTTACGCTCTTAGGACTGGCGGGGATTTACGATCCGCCACGTAAAGAGACGACGCCGGCTATCGCTGAATGTGCTTCTGCTGGTATTAAAGTAAGTCTTTTTTTGAATATTCATTAATTCGCAATCTTGGCCTGTAATAGACAGTTAGTAACCGATAATATCACAGGTACACATGTTAACCGGAGACCACCCTGCTACGGCTGAAGCCATTGCTAAGGAAGTGGGCATCATTCCTAGAAATCTCGGTATCCTCAGCCATGAAGTCGCTAGTACGATTGTGCAGAAGGCGAGCGACTTTGATAAGCTTTCGGACGAGGAGATCGATGCCATGCCGGAGTTGCCACTTGTTCTCGCACGTTGTGCTCCGGACACCAAGACCCGCATGATAGAGGCTCTCCGCCGCCGGTCTGCTTACATGGCCATGACTGGCGACGGCGTTAACGATGCCCCCTCGCTGTCCCGAGCCGACGTCGGTATTGCAATGGGCTCGGGGTCCGACGTAGCCAAGTCCGCGGCGAAAATCGTGCTGACAGACGACAAATTCAATTCCATCGTTGCCGCCATCCGTGAGGGCAGACGAATGTTCGACAACATCCAGAAATTCATTCTGCACCTACTTACCTCGAACGTGGGAGAAGTTATCCTCCTGATTTGCGGTCTCGGGTTTCAGGACGAATCGGGCCTTTCGGTGTTCCCCATCTCGCCTCTCGAAATCCTCTGGATCAACATGGTGACTTCATCCTTCCCCGCCTTCGGCCTCGGCCGCGAGCCCGCTTCCCGCGAAGTGATGCGCAAGCCGCCGCACGACAGGAAGCGGGGCGTGTTCACGAACCAGATCCTGGCCGACATGATGGTTTACGGGCTGCTGATGGGCACGCTGTCGCTGATGACGTTCGTGATCGTCATCTACGGGGTGAACGACGGGCGGCTGGGGGTGAACTGCAACCGGGAGTACGGCGACGGGATCTGCGAGCCCGTGTTCCGGGCGCGGGCCGCCGTCTTCGCGGAGCTGACCTGGCTCATCCTCATCAGCGCCTGGGAGTTCAAGGACATCCGCCGGTCGATGTTCCGGCTCAAGCCGGACGACACGTCCAAGTTCCCGCTGTTCAAGGACGTCTACGAGAACAAGTTCCTGTTCTGGGCCGTGGTCCTCGGCGCCCTCAGCGTGTTCCCCGTCGTGTACATCCCCACGATAAACACCAACGTGTTCAAGCACGTCGGGATCAGCTGGGAATGGAGTCTAGTTGTCGCGGCGACCATCATCTTCGTCGCGGGCATGGAGCTCTGGAAGTTGATCAAGCGTCGGTTTAGATTGCTCGAGGATGCCGCCGTCGCGAGAGGCGCTTTCTCTCAGGGCAGCGAGGAAAACGGGCGGAAGTTCAACCACACGATCAGTTTTGGCAGTTTGAAGAGTTGGCGGAGTGTTGGGCGAAGCCATACTACTGATACCCGGGCCAGCACGAAGGAGAAGAAGGACGCAAGTCCCGTATGAAGAAGTTAGGTACCTAGGTACGTATACTGGATCTAATGGGGATGATGTTTTCTAGATCTTGTTTAAGGAGTCGAGGAGATGTGTCTCAACTAGGATATACGAAGGATGTTGGGTGTTGTACCTAATATGATATACCCGCTGTCTATGGTATACCGTCTTAGTGTTGATAACTTGCTTTGCTAATTGCTTCAATTGACTGAAGATGATGGTTGAAAGGATAGAGGATGTTGAATTATTAGAGAAACGTATAATCAGCGCACCTTTGGTGCTATGAGGACAGGATGAGATAGCTTCGGTGCAAACTTGAATCTATATATTGTCATAGTTATACCTTATTACTTTGTAGATTCACCTCTTTTTTTTTTTTTTTTTTTTTCGTCCTTCTTGTCTTCCCTCTTTATCAGATTTGTAACTGAGTCTATGAGATACATGTAGGTAGTTGGGTACCTAGTACGTGTAGGAGGTACGTATGTTGAGAAATAAAAAGGGGCAACACGAAGCGAAAAGGGGTTAAATTGTGCTGAGTCATCAAGTCCGTAGACGTACCTAGTACATAGGTGCCTCTTACTATGTAGCGCATAAGGTGCCTGTAACTTGTAAGGTTAGGTAGTACTGGCAACTGTAGCATGGCCCCACGCGGCCTAGAACAAGCAGCAGCAACGTCGCACCGTGTTCAATTGCCAATTGTTCAATTTGTTAATTGTCAATTCCAAGTTCCTCGTCACTTTAATCGAAACTACCTGGTACGCGTTGAATTTCGACTTTTACCAACGCCCGACGCCCAACTTCAGTCCGCTCCTTTGCCTTGTATCTGTAACTTCTTTTTTTTTAAGGTTTAGTTTCTTCTTCCTATAGTTACCAATTGCAATTCTTACTTATCTTTCAACCCTTATATCCCGAATAATCACAGGCCGTAATTATACACAATGGCTCCGACGAAAGCGACCGAAACCAAGGACAAGTACTCGGTTATCCTACCGACGTACAACGAGCGCCGCAACTTACCCATTATTACCTGGCTCCTCAACCGTACCTTTACCGAGAAGTACGTCTACCTCTTCTTGTTTTTACTATATTCCTCGGAAACGATTGTGGATGAGTACCTACACTAGGTACCTAGTTATGATGGGGAACTAACGGCGGTATGGTATAGCAACCTCGACTGGGAACTCATCATCGTCGACGACGGCTCGCCCGACGGAACGCAAGTCGTAGCGCAACAACTGGTCAAGGCCTACTCGCCGCACGTAGTGCTCAAGACGCGATCGGGCAAGCTCGGGCTGGGAACGGCCTACGTGCACGGGATGCAGTTCGTGACGGGCAACTTCGTGATCATCATGGACGCCGACTTCAGCCACCACCCCAAGTTCATCCCGCAGATGATCGCGCGGCAGCGGGCCGGCAACTTCGACATCGTGACGGGGACCCGGTACGCGGGCGACGGCGGCGTATACGGCTGGGACCTTAAGCGCAAGTTCGTCAGCCGCGGCGCCAACCTGTTCGCCGACACCGTCCTCCGCCCCGGCGTCAGCGACCTCACCGGCAGCTTCCGCCTCTACAAGAAGGCCGTCCTCCAGAAGGTCATCGAGAGCACCGAGAGCAAAGGCTACACCTTCCAGATGGAGATGATGGTCCGCGCCAAGGCCATGGGTTTCACCGTCGCCGAGGTCCCTATTACCTTCGTCGACCGCCTCTACGGCGAGTCCAAGCTCGGTGGCGACGAGATCGTCGAGTATGCGAAGGGTGTGCTAAGCTTGTGGTTGAAGGTTTGAGGTGAATACAAAAAATATTATACCCAGCTTATGTATGTGTATGAGAAGTGGAAGCAGGTCCGGTCGGCTCGACGCCTCGTCTGGGGGCTTTACCTATATGTCATCAATGTTCACAGTTAATGCAGGTGGGATGATATCTTATCTATTATTGCGTGTTTGATTGTCTACCTACCTGGTTTATCTAATCCTACAACTAGTAAACAGCATAGTCGTTTCTAAAAGGAGACATAAAGTCTATCGAAGAGCGACTTACAACTTGTTTTCGAAGCAGCCTTTCCTTCATTATATGCTTTACCACCATCTGCCGTGACCCTTGAACTGGGAACCTCATACCCCTAGCTAGGTACCTACCTGGAGGTACCTAGCTAAGAATATAAATACGACAGAGCATTGGTACCACAATAAGAAGCAAGGCTGCTATCACATAAAACATCTAATCGCTAAAAGAAAAAGCTAAAGAGTAAAACATCTATTGACATTACCTCGACAACCGAGATGATAAAGTGGTGAGAGGAAGAACACGGTCTCTCCTAGGCGGTTCCAGGTCAGTTATTATCCGACCTATCACTTATTATCTGGGGGTCTTAGAACCGGCCCTTTCTGAGGTCACAGGATATCAAAAGCCTACCTGAGTATTTTCTTCATCAAGCGTGCCCGTGGGTATCTCCGTATCCGGGGACCATGAAAGGATCCGACCACTATAACAACATGTTAGCGATCAGTATTTGAATCAACAGGTCTTGGGGAATTCGGCAGTATCTTGGGAGCCATCGCTCTCAGCCGGTGTGGCCAGGGAGCGTTAACTAGCGAGACGGGCCGTGGGGTGCAGAAAAAAAAAAAAAAGGGGGGGGGGGGGGGGTTCAGGTGTTACTTACGTCAATTTTATCATTGTCAGGATATCGGAAATATCCATCTTGTCCATCACTCCCTTGTGGTACTCTACTCCTAAACCAGTCCATGGTGGCTGCGGGAATACCAATTATATCCTGCAGATCCCTGCTGCCGGCGGCTAGATCGCTTATTCCGTTGAAGAATTCTACGGCGGTCGAGTCTCGAGAAAAGATGACGAGACGTTCGCATATCCTCATCCAGTGCCTAGAAAATAGCCAGTTAGTCCGGTTAAAAAAACGGGGGGGATAGGGGTGTAATGTTAGGTTTCCAACTTACGCTATGTGATCTGCGTCCAACGTCCCCTGCATCATTCTTATCTCTATCGTACTTGGAACTTCGTTATTGGGGACCGAGAGAGTGTCGCCCTCCATGCGGTATCTCATATAAGAGGTGTGAAGATTAGCAATATCCAAGGCAGCACCTCCTGGAGTGATCCCGCTGGCTAATTTCGAGATGGTTTCGTACTTCCACACTTCAGTGACAGCATTTCGGACCGATTCTTCGACGTTGTCATTATACAACGTCGAAGATGGGATGTGCTGCCCCATCTCCCGCATATTCGCCGCATAGGCCGTCGGATCTGTGGTTTCGATGTCCGTTAAATAATCATACTCGCTAGCAACACCGCGCAGTTGTTGAGCGATTGGGCTCATTGTTCGATGAGGGCTGACGTAAGCATTGGATCCATCAGATCGATCGCGCCGATGGAGTTTCTCGAGGTTTTCCTCGAGAATAAGCCAGAGCGTCGTGAACTATACGTTAAAGTCAGCATCATATGGATATAAAACTAGGACGTTTTGGCTTACCTTCTTAAGATGTAACAGTGTCCATCCCTGCTCCATGCCGAAGTGGATATGGAGACCAGAATGTATGGTTGACATCGGTTTGTGAATACGAAAATTGTCTCGGAGAGCGGCGCACTACATGAAATTTGTGAGTCAGTCATCCCGAGTTATAAGGTAATGGGGGAGGGGGAATGGGAGGTGCATTAGACTTGCGGATAATACTTACAGCCCTTTGGATGGCAGGAATGGTATCGTGATGGTTAAAGTCCATAATAGGTGACACCAGTTCTCCCTCGAACCACTCATAAGCTTCCCTGGGGTCCTGAACGAAGCCATCTTTCGCCGGATTTAGATAGGATGGGGGGATGTTGATGCGATCGAGCTGGGAGATTCTGTAAGAGTCTATAGTATATTGATGGAGCTCTGGATGATGAACGGGGTTAAGCAGCTGGGTTTCGTCTCCATGGCACGTCCAAGCACTATACTTGGCCATAGCTTGGGGGACTTCGACGAAGTTTGGATCGCGCTGGCTTGCTTCCAACTCTCTCTCATATTCCAACATGGCCCTGGACACTTCCCTTTTAGCACTTTCCCTAAACTCTGTGCGGGCTGCCCTGTACTGTGCAGGTCTCTTATGGCCCCTGGCATAAGAAAACTCCAATCTTTCGTCTGAAATAGCATCGATATATTGATGTGTCGTTTCATGTAAGGCCAGGCCGTTATCGGCATGGAACTGGTCGAACTCATTTAGCATCTCCGCACGGGCAGCCTCACGGTTTAGCCGGTTTGTGCTAGCAACGTCGGGTCCGACATTTATATCCCAAAAGAATCTGTTGTGCCAGATGTCAAGTTTTACGTCTGTAACCACCTCGGGCTGGTTATATCTACCCCCCCAGCCGAACTCTGGGGTGGCTATGAAACCAACCCCCGCGAGACCCCAGTCATCGACGGTGTTTGCTGCCGCCAGATTACACTGCCTAATCTGGTGAAGGATCTCATTACGTATGGCAAGTTTCCTCATGTAGTAGGTCGCACCCATCGCTTCTTGGGGAATTTCAAGCGTAGTTGCTAGGAATCTATTGTCCTCTGGGTGCGGATCTATATTTACGTCTTTCGATGAATGGCCTTCTTGGGCAAGAAGGAATTCAAATTCGACACCTACTGTTGTTCGATTTTGTGGCCTTCCTGATTCATCGCTTTCTTGAGTTTCTTGAGATTCTTCGTTGTCTTCGTTTTCTCCAGTCTTCGGCCTTTTGGTGGGATCTTCAGTAGGCTCTTCATCGGCCCTTGTGCGTTTTGTGCGGTTTCTCCTGGGATCAAATTCTGGATTGTAAAAATACAGTACCCTTTCTGCCCTCGTTCTACCCAGCTCTCGCCGAAAGCTGGTGTGCAGACGGAGGACGGGGTCCTGTTCAGCTGACATTGTTTCAATGCTTCTTTAAGGTAGACACGCGGTTAGTTTTGAATGAGTCGAACCACTTGAAAAAGACTTTTCAGAGGGTTTTATCGTTAGGATTGGGTAGGATTTAGATAATGATCTCGAGTAGTGATCTAGAGATGTAAGTGCTCTACCTAGTAGGCATCCGGACTCGAACAATTGGGTTTTACGCGCATTTAATTATGTGATTGCCTTCCGTAAACAACAGGCCTGTATGATAACACTAGTGAATAACATCCTGTTCTATTACGTTCTAAGTATCCATCCCTGGGTTTTAAAGAATTAGAATTCGTACACTTAATCGGAGATCTGCCTATATAGTAACAGCTGTAATGTAATATCAAGACAACGTTGAGCTCCTAGTGCACCAAAAGGACATTGTAACCGAACAAATTGAACTTCAACTAACATGTATTCATAATATTGTGCTACCTAACCACATGCTGGAAAACAAAGTCTTTGAATCTCCCTCTTTGTCGTTCTTTAGTTTATAATCACGAATGGGACACCTACCCTAATCTTAGGTACTAACCTACGAAAACTTTTAATGTTCGTACTGCAGAAGTTGAGGAACGGCCACGCTAAACGTCGTCCTCTCAACGATGGTTAAGACGGATATCGTTAGGAAATGAAACCTGATGACATTTGGAATCCGTTAGCAAGCGTAAGGACAGCGACTTTGGGAAAGCTTCTGATACCGTATATACATCTATATATCTATACAAGGTATGGTATCAGATATGCACCTAAGGTAGGCACCTATGTAAATGCCTTGAATACATTCATATATATATATCTGTATGTATGAGTTTTATAAAATACTTTACAGTATTAATGGGAAGAGAGCTCTGTGGGCATAAAGGGGTAGGACGTAGCGTACTTCGTATAAGGGGTAGGTTGGGTACATAGGTACTTAATGCATGGCTTATGTAAGCACGTTACTCTTATCAGGTTATCAGGGGTTAGGTATGGAATAGGTACCTTGCTCTAGGTACCTCCTTAGGTACTGAAGGTACATCATACCTATTGAGCCCCTCGCCCCTCGCCCCTCGCCCGCCTACCATCTCCCACTTCCTCCTAAAAAAACGTCAACCCTGAAATAATTCCAAACTTGCCAACTTCCCAAGTCTTTTTCGTCCTGTCGCTTTGCTCTGGCTGTCGATTGACATGACCTAAAATGCGCGGACGCGGGGGCGCCCGAGGAAGCAGAACACCTTCTGCACCATGGAGTCGTCTTAAACCGGTGGACTTGGATCCTCTCGAGTCGATGGGATTACCATCCAAAGGGGATAGTAGGTTGGTGATCAATCTATCTTATAGCTATGGTATCCTATAGGACATGGGCCATAGGTCATAGGACAAAGGACCAAAGAACCAAAGAAACTCTGACAAGGAAAATCTGGCAGATTGCTCGATTTCAAAACCCAGGAACGTTACTATACCAAAATCGTCGAGCGCTACATGACTTTTTGCTCCGACGCTGGCGAACGTGACGAGCTTCTCCGCCGCTTTGCATCGCTAGAGCTCTCGTCCACTTATAAGCACGAAGATTTCATTGCGAAGCATGTCACAACCGACTCCTCCTCTCCGGTCCCGAGTCGGCCTTCGACGGCACCAGCCACCATACCGAGCAATACGAAAGGTCTATCCGACGTCTTATCAGCGCTGCGAAAATTACGGGAGGGTATTGTAGCTTCTAAGCGCGTCGATGACTTCGCTATTCAAGTATATCTCTTTTGCATTCGACTTTCTGTTTTGGTCAAGCATCCCGAGTCATATCACCCCGCTATCCTTCACCTCCTGCGCCGAATCCAGCCGCTGCATAGCATGACGTCGGTCGAGATGAGCGAAGTAGTTGGCTATCTCGTTCTCGATACGGCCTGCAGGAGAAATAATCTGGCCGAGGCCTTCGCGCTACGGCACAAATATCGGCTGAGAGATGCCAAGGTCGATATGGTTCTCGACGCGCTAGCACACGACAACTATATAGAATTTAATCGCCTGAAGAGAAGGGTTGACGGGCACAAGATAAAGCTGCTCGAATATGCCGATGAAGGCGTTCGGAGGCATCTGCTCAAATGCTTTGGGAGAGCGTATTTGAGTGTGGACTTGGACTTTTTGGAGTCATGCGCAGACTCAAAATGGGGAAGCCTCACGGCGGACGACGGTGTCGGGTGGGAGCTGGATGGTGGGAAGGTTGTCATCAGAAAGATAAAGGCTCGGTAGGTCTGGCAGCGCAGAATTATTGATACTATTGAGTTTTTTTCTGATGTCGTACCATGCTTGCGCATAGGGCTTAAAGTTCTTACAGGGCTGAGGAGACGGCATTGGAGCCTAGGTAGTGCCAAGATAGCCAAGACATGTTGTTAATGTTGAAGTGATCTCCTGTAAAAAGACGGTTGAATTTTGGATTGTTGGTAAGTATAAAAATAACCCGAGAGCTTTTGCTGAAGAACATATGAGGTTATATGTACCTAAGGTATCTATATCGTGTTATATATCGACTCCCATAAAGAACGTATTCTCTTGATTCCAATTAGACAAAGCAGTTTGGAGTTATTACGCCAAGCTCTTATACCCCTTTTCGAAAGATATTATTAATAGGTTGTATTAGCAGTAACCCTGGATGTACAACCCATCCACCTTGTACGTGATTACAACATACTAAGCCGCTTTTATCTCAGTATAATTAGATCGAATCCTTAAGTAAAGCTACTTACGCCATGTGAATCACGCATAATATATGCACCTAATATATATATGTCAGGGGCTCAACTAATGTCGGAAGTGGATGGGTTGTACGATTCGTACAATTAGGATTCTTGGGTTGTACATCTAGGGTTACTGTTATATTAGAGCTGAAGGTTAGGCTACCATCATGTAGCCACGGTCCACGGTTAAAAGCCGACAGTGGGAATTTTCGGATTTTGACTAATATATGCCTAGGTTAGGTAGGTAGGTAGGTACAATAAAAAGTATAACTACCTCCCTCTTACCTTGATCATCATTACCAGAGTATCAATTCAGAGATAAATGTCACTTATTCATTCGCTGATAACTACCTACCTTTTAGCCCTATCTGCGCTTTCGTCGTATCTCGTAACGTCGTAATGGCGAGGATCGCGTCTAATTCATTGGGCTGGCTCCTGCTAGCCGCTCAAGGCGCGCTGGCAGGTTTGACGGTCGACGTTGAAAACACTGGTTAGTAAAAGAAAAACCCTTTGGCAAAAGGAAATATGTTCTGGATAGATTAGTCATCGCTTACACGAGTTACTAGACTCTATCAAAGCGGCAGCAGCTCTCGTAGCGGAGGACCTTATGGGACTCTACGATGGCGATAAGCCGGGTAACATTCCTGGTTTACTACCTGGGGTTGATACCGGAGATGTCAACTGGTGGACAGGAGGTGTTCTATGGGACACTTTGCTGGGCTACAAAGGCCACTCCGGGGAGTCTAAGTACGACGAGTCCATCTCGCGTGGCATCCAATGGCAGACTGGGTCAACCCCCGACTTCATTCCTGCGAATTGGTCAATCTCAATAGCCAATTCGGACCAAGGCATATGGGCTCTGTCCGCTGTCGCTGCTAACGAAACTGGCCTAAAGTTATTAGACGAAGACTCGCAGCAGTGGCTGACGCTGGCTAAGAATGTCTTCGATGAACTAAACAGCGAGGATAGACGAGTTACGGAAGGTGGCTGCGCTGGCGCTCTGAGGTGGCAGATATACCCGCTGAACAATGGTTATAACTACGTTGACTGTTCGTAAACCCCGTTGTATTAACCGACTGCTTTTTTCTTCTTCTGCAGTATGACCTACGATCTAGAATCTAAGCACTAACATGGTCTTAGCTTCTTCGAACATCATTTTCCTCAATCTAGCAGCTCGACTGGCGCATCTGACTGGCAACCAAACCTATGCGGATGCGGCCGCTTCAACTTATGATATTCTCTCGCGTCTCGGTTTTATCACCAAGGATTTCAATATATACGACGGCGCGCACACGGACGAATGCGAAGACATCAACAAGGTGCAATTCTCGTGGAATGCCGCGTATCTGTTGGAGGGTTCCGCGTACATGTATAATCTTGTAAGTATTTTTTTTCATCCCTTTCCTAAATACCTTTCATCCAGGATCTATACCTACCTAACTACCTAGAACTATTTTATCCTTGTGAGGTACTGACGGACAATATAGACTGGAAATGACACCTGGAAGGAGCGCGTAGACGGTCTCGTCGACCGAACTCTCAAAATCTTCTTCCCGGATGGCGTGGCAACCGAGATCGCATGCGAGAAGAATAACAGATGCAACTCAGACATGCACTTCTTCAAAGGGATCCTACACAGGGCGCTCGCGTCGGCCGCGAAGGTCGCGCCGCACACCGCCAGCAAGATCCATCCCAACCTCAAGTCGAGCGCCAAGGCGGCCGCTGCGGAGTGCACGGGAGGCGAGAACGGCCGCATGTGTGGATTCGCCTGGAACAAGAGGGAGTTTGACGGCACGACGGGAGCCGCGCAGCAGATGAACGTGCTAAGCGCCTTGGTGAGCATCCTCCCGGATGAACAGGTCTCGGGAGGCAGCACCAATGGTAGCACTAGCAATGGTAATGGAAATGGAAGCGGAAGCGGAAGCGGAAACTCTAACGGGGGCAGCTCTGACAATGTTACTCCGGGTAGCGCGGGAACCAAATTAAGCGTAAGCGTTGCTCTTTGGGGATCATTGTTATTGGGAAGCCTCCTATTGTAGGATACCAAGATAAGGTACTCATTGAGTAGGTGCCTATCTTTATCATGTATTTTTAAATAATATTAGAGCATAAATATGTAGACTATATGAATCTGCCGAAAATCCCACTCGAGCACGCTCGAGTACTTGACTAGGGTAAAGTTGAAGATAATTTTAGATATACATCCTTCCCCCTTTCAGGAGATCCTTATAAGTTACCAAGCATTGTTCAACCAGTCTTATCTTCCTCTTGCCCTTCCCGTGTTCGAGTCAGATTGCCGCAAATTGGCAAACTAAAAACCAAGTTCCCTTCTATTATTCCTTTCTCTTCTTCGAATCCCTCGGATCGCTCTATGAGCGTCTATTGATGCTTTACTGATACGCGCCGTTGATATACCGGTGTAACAGTTCATATCCAGCTAGCCCGCAACGTTTGCAGACTCGCTCCTCATCGTAGATGCAGCTGATGGTGTCGAGCCTCATCTGGCAGGCGCATGTTAGGTTTATTGGAGTCGCGCGGCACATTTTAAGTGTTGTTATATTTAAATGATGGTATAAAAATGTTGTCCCATCTTCTGCTCTCGAAGTGATATCCGCGGCCTTCTATAAGAGCAGACCATACCTCCTTGTATATGCTCACAATGTGAGGTATAAAGGTGTTCCTTCTTCTAAAGTTCATATGAAAGTACCTTGAAAAAGGGACACGATATAAAGACATATTGTTTCCCCAGGCGCACGAGTGGGCTCGGACAATGAAGGGATGTACTATAATAGTACCTAGGTATTCAAAGAAAGTCCTTAGGAATGCTATTTTTGACCAGGAACATTGAGCTGAATGAAGTACCAGCGGGGCAAATATGTCGCCTACTTTGTCCATACTCACTTGAGATATGATCGTCTTTCACCTCTATTAGCAAAACGTCTTTAGAATTCGCTGCTGACGCTATCATGAGCTATAGCCACACTTGGTAAGTAAAAAGATTTATAGCTCGAGCCCTCCTTTGATGGTTGCAATATGTGCAAGGTACCGGATGCGCATCCTTTATATAATACTCTCCTTTTAGCCTGTTAATGTGGTGTTAATAATACCTGCTGAGAACTAGCGTGGGAATCGCTCTTTCAAGGGATGCATCCCACCTATACAGGTACCTAACCTAAGGTAAGTCTAAAGATGGCAGAGTCTATGATAGAAGTGACGATCGTAAGCTATACCTTTGAGAGAGCTAAATAATATTGTCTCTAAAGAGTACCCGGCATCTAAGGTTTAAATGCCTGCATTCTGCATCGTAGCTCTCTGGACCTACTTGAAAAAGAAGACGCATAATTACGGTGAGTAGATTCAGAGTTTATGACTGCATGTTAGTGAGGCCATAATAAGATTGACTTCACGTTTCGGCAACCTTATGACCAAACCAGGTGGCTTCTATGATATTTTGACAGTACAAAGCAAAGTATATTCTTTATAGGAGGCACATGCGTCGGTACATTCTCTTTTTTCTCGACGTGTGAACACGATGCTTTGATAACCTGAAACAATTATCGCCTCTTGTCTGTTCATTCAAATACTCCAAGAAGACAGAGTACGAGTCAACCTCATCCTACTACTCTATATCGACCTAAGAATATCACCGCCGTTTAGCCAAGTCGGAATCAAGATGTGCAAGAGTCACGACCTTTTCTATATGTGCGGATGTCGGTTCGTTGAAGAGAAGACCGGCGAATGGAAGTACGAGATAGAGCTATGCGACAGAGCTAGGAAGAAACAGAAGCCCTGTGCGAAGCTCGAGGTAGCGCTGCCGATCTTTGCCAAAGACACATACTGCGATGACCCGCACTGCCCAGCTTACGATTGAGCCGATGGGCTATTGTGGCTGATTTCTAAGTTCAGATCGGGGACACGATATTGGTTATATTCTTCGTTGGCTCCCTCCTTTTTTTGGGCCGCAAAACATTGGGAATCTGTCTTTGTACCAGGAGGCTGGGTAGACCAGGTAGATATGTCGGAACCCAAATGTCTTACTGGAAGCCACCAATTGAAGCAAAATAAACGTTGAAGACTCATTGTGCGACTTCCTGCCTCGCATCAGCAACCAAGTGTGTCTTTCCCACTGGATTAGACGCCAACCATAGACAAGTCCCCTTCTACTTTTCATACATAACCTAGGTAGATACTTTTTATAATAGTGTTGTCGCCTAAAAGGTTTTCATGCTGCGTTTATGACATCAATCAGAGGCTCGCAATACCTAGGTTCACGATGATAGGTCAGTTCCAGCTAGCCAATGTTAGAATTGGCCAACCGCTGGCGCCAGTTATCACCACGGAAACGTCTGGATCCCTGCACATCAAAACAAACGTGGACATGGGTGTAGCCAAGCTTCTGCCGAGCCCAACCATCAGCCCTATATGCCAGACGTGCTAATCCCGCTACTCCATCTTCGTGCTAGCATATGGCTGTTGCAGTCGTTGGAGAACATGCTGATATGTTAGATATATTACCTAGTACTATCTTAGTGCTGAGATATAACGTAGCTAACACTGAATCTAGCAAGGCGTATGATTTTTTTTTCTCTCCTGTTTCGAATGAGGCTCCTAGTCTTTACTAAAGCATAAGGGCGACAACGCAGCATAGTACTTACAAGGGGTATATCCTGGAAAACTGGACCCTCAACTTAGATGGGGCGAACTGTGAACGGAACACTACCCCATAGGCTGGGCGCCAGCACAGAGTTGGGTCGTTGGCGTGAACATATAACTGGCGGAGAGGCGCCTTTCTTGGCTTTTGGCTTTTGCAGTATTTCTGCCTTCTGCGATCGTGGGAGACGATCGACCAGCAGCAAGATAGGATTTTATAAGGACGCACTGCAATTCCCAAGATAATGATGCTGTCCCATCGTGATCTTGACTACGCTAGCCACCGGTTGCAGTTGGTGGGTTCTCGGGTGGTGGAGCCTGAGGATTCCGGTCACCGAGTTATTCCTACGCAACATCACCACCATCACCAACACCACCATCATGTTGATTCTTACGACGAGGCGGGAGATCCGAGTCTCGAGAACGGGAAACGCCACACGCCGAAATTCCTTAAGGTGAGATTCTCTGGATTCCCTATATGGTTTTGGTGCCTGAGCAGGACTAACGGATATCAGACTCACTCAGCTACCAATTTTGAGGTTCGCCTAGGCCCGTGCTCCCACTAGGTTTTCCAGCATGTATTGACGATCGATCTACCTAACTAGCTCTTCTACGATTTGTGGTTCGTAGCCAATTTGAGTGTCTTTACCAGCGTGAGTGTCAGGTATATCCATCAGATTGCGTTACTGTATTAACGAATTGGCATAGAAACATGACATCTCGGATAAATCCAAATTCTCGTCTTTTATCGGATATATCGTGTAAGTTTAGGTACCTGGGTAGTTCACGCGTGGGAAAACCCCTAGTCTCACACAGAACCTAGTCTCTTATGGACGACATGGCTCTTAACTACCCTCTACGACGTACGGTTCACGGCCGACAGTGTGTGGGAGCGTTGCTGCAAGGCCATTCACCTAGGAGTCATGATAGGATTTGCCGAAATTGGCGCCGCCTTCGACCCAAACGACCAAATCGTGGCAGTATTTAGGGCCATGTCGCTGTTCCTTGCCGTTTCTCGTTTGGTCCTTGCTTTCCAGTACGGCATGGTCCTATTCCAAATTCGTACCTACGCCCACGGCAAGCGTCCTATGTTCATCACGGCCCTTTTCCATTTCGTCGCTGCTGCGATATACTTCGGTGTCTCTTTTAGGTATGACTTAGGAAAGACAAGTCGGGTCTTCCTTGTTTGGTATATTGGCGGTGTTGTTGAGATGGCTCTGCACCTGCGCATGTCCCAATTATCCCACGTCCTAACTTTCCTCGGTACACATATGGGCGAGCGCTTGAACCTCCTAACACTAATCATTCTTGGAGAAGGTATATTTACTTGTCCTTGAACGAGAGCAACGCTAATATGTACGTCAGGTTGCATAATTCTCGCCAAGAGTATTACCCTCTTGGTGAAAGACACCTATCTCAAGGATCCCAGCTTCTCGATGTGGAGTAGGTACTGTTGCCCTAATTGCATGATCTACAACTAACATCACCAAGGCTCAAATCTCATCGGTCTTGTTGCCGCTGGTACTGCGTTGATATACATTATTTTCCAGCTCTACTTCGACTGGATGCACGATGAACATTCAATGTCCAGGCGACATCAAGTCATGTGGTAAGTAGTTCGCTAAAACAATCCAACCATCCTTCATTATCTAACGTTCATGACCCTTCAGGACAGTGGTACATCTACCCTTTCACATAGCCCTCACTCTTCTTGTTGAAGGTGCGAATCAGTTCATAGTCTGGGCCCGTATCCTCGAGACCTCCAATGCTGCTCTCTCGAAGGTCGTCGATCTTCAGTCTAAGTTCGTGGACATGACGTCCAAGGAAGTTTCCGAAAAGCTTGCAAGTGTGATTAAACCGTTCCTCGAAAAATACCAGCCGGCCGATGTCGAGGAGACCATGGACTCAGTGAACGAAACCCTCGAGCATATCGCTGATATCCCTAACTCGTTCTGGAAAGAGGGTTCGACCCCGGATAGTTCGACGCTGGTTCATTACCAGAACGATCTGATAGACTTGATGAACACGATGGTCAATGCTGTCTATACTGCTTTCGAAATTGAGCCACCCGAAGGAGAGGATAATGGCCCCAAGCCCGAATATTGGCAGTCTGAAGCAGCAGTCGCAGTCGCTAAAAGGTTTAGATTAGTTGTGAGTACATTTCTGTCTTGTCAATATCACTTACCTTCTACTTAGGGCTCCTGAATTAACGTGATCAACGCCAGTATATTTATGCTTTCTCATGCGCTGGTATTGTCCTGTTAATGTTGACTATTATGCACATCATCTCGAAGCGAAGAGGATGGACGCCCTTCAATATCTTCAGAACTGCCGCCTGCATCTCGATTTCCATCATCCTAGCGCTCCTTACTTTAGTAGTAGTCAACCAGGAGGCCGTGTTTAGAGGAGACAGGCGCACTGCATTTTACGGCAGTTCTTGGATGTTGCCGGCCATCACAATCGGTTACTTCGTCGTCCTTGTCCTCACGCATCTGCCACACCCGACTGGATTCTGGATGGGAAACGTCGACAAGGGGACGTACAAAACGGTCAATGTGCCGAGAGATCCCAAGGGGCTTCAGACCCCACCGCCCATATTACGGAATAATCACCATCTCATGGACTACGAAGACGGACGCGTAGGATCGTCGTCTGGGGAATATGATACGGTATCTCCGCCCTTGCCGCGATACGAAGATCGCAGAGCAAGGGAGGCGCGGAGACAAAGACGTAGCCGAGAAAGACGAAGCCAGGATGTAAATACTCGTGGACGGCGACGCGGATATGACGAGTGATGTGGTCCACGAGCTACGCGCGATTGTTTATGCACGGATGAAGAGTTGACGATTAAGTATAAGGTTAGGTATATATGAGTTACGTGTCCAGCCGGTAAGTTGTTCCGAATTGAAGGATCTTGGCAAGTGGAAGTTGGCGCAGTACAGCGTCCTTTGGATAATAAGTCTTTATAGCGGCGTTATGGGTTTATAAAGCGGCGTCAAGTTGGATGATGCTGAGATTGATTCTATCATATTATTGTTCGCATGGATATTGTATATAGTGGAATAGGATAGGATCTACGAGGACATAAACAAAAGGTCAATGTTAACCTTTCAACGCCATAGTAATACAATATGTGCCGTTGTTACGAGAACTCGAGTAAGTAAAAAGATAGCTGCGAAAGCAAGAAGGTTGTATAAATCAAGCTAAGGCTGAGCCACTGGTATGACTGGAGGCTCTATGCGACTTTCTTCCCGACGTACACCGCGATAAGAAGACCTCCGGAATAAGGGGCTGTCGTCATCTTGAATCCGTTGGCAGGGTCGTCTAAGTAGCTTAACAAGTCCTTGTAACCCTCCGCGGCCGAAACGTTGTCAGCAACGACCATTGCACCAATCTTCATTCGTGGATGTACGAGGGTCAAGGTTGGTAGCGCCAGGGGAGTCCAGACTTTCTTCGTATTAGCTCATAGAACAGGTAACTCCATCTCGGAAGTGGAAACTTACTATCTAGTAGTAAGAAGTCGACCTGGTCAGGCAAATCGGACTTAAGGGTCTCGCGAAGATCGCCTTCGCGCAGCTCAATACACTTCTCGACCTCATCCCCGGCGGCCTTCCAATGCTGCCGAGCTCTAGCTGCCTTGACCGACTCGTTCTCCGTCGCGATCACTCTTCCGTCAGAGCCTTTCAGTGCGGCATTCTGTCCCACGGCTAAGGCGAGGTAAATGGTGCTCAGGCCGAAAGAAGTTCCCGCTTCGACGACGAAACGCGCCTGAGTGGATCGAAGGAGGAGATACACCAATGCGCACTTGTCTGGATCAAGAGCCACGAACTTGTCTAACGCTCCCGTTGTCGGGCCAATCCCACCTAAAAAGGGGATTTCGGAAAGGGCCTGCGTATGTAAATCACGGAGGACCTGGAGGACTTGGGGGCTAGCCTCTATAGAGGCTAAGGTTTTCTCGATCTCGGGGAAGTCGGACATTGCGTATGGCGAATTGGGTTTGCTGAAGAGCATGATACCTTGAAGAAACTCTCAGGACATTCACCCCTTTTATACACGGATTTGGCCCATATATTTATGATTCATGCAGTGTTATTAAATCTCGAGCGCTAGAGTTTCGCTAATACATCTCGGTAGAACATAGTATGAAGTGAGTCATAGGAGCTTTCCTGTCTCGGCTACTTATTAAAGTGTGATATACCCACCCACGATGGGGAATAAAATAAAAGATGCAACTATATGCGAAGAGACTGCTTCGAGGCGTCTTATAATCACTACAAATCCACTACGCCAACTCCGAGGAGATGCAACATCGTGAGAAGCAATAAGCATTTAGGCTACGTCATATGCGAGTTTTGAATTTTCTCCGATGGCAGCCGATATTTTCGATCAAGTCATACCAATGCATGTAACGACCACAGAAGATGGGTAGGTATTTAACGATCGTGGAAGTGTGGTTGCAATTATAACATAACATACAGTTTATTCAGATGGACTAGGTATAACTTCCTTTGATAGTATGGTAATAGAAGGGTTTCTTTCACGATCTAGGATCATAACTGGTTGGATGGATTTCCCTAAGCCATCATATCACACTATTTAGATTCTTTTTGAAATAAAGCATACTTGGTATGCAGAAATGCTCTCAAGTGTAACAGACATGTATATAAGTACCTGACCTTAGATACAACTATAATTTAAACCAACAACTCCTCAATCATTCTATATACTAGTTAGTCCTTACGTTTCTAGTTCCAAAGGGCCTGAGTCCGATAGTGAACATATCGAGACAACCCGCCAAGCCTAGACTTGAATTGTCGAACATTATAACCAAAATTATAGGTTAAAATGGACTTTTCATGTCTCGGTTTGGCAGGGTCTGTTCGATAGGGGTTCCACCGACGAACGATATAATTATCATATTCAGGGTCGGAATGTTCTCTTTCATCGACTACGGGTACGTACTGAGCATCGCTTTTTAGCATAGCTTCCAAGTGGTCAGGCGGCTTGTAGTCGGTGTCAGACTTTCCTAAATCTTCGCTTTCCCATCCTTCCTCTCGCATGGTCATCGCTTTGAAGAGTTCGTAGTCTGCATTTGCCTGTCGGTGATGTTCCTCTGCTGAAGATTCTTCGGTCCACTCAAACAGTTCAAAAGGTCTTTCGTCACCGTCAGTGACATGCCCTTCACAATGCCTCTGGAACTTGGTCATAAAGGTCGTTGGAAATCCTCTCTCGTCTACATTGACATTAATATGACCATGAAGAAGACAAGCATCCTCGTCCGTACCTAGCCTTATCGTTAGGTGTGGATCAGCATCTACGACGAGATATTCCTTTGGGTTGCCAGCATTGTCCCAGTTTGTCGGCACCTTCTCACCGTTTTCATACGCGTATTTACTCTTGTGAACAGGACAAATTATCCATACGACCGTACAGCCGCACCTTACTGCCACGGTCTTTGCCATATCGGTGTTGGCATCGACGGCACGGTATAGATCTTCTTCGTCCTCAAACTCTGGGATTCTTAGTTCATTCCGCTGTTCTTCTGTTAGGCGAGCAGCCCAGATGACCATGGGGTTTTCAAGCGTTCCTTCTCCATCTCTAGGAAATTTTTCAATGTCCTCCGGCTTCACCCGTAATTTATGAGCACCTCCTTTTGGAAGCTCCATACCCGGGTCCCATTTCCGTCCTTTGGCTTGGTCGAATATCATTTTAAACCTTCTATTTCGTTACGATGTGCTTATTATAGGTCCTCTAACCTGAATTCAACCGTATTGGCTTATATTAGGGTATGTCCTATATATACACGAATCTGAATAAAAGCCGCAGTGGGCAAGGGGGTTTGGCATTGATACTATGATTAGATTATCATTCAGCACATTTAAAACAACTGAGAGACGATTCATTGTCTAATTGTCTTATACCCTTATTGTGAGATCACCTAACCTATTGTTGAATGATGGCTTTGCCGTATATCTACAAAAAGAACGCTTCTAATCAATCCTCTGACGGCAAATGCAATGTTCAATCTTTAAGCCTTCTCTGGCCTAAGTGTCTGGTTTGATTGGAAGACAACCTATTCTCAATAAAACATCTAGGTAGCTGTGAGATAGGTTTCATTGGGTTATTTAAGTTACATTTTATAACTACAGAATTATAGTCAACATAATTATGTCCTTTAGCCGACAGCCGAATTATTTAACAAATTGTACAACAAATAAAGATCCTTCCTTGCCATGTTTAATATAACAAGAGGTCCTTCTTTGATACCTAACCCCGTGTGAACAAAGAACCAATCTACCATAAACGTACATTCGGAAACTTCTTCTCACTAACGTGAATCTATCTCACAAGGTACCTAGGTACATTACCTAGCCGTACCTTCGTAGAGTGCTGACATTGTAAACAAAGAAGGTCAAACATATGTATACCTGAGAGCCCAGGTAATTAGAGCTATCATTTCTTTTATACACCTATTCAATTGTTTCTTCATTACTAGGTCGCATTTATTAGTCGCCCACCTCCTTGTCTTTAGGGTACTATGAAACCCTTTCAGCGTTTATACCAACGTGCTGTAGAAGACACTGGGGAGGTAGAAGACAGGGAGAGATACCGGCCAGGTGGATACCACCCAATTCATTTCAATGATAGTCTTGGCCCCGACCAGCAATTTGATGTCGTCCATAAGATTGGATGGAGTGTGAACTCTACTGTGTGGCTATGCTTTGACAAAGAGTCCCGATACTACAGATCAGTCAAGGTCATGACCGCAGAAGAGTCTGCAGAAGACTGTCAGGAACTTCAAATAATGAAAACTTTGAGCGACATAAGCCGTGAGGAGCTGAGTGATAACTATATTGGTATACCTCACGATTATTTCTGGCACCAGGGGCCGAATGGCCGCCACCTTTGTCTGGTCTCGGACCTCCTTGGCCCCAGCTTATTCAGGAATTCACCTCTGGGTACTGGGCTTCACACCCCGGAGATCTTGACAGACTTAACGTTCCAAATAATTAAGGGACTACAGTATCTTCATAAGAAAGGAATTTGCCATGGAGGTATGTGACCAGTCTCTACCTAAGAGTCAAAGTACAGGTCACGAAGACTAACATGATAAGACCTAAGACCAAGCAACATTCTTCTGCAGTTACACCAGTATAGTTTGATGGAGCTCTCCAATGACCAGCTTAATAGGTACCTCGGGCCTCGGGAGTATCAACCGCTTCGAACACTACCTGGGATAGCTCCTTCATCCCACGGACCTAGGTATCTAGCACTACCTGCGTCTCTAGACAAAATAGAAATAAAATGTCGAACCAGAAAGGTTGCGCTTGTTGACTTCAGTCATAGCTTCTATAGCACAAGCCTTACAAACCCCATCCGGTGGCACAGACAATATGCCGGTCCCGAATTGTTGTTTACAAAAGCTTTAAGTGGGTTGCCCCGAGATATCTGGGCGTTGGCCTGTACTATATATGAGGTCAAGCTCAAGACACAACTTTTCAGCGAATATCAAGACTACAAGTCACTAATACGACAAATGGAATTATGGTTTGGGCCTTTACCGGTGAAGTATCGACAAATTGCAAGCACCTACTTAAGCAGTAGGAAACTGTCTGCAAGCAACGCATCATCAGTACCTCAAGACAGATTATCCAATCCACATCAGCTACTTTCACTTTCCACAGACGAAGAAAAACAGAGGAGGAATTGGTATATGGAGGGCAGCGAATGGCCAAATCTCTTGCAAGCAGCACTAGGCAGGGAAGAGCGGTGCTTTGTTTACGAGAAAGACCTCGCGGGAAATGGTGTATTAGATGACACAGACTCTAGTATTAGTGATTGGGACAGTGCAAGTCAAAATGAGTCTTCCGATGAAGGATCTGGCATTGACGTGCCTGACCAATCAGACTTGCACCTAGAAAAGACCGGGAACCTAGACCGTGTATCGGAGGATTCGAAAGAAAGAAATTCTGAAGAGCCGAATTCTTCGCCATCAGAGGTACCCACCATCTCTGCGCATTCCACGAATCAGCCTCGACATGAGCAAGACTTCCCAGAAACAGGTCCGCTGATTGAAGTGAAGGAGACATCTCAAGATCATGACACTGGTGAAGAAGAGGGAGGTCAAACTAACCCCCCGCCAAGTCCTCCAAAGTCCTTAAGAAGAATGAGCGATGCCGAATCTAGCGTGGGAAAAGAAGCGAAACGGCGACGTACTAGCAAGGACTCAAAGCAAGAGAGCAATGAACTAGTAGAATTGGTGGTTTGCATGCCTAGAGAGGAAGTGCTGCTTCTATCAGACCTCTTAATGCGTATGTTTAAATATGATCCGAAAGAGCGCATTGACATCGACACTGTCGTCAATCATGAATATTGGGGCGATAGGAGAAGTAACTGGGGTAAAAAACAGGAAGATCTTGGCGAAGAAATCCCCGACCCCATATCCTCGAGGACTCGCAGTCGGGTTGCAAGGGCTCAACAACAGGTAGAGTCAGGTTCGACTTAAGACTCTAGTTACTGATGGTTTGATCCACTTGTACAATCCTCTTCATGTACCTAATCTAGTTTATTTATTCCTTGGAAAAGTATCGCTCTTGAAAGAGTGTTGACCTTACTGCTCTTAGGTATGATGTTCTTGCTGGAATTGACCGATGGCTTAGGGAGCACGGAGGTAGAAAAATAATTACCTAGAATAGCAATGAGAAGAGCTGATTTCTCGAATATTTCTTCCTAATAGGGAACCCCAGCCTCAAGCACAGTACACTGTTCGGAGCCGAAGTATTGGCATCACCACGCTGTGTCACCGAATATTTGGGGCTGAACAAGATCAAGCAAACGCAGTATCTATTTGTGTAGCATGGCCTTGTACTGCAATCGTTATACGAGATGATTATCAGTGCCAAGGCGACGATCACAAAGCATTTCTAAGACATTTTCCAAAACAAAGCTCTTTGCGACAGTTACATCAATTTATTGCTGGCCGTCCCCAAGAAACAATACAAATAATCATGTAACCTTTCAGAGTTGCTCTACACTTATTGAGAGTCCTACGTTAAGTGAGAATTCAGTACAAGCTCTACTGGGGCTGATTTTAGCTATTGTTGCGTGTAGTTTTCTTGTGTTAGTTAGTTAGTCCAACAGAAACACCAAGTTAAGAAAGAAGATGTTGGTTGGTAAAACTCCTGCACCGCAACGTGATATCAAGTAGGTAGGCTGCGTTTACGAAGGATGCGAAAAAGAGGCTATTGAATAGGTACCTACCTAACGATTGTACTGCCAACCTGAGGCCACACGTGGTGGATTTATTAATAGATTATGCCAAGGTAATGTACCTTAGCGTTTGCAGCCACGTTGGGCGACACAACTACGAGGTAGCTTATCATCCGTAAATGAGGGGGAAATATCGGGCACAGCCACGTAGAATCCGGGGTCTATGAGCGTTCAGGTCCCACCCGCCGTCGTTTTCGCGACCACTGAGAGGAGATTGTCAGTATGGCCTCTTGAGGCTCCATCGTAGTATGCAAAGCTTGCACCAACCCGCGCTCAGCCGCCCCGCACTTTGCTGTCAGCAGCCAACCTTCGCCCATGGCTCCTTCGACTATTCAGCCTCGTGAAAACTCATTCACGGTGTGGACTTACACGAGAAGTCTCTTCGACCTCGTATATATAAATCTCTCGTCAATCGTCACTTCAAGATAACTTTCTATCGGCATCTCCAACGCATTCTACCTCTCTAATAGTATATCCACTAATCTATCTACATCGCTCTTAATCACCGCCTTCCAGTCGAAGCATATTACTCCCAGCTTACAACTTCGTCTAATCAATAATATCAAAGATGCCTTCCTTCACTAAGACCGCCGCTTCTTTGGCCTACCTCGCAGCCGTCGCGATGGCAACCCCCATTGAGAGGCGAGGAGAGTACCCGGTAACGACCATCAGCAGTTTCACCGCTCCTAGTTCCACCGCAACCTCTGCCTCCAGCTACAGCACCGCTACCCCCATTACTTACCCTCCACCTGTTAATACTTGCTCGCCTGGGACCAACGGTAGCGCTTGGCAGCCGACCATGTACAACATCTTCCCGCAAGACCCTGACCACTCGGAGCCGTCGGTATCCTTCATCAGGATAGCTACGGAGGAGAACAAGGCACCGATCGAGCAGGTCATAGTGTTCCGGGGCATCCCGGCCGGAGTCAAGACGTGCAACCTCAACTGGGACCAGGCCGCGGAGGCGGAGCGCAACTTCACCGTTACCGGCAGCGGGCTCGCGGGTCTGCAGCAGCTGGACGGGTTCCCGTACGGCACACCGGTCTCTTACTCCAGCGTGTCCCCGTTCGTCCCCGAGAACGGCAAGGCCACGCACGCCGACTTCACCTTCTGGGACAAGCAGTCCAAGGACGCCTGGGCCCACTCCGTCGGCCCCGTCAACTGCAGCGAGGAGATCTACATCAAGCTCACGCTCGACCCCCTCAGCGGCTACGGCCGCGTCTACATGGACCAGGACAAGAAGAACGGCTTCCACATCGACTACACTTGCTAAATGGAAAACGAAACGGAACGGAACGGAACGAAATGAAATGAATATAGCAGGGAAAGGAAACTCACTCATCTTACGACTTTTATCACACGCATTAGCGTTGGCGTTTTAAAGATGGCATCTATCTACGTATGAATCACGCTCCTTTACCGGTATTTTGGAAGGACTGCATCTATTTTATAATTATATAATCTGTTAATACCTACTTATACGAATATACTTATTTACATTCACAGCTTTCTCTTAATTTTGTCGTTTTGAAGTGTACCTTAGGTACCTTTCGTGATGCCTAGCAAGACCATCCTTACCTACCTGTGACCAAGAGGTAGACCTCATAAACACCATGTAAAGGTCATCTCATGTGGCTATCAAAGTAGAACTTGCTCCGATGGTCCTTAGTGTTACCTATATTTTGAGATTGAATAGTTTCACGTCGTTAGGATCTTTGGTATATTAAGTATATTAAGGCATAATTGAACATCGTTTATTACCCGTGGATATATCCTCGTTGCTTCACATAATCTATGCTCATGTCAAATCCCATGCGTGTATCATAACAAATAGTAGTACAATCTAATGGCATATCCCTTTGTACCTCATGTATCTAGCGGCTTTTCCGTCTCCTGTTTACTCCGCCGTCGTATATCTTCTAGCCAACGCTTCTTTTCGAGCCTTAGGCTCCTGCGCGTCCATATAATCGTGATGAGGGTCCAGAGAATGGTAAAAACTAACGGTGCTCCCCAGCCTATGGCTCGACGTTAGTGAGGGGCGAAGAGTAGTAAGCGGATATTGTAATTTACCTATGCCATAAGCGATCTCTTGGGGAATAGTCCACACTACAACCAGAGACCCAACCCCAACGATCATAGAGCCAACACCCCAAAACCAGTTTAGACCCCTGATCAACGTCCTGAAATATTTACTGACTTTATATCTACGCAATACCCTCTGTCTGTACGTCTTCCCCGCTCCGCCATCCACAGCCACGACATCTTCTATGAACGTCAACAACACAGGGGGTATCGGCGCTCCCTTTGGCGTGGAGCTAACCTTGCAGGTGGCGGGCATGTGCATGACTTCCATGAAGCCCGTAGCAAGGGCCAGAGAGCCGACCTCAATGAAGAATAGGGGTAGTGGCATGGCCAACGGGCGCACTAACGGCTCGTGGGGGATGGACGCGCCTATCAGGATTCCAGTCATGACCGTATATCCTACCGATAGCGCCATGTGTGTGAAGTCGAAGCGCCAGCGCTTGCCGTCCAGCGGTCGGTACTTGTCATCTTTCATGATTAGCCGCCACGAGCGGTGGGCAAACTCTAGACCCGAGACGATGCCAAAGAAAGAAGTGATGATTGCGAAAACTAGTTTAGCGTGTAAGTAAGCCTACTATCCTGCACTATTTACAGAGGTTGTATATATATAAGGTATATATGGGAAAGGGGTGGGAAAGGGGTGGGAAAGGGGTGGGAAAGGGGTAGAAGAGGAGATGCAGTAGATAGAGAATAAGGTACTTACGAATTCCATGCCTCAACGTCGTACCGTACCATAGCGGATAGAACAGAACAATCGGCAATATGCTTCCTTCGAGAAGTAAGAGACCCCCCACGAAAAAGAGCTTCTTCTTGTGCTCTAGTAGCTTATAGTTCAGCCGCGGTAGGCCAGGCAGCTCCTCGGTCTGATCCTTGCTCGCGGTCGCCGACGAAGCAGAAGAATCCGGAGGCTCGCCCGCGCCGGACGACGCCGTGGGCGGGTCTAGATCAGCCTTTCCATTCTCTAAGTCATTCCCAGCCATATCGCGACTTATCAGCGAGCGAAATCTGGAGAAAGCGACAGATAGCAAGAGGTTTTTTTTCCTTTCTTTTTTTGTTTTGCTTAAGTTATCAGGCCGTTATTATGTCTGTAGCCGAAACTGACACAATCATTTGATTTATTTAGGTAGTTAAATGTAGAGCCCCAATTCTATGGGAAGAGGTAGTTAATGCTCATTTTCTTGAGAATATTTTATTTGGCGTGTACGGCACCAAGTTTTCTTTTTTCTTGATGGGTTCGGATGCTGACATTGTGTTAGGTAGTTTATTTGATCGATCTCGAAAGACGATACGAAGGCTGACGAAAGCCCAGAAGTATAGCGATGACGTTGATGATTCTGAGCCTTTACGCAGGGATAATCCTGTCGCCCCCAAAAATAAATTCCGAACGGTACAATCCTTGCAACATGGCATATATGCAACATACGAAGCTTAGATCTTGAACTGCCGTTACATCCGTAATAGTGTGGTATGCTCTTATGTACCTAAGGTATCTAGATAAGTGTTTATATGCAACAAACGCATCAAAGATTAAAGCTTACGGGTGTACCCTAAAGTCCAGGCCTTACTCCACCCAAACCGCTACGTGATGACGTATTTAGACCCTTGACATTTGGCCCATTACGACGGAATTCAAGATATCTTGTCTTGGATCTGACAATGCTGCTCATGATTTCATGCAGATAATTAACAACCATTCAAATGTGCGTTTGAAATTGTCACATAAGTGATGTTGTATATTATGTATAGTACAGTAAAGGAGGGCTTATCATATCGCAATATACCTTATATAGGGATATATATAATATAAATATAATACACATTGGCAGGCAGTCGTCACTTACAATAGCCTATAGGTGACGATTCATTCCATGAGCGTATCTACCTAGTTTGGGCCAATCGTATAGTCAAGCTCCGTTCATTAATAATATTAGTAGTATACCCGATGATTAACTGTCTAACGGTCAGTTAAATTAAGCCGTGCGTCGTGTCTCAACACAATACCATTCGCTTCTTGTTCAGTCTGAAGTACTCTCATCCTTAGGTTTAGAATGTAGTAGTGGTGGTAGTTTCAAAGGGAGGCCAAGAATAGAATGTGTTTGATCTTCTTCAAAGATTCTCTTGAGCTTACGGCAGCAATCCCCATACAGTCGTTCGGATTTTGGTGGGGGTTTCATTGGGTTTGGCCCTTTATCCCAGCCATGTGCTACGCCAGATATCATGGTATAATAGACGTTCTTCGAAATGGGAGGCTTCTGGAGCCTCTGAGCAAGTGATTCGCCTTCGTGTAATAGCATGTCCCACTCGCACGTGTAGAATAGTACATTGTCGGGCAGGCCCTCGATTAGCACTTCATCCGACGCTTTCGAGGGTGACAGACATGGGTGAGAAAGGTCTAATTCGGGAGGAAATAGATAAGATGCATCGAATAAATTCGTTAACGTTGGCGGTAGAGTGGCTTCGGGGCGGATCGCGGAGGCCCGGCGCTCAGCACGAGTAAGTGTATAGTCGGTGATTGGATACCAAGTCGCGACAGCGACAATACGGTACTCCGGAAGTTTCGCAGTCTTCTGGTGCTCGGACAAGCGAATTGGTGCCGTGAGAGCTATATTTCCGCCTGCGGAAAACCCCGATGTTGCTATCCTGCTATTGTCGAGTCGAAGTTTCGCCGCATTATTAATGATATATAAAATCGCATCCGCTCCGTCCTCAACGGCGGTAGGGAAAGGGTATTCTGGTGCTAATCTGTAATCGACCGAGACGAACACCGCGTGACATTTTTCTAGTACGAAGCGAGCGAATCTAGCGTCGTCGGAAGCGCTACCCAAGGTGAATCCTCCGCCATGAAAGTTTACAACTACCGGCCATTTTTCGCTGTTTGGGTCTTTATTATAGCCCTCGGGTACGTAAAATTGAAGATCGAACTTTCCTTTCATGGCTGACAAGGTAGAAGGGATAGACTTGACGAAGTTGGGACTTGGCGGTCGAGGAGAGGCGAGGAAGTGTAAACTCATCCCAATACATTGTAAGGATCGCCACCAACCAGCATTCATACGGAGGGAGAAGCGCGAGGGCGGAGTTCCTGTCTTATCCTTTGCCTTTTGTGGTTTCATGCCAGGAGGCAAAGGATCTTGAGGTAATTCATCTTGGAGGTTACTACTTCTCGTCGGAACGGGTATCCCTTCAACTGTTTGCATTTTGGCGAGAGTTAACGATTTGGTCGGGTTCGATGGTAACTCGGTATTGTCGCAAGTGGTAACTCGTGAAGTGGTATTGTAGAATTCCATGACAACAGGGAAAACATATTTATTACTAGCTCCGAGTTATCTAGAACGATTAGTCGGGATTTGCATACATGAGAGACCAGGGATGGGTGGGCGCATCGTGCGATCAAGACAGACAATTCACGAGACGGTAATCCGCATTTAGGGGAAAGTTGGATGGCTTTGCTAATAGCGTATGACGTTATAAGCCTTGCCGCCTTGGCTTGAGCTTCCGCTGGTGCTGTACCACCGTATACCTAGGTACAATATATACCAGGTATGTCATAGGTACCTGGTATTATAAGTTGTATATCTGATGTACCTAATCTAAGCCTTAAGACCTTTTCTAAGTCAAATGATAATTCATACCTAAAACTTCACGTCCTGAATAAAAATACGAGATAAGAGAAGAATTGCCTCGGCATAGCCTTTAAGTACACGTTTCAATAAGAATTTTTTTAACATTATGGAAAGTCAGAACGGGATCCAAATTTGTTGAATCCGAATGTTTGGTATCATGATGTCATGACTTTTGAAGCTCCATAAAAAGTCTCGAACTTGGATTATTAATGGTCATCAAACCCCTGCATTAATGCGCCTATCCGCGCCTCCGAGAAGCAAAATCACCAAATGAGGATAAATACAGAGGGCAGCACAAACTTTAATTGGTTATGGCTGCCCGTACGGGCACGGTCTAATTGCTCCGGGTGGAAACTTCGAGGTAGTGATTTCGTCACATTCCAATGATTGTCAAGAAGGTAAAAGGTAGCAACTACCGCTGACACGGCCAATAACTTAATTCACATGACCGTACTTGCCGAATTCCTTACCAGTAAATCCCAGAAGAATCTACTAGTAAGCCAAGCCAAAAGCCAGGGACAATTAAATAAGCTTTCTACTATCAACCAGGTTCCTGCCAAGGTTTCTTTTATACCTAATACCTATTATACCAGGCCCAGTATACCTACCTCCTACCTACCTCCTACCTACCTCCTGCCTCTTACCTCCTACCTCCTGCCTAATACATTGCATACTTTTGACTTTTGCCAACCAAAGTCCACCGGCATTCATTAGTGCCATCAACTTCGTCGTTATCTTTACTCTCTCCTTCGAGCGTCTTCTTACGTTCATAGACAGCTCCTACCTACATACAGGTATATCTCCACAATACCCTTGTAATTCCCTCTATTCCTTATATCTTGATACCCGCAGTAATAGAAGCTTCGTCGCCGAGATACCCATTCCATCATCACTATCACCAATCAATATGCCTTCAATTAGGCTGAAGAAGCCTCTCCTCTTACTAAATCGAGTGGTTGGACATTCGTCGGCCAAAAATCACATCACCAAAATCCACCTCGGCGACACGGATGCGTTAGACGAAGAAGCAGATAAGAAGCATCTAAAAGCATTATACGAGAAGCGAGCCAAGAAAGAATTACAAGAAGAGAACCGGCGATCGTTACAGGCAAAGCGTAAGGAGAAAGAACAGGCAGCCTTATCCAGCGAACCACCAGAATTACGATCAAGCTATGGTACGCTTACCGAAGAAGCCATACCGCCTTCCTTCCTCCTTGAACATTTGTCGCCCGATCATGTTGGGCAGACTATCAGCTTCAATGCTCGACTTCACCACGTGCGATCCGTAAGTGCGAAGTTGGCTTTCATATTGTTACGCCAACAGGTCGATACCGTACAAGGTGTTTTACAAGTTCGAGAGGGGGTTGTCTCCGAGCAGTTCGTACGATGGGCCGAGCATCTTAATACCGAGTCCCTAGTACACATTCGGGGTACTGTGCGCGAACCGCCAGAACAGATAAAAACCTGCAGTATACATAGTCTCGAGATTCTGATCGATAGCATGCACGTCCTTGTTCCAGTAGAGAGTCCTATACCCATTGATGTATACAACATGGAGCAGGTGGAAGAAGACGAAAACACTCACGAGAAGCAACTGGCCGCCTCAAACCGCGTCCGTGTTGCGAACAGGCTAGTCTTCCTCCGAACCCCAGTCATGCAGAGCATCTTCCGTATTCGCTCAGGAATATGCAACCTATTCCGGTCTTCGCTAGAAGAGCAGGGGTTCATTGAGATCCAAACGCCCAAGCTCCAGCCTGCGGCAACCGAGTCAGGTGCGGAGGTCTTCAGAGTTAACTACTTTGGAAGAACCGCATTCTTGGCGCAAAGTCCGCAATTGGCGAAGCAGGCTGCGATTTCTGCCGACTTTGGTCGCGTTTTCGAAATTGGGCCCGTTTTCAGAGCTGAAGACAGCAATACCCATCGACACCTAACGGAGTATACCGGTCTAGATCTAGAAATGACGATTCAAAAAGACTACCACGAGGCGATGGACGTGATTGACGAAATGCTGAAGACCATCTTCAAGGGCGTCTACGCGCGGTACCGCAAAGAGCTTGATAACATCAAGACGAGATTTCCCCACGAGGATTTAGTCTGGCTGGACCAGACACCTCGTCTTACCTTTAAGGAGGGAATTCAATTGTTAAACTCGTCCGGGTGGACGGATGATGATGGGAAACCAGCTTCTGAGAACGAGGACCTCGGAACTCGTGCAGAGATCCGGCTCGGACAGCTGGTCAAAGAGAAATATGGGGCTGACTACTTCATCCTCGACAAATTCCCAGCATCAGCACGACCATTTTATACACACTTGGACCCGAATGACGAGACGATTACCAACTCCTTCGACATCTTCCTTCGCGGCCAAGAAATCACAACAGGAGGCCAGAGAATCAATAATCCAAGAATCCTAGCTGAGAGGATGAGGAAAGCTGGACTCAATCCAGAAGGGATGGAAGAGTATATGCAGGCCTTCGAATGGGGCGCGCCGCCTCACGCAGGATGCGGTATTGGTCTTGAACGCGTGCTATTCTTGCTATTGAACCTGGGAGACGTACGAAACGCCACCTTATTCCCAAGAGATCCGAAATCTCTCCCCGCGAAGAAGCCAGATCATAACGGCAAGGTTCCGTTCCCCGAAGCTGACACTATTCGATACGCGTTCGAAGGGGAGCACGATCACGTCCACTTGCCTGACTTAGACAAGCTAATCGTAAACTACGGTGATGCAACGAACACGTCTTGGCTCGACGAAAGGTACAAGGTCTGGCGGGATGTTGAGACCGGAGCAGCTGTTGGATACGCCGAGGAGAACGGGTACGCGATGATCATGGGTAACCCTCTTTGCGACCCACGTCAGTATCCTATTGTCATCAGCTCTTTTCTCAAATACTTGAAAAAGAGCGAGGACCTACGGCCTATCTGGATTCTGGTCTCCGCCCAAGTAGAAGAGATTCTCGGCGAGAAGCTTGGGTGGAGAACACTGACGTGTGTAGCTGAAGAGCGCGTGGACATAGAAAATGCCGGCAGGGTCGCCAAGAAGGAGCGCCAGGCCCAGAAGGCCGAGATCAAGATACACGAGACGACGCTTGGTCAGTCGGTTCCCGACGACGTGCGCGAAAAGTGCGACAAGCGCATCGTCGACTGGAAAGAGAGCCGCAAGGGACGTAAGCAAGTCCACATCACCGAAGTGCAGCCTTGGATATCCATGGCGCATCGGCGCTACGTGTGGGCCGAAGACAAAACGGGCGAAATCGTCGGTCTTGTCATTTTGCATCGCCTCTCCCCCGAGCACGGATACCAAATCAAGTTTGCGCTCGACTTCCCCGGCTCGCCATCTGGCAGTATCGAAGCTCTCATCTCCCACGCTATCCAAAGTTTAGTAGCTACAGGTGTTAGCAGCGTGACTTTCGGTGCCGGTGCCATGGACGAGCTTCTTATCGGAAGTAATCTCAACGGCATCAAGGCTAAGCTCCTAAGTCGGACGTATAAGACAGTTGCTCAGCAGCTTAAACTAGTGGCGAAGAGCGAATTCAGAGAAAAGTTCGGCGTGAAGCATGATCCGGTTTACATCTGTTACCCGTTCATGGGTCTGGGAGTCTCCGGCGCCAGGACGCTGATTAAATTCTTCGAAGACGAGATGTAAAGGCGATATCAATGTGCGATTGCGTATAATTACCTGTTTTTTGTCGTTTTTCCTTTGGCTGTAGCAGAGCACGGCTGGGTGGAAACGTTCTTGATTCGATACCAGGGTAGATGATCTGGATGCATTTGATGACCCCTCCCCCCCCCCCTTTTTTTTTTCTTAATGATGGTAGATACCCATTGCGGATAATAATATTGGGCGATGTATGAAAGATAGAAGAGACATGTAATAATGAAGACTCAATAATGACTTCAGAAGTTTATTCGTTATCATGGTGTTTGTTTTAACGGGAGCTCAACTAAGCTCATTATCCTTTGGTCGCGGTTCTGGTTTAGCGAATGTTGGTATACAAAACGATCATGACTTTGAACTTAATAGATTAGGTAGTATTCATACAAAGTCGATAAAAGTTATTCACATAATATTTAAAATGACTTTGTGATTATTCCAAGTGCTGTTTGCCTGGCTTTTATGTAAGAACAAGCCAGCTAGCTACTAGGGAGGAAAAAGCAAGAGTAAGGCGAAACCAGAGTCCGATTATAAAATGGATCTTGTTAAGCTGCGATACTACAACTGGCGACATGTAACTGTTTTTTTCTGCTTGGAGCCCCGGTGGCATACTCCTTCAATCTCGCATAAGTGGTGCGAAAATTAGCCTGTGCCGGAGCCAGGGGGTCCGTTAAATGCATAGGTACCGTATTGTGACTCTCATCCCGGCCGTTCTACCCAATTTTGACAGCGGTAACACGCCATTGCCAGCGGGTTAGGTCATAGTCATCCCCACGTCTCCTGAACTCCTGAATATGGCCCCGGAATATTTAAAGCGACGGACAGGAATATGGAGCTCTTTCGGTGCATAGGGTTAAAGATATTTAACTTCAAGCTATTCCCTCCTATGTTCGAGATTAGGTATTCTCAAGACGAGATCTTCTCACGAATCCCTTACTCCTGAGCGACTCATCTGCAGCTATGGGCGTCCTCAAATTCTTAACCATAGCCTATCTGGCGGCTTTCGTCCCGGACGCATCGGCGCTTCTCGCATTTCCTGGAGCGGAAGGGTTTGGTCGGAACGCGGTTGGCGGTAGAACGGGGTCGGTTTACCATGTGACAAACCTGAAGTGAGTTGTAGTCGCGCGCATATTCACAGATTCAGTATTCTCACGAAGGGATGCTAGCGATTCTGGGGCAGGATCCTTCCGCGACGCCGTGTCGAAGTCAAATCGCATTGTCGTCTTCGACGTCGGGGGAACCATAAAAATAACGAAGCGGATTGCGGTCTCCAAAAATATCTACATTGCCGGTCAGACGGCTCCTAGTAATGTAGGTACCTACCTAACAATTATCCGCTGGGGATATATCGAGTATGTTTTATGCCCTGTGCTGACAATTCAACAAGGGAATTACGATCTATGGCAATGGCGTCTCGTTCTCGAATGCCAACGATGCCATTGTGCGTTATATCCGATTCCGCATGGGCAAAGGCGGTGATGCCGGCAAAGGTACCTCTTATCTAACTCTTCCCTTTTCCGTGGATAGCTTCGAATTGGTTCACATACTAAAACACCGCCAACAGATGGTATCACTATTGCCGATGGGAGTAACATGATCTTCGACCACGTGTCAGTCACTTGGGGTCGGGACGAGACCTTTTCCATCAACGGGGCCGTGCACAACGTCACGGTGCAGAACACGATCATCGGCCAGGGCCTGCAGACTCACTCGTGCGGCGGGTTGATGCAGTCGGACTTCGGTATCAGCCTGTTCAGGAACCTGTACATCGACAACAAGACGAGGAACCCCAAAGTCAAGGGTATGAACGACTTCCAGAACAATGTATGTAACTAACCTAAGCCTTATCGGGCGTGACCTTCGGCCCCTTGGTGGGTGTGGATATGCTGATTTCTGACATTCCCGCTCGCTCTTCAGGTCGTTTACAATTGGGGAGGAGGCGGTGCTTACATCGCCGGTGATAGTGAGGGCCAGAGCCATGCCAACATTATCAATAACTATTTTATCTCGGGGCCTAGCACAAGCGTAACCGCGTTCACACGAGGGAATGCCAACTTCCACGGCTGTAAGCATTACCTGCCTTAGTTATTGCCATCTCCGAGGTAATGCTAACTGAAGATATCAGACGTATCAGAGAACTACTACGACAGCAACAAAGACGGCACGCTGAACGGGTCGCCGCTCTGCGTGCAGACGAGCTGCTACAGCAACATGGACATCCAGAAGACCAAATTCGACTACCCGGGACCGGAGCGGCTCATGGCGGCCCCGGACGCGGTGACCTTCGTGCTGGACAACGTGGGGGCCAACTTCCCGGGGCGCGACGAGGTCGACAAGGGCCTCGTGGCGGAGGTGCAGAGCTTCGGGAAGAAGGGCGAGCTGGTCAGCTCCGAGAACGCGGGGGCCCTGCCGGGGAGCTCCGGGGAACGGGCGCCGACGGACACGGACGGGGACGGGATCCCGGACGCGTGGGAAGAGGCGCACGGGCTGGATCCGCGGGATGCGAGCGACGCGATGAAGATTAGCAGTTCCGGGTATGCGAACATCGAGGTGTATCTTAACTCTCTTGTTCCGTCTTCTAATTGAAGGACATGAGCAAGCATCCATCTACCTACCTAAGGTACCTTACATGTCTCTAAAAGTAACAAGTTGCGAGTTTTATTACCTTAGGTACCTGCTTCCACTTACTAAAGAATGTTCTATCAAGACTGTGATTTTAAACTTGTGCCTAACCGCCAATATACTAGAGATGATTGCACAATTAATAAATTTCCTCCGGTATAAGTTACATCGCGAGTTGGAGATTGGTTTATATCACTATAGGTGTCATACGTCATACGTAGAATTCTAGAGGCATCTTGCATGTGATTACAAGGTTTGTCCGTAAGGTACCTAGGTACAAAGAGAAAATGCGCACAAGCCACCCATCGATCACCCTCAACTATTCTTAATTGGTTAAAAAGGTAGCATAGCGGCCCTCTTAGGGTTAGGTATATATACCCGTTTAAAAACTCTCGCCATCACCAGCAACTATCCCTCGGAAGGAAGCCCACTTCCTTCCGTAATAATTGCGAACCGCCATCCCTTGGTGGTGTAGTTGGTTATCGCGTTCGGCTGTAATTGTACAAAAATTGTTACCGAAATGTCGCCGGTTCGATTCCGGCCCGAGGGATCATAACTTTTTGCTGTTTCTTCAAAATTCCAACAGCGTATCTTTCTTTTTTTTTTTTTTTTTTTTTTTTTTTTTTTTTCTTAACATCAAGTCGACCTTTTTTCTTTCTTTCCGTTGAGCCACGTCTGTATTGTCTCACATTAGATACTTTGAATCTACCAAGTGTTAGTGATTTCTATTCACCATATTCTTCACGTTGGTTTTTTTTTCTTATGTTTTATGCTATTTAAAATATACCTATTATTTCACTTGGACGTGAATTGCCGTTTGTCTTATTAGTATAAGATATAAGCCTCAGTTTTTGGTTTTATAATGTAATCATCGCAGAATAAGATATACCAAGTACCTAACAGTGTATCACGTCCTAGAGTAGGGATAAGATACAGGGATCTAAGTAATCAATCTCTATTCGTAAGTGTAAATAGCTTAAAGAAGGAAAAGATCTACAAGGAGGTACGCGCGACGCGCGCGTACCTAAATACCAGTGCGCACGGGCCACAAGGGGGGCGAGCCACGGGGCGTCGCCCCGTGGATATGCGCCACACGGCGAAGCCTGTGGCTTAGCCGTGACACAGTGATCCTTTAACCTGTGAGCTTTTCCCCTATAGATCAAGCCCCAGGTATAAATAAGCAATATTGATTATGCGGCGCGACCGTGTATGCCTTACTCATCCCGATCCACCTTCCTTATCAGGCTCTACCAGTCCGAACACATTAATCCCCTATGCTCCGTTTCGGCACGGGCTCGCTGACTCCACCTCGGAACCGTTTTTATGAAAACGGACCGGTTGAGGACCCGGAACCCCTGCTGTGAGCCTCACTTTCCCTGGGTTGAGTCCAGCCTCTTTATCTTGGCCACAGAACAATTAGCCCCTCATACCGACTTGCAGGCAAGGCATCCTCAAGCACCTGTCTTGTAAGTTCTCGCTTCCGGTCGACTGAGCGGCTTTTGTCAATAACCGCTACAATGAATGCATTGCACCATAGTTCGGTTCTCAACAAAGCCGTGAAGCATGGCTGCGCCCTCACCAAGCCAGGCGTACTGGTGATCGACCTTGAAAGATTCATCTCCGATTGCCGACCTCGCTTCCTCGAGAGGAACAAAGCGTCTGCAATCCCACCACCCGGCCGGAGTCTTCAGCACTTCAATCGCTGAGGGCAGTATGTCGTCGAGGGCTTCGAGCGTTACTGGGGAAAGCCCGATTCCAGCACCCCTTTCAGAGAACCGGGGAGCCGACTCGTACACTTCAACATCTACATGAGGGTGCTTCACAAGAGCAATAGCTACCGTGATGCTAGCGATCCCACCGCCAACTACGCCAATGCGAATACGACTAGTCACGGAAAAGAGTCGTTCATTCATAATATTGACTGGAATTCGCATGCTGCTGTGCCACCATCGGCTAGCATCAAACGAACCAACAGCATAGAGATCCCTCCCAACTGCCCCTTTATCAACACTTACGTCGCACACTCCAACCATCTACTTTCCATACTACTTTCCAGACTACGCTTCGTATAAAGCCCCCTCTCATCCCTCACTCGCTACATTTCCAAGTCGCATTTCATCCATTCACTTTGATGATACTTTGAATTCATTAACGTAATTGTATCCAACCACAGCCTAATCCCGAGCCCCGAGGCAATGGTGGGTATAATATGTAGCAGACATGTTAGTCGACTTGACCCGGAGACAGAGGGTGCCTTCACGGGAGATAGCAGCATATCATTTGAAGATGTGCAACATCACTTGCATGTCTGTAACCCGAACGGTGAGGAGCTACGAGCCACATCTATACACTTTAAGGCCTGGGATAAGGGGAGTAACCGGCAATTAACCCAATAGCCACAGGGAGCTGCAGGCCCGGCGGCCGTTCGGTACATGTACTATAGGTGAGAAAGCTGTAAGCCAGGCGGCTGTTTGGTATTGTAGATAGGGGCTGGCGGTCTTTCGGGTCTAATTTAAAGTTCGAGCTTTTATATTAACTAACTGAAGGGTGGCCTTATGTTAGATTACCTTTGATCTCTATATTTGGAGCGTATGGATGGACCTGTTAAGCGGGAGGAAAGTATACGTACCTCCTATTTTCGAAAATTATATAGAAGTAGGGAATCTTATACGCCTAGTTGTTTTTGAAGATGTAACTCATAAGGTTTTTCAATAGTAATGTAAGATGTACCTAATCAAAATGTTTAAACCGTTGCGTATTAACGAGTTTTCTAATTTGGACGAGCTAGTTTGACACAATATTCCGAATAAGTTCGTGCATGGAAGCTACTATTGTTTTCAGATCCTAAAACTTCAATTTTGGAGTCTTTTATATTGTGTTAGGTACCTTAGGTACCTTAGTTACCTATGTACCTAGGTAGGTAGGTAGGTATCATTTATATGCAAGTTGAATATAATTATCATTACCAAGATCCTCATAGGACATGTACTCCGATGTATATTTAACTCAGATATCCAGCCTATTAAGATAAATGGATGGATGATGCTTCGTATAACCCCATGGCAGGTACTGAATATAATTCATTTCCTTGCCTCTGTAGCCGTCAAGTCTTTGTCCTTCTGGCCGTTCTTATGGTCGTTCTTCTGGTCGGGCTTTTCCGCAGGGGGTCGTCCGAGGTCTTTCAGGGTTTCTTTGATTCGCTGGCGCATGGATCGCTTCTGCTTGATGTCGCCCTGGCTCTTCTCCTTGTCGATCGAGTATGTGGTCGAACCTGAGTAGGTCGAGGCGGATGAGGGCTTAACGTCGGACTGTGGCGTCTGGGTCTGCGCTTTTGATGATGATTGGCATTGGGCCGCCTGTCTCTTTTGGTCTTGGTGATGCGGCCAGATCAGCTCTGGGTTTGTCATCGCCAGTGACATCGAGACGGCGGCCGAGGTGGTTCGGCAGCAATCTTGGCACATCTTGATATGGATGTATGGGGGTTTTCTTTTCGTCAGGGGTTTGTGGTATTGATTATAGGGGCTTAATGGAAAGGCTGAGAATAGTTTGTCTGTATCGGAGATCTTGTAGGATTTATTGAAGAGCTGCTAGATTGTACACCAAAGATAGTACGATGATGATGATGATGGTATTGATGCTGATAGAAGATAGATACATCAACCTAAGAAAAAAGGCATCGACTTTATAAACGACTTCTAGGGTCCCTACTCTACACTGTACCGTGGTATGCCGACGTGACTAATAGGCAGCTATTGCACATACAACAGGGGTTGATGACGCATATTATATCTGACAATGTGATAGACGCACTACTATGAAGCTACGCAAATAATTTACCCTCACATGGTTGGTCAGAGGCAGTTGCTTGTAGTGATGCTTGGCAGTGCATGGAGGCGGGTGATGGCACGCTTATACCTCCATTACACCAGATGTAAGCAGCCATCCGGCGAAGCTGCAGACGCAGTATCGAATTTTATTAATCATTGGCTACATTGTGTTTAATTCTATTCAACGTGTAAGTCTAATAATACCTATTACAACAGCTATACGATACATCCTACATAGTAGTTGTTGAAAGTTCATTTACTCGTCAGGCTAGTTGCCAGATGTCTTTGTCAGAACTTAGAAGTTACCTGTACCAAGTAAACTCTCAGTTGGACCCAGCTGGACGGGCCATTTAGATTTTGGACATCTGGGATGGATCCTTGCTTCATCTTCATGGCGCCCTGCGAGATCGGATCTGAGATTCTATTCTGGCAAGGCTACCAAACCAGATAATACATAGTAACGCGCCCGGCACCAGCGAAGACGCATCTTAGCGTAGGAACATGCCATATTAGGAAAGAAAAGGGAGGGAAAAAAAGCTACCATCACCAATCAACAACGTCCCCAAATATCTCCAAAGATCCCCAATTTGTTCCCCGAAACAACCTTCCCCCCCTAAAAAAAGAGCGGCTTAGAAATTCGGGGCTGATCTCCGTCCGCCGGGTGACTCACGCTAATAAATATAGACGTCTAGACTCTATAGTACAAGGTAGTAATGTATGCGATCTGGTATATAATGCGATGGTACTTAGGTACCTAATCTAATGTTATACCTATCCCCGGCCCGGTGCCGGCACCAACCGAACAATTGAACGGGGCCCGGGGCCGCCGTCTCTTAACTATCTGTACCACTAGTCTAGTGCGTGAAAGCGTTTCGTCTGGGATTGCCTCTTTTCGTCTTAGTTGCTTCAGCCGGAAACTTTTTTTTTTTTAATACAAATCTCCTTCTGCCGTCAATATCCACGATTTTGACTCACGGACATTACCCTACCCACCCTAAGCACCCGTATCCAATAATCATATGATGACACATTTAGAGACACCGAGAATGCATGACATATCGGATACCGCCACTGGGGCCGTGTCCTACAGATATCTCTGCCAGGCGTGAAACGCTCCCGGAAATGCGGTCACGTATGCGCCGGCAGCTAGTAGGGTCTATAGGTGACTACCTATCAAAACAATGGTATTATACCGTCTATTATACAGCCTCGAATTCTATTTTCTCACAAGTTTTCAATTGGTGGGCTTGCTTAACGTCGCTTCTATTAATTCGAAATCCTCTACTGCGATAGACATCCCGGCGCCCAGGTAGGTATTCACTGTTTTAAGAAGTTTTTGCAGTCTTTGTTATTTATTATTTACAACCCAAAACACGTTCAGACCGCCTATCCCTTAGAAGCATGGATGGTATCCCCAGCCTTTATCTAAACACCGACACAGCATGGCAATTGAGCACATCTATCACATCTAGCACATATCGCTATATTGACATTGCAGCAAATAAAAGTTGACTCATCGAATTGACATCTAATCCAGGCTCGCTATGCAAGGGAGAAATCAAGAGATGTTTAATAATCCCCCCACCAAAACGGGGTAAACAACCGGGATATACCAATAGCCTCGCGCATCAGCCTGTCGTAAACTCGAAGAAAAGAATACGCCATCATCTAGTCCTGTACGCTTGCCATATCCCTGGGTCCTAAAACCAAATCTATCCTCAATCTTGATTCCCGCCCTTCTCCTGTCCCTGATCTTGTTTATCTTAATCTAATTTATCTTGTTCTTGCTCTTCATGAATCAACTCTCTATCCTGATCTTCATCCTCGTCCTGGGCTTGATCCTCAGCCTGGCCTTGCTCTTCAGCCTGGTCTTGCTCTTCAGCCTGTTCTTCATGGGTGTCCTCGTCAATTACTCCGGTAATCAAATGCTTAACAACCTGTTGTAGCGTCTTCAAGCTTTTTTCGGGGCACTTGTACATGTTGTTGAATCGATCGATCAGCACTGACTGCAGACTAGGTAGGGCGCCTTCTTCGCCAAACTCAAAACTAGTGAGCTCGGCCAGTCCAACCCTATCGAAAGGGTAAATGGTATCACGCCATTCAAGACCTCCAAAGATGTGGGCCCACGCGTACCATGATCCGTGTCGCAAAATGCATTCCTCGAATACAGTGATGCGCTCGTAGAAGCTGGGATCCGAGTCGTGCCAATCCATGTGGAATTTTGCGAAGCCCGATCCCATCACAGATAACAGATAGTAAACCATGGTGCAATCCTGTTTAGACAGATTCCGAATGTACTCATGCTGAGCGGGGCGTGCACGGTAATTGGTATAAGGATCTAGCATCCTAAAGCCTTGAAGAAGGCTGTGATTAACCCACCAATCTTTGAAGGTATCTTTATACCATTGTGGCTGGGGCGGTCCGTAAGGCGCATTGGCCGCAATGTCTGCAATGGAATCGCAATGTGCAAACGCACGTTCCAACAGTGAGCATAGATGTTCTTGCTGGGGATTGGTAAGCTCTCCCAAGCCTGGCGGGGACTGAAGATTGGAATAAAGAGAGGCGGTGAGAATCTTCTTGGCTCGGGATTGACGAGTCTCTAATTCCTTTACCATCTCAAAGTTTCCATGCTTGAGCACGCGTCGTATGCCCAGTTCTGACGAGAACACGTCTCCAGGGGGCGGAACCGCGAAAGCCGCGATCTTGTCTAAACATAATGAATGTTCATATGTTGTGATGAGCTCGTTATACTTCTATATTTTAGATTGGTTAGTTGCTTGCTTCAATACGTATAAATGATACAAGTTTCGAAGAAGGTTGTCAAAGTCAAAGTCTTACCTTGCATGTCTGGCGGAGCTTGAGTATGGACTGGACATCCAAGTGCTGCGCGGTCTCAAGGAACAATTCCGGCAATATGCAAGGCATCTTGAAGTGACAGAATGGTCTGCACTAGGATAACAGAGACTGGCCCAGCCAACTTTGCAAAGGAAGAAAAAGAAAGAAGAAAGAAAGAAAAAAGGAAAAAGGAAAAAGGAAAGAAAAGGGGTGTTTTGCGCAATAAGAGAGGCGGTGATGCTATGATGCTGCGAAAAGACTAATTGCTGGATGAATGAATGAATGAACGAATGATTGGAAATAGTAATATGCTGATGCTAAAGTTGCAAGAAAAGTGAGGCGGTAAAGTTAGCGAACAGGTTGAAATATTATAACTATTTCCCAATTCATAACTTGAAGTCAATGATCATAAACGACTTCTTAGAGGAAGAGTAAGGTAAGAAAGGTGTTCATATATAGTATCGTTTATATGAAGACCCAAGATAAAGTACAGTCCTTTATGTTCAGCGTAGGGAGGAACACCTTAGGAAGGAACACCTTGATGGGCAACTTCTAACTTCTATATGCAAATTTGCAATTAGGTCTGACGTACCTTCTCAAAGCAGGAGCCATCAAGGTTTGCATCAATTCAATCGTACCTTCCATGATCCTATGTATTCAATGTTGTTAAGACGCCCTCGAGATAGCGTCAGTAAGTCAGGCAATCACTCGATAGCGGGTCGAGACGGGACGACTACAGCTGTGTGAATGGTACGTACAGCTGCACGCTTAGTCACGAGGGGCTTTTCTTATCAGTTACGTAGGTACGTATACAAAAACTAGTTGGTCACAGCGTCTATTTAATTTTCTACAACATTGAATACATTGCATGATTGCTAATGACGTCGGGGTTGTTAATAGAAGAATTGGACTTTTATGGAAGTCGCGTACATTTACGTTGGGTACGTACCGTATATTGTCGTTACCTAGCGTTAGGTACCTGTTTTAATATCTGCAACGTAGGTTGTTAGCTTTGTTTAATTCAATTAATCTTAGCTCATTCAACCATTCAACCCTGGTTTTCTCCAGGTGAGTGCTTTTTGGTCTTTCACTTCGAGATGCTCAACTGTAGATGCCCAACTAAAATTAAATAGCAACGGCATTGTCCAATATTAACATAAAAGTCAAGTCACCATCAAGTACAGATCAATGAAATTCTCTTGACACAAGTGTGAATATGGTGCAAAAATTACTTGCATAATATTCCGTCCACAAACTACCCTTACCAATCAATGGTTGTCACTACTACAATGCTCACAGCAGTAAATGAAGCTCTAATATATCGGGAAGACCAAAGCTGGGTAGCCCTAGAATATTCGAATGCGCGTAGCCGTCACGGGCCCAGCCTTATTGCTTGTCCCGTAACATGATGGTCGTACAAGGCCCTCCCAACCCTCGGAAACCAAATACTGCTTCCATTCTCATATTCGAACAGAATAAGGTTTCCCGAGTTAGAAGTCGGGATTTTATATGAACGACAGACGAGTGCAAGCTTTTTTATAGGAAAGGGCAAGGGGGGGCGCTTTACCCCAGATCTGCGCTATCGAACGCGGTGATGTGCCGGGGAAGACATCACGGGAGCCGGAATTACTATGGGAGTGCTGGATGTAAATGTAAAGTAGCATGTACATAAGTACCTATTTCATAAGGTACCTGGCTGACCCCTTTTCCCCTGGTAGATGAGACTAAGCTTTTAGTAGAAATCTGGCTATGTCGTACTACCTATTTTTTGAATTTATGTCCCTGGACCACAAAAAAATGCCGATCTAACCAGGATGGCGGGGCCTAGACATACATACCTGAGGTACCTAAGGTTAGTAAAACTCGTACATAACCTTTTTTTACCTTAGGTTAGGTAGAAGGTAGGTACATAAAGTACAGGGGGTATTTAAAGTTTGAACCAAAGGCGAAAGAAAACCGCACTTCGTCATTTCTTGCAGCTTGTACCTAGCTTGCAGCATCTCCGTCTCATGTTTTCAACTTCTCTAAGTCCATTCATTAATTTTTAACCTTCCGTTTCATTCGCACATCATTGGCACATACGCGGCCAACATATTGTTGCTTTTGGCTCATTACTCACCATCTCTACTTAACGATTGGATTGGACTAATTTAATAGCGTGTTGCGCTGAGGGTCGCATTTAGCCGCCTCCGTTCGAGAAAAAAAGAAGAAAAAAAAAAAAAAACCTATTGTCGACATTTAGTCTTTGCCGGATCTCCATTCCACCCTTTGCCGATCTTCAAAAGATCCTATGGTATCCAAGCTTCCAAGCCGTTTCGAAACTACTCTCTCTTTCTCTCTCTCTAAACGCCCTAATTTCTAATCCTTTCCCGCTCGTTTTCCAAAATTTGGGGTTTTTAAGCCTCCTATTGATCGACGTTTGGGGGCGGGTACCACCGGCGACATAATTCAATCGATATAGAGGCATGTTTGCGCCGGCCGTCCGATAAACACTTGTGCACATCATATTAATTGTTACAAAGGTTGCAATTCCTTTCTTTTAATCGTCCCATCGCCCACGTAATTCCCAAGCCGAAACAAATAATTAAACAAACCCTCGATTGAATCTCAATTAAGTACCTAGGTAGCTTCGCATCCATCAATTCAGAATGCCTTCGGCTAGGAGAGTACGCCTCCTCATGATGGTGGTGCTAGCTGCTGTCATTACCACCTTATTCTTCACATCCCAGATGCGATCAACAATTCCCCGCGACAGCCGAACAGTACACGACTTCTTTGGCAAAACTATGAATGGCCTAGGTTCTCAAAAGGGTTCTGGGCAAGTTGTGATGAGCGGCAAAGGAACAACCGTTGATTCGACTGTAAAAGACAAGGATGGGGATGGATCTGTCGACGAGGACGACGAGCAGCTAGCGAAAGATATGGCCGATCGGCTGCGCGCTGCCGAGCAGAAGGCCAAGGACTTGGCTAATGCTAAGGCGCCATTGAAGCCGGATGCCCCAAGCGAGGTTATTGGTGTAGGAAGCTCAGCCGGAGGGCAGAAGAAAGGGGGTTCAAAGGGAAGCTCGAAAGAAGAAAACGAGGATAGCAAAGAGTCGGAAGAGGATCGTGAAGTCGAAGCAACCCTTAATGCTATCCTGAAGAAATCACCTGGTATGATTAATGTGCTATCCATCACACTTGCCCCGTCGCTAACATCTACTTAGTTGTTATTTTCTCGAAAACGTTCTGTCCTTATTCTAAACGGGCAAAGGGAGTCCTTCTCGAGAAGTATTCCATCGACCCCGCCCCTTACGTTGTCGAACTTGACGAGCATCCCTTAGGCAAACAACTACAGGCACGGTTAGGGGTTAAGACAGGACGTAAGACGGTGCCTAATATCATGATCAATGGCAAGAGTGTCGGAGGTAGTGATGACATTGCCGAGCTAGACTCGAGGAAGACCCTTATCGACAAGTTCAAGTCAATGGGAGGGAAGCAATTATCTATGAAGGAGCGATTCGTCGGGAACGCCAAGGAGAAGCAAGAGTAATAACAGGTACACCCGGACATTTGAACACGACGGTTTCTTCTCGGAATATCTTGGGGGGGATCCGTGGATACGGGACGCGGTAATACTGACAAACCGTTGTCATCTGCATGTACGGCGTTGGGGTCTCTTTTTTTTTTCTACCAAAGTACTATTGTGTTGGGCATTTGGGTCTGGCACGGTATTATGACCAAAACTTGGGTTGGTCTCGGCTTTTGCGCCCTAGGCTTGCGCGCCCTAGGACATCTCTTAGTGTATAGTAACGTGCTTTGGCGCGTGTATCTCATCTTGTACCCTGTATGAGCTCATATACGTAGCCGGATAGAGGGTCTTCCTTCCATCTCCGAGGTTCGTTTATGGGGGTAGCCTTCGTATGAACTTGTAAGCAAAGGTCTCTAACCAAATATTCTGTTTAGGGGAAGGCCTAACTAGAGATTGAGAATAATCAATGAGAAGAAAGTTACCACGCGATCACAGTTTCATTGTAACGTGTTGTATGGAAGACAAAGGCGAGGAATAACAAGGCACCTGCAGTACATGTTGCACTACCTAATATAAGGCTAACATGTATTAGATACAGACCATATCTCATGCATTAAGTACTAAGCAGTTCTTCTATAAGCGTTGAGTCGCAGCAGTGTAGCCAGTGTCCTAAGAAAATAAGAAGAACATATAGTCTGATGATATTCCAAAATCCCCGGCCGTTTCGAAAATATACATGCATCTTGTGCTTCCTTAAGCCGAGGTGACATGATTCGTCGGTTTACAATTATTACCAACCCCAGCCCCCCCTTCTTCCACCTTGCAAGTAGTACGTTGGAAGCGATATGACCTCGAGGAGGCCTTTCCGGATATATCAATACACGGCGGGGCGTTGCGGGAGATTTCCGTGCAGTCTTGCTGGCACCCGCAGCTGTTATCCGGCGAGTGCACCAGGTAAGTGCCGAGAAAGTCGGACCCGTGGAACTTGAGCGATTGGCGTTCGCCTTCTCCCTTCAGGCAACCCGGGTCGGTCACGTCGATCGATACGCCGCAGTTCTCCGTGCACGCCGTGTCGTCGCAGAACTGCGCCCAGATTTTTCCGGCGGCGGAGTGTACGTTTACAATGTTGAGGATGAAGACAACGACTTTTGTAGCGGTGGCGAAGTGGACCATTTTGTCGGTGCTGGCGGGTCGGGTCTAATAAAAAGGGGTGTTCTATGACATTTGTTTTAGCCCCTATTCCGGGCGCACATTTATAGATGTCTATGAACTTACGCGTCCGAATACGTATTGCCGTTACAATGAAGGGGACTTGTAGCACATCACGCGACCATACGATTGCCATCAAGGCTTGTATCCTGCTCCTTGAATCCAGATCCTTCGTCTGTACTATTCATCGTAGGAGGTATACGCAACCTATATCTGCTGCAGAGTAAAGCCATACATAGAAGGTAAGTACGAACGACGATTGTACATTGTTAAGAACTAATTTAGGTAGGTACCTAAGGCAATCAAAAGCTCAAATGGTATTACACGAGGTCAGATGCTTAACATGAACCACGATCTCGATAACTGTATACCCGGTACCACACGGACCAACATACAAACTAGACGAACTAGTATCATAAGGAAGCAGCTTCGTTCCAGAACTGAGCTAGTTAAATGTAAGACCGAGCTGGAATATGACGAATAAATAAAAAATTACCAATAGCATTTCGACTTCCTAAATTCGTCAGGCCTCGCGGTTCCACGCTCCCTTGTCCCTCCATGACCCCGTCCCAGCCCTGCCCAGCCCTGCCCTCAACTCCGTAACCGCTTCACGGAGAGAGAATGTACTGTCCGTTTTAAACCTGTAGGGTATAGGCATAGGTACAAATTAAGGACGAAAGATAAAGTCTATAAAGGCGAAATACCTTAGGTAGCGGATCAATGTGGAATTTTTTTAACGTATACAAAAATTGTGCCACCAGCTTTTCTCTACGACAACTCTCTTTCTCGCGTGAAAACATCCGACTTATACGATTCTTCCTGCTGCTCCGGGATGCTCATGCCCCGCCACGCGCCGTCGTGCTTGGAAAGCGTCATTTTCCGGGCGGCCGGGCGGCCCCCGCCGCTACCGTCAGCAGCCGTTTTGCCCCCCACGTCCAGGAGCTCGACGTCGCTGGGGGTACGCCCGTGCGGCTCGGCGTCCACGTCAAAGGGACCCTCGCTGAGCACCGACCACTCCTGCTTGATCTTGATCTTGTTCCGCGAGTCGAGCCGGTTGCCGGATGAGGACGGGCCGAAGCTGTTGAATGTTGATCCGATGCCCGCGCGCGTGGTGCCGAAGACCTTCGGCAGCGCCAGGCTGAAGAGCGATCGTATGGCCGGCATGCACGCGCAGATAATGCCTACGGGAACTTCGATCGTCGACCAGTACCCTGTCTCAACGTAGTCCTCTATCAGGTGGGTTAGGATTGCCGCCAGATGATACCTAGGAAGAAAGTACTCGTTAGGAAAAGCACTTACGTGTAAGGTTCTGTGTAGTACCGAATCGAATGAGGGAGTTAAGGCGGACGATGCTGACAATGGTGATGCTATACGGGAGGTTAGTGTATGCCATTTGGTACCAAGTTTTAGGGGGGTCGCATACAAGAAACCGACAGCAAACATAGCAATAATTTGCAACCTCTTCCTCAGCGACAGAGATAAAGCAAACAGCTCAGGGAGCGGCAGTATAATGACAGCTAAATCTAACACGATGTTGACAGCTGCGGCAGACCATCCCAGGACGTTGATGCTGATACATTGCGTCTCGGTTTCGCTGTCCCATTGCAACCAGGCTCCGGCGATTGGCCTGCACTGGAAGATCAGAAGGAAGTCCCACGTGAGGGCGTACAACAAGTTGAGGGCTATTAAGCCGTAGGTGACTAGACGAAACGACCGCTTCGGGAAGACTTTCAGGTAAAATATGAGAATAGAGATTTTGGTTAGAGCGAGGGATGAGATGTATATCAATTCGTCGAAATAATATAACTTGTCTCTGTTAGTAGCAAATTCCCGACTCTTACAAATTGCCAACACCTAAACGCTAGGAGGTAGGTAACTTACACGAAGGACCTCTGTTACATCATCATGAGGCACGAACCACATGTCCAAACCAAGCCCGTGCTGGGTAACTAGTTTGAATTATTAGGATGAGAACATGAGAGATAATCCAACAAGTGACTTACGAGGTATGGAAAGACTCGCGAGGGCGATCTCGAGAATCTATGGAGAAAGTTAGAAGACGATCTGATAAGGAGGTCCCAGTTCACAAAAACATACCATAACCACACACATAACACTATCATCATGGCCCCAGTCGTGCGAGCCAATAAGCCTTGCAGCACATCGTAGAATGAAAGCTAGAAGACTAAGCGCCCCGAAGGTTATCGCAATGATCCAGACAAGGTCCCGTCTATCTTGGCTCTTCACGCCGCACGTTTCCGAGGAGAATTTCTTCGTAGCTAATATCACTCACGTCAGTCATAGAATCGGCCGGGTCCTTCTGATAACTTAGGTACCTAATTGATCACGTATGGAGCAGCTCGCGGTCACGCATTCGGCGATCTGGAGTTGTAGCGACGCAGTCGTGCAGATACATGTTGTGTTGCTTATTGAGCAGTCCGAGTTGGCCATCGATGTCATAATACATTTTAACTAGACAATTTTTAGCCAGGCATTCACAGACACCTTTCGCCGGAGAGCTTTCTCCCGCGCTCCTTGTCTCTTCCCTGAGGAACTTACACCACAAGCAGGGGCTCCTGTAACGTCGAGAACGGCCAGCGTTGGTTGCAATGCCGTCAGGCATAGCAAAAGCAACGAAAGGAACTGCATCCTGCCCGATCGTAAAACCAAAGATCTAAGGGGTATATGGGGGGGGGGAACAAAACGAATGACACCACAGAACCATAGAAATTTTCGAAAAGGGAGGAAACCCCAGACTTAGTATATCTTCAAGAGAGAAGTTACCATTCGGTAAGGAGAAGCTAAGATCATCTATCAAGGGACTGCATGGCGCTGATCATGGTACAAATTTCTTCTCACATCTCATGTTTTCGTAGGTATGCAAAAGGAATTAGAATTCACTAGTAACGTAACTCTGGAGACCCAGCCTTGTGGAACGTATACCGGCCCGTAGAATCCGTCGCCGTTTACAAGCTGGTGTGACAGCTAAGCTACAGCTAAGCTCAAAACCGTCAATCTGCCAGCGGCGATAGTTCCCTGATCAAGCCTTAGTTTTCCTTACCTCAGCCTTTCATTACATAGTATACTGTCTGTCTATGCGCGGTTTACTTTCTAGGCCTGCCGATCAGGAGATGTTGCTGCCAGATTTAGAGGTGCCCAAGTAAGATAAAGGAGGCTTATTGACGTACATAGTAGTATTTGGGACTCGGCGACTCGGTGTTATTGCGCTGCCCTTGCAATTTGAGGCTTAGATGGCGTCTGGACTGCCGGGGTCAGGCCTCGATTTTTGATGAAGTGACATCGTGGTTATTGTTTAATAAGTTTAAGCTTCTCGAAGCTTTTTCTCATCGGCTTAGCATTGACTATTCCGGCGAATTTCGGCCGGGGTAGCGGAAGTATCAATATCTGGAATGTTACCCAACTCTCATAGCATCATGCATGTAAAATGCAATATGCATATCCGACCCGAGTATTGGTAATAAACTCCATTTGCCATGTCGTATATATTACCCAGCTTGTTACTTTATTAGTATGACACATCCAGCACATCTAATCAGCTTCAGACTGGCGAACTTTGTCGATTTGATATAATTTTTTTTTTTAATGATAGGTGGGTGGGATACTAAAAACAGTTAACGTGCCCGTGACGGCTCCGTGCTCTATGCTTATGATAATTTGCTAGATATGATGCTAACCCGAAGCGATTAGAGCTGCGAACCGGTGTTGGACGGCGTAGGTATCCATTCCGGTAGTTGTCATTTTGTGCGGTTACGTGCGGTCGTTCAAACCCCCACACAGAAACACGTGTTCCAGGGTCAACGCTACGTTTGAAAATTTTGGCAGGATGTTGTTTCGTACCATTTAAGTCTGGGTCGTCTCGCTTCTGCATGTTCCCCCAATCCCTCACCGAGCAAAGCCACCACAGGTTTATGGTCTGCTAGACTCATGCTTCCATGTTACCTAAGGTAGGTACCTACAGGTATATAATAAACACTGGCAAGATAGACTTGAACGGGGACACCTCGTTTGAACTTGGCTTGATAAGTTGTTTCTATCTGCCTTGACAGCTTTGGGTATCTAGGCGAGGTAAACTTATCAGCGGATGCGTGTTCATATGAAATCAGAGGTTTCGAACTGTAACTTCAAAAGCAAGGTAAGCTTCAATGTGCGGCCATTACACGATTGGTGTAGCGTACGCCAATGTAGAGTGTTAGTAGTAACGTTAGGTACTGTTTCCCATGGTCAAAACCGATTGAAAGCTAGGCAGAAGGCGGGGTGGTTATCTCGACAGAAAGCCATACGGCCTTAAAGGGACACCCCAAAACCTATTTGACTGGATGTTTTTGCGCGGGGCTACTTCCATGTATTTCGGGAATGAAGATGGGTATTGCGTACGCCATTCTCTCGAGTCTAAATTGCCTAGCCAACTTAGTTCAACGATCAATGCCGTTTCTGTCTTGGAAACAGGAAGACTATTCTGTTAGTTTCAAGAATGCCATTGCATTAGCTTTTGCAGTCTGGATACCTGATATGAAGCTTGAGACACTAACAGGTATGTTTCGACTATCTCGACGAGTCTTCCTGCGACAAAGCCTTAGCTTTAAGTATTGAATAATATTTTTCTTGAAAAATCGTAGCACTATATCGTAGCTGAATGGATCCGGTGAAAGGGAATACCTAAGCCTGATGGTAGAAAAAGAATTGTACCTAAGTATTTGGCAAGATGCTTGTTTTTGTACCTAGGTAGATTTTAGTGGAGAAAAGACCCTGATTGATCTTTGGAGAAATGCAGGTGTAAGGCGCAGGTGCTACCTAAGGAGCTAAGAGCGATGTCTTGCTACACCGCCTGCTTATTATGTTATGTACCCACTTAAAAAAAGTTCTGCCGTTCTAAAAATTTCCTTAGATCCCCTCCAATTGGAAGACCATTTGCACGAACTTCAAACATTGGCGACAACAACATTAAAACAACAACCAAAAAGCTCAATATAAAAGTACATTCATAATGTTGAGACAAATGTACGGACGGGTTCATCTCATGTTAAAATAAAATTGCACGATATGCTAATCCGGATTACCTTAGAAAACCCCGCAATGCGCGCTCGAAACGAGCACTCGAGAAGAAAGCGCCGAAAGTAGTCGAGAATCCTAAGACGGCTCTTTTCCTGTATGTTATTCGATCTATGTCTACCGTATTGCGAGATGAATTTTTCGTATATCACATCATATATACAAGTACTGATTGAGGCTTCAGCCGCGGAACTACCTGTTCGCAAGTCGTACAGGATGCTTTAACCGACCTCTATTCCTTGCGCCAGCCGCTCGCTAAGAAATTCACCAAGAAGAATGCCATACACCCCTTTGAAGATCCCGCCTCGCTCGAATTCTTCAGCGAGAAGAATGATACATCTCTGCTCGTATTTGGCAGCAGCTCCAAGAAGCGCCCGCACACGTTAACCCTGGCGCGCACGTTCGCAAGCAAGATCCTTGATATGTTAGAATTACACCTAGACCCGGAGAGCTTCCGGCGCATCTCCCAGTTCAAAGGGCGCAAGTTTGCTGTTGGTTTACGGCCGATGATGCTATTTTCTGGCACTGCCTTTGAGAGCCCCGTGGCAAACGAGTATACTATGGTTAAGAGCATGTTGATCGATCTATTCAAAGGCGACACCACAAGCGACAAAATTGACGTGGAGGGCTTACAGTACATCGTGTCTGTGTCAGCCGAAGAGCCCGTAGGCGATGCTGTGAAGCCGGCGATCCACCTGCGCATATATCTTATTTCGACGAAGCGCAGCGGCCAGCGTCTCCCCAGAGTTGAGGTAGAGGAGATGGGCCCCCGAATGGACTTCCGCGTCGGCCGAATGCAGGAACCCGAAGAGGCAGTACTGAAGGAAGCCATGAAGACGGCGAAGGTGGGCGAAGAGAAGACCAAGAAGAACGTTACGACGGATAGCATTGGTGACAAGATCGGCCGCATCCACCTTGGCAGACAGGATCTTAGCGAGCTGCAGACGAGGAAGATGAAGGGACTTAAGAGAAGTCGAGATCTAGATGACGAGGAAATGGAAGATTCTGTTGTCGACGAGGACGCCCTAAAACGTCAGAAGAAGTAATTGGCCTTTTGAGGACGAAGCGCATGGAATGGCGTTCTGGTTGGGTTGATTTGGTATTGCTACATTACATGTACGTGTCTTGTGGAGTTGGGAGTTCCCCGTTAATGAGATCTATACCTCATCCAAATCTACTTCCCACAGCTGAATTGATAACATCTCATGCTCCCCCCGCTACTTCTGTGACTTGAACTCTTGGTACATCCTACCAACTCAAAGGAAGCCTAGTAGAGATAATTCCCAAGCACATATGTGGAATGTGTATCCTACCGCCATGTTGAAACCATATGCGTCGTTTTCTTTTCTTTTCTTTTTATAGTTATGTTACCAGGGGACGGCTAAGACACCATAAGTCCCGACGGGTTGTCCCGCCCACGAGAATGTACGAGAACGCTGTCTCACATAAGCGGCCTTGGTATGTTCTACGACAGCGCGCCCAAGATGGCGATGATGCTCATCCGATGATGGTAGTATGATATTTTTGGTCAACGTCCGTGGAAGACAAACTATGACGAAATTAATCTATTAAGATGCTTCTATGTAGACAGTGCGATACAACTTGATCGCTTTTTCTTTAGTTGCACGAAACATAGGTACTCTTTTCTTCGATAAGTATTAGTTAGAATCTTGCATGCTATTCGATGGGAAGTAGATATATAACTGCGTCATGTCATATTCAGTGTGTTATAAAAGTTAGGTAGGTATTTGCAGTAAACGGCACATTAGCTTTCTAATTCATACAGTCCTAATTAAACCCTTGCATAGGAGGTAGGTACCTATCATGTCGCGTCATTTCATTCCGTGCTTACCTACCTAGGTAGATTTGTACATATGCGTTGTACATGAAATACCCCTATAAGTGGCAATCAAAAATCCCCATCTGTCTCGAGTTTAGAGTGCCTGCAACTGATAAACTTTTACAATTTTCAATGGTTATGCGATTTATACACGTAGGCAAATGGACAGATGTTCCCCTAAATATCTCACTCCTGGAAGAGGTCGATGTGTCTTTGGTCGTTTTGGTGTCCCAACTATTCGGACTTCCGTGAAATTGGTGTTATTGGGTTGTACTATTGCAGTTATGGAAGAACCAGTAATGTCTATAGGGAGACCCCTGTTAGGCCTGTTAGGCATTGTCCAAGTTTGGCAACAACTGACAGCTCAAAAGTGTTATGTACCCCGAAATATCTCTTATAATTGCAACGCGATTATTTAACCTTTAGAAAGCTTAAAAACATTATTATTCGAGTTCTGCATTAAGTGGATGTAGGGATTATTTACAGTATTTTTTGAACAAGTTTTTTGCTGAAATATATAGTTAAAAGTCTAGATAGAAAGTAAGGTAGGCTTTTGAGTGTACTATGTACATAAAGACGGTACGTTGTCAGGTGGCGGACTAAGCTGTCTAGCTGTTGACAACCTGACAGGGTCTCTCTAAGACATCACTTTTGAAAGGGTCACCCGTACGTCAGGGGCAATTGGCTACCTACCTCTACTCACCTATATACTAGCTGCGTATGCGTATACCTAAGAGGCATGGATTCAAGATCTAAGAAGATAATCTATCATGAAATACCTTATTGCAAAGCCCCTTTTCAGCTATCACCTCACCCTGTGACCATAAACGTTAATTCGTGGTTGCCAGACCTTGACGGCTTGCCGATCTCTATGAAATGTGCACGTGTATCTACTAATTTGCAAACGTATTTGTGGATGTCTTTTTGGGGAAGATGAGCAATGTACAGATACGTAATGGCATCATGACTACTGTTTTACAAGTTTTTATTCACATACTTCTTTAGGTATTCACCAGTTATCAAGAAGGTATTGTTACGTACCTGTTTTGCGCAACGTCCCACGTTTATAGGTAAGTAATATGCTGGACTTATTGAGGATGGGGAAAGATTAAAGAATAAAGAATATTATATTAGCATATTAGGTACTCAGGTACGTACGGACGCATAGGTATCTTAGTTTAGGTACGGATCTGTAGTGCGCCGCGCCCCGGCTGAGCCGCCTTATATTAGATTAGGTAGGTACAACCTACCATCAAGAACTGCTGTCACTGTATTTAAACCGTTCTACTATTACCTCTAGGTATCTAGGTACCTGTAGCCCCACAACGAAAAGTACGATACAGGTACCTGGTTACTGCTTTTACTAACCTTTTTACCTTTACCTTTAGGTAAGAATCGCGAATAACCAAGACCGAGCGTGCCCTTAAGCTTTTGAAACACCATTTTACTAGCTTAACCTATTTGTCGTTTTTGGTCTTTCGTTATTCACCTTTTGCACCCACATTCGTTTTATGCTATAATTTTTTTTTTTATATTTCCCAACCCCGGCTCTGTCTTCTTATTAATCTATCGCATATCGCAGAAGGGAATGATTTTCGCTATTGTTTTTTTTTTCTCTTTTTTTTCTAATCTCATATTCTAACCGGGGAAATAATCGTGCTGCATCTGATAACCTAATGACTTAAGGTGGCATCGTTGTGTCGAACCTTGAGAGACAACCTCACACCCCCCTTCTCATACATAGATAATACCAAGTTGCGAAATCCCCCCCCCCTTTTTTTTTTTTTTTTTTTGGTCGCAAGGGCGATTAAGAAGCAGATATATTCTCGACTAATCCTCAGCTTGGGCTGATCCACCTGACTGCAGAGACACTTGCCATGAAATGAGTGGCCCAACCTTGACTGCTGCGGTTTTACCAACCGTGAAGCCCGAACAGTCATTTCAGTCTCCCAGCCATTCTCATTCTCATTCGCATTCCACTACAGAAGTCTATCAAGCCCAATCCCCTCCAGCTGCCTCTTCAAACAACCGATCCTCAAGCACCAATAGACCCCCTGGCCAACCTGACCAACCTGTTTTCGATGTACCGACTTTCGATTTTGGCACAGATTTCGATCCGACTTTGTCCTTTCCGAATCAGCTCTTAAGCAATAGTACCAATGAGAAACCCACGATCGCTCCCATTGAAGAAATTATGGTTAGTCCTGAGCCCAGGACAGGCAGAGTGGAGAAATGGAAGCCGTCGACGAATGGATTACAAATTACACCCGATTGCGAAGAGGTCGCAGAGAAAGGGCCTAGTGAGGACCGAATCCCCGGTAACTCTAGGTTCCTGAGCCCAAATCCACAGGAAACGCATAGGAGTGTATCCGAATCGCTAGCATCGTTTGCTAAACGCCCATGGATGTCTGGGTCGCGGTCACCCTCGCCCAACGACAAGAAAAAGGAAAGGAAGGAGGAAAAGAACGAAGAGACGGAAGAAATATTCAATGGTCGGCTTGGTCGTGAACGGTCTGCTAGCAATAGTTCGATTATGAAGCTTAAGAGGTCTTCGCGGAAGCGCCCGGCATCACCTGCCAGTAGTGATGGAGGCAAGTCAACCGACTCACGCAGTAAATTCGGCTCATACCTTAATCGGATCAAGCAACGGCAACCAGGTATGCTGTCAAGGGGGAAGTCTCATACTGATAATGACAGCCTCACCTCCTCAACGGCCAGTATTGCGCCTCCATCCACAGAGACCCGTCAGTCACATAACTCGGAGACGAGTAATAGTACAGCCCCAGATGATGGCTTGGTCATGAAATCGACCCGACCTCGGGATCCTCTTTGGTCGGCATTCAAGGAGTTAGACAACGATTACCATAAGCTCCAGACGCATGCAAAACCCAACCATACCAACACTGCCAGTACAAAGATGGAGATTATTCGAAAAGTGTTGATGCGTTTCTTGGGGAACTATGCGAATCATTCATCGAATAAAAAACTGCATCACGAAGATCTAGAGCGGAGAGCTACAATTTTAGACAAATGGTGGAAAGGGCTTCTTGAGCTACTCGAAGGGAAGAATCAACAAGCCGTTACCGGAGCTGATAGACCTGACTTACTTGATGCTACGGCATCTATTATGATGCGGCCAGAATGGCGGCAGTGCAATGCTAGCTTCTGTCCACTGTCAGATCGAAGCTCCACAGAACAGTTCGAAAACCGAGCCCGAGCTACCTCTAACACATCTTCCTCCTCAGTCGATTCCACGGATTCTGCTTTCCTTGCTGAATCTGCAAGACATAATGTAGAAGTTATGTTCATCACGAATTTAGTGTCGCAAATGGCCATTGTGGTGGACAAGCTATCGCTTCGACATGCTCCATTAAGTCTCGTCAATTTTGCGGGCAAAGTTTTCGCCTATGCCTTTTTCTTTGCGCCGGGTATTGCGGACGTGCTTGTCCGGCTGTGGTCTTTGAATTCTGATCTGATACGCCGCGTTGCAGACGAGTTTGGCTTGCCCCGAGATGGTCGAGGCGACAACGATAGCATCGCAGCATTTTTCCCTCCGGCTGTTAGCGAAGTCCGTTGGTCCTCCGTTAAGACTTTGTCCAGTTCGCTCAAACGACCTGCAAAGTTGCCGGTAATGGCAGCTCATATTTCCTGGAGGGGACCGTGGGTTTCTAGATGGGCAGGACGCGACACAGATTTATTCTTCATATTTTGCAAGTATTATTACATGCTGGCTGAAGAATTTATGCCACCCAGTCTACCACTTGTCCAGAAAGCCTGTGCGCCGGGGTTTGTCCTGGTGAATGCCCAGATACTGTCTATTCTGGACTCCACTATACATCGTCAGGCGGCCGTTGAGGCGATGTTGGGGCCCCCTCTCTCAGATACGGCTCACGGTGCCGATGCCTCAGCCATGGCTTTGCCAGCTGCACCAAATAATAATATCATGAAGGGGATGAATGAAAACCGACTTATACTTCTCTTGAAAGACTTCCTATCTAGTGCCTCGGTGCTTTTCGCAGGTGCACGACACACGTTTGCCGAATCATTCATGGCTATCATGAAAGCTGCCGCTAAGCGGACTTCGCAATTTGATCACAATGCTTGTTTCACTATTTGCGACTTTCTGCAAGAAGCGCTGGTGACTTACAATAACTTTGTTTGTGTCCAAACTCCCGACTTCACCTACGTCGATTGGCCCTTCTGGATCGAGGTCTGCAAGAGAATATTGGACTCAAATCACACAATGTCCGAGATTCGAGTTATCTCATTCATCTTCTCGATCTGGGAGACCATCGAAGACAACCCGTTACGTAAGGAGATCGTGTGTCTAGATTGGCTCCTTCAAGAGGAAGTGTTCAACAAGTTTTTTACCAATTGGTGTCCCATGGTTAGAGCTTACTATATGCGATTGCTCTGCTGGAGACTTTGTAGAGACGCTGGCAATGCAGACGACACAGACGCGTAAGAATGTCGTAATCTCATAATTCTTGTATTTCTGCTTACTTTACTACAGCAAAATTTTCCTCGTCGTTTACTCGCGCCTCAAAACTGTATGGTCGCATTATCTTTGGCTGAAGCAGGTTGCCGAGCAGCAGGGGAAGTGTCTACCATCAACCGCGCCGTCTTTTCCTGCCCCCGGGAAACGATTCATGATTATTCGTAGCGAAATGCCTAGTGTACAACCTGGACTAATGGTTGGTTTTGACTCTTCTGCTCCATCGCCGCAGACCGAACCACAGCCTAACCCGGCAACTCACTTTGAATCCATGGACTCCATCGACTTCGACATCGAGCCGAGCGTCCCAAAGAAGAGAAGTAGCATTCTAGGTAAAATATTCTCATTTGCCAATAATTCTTCTGCCAACGACGATCTAGAATCTGTGAGGCGTGAGACTGCGATTTCGCGTAGTCGAACATTGCTGCTTTCCAAAAGTTCTGCAAGCGTTAGCCCGCCTGCGTCTGACTCGGACAGCATAGGCTCATCTCCCATTTACGAAGATATGCGATCCATTTTCAAGTTCACGCTATCATGGAACTCTACTGGCACCATGTCTCCCCCCAACCGTATCCTTACCCGCCCGCGGCTACCAAGCCCTGCACAATCATGTGTTGCTGCAAAAGGTGCCGCTGGCAGTTCACCGCCGCATGCTCCTGATCGTCCAGCTCCAACCCGGGCGGTGTCTGGAAGTCCCAATCCTGGGTTAGTTGATTCCGCGAGGAATGCCGATCCGTCTGGAGTACCTTCGTCACCCTCGTCAGCTCAGGGCATTTCCGCAACGTTTGACCGGCGACAGAGTTTCAGTCAGATGAGTCCTATTGGAAGGAGTAGTGATGATCTACCACTTCATAGTCCTATAAGCCAATCTAGTCAAAGCCAAGACGATGCATCCTTTTGCAGCCGGCCCTCGGTTGCTCCGACGCAAGAACCCATTATCACACCGGTTGAACCAAAAGGTGTCTATGCTAAGGGTGCCAAGTATGCTGGTCGGGCTTTAGCTGAATGGAGTCTCGTCGTTGCCGAATGTAACAGCTTCGTTGATCGAAGGCGAAGCGAGGGTGTTCCTGGATTGAGCGAAGTGGAAGTACCGGCTCTCGAAATGGATGGTTTCAGAAAGATAGGTTGATTCGCAACCCAAAACCTCAAAACGAGGTGCTTCACACTTGAATTGTATACCCAGCGTCATATTGCAAAATGTTGAGTGATTTCGTTCTTGCGGATTATGGTAAAAAGAGTTAGATGCCTTACGGGGAGTTTGGAGTTGACCTTTGGCGCATTCAACAGTTCGGACAACTATCGGAACTCGCATACCTTGTTCTTAAATACGGATGAAGCCGGTTATATTCATTTCTACTTGCAACCACATCGTTAATCGGCGTTGAGGAAATAATCGCTTCTGTGGCTGAGAAACTCTAGTTTTCTTCTTATGACTAGGGAATGACACAACATACCCCATCGGACTTAGCATATATTAGGTTAAGCTTGGGAGGTACCGGATATAGCTTTCGAGTGATCGGCAAAAACAAACAAACAAGGATATCTTATTAGAGGGACGGGTTAGATTCGGGTGACAGATATGCGAACGCACTTTGCAATTTCGGTTCGTAGCCGTGTAGGTAGGTATATACATAAAAGAGGCCCTTTCGATGGGAAGAGTCCATGGACTCCAACACATAAGCTTAAGCTTGTATCATATAGCATTGCATCAACCAACCGTCTGGACGGATTATAATATTACTCGGCAATGGGCTCAACTTGAGTCCAATATCTTTGCCCAATCCCTCGAACTATATCTGGCTTTTCGATCTTTGAAACAACGTTTGATCCATAGGTATTCTGGTCTGTGCGTGCATTACCCTCTATATACATATTTCTTTTCTAAACTTTCAAGATGACTGAGCAAATCTACTTCTAGCTCTTAATCTATCGCCATATAAGTACAAACAAATCATACCAATCGCGCATAGAATGGAGAGGCCGCCGAGCAGGCTTACTCCTCCGCCCACACCTAATCTTTCATACATAGGCCTGGAGAATAGGATTGACCCTGCGGCAAAAGAGCTTCGCGCAAAGGTATTCGCAGCGAATAAGGAGGCTGAATACTTCGGGTAGCATCGGGCAATGTAGAAGCTCATACACTGGAAGGCAATGAAGATGGAAACAAAAAGTATTGTCAGACCTATAATCGGCACGATCCAGTGGACATCTGGTCGCGAGGTCCATGCTAAGATCAGGAACAGGAGTCTATTAGCGTTTATATTGACTAACAATATGCAGAGAATGGGGAGGTAGAGAACGAAATATATCACTCACCGTAAATGAACAATCCGACAGGGGCTAGAAATGTCGTCGCCACTCCCGGAAGCAACCTCGCCTCAGGAAACCCGTATAAAGGCGGGGGTTCCCGGCGCATCACAGATTCTGCCTTAAGTCGGAACCAGCCAATATAGCCCAATACGGCAATGAACAGACCCGGCACAAAAGCCAGGAACGGCAAGCCAGACTCACCGAGATTGAAGCCATGCATATCGGAGAACACAATCGGGAACGCCTCGAAGAAGGAATAGTACGTCGCGTAGAGGACTGCGGCGTAACATGTGGTGTAAAGGATAGCAGGGTCAAGAGCATTAATCTGGAAAGGCTTGATTAAAGCGTAGACGACCTCTTGACGTACAGTCATATGGGCGCGCTTGAGATCTTCCGCAGTTGTTAATTCAGACCGTCCTGTACGCGCACGCAACCTGTTCGCTCTTCTGTGAAGGATAGTGTCTGGGTTTGTCTCCGGTAAAGTCAAGAACATAAGCACCCATACCGGCGCCGCCATCCAAAAGAGTTCCCATCCGCTCCATCGCCAGCCTTTCTCAGCCACCGCAAATCCGGATATGATAGGCCCTAATGCTGGTCCCAAAGTCGCCGACGTCGACCATATTGTTAGTACATACGGCAGTTTCCACGCCACGAACATGTCGTCAAGTGTAGCACCAGCTGCGGCAAGACACGGCGACCCGAAAAAGCCTAGGAGGAAGCGGAGCACGAATAACCCGCCGAGGCTGTTGACTAACGAGGCTCCGAGTGCTAATGTAACGAAGATGAAAAATGTTACTATGAAAATTCCCGAGCGTCCGACCGCAGGCATCTCGGACAGTGGTGACCATAACAATGGTCCGACCCCGTAGCCAAACACATACAGCGCGATACCCAATGCGGCCACTTCGTAGCTTGCGTCGAAAGAAGCCATGATATCTGCCTCGGCTGGGGCATACAAGGACGAGCCTATGTAAACGGCAAAGGTGTATAAGCCCATCTGCGTGGTGATGAACAACTTCCTCTTGAACGGCCAAGTTTTAGGATTGGCTGAGTCCGCGGCATCGTACCAACCCACTATGACGGGCTCGCGCGCTGGAGTTGTGGGTATGGGTATTGTCTGGACAGACGCTACACCGCCCTTAGGGGTGGCATTGCCAGTTATGGCTGGACTCGGCAGACCACTGTCCCATATCTGCGCGGTGCCAGCTTCAAGGTCCTTCTCGTCAGAAGGTGTATTTGCGCCCGTAGAGAGGACCGATGGCTGGACGCGGGAGGTGTGTCCTTGCTTCTTAAGCTCGTCCTCTAGCCTGCGGTCCAGGAGCGCGGTTGGACTGCCGGCATTTAGACTAGCCGGGAGCTGGAACGAGGGGAGCTCTTCTGGGTAAGGAAACAGATCCTTGCGGCCGAAAATTAAGCGAGCAATCTGTCCGATGCTCGTCTCGCGGATGACTTCCCGCATGCTTCTGTCGTCTGTCCTTCGTGTGCTAACGCTCTGGCGATGGGGAAAGGAAATCAAAAGGAGGGAGTGCGGCAAAGAACTTAAGACGAGATCATAGTTTCTCCCATCCCTAGTGAGTGCTTGATTACCTTCTTAAAAGTTGTGCGTGGGAAATAACCACTGCGATATCGCAACCTTCTCTTCCGGGTCCTCATGCACGGGATAACTCACTTCAGTCTTGTTCCGTCTACACATACACACACGCCAACTCACACACCTGGACATGGTAGTAGCCTAACAGATACCTAATCTAGACTATATGTCTGATAATGAGCCGGTGAGAAGACTCCGGACAACTCATCACGATGTACAAAGGGTCTAGATGGTGTAATCTTGAAGACGGAATCTGTACGACATGATGTCCTTGAAGATTGCGATTGACGGCTGCGTTTTTAAGTAACAGGAACCACACCCCCCATGTGATTGGTCTAACAACTGTGATTGATCATATCAACATCCGGACTCTCAGATTTATAAGCTACCTGATGTGAGGTTTGTCAACGCTTTGAGTTTTCTCTGCGCGGGGCGATTTAGCGAGACAAGAGAGTTCGTCTTAGCCCGATGCGAGTTTTGCGTATAATTCGAACATATTGATGCCCAAAGGCCGGGGCTGGAATATCATAACGAGAGTATGTTACCCATACAAGAGGGCGACGTGGGTGTGCAGAAGAAGAAATTTTGAAGACATCTGACTGGTAAGTTATTGGAATGTCACTTTTTTCTGGACATTGGCACTGTTATATGTAGGAACGTACGCAATGCATACATGTCCTGCGTCCCCTGGTAGTTCTTGACCCGGCCGAAAAATTCAGGGGTCACGAATGAGAAACCGATCTTCGGTGGGAGGTGGGCTATCGCATAGCCAATGAAGGGTCACAAGGACGTTGGCTCCCCCCTACGTCCCATACAATCGTCCCTGTATTTCTGCGCATGCAGCTCGACCCTGTTCAAAATGTTGTAAACTCCAGTCTCTCGGGTAAGACATTTTTTCCCGAGGATCCGAAAAGGTTTGGCTAGGTGCTTACCACTACACCTTGACGTTTAAGCAAACCCTAAATAGGACAACCTAATACCTGTTTTCATCCAATGTAGACCCTACTGGTTTACACGTATAAAGATCGGGTCAAGCAATAGTGGACTGTGGAATGTATCCATAAGCTCCGTTTATTGAAGCGTCCAACCTCGTGGGGTTTCCCTCTTATCAGTCTCGATGAGGGAACTGTTGTTGCTGGTCTAGTATTTGCTTGTTCCAACGTCAACGGTCTAGAACTGATATTCTATACAACAAAACAAGCTTTACCAGTGTAGCTCTATCTCCACCCATAATTGATGAACTATCAGACTTCCACAGAGACATCACCCTTCTTCTTTAAGTCATTATCCACTACGTCGTCCAGGATCGTGTCGTCTCTCTTGGCAGCGGCAATCCTCGCCAGCTTGAGCTTCCGTGTGTCGCTCTCAGTCTGGCGGGTCACCCACCAGGTAATCAGGGTGGTTATCATGCAGCATGCTACGAGAGCCATGGCTATCGCAAAGGATATCTGGTAGCGTGGGGCATAAGCACTCCTGAAAATTTGGGGCCCGATGGCACCTCCAATTTGGCCGTAGCTGTTCACGAAGCCGATGGAAAATGCTGACCCCGTCGCTCGGCTGGTTGTCTGGACACGCCACGGCCACATCATGGGGTACCAGGCGCTGGTAACTGTAACGGAAGTTAATAATTTTTTCCCTTTATTAAGAGGAATCGGTAGGTCTGGTCATATATCGAAATCTCGATAAAGGAGTAGTTATCATATTTTCAAGATTGACCAACAGGGGAACGCGGAACTCTTATTAGGGTTACATACCGGCATTGCCAATCATGGTCGCCGCATAAACCGCGCCGTTATTAGGGTACGCCACCAGAACCCCGTAGCACGCAAGGATTATGGTAAGGAAGGACAGCGGATATAGCGGTCTCGGGAGCCGGCCGTTATCGGCAAAGATCCCAGATACGCCGATCACGATGAGGCCCAGGATCGTGATGGGGAGGTTCAGAAGCTGCGCCTGCGCGATCGAACTGAAATTTAAGATATATTCGTTAGTGTCACAAAGTTTCTTTCACCTGCATCCCCATTAAACTATGAGCGACTTACGTGAATCCGAGGTCTGCGATGACCGTTGGCTGGTAGAATCGCACTCCTGAGGTACCAACCGTAAAGAACGCCCAGATAAAAGTGAAGAGCCACAGCCGCTTGTCTTTGAGCGATGCAACGATTTCCTGTGATATCAGAAATATTAGTTTCAGGCGTGTTGCAAACAATCATTCAGATCACATCGGTTATATATTTCTGGTTCGTGTCACCAGATGAGGAAGAAATTCGACATGTTACGCACGCTTAGCTTGAAATCCTGTTCCGAGGCCCTTGGAGAATTCGACGGCAGACGCGCTTGCACGAATGCTTTCTCCTTATCCGTCAACCAGGACGCTGTCTCGGGGACTTGTTTGAGAGATCACGTCAGTGCTGAAGATCTCAAGACTGGTCTATTTATATCGACTCACAGTCTGGCAAAAAGAACCATACGGCGACTCCCATGATAATCGTCGCTATCGCTTCCACCAAGAATAACCTGCCGATATCAGCGACCGGCATTAGGGGGGCTCAGAGAGCTATCGGAGGTCTTACCACTGCCATCCAGACAAGCCTCCTGCTCCCGAGGCATGGTCAAAGGCGAATGCGAGGATACCACTGAAGATTCCGCTGAGATTTCCGCATACGTCTGGTACATTTGTTAACCTCAGAATACCCAACTCAGTCGTCTCGTCTCAGGCACATACAGAAGTAGAGTAGTCTAAGAGACATCTCATCAGGTCTATACCAGTACGTCATTTGCAGTATAATTCCCGGAAACATTCCAGCTTCCGCTGAGCTAATCGTGAGTAAGAAAGCCTGGTGTTATGATGATAGGAGGTTCTCACCTAAACCCAGGAGAAATCTCGTTACGTATAAAGCCTCTTTGTTCTTAACGGCGACATGACATGCCAACATGATTCCCCATGTAATCATCTAGGACTCATTATTAGCCAATATATAAAAAGGGGCTCGTGGCCGAGTCTTTTATCTCGATCTCAATATGAGATACAAGAGAGGCGATCAAATGAACCAGGGAGCATTTACAATTCTTGACTGCCAATGCGAAGGTGAGAATTTCTTCAGCAGCAGATTCGAGGGTGCTTCTCCGACGATATATGGTATCTGTTTGGCACCGTAAGTTCTCATGACCCATTGACCATAGCGGATAGTTTTCGTATTAAACTCACATAGTATAAAACAGTAACCAAAGCGTATTGATCGGATGTCATCCCCAACTGCGTCATGATATTGTCGGGAGTTCCCCTATTCATAATACGAGCATTCGAGACCTTTCCGCACCACACTCGTGTCAGCAAGCGTCCTTTCTATTCTAGACCGCTACACCCCCCATAGGAAGTACCTAACCTAGGTAGGTAGGACTGTGATATCGATCTTACATTATCCGAGTCCAGGTTCTTGAACATGAAGATGATGGAGCATAGAGGCATGAGATGCCAGTCGATTCTTCGAATGAGCCTCCTTTCTTCCTCCGCCGTCAATGCGGTACGCGCACGCATGCGCTCGGCGTCGTAGCCGTCAATGACCTCTCCGCCGGATAAGTTATCTGTTATTTCACCTCTTCGGGCACGGTGAAATCCATCGTCGACGCTGCTGCTGCTGGAGCTGGAATTCACTGCAGCCTCTGAAGACGTCGCCCCGGTTGTCTTTGAGGTCGGCATTTTCTCTTCCGCGGAGGCTACCCGTTTATACCCTCTATCCGGAGTGAGAGGGAGATTCGGCCAAGCTGGAAAGATTTAAGGATTTTATGATTTATGTTTGGTAGCAGAGCAGTCCCAAATAGACTGACTGCATCTTTAAGCCCGAGAGCAAGTGTACGAACGACAAAAGAAAAAGGCTAGCAGATAGGTGATAGGAATTATAGAGCCATTGCCCACAAATATTACGAATTTTCCGCTATAGAATTGCTAATATACGACATCATACCTGGTTGATATTATCTGCTACTAGCACGAGTTCTATAAAATGGCCGAGTCGGAGTGGTGCTCACTAGGTACCTACGCAGTAGGCGCTTCAAAAAGAACCCTATATCCGTCTATTTTCTTGCTACTATCATTGACACCCATGCGCCGAGACTACCTAGACATTCCCGGGACCGCTTCCGATGGTGTGGTAGGGGGGATTGGATGTTGGAAGTTGGGGGTTGGGAGCTTCTCGACCGGTCATACTTGGTCCCCCCCGAGATTCGCCATCGGCCGGGATGATCACGACTTGGCTTTAGCTTAGCATTAACCCCCCTCAAGCTGCGCAAGACTGACAGAATCCGGCAGCTTGGAACCGACGGACCCCTCTCTTTGCCTCGAGGACCCTCGAATCCATTTGGAATGGGTGTTCGTAAGCCAATCACGCAATCGTGGAGGTCGTTACATCGGACCCTAAGCCTGCTCAGCGATGTCATGCATAAATCAACCTGCGCGTCCAGACTATACGCCGATCGCGTATCGTCGCGAAAAGATATCAGATTGTAATGCTTTTTATATATACCCAAGGTTAGGTACCTATATTATGATCGGTTGATTGACTTGTAAGTGAGCCTACACTGGAGTCTTTGAGATTGTCAAAAAATGGCCGCAGTCGCTACTAGGGCCCAAGCCGAAGGGAAGTCGGATATACCAACCTATCACCAGGTTCCGGAGACAAAATACGAGCGTAAGAAAGCATAGTATACGGTGCGCGGGCGCAGTGAAAGGGCTCTACATGCTGATATTATACCGTACCATATAGTTGACTGGGCCGATCTTGTAACATTGGATCTCTCCCAATTCGACGAGCCGGGAGGAAAGCAGAAACTTGCGACGCAGTTATTCGATGCGATTCAAAAGATCGGCTTCTTCTACATCGTCAACTTCGGCTTGACGCAAGAACAAGTTGATAGGCAGTTTGCTATCGGCAAGGAGGTATTCCAGCTACCGACTGAGGAGAAGCTGAAATATCGAGCGGACCTGGAGAATGGTGGGTATAACGGCTACAAGCCGCTCGGGCTTCGTGTAAGTTTCTTTCCTCCTTCGTTCAGATATTCCGTGTTATCTCTCAACTGACATCCCGGAAGCAAGTGAAGCCTGGGGTATACGACAACACAGAGATCTACAATATACCCAAGTTTATACGCGCATTCGAGCAGCCGCACCCGGAAGTTATCAACGAGAACCGGGCGGAGATAGAGGCCTTCGCTCGGCATATCCACGACAACATCGTAGGCAAGCTCCTAGTCCTCTTTGCTATCATCTTGGAGCTTCCGAAGGATTACTTCCTGCAGAGGCACCGCTACGACGAGAAGAGTGACTGCCACTTGCGGTACATGAAGTACCACCGCCGGACGGAGGAGCAGAACAAGATCCTAGACAACGTGTGGGTGAAAGGTCACACAGACTTCGGAAGTCTGACTCTGCTCTTCCGGCAGCCCGTAAGCGCTTTGCAGGTCCGCACGCCGGAGGGAGAGTGGAAGTGGGTCAAGCCGTACCCGCAGAGCATCACGGTGAATCTCGCCGACTCGCTGGAATTCCTGACAAACGGGTTCCTGAAGAGCAGCATTCACCGTGTCGTTGCTCCGCCGCCGGACCAGGCCAATATGGACCGTCTTGGCGTCCTGTATTTTGTGAGGCCGGAGGATAACCTGGAGTTGCGCCCTGTAGTAAGCAATGTGTTGGAGCGTCTAGGGTATGATAAGACCACGAATGGTAGCGCAGTTGGTATTACTGCTGGAGAGTGGGTGAAGGCGCGTGTCGCGGGGGGAGTTGCGAGAGATAAGGTGCGGAGTGATGTCTCCGAGCTGGAGGTTATTCGTGGTAAAACAGCTAAATACTACGACTAAATGTACTCCTAGCAAGTATAAATGCTTTAGAAATGAGTCCAGCTTTCACATTATGGCGATGAACATTCAAATGTTTCCGCCCTTGATAACCTGGTATGTGTGCGGCCTACTTTACGCGTCGTCGTTGATATACTGCTCGTATACTTCGGGGTAGAACTTCTTGCCGTTTTCGCGATGGCTTCGCACCTTGGTCCGCAGCTGAGACTCACCCCAAGTATCATATTTTCCCTTTAAGAACGCGGAGTCGATTGCATGCCCTTCCTCAGATTCTCTGCTAATATCAAGAGTGTCAAAATGAGACTTGAGAGAGCCAGCCGCTTCAGATTTTGTGAGATTACGACGGACGCCCTGAAAAAAGGGCACGCTGTATCTTTCATGGGGACCGGAGAGAACGCGATGTGTGGTGGCTTTGCATATCCCATTGGTTACCACCTCGAAAGCTTGACCGATGTTCACCACGAAAGTCCCAGGCACTACCGGGACATCAACCCATTCTCCAGCTTTGTTGAGGACCTGAAGCCCTTTGACTTCAGGAGGCGATGCCTGAAGTAAGAACGTCCACCAGCCGGAAGAATCCTTGTGAGGGCCAACACCTTGTCGAGATATTGTAGGGTCGCCATCTGGCAATGCAGGATAATGCACCAGTTTCAAGCGATGCTGGTCTGATAGAAACGGATGAAAAGTCCCAGAGGGAAGAGATAATGCCTGAGCGACAAGATCCAGAAACCGCTCTCCCAAGGCAGTGAGCTCTCGTATATAGGTTTCTACCGTAGACCGGAGTTTTGGATATCCTGTTGGCCACTAATAGTAAAATCAGTTTCGTGCGCGACTACAGGGTTCGAGCTATATAGACAGACCTGGTTAGGACCTCGTAGGCGTTCGTACAATGGAAGACCAGGGCGCCATATTTCTGTAAGCTCCGTTGCAAATTCAAATTGCTCCCGTTGGTCTTCTTTACCACCCGTATTCTCACTACCAACCCCGCTATACCCCAAAAATTGCGGCGAATTCTCCAATGCAACAGTCTTCTTAACTTCCTTACTTAACTCGAAAAGTGTGGGCAATGCATTGACCAACTCATCGATAGCGACTGCTGGGACGCCATGGTTCGATACATATAGAAAGCCAACTTCTGTAAGAGCATAACGAAGACTATCTAGCAGCTTAGGGTTAGTTGATGTGTCATTTGCTTGCGAAAGGTCTATTAAGGGGATTTCGTTGAACGATGTTGCCATTGTCTAAATTTGGAATATGAATAACTTAGACGATCGGCCCTAGTATAAATAACTTTATCATGAGAGTTTTAACCTATTAATGTGAGCTTGGCTAATGGTGATGCGTATGCCAATCTAGTAGAAGTCCACCTAATCACGCCATTCTTACCATCTATCGCAACTTTAAATCACGTGCTAGAGTCGGCCAACGCTATAGCAGGTACCTAAGGTAGGTATATATACCTGTAGAGACGATAGACTGAATGGAAGCCTGCGTAGGAAAAGTCTATAATTATATAACAGTTAAACAAACAGATATCAGATCACTTGTTCAGTCGGGGTGCTCTTTTGGGATCTCTCCAGAAGAGACACGCTTCGCGACGAATGTCATCTAGCTCGACTTTTGTATCGCCGGGTTGCACGACAAGTTGGAGTGCTGGTTTAGAATCGAGACCATATCCCTCAGGCTCATACTTGGGCCATTCAGGGGAACCTGGATACCTGTGCGTGTTCGGATTACCGGTCGCAACGAAGCTGGATAGGTAGCCGTGGTGCACATGGCCGATCTCTGGGTGCTGTACTTTAGGGTCCGGCCAAGTGTACCGTGCGTCAGCTGCATGCGGAATTCCGCGCCAAGCTGGGTAGCTGTTGTTGGTATTGAAACGAGCTTTCCAAGTGGGTACGCCGGCAGTAGATACTCTATACGCGGTCTCCTGCCCGGGACAGATATATCCATAATCACTCCAAGCCGCAGATACACGGGCGTATTGTTTTCCCCTCGGCGAATTCTTGAAGGGAGATGCAGCATCTGCTACGGGATCTGGGTATAAGCTTACCAGCGACTTAAGTTCGTCGGCAGTCAGGAGCGGGGAGGTTATATGCATGTAATTCACGAATTCGTCGTTTGTTTGCATATCTCCTGGCACGGCGAATCTTCCCTCATCTGTGACGCTAGTTGTAAGCGTCGGCACATGGAAGAAAGTTCCGTCAAGACCGGACTGTGAGCCAAGTTTTTCTAGTAGTGGACCGCCCTGTGTCGGTTGGAATGGCCATGTAATGTTGTATTGGGAATCGTCGTATAGTTTTATGCTAATCTTTCTGATATCATTGACTTTGGCAGAACGTAAACAAGCTAGAGCCGCTACATTGTCATTAGTAGGACAATGGAGGTAAGCCATATACTCGTCAAATTGGCGGACGTAGAGAGGATAGCTAGCATTTGGAAATGACCGAGCGGTGACAGATCCGGACTGAAGGATAACTCTAGCAAAATATGGCTTCCCAGCATCTTCACCGTAGTTGTGGAATTGGTGAATGCCCACAGAATGAGCACCAGCAGAACGACCGCCGAGTGTGATGTTTTCGGGATCCCCTCCGAAAGAGCTGATATGTTTTTGGATGAAATGTCTCAAAAAGAAATACTGGTCTCGTATGCCAAGGTTGAGAAGGCCTTCCTGACTGAACATGACAGACGGCAAAAAGCCAAGCGAGTTGAGGCGGTAATGAAAACTCACCACAACTATTGACGCCTTGGACGACGCGACGAATGCAGCCCCATCTAAGCTTTTACTACTCCCAAAGTTGAAACTACCGCCGTGAATATAAATGAAAACTGGAAGCTTTTTACTCAACGGAACACCCTGCGTCCGGTACACATTGAAATTGAGGCAAGCTTCGCCCTGAGCGTCTAAGTTCACATATTTGGGGTCTTGGATACATGCCTTTCCATATGTCGTAGCTGCTCTCACGCCGTCAAACGAAGGTGGCCAGTCGACGGGTTTGAAACGGCCTTCGCCAACGGGTTGAGTTGCATAATCGATACCGAGCCAAGCATCAACTGGGTGAGAGAACGCAACACCGCTTAAGGTAGTCTTTACAGGTCTTCCGGTAAATTTCCCATAGCCCTCGAGCGTAATGGGGTCACTTTCAACCGAGAACTTCGAAGTGTCATCCTCGCACGTCCTTAGGATCGAACATAATTGTTCTGAGAGCCTTGTCGTCCCATAAAGTGTCCGACCCCAGAAAAGCACAAAGCAAATAACAACGAAGATTGCGAGCCACCCTAATCTCTTCACGTATATCGCCATGTCGTTGGAGTGATAAGCTATAAGAAACTTGTTGTACCTAAGGTAATATTAGGGAGCTCCTAGTCCTTGGAGGCCTCTCGAGTCGAGTCTAGGCAGACGCTCGCGTACTATGTAGAAGACGCGGATCTGCTGCCCCTGAGGCTTGGACGAGAACCCGGTCGGTGCGACCCGACCCGTCCGGTCTCAAAATGATTCCGAGATTATTTTTTAAACGATCAAGAGGTATTCGATAATTTGAAATAAATAAATTGTACCTTCATACGGAGCTCTTATGATGTAATGAGGTTTGGTTGTAGTCTACTTAGGAGGTGGGTATGTACGTGGGAGGTTGACTTTTCGGGGATTCGGGTGCCTTCGGTTACCGACTTGCCTTATGCAAGTCGCACCATCCGAGCTGAAGGAAAATGTACAGGTACCTTTAGGTAAGCTGCTAACTGCTAAGGCTGGGATGGTGGGGGATGAAGTTAGGTACCTAAGGGCAGAATTGGGGAATTTAGCGTGATTAATGGATCTGCAGCGTGCCTTATATCCCGTTTGTACAGGCACTTAGTGACAGATGCATAGGGGGGATACACTGATACAGGTACAATTTGTCGCGTTAAATCATCGGAATAGATGTGATTGGATAGACGGCTTATGCCCCGGATCTGCCGCTTCCGTTTTAACGGTGGCTTAGCACATGTGAAATGTCAAATTACCTGGTACCTAAGTTAGGTACCTCTCCACTTTCCGCAATGAATCCAATCCCGTCCTTGTCTTCTTCATTGGCACCGACTCTCTCAGTCTTGGAGGTCTGGACGCTACCTTACCTTCAATTTGGTATTCCGAGAAGCCCATTTACTTGATTGGAAACCTTTCCGACATCCTTTTCGATGGCTTCCTTCATATATCCGCATAGACGTAAAGGATATCTCATTCATCAACGGTTATGATATTACGGAATATAAATAATGCCTCCAAGAAGATCCCATAAGAAATCTCGTGCTGGTTGCCGAAGATGTAAAGCTCGAAAGATTAAGGTATGTTGTGTTGTGTGTAGTCAGGGTCTCTAATTGCGCTTTAAAAGGAATAAAATAATATGGAAATGTCAAAAGGGAAAAAAATGGAGAAGAAAAGGAAGAAGAAAAGGAAAAAATGATGAGAGCGGCGCAGCTGATGCGTTCGCAGTGCGACGAAGTTCATCCTCGGTGTGGAAATTGTACCAAGCATGGCGTTGCTTGCGACTTTGAACATCCAAGTATCGTCGACACTCTCAGCCCAGTCGAAACACCTCGTCCGACGACATCCACAAGTAATTGCGATAGTCCATCTACGAATACTCTTCCACCGACGCCCTCCGTAGAGCCAACCACGCCTGCTCCCATATACCGAAACCCAGAACCACTCCCCTTAACGAATTCCAACAAAAGCAACCGTATGATGGAGTTGAAGTTACTACACCATTATACCACCATTACCTGTCAGACCCTTGCCATATCGTCGCCAGTGAGTGAGAAGATATGGCGGGATACCGTCCCGAGTCTTGCATTTACTGGTGCAGAATTCCTAGCCGACGCGCTACTTGCTGTTTCTGCCCTCCATCTACGGTCTTATTCTCCACACGACCAAGAACTTATACGCGCCAGCCATTCATATATGGCGGCAACACTTTCGGAATATAGCGCAATGTTGGGGAAGGGTATTACTGAGTCGAATGCGGAAGCGCTATTCCTTACCGCCGCACTCATCGCATTTCAGTCGACAGCGTCTCGCATTTTCACTCGGGATGATAGCGGTGATTTGAAGGGTCGATCTGATGGATATTCCCTCCCACTGTCTTGGTTTCACTCGTTTCAGGGAATAAAAGCTGTCGTTGCTTCTAGTTGGCATTGGTTGCGACATAGCGGCATCGTGATTCCGATAATCGAGTCACAGCCCGCGCTCAATCTTGATCTGTCAGGCCAAAACGCAAATTTCTTCGGACATTTGCTGACTGGAGTAGAAGAAGAAATCGCTAGCTTGGATGATCCCACCACCCAAAGTCTCACACGCCAAGCCTACCAACACGCCGTCGCTGTGCTCGACTGGGCTCATAAGATACCTCATACCGGTGCCCCTCTCGTCTTTCTCGCGACCGTTTCGCGCCGTTTTGTAGAACTGCTTGAAAAACGCCGCCCACGCGCTCTTGCTATTCTTGCTAGTTATTTTGGTTTACTAAAATCTCTCGATAGCATTTGGTGGTTGAAGGGTTTAGCGCGGCGCGAAGTCATGGGAATCGTTTCGCTATTTGATCCGGATGACGAAGAATGGTGGCCCCGTCTGCAATGGCCCGTACGGATCGCATTATACGAAGGGGATTTCATACCCCCAGACGTATGGGGCGCAGAACCGTCCAACGAGATGACGCTCTTGGACCAAGGTAACCCAAAGGGTGGTTATGTTAGTCATATTGAGCTTGTGAGCCAAATGTTCTCTACCATACAGAGCGTGCCCCCGGTGATACCGGACGAGGCGCTCGATGCACTCGCTCATCACACCTTTTTGGCTCAATCTCCGGAATTCAACCGGCAGATGGCGTCCTAGAATGATACGAACGTGCCATAATGAAGACCCCAGGAGATATGCTCGTTCGCTTTGAGCATCGCTAATCCGGGCTCGAACAATTGGGGCAAGACCTCACCTTCTAAAACATGATCTGGTTGAGTAGAATGCTATTTTGCCTTCTTCAGCTCCCTCAGGTGTGCATCACATGACCATGCAGCTAGACGCTGCAACGTTGGCAGTTTTCATAGGACTGATGTACAACAGCATCGAATGGATCGTCACATAGGAGGCCAAAATACGTAATATTAGAATTTCCACTCTCGAAGATACCCGCTTCGGTATTATTACCCGACTCTGTTAGAGTAGGTTTCCCCTCCAGGTTTCAAGGCACTGGAGATGGAAGTGTCTCTGACGTATATTACACAAAGCTTTCCAACTTCGGTGCAGAGTGTGTTACAGCGATGACAGCTTGCATACACATATCGGCATAATCCTCCGCCTGTATGTGTATATGGCAGATGGATTGAGACAGCAGAGTAGAAGGCTGAGGGGACATTGACTAACTGTATTATACAGTACGTGTAGTTTTAAACTGACTACAGTATAGGTAGACCTTGTATTAAAAAGGGATAGAAATCACCGCTATGGATCGATAAGCCAGCTCTCCACATCCATCACGAAGTGTATATACCTATATATTATACCTTATGTACTACCTGTGTAATAATAAATTCTAGTTTCTTCAGAAAGTCTTCTCTGTGACGATAAAGGGGTAATGAAATAGTATAGGTACTATAGGTATAATGACATAGCTCAAGTTGATCGATATCCCAACAGGTAGGTACTTAAATTTAGGTGCTCAACTACCTCCCTAGGTTCTAGATTAAGTTTAAAATAACAGATGAAACGCAATAGCGTTTGTTTCGTTTTTTTAGTCTGAAAATTTCGATTTTATTAAATTTTCTTACGTCTAATTATCCGACGAGGCATTAGCGCTAAGTTAGTGACGTTCGGGTATCCGAGACGGGTTGGTTAAGATTCCGGCTCGGGCTACGGGTTACACTTTCCTCCACGAAGTCGGAATTCGGGAATCGGTTGCGGCACAGTCGGAGGCAAGCTATCCAATTAGCCGAACTGCTAATAATTCGAAGACCCTTGGGTATTTAACGTACGTGTAGTTGTCACGATGTTGCGCATAGTTAGTGCATTTCTGTCTTTATTACACAGCGTCAATTAGGTAGCGATACCCTAATTAATAACCTTAGAAACCAGTCTTTGTAGTTTCCCTGAATAGATCATTGTAATGCATGGTTCAAGAATCCCTAAAGCTTAATATTGGTTGGTAACTACCCCGCTCTCGGTAGGTCGCATACCGTATAATCTAGAGAGGTCTGTAGCCAGTTTCTCCTCATTAGGAGACGGACCCAAGGTTGCAGAAGGATCGTATCGAGTTTCGAGTTTCGAGAGATGCGTCTCTTATAAGTTAGTGTCTTTGTCTGACTTCGTTCCGACTAGACAGTCAATCTGTTCCTCTGGCATATTAACACCGATGCCACCGATGCCACCAATGGTTCGGGTTGCTATTTCAGCTTGTCGAACCGTGTTGTCCAGCCCAAAGCGATATCATCCTTTTTTTAATTCTAGTAGCATAGTACAGACGAGATTATATCCCAATATGCTCGGAGGGTGCGTGTTGAAGAACGCATTTATCAAGAATGAAGGTCCTAGCATGGGAGCCTGGCAGATGTTGCCCGGTCAGAATGTTTCGAGAATATTGGCACGTGCCGGTTTCACCTGGGTGATGGTAGACTGTGAACATGGAAACATGGATGGTATGAAGACCTGAACCCGTCCCGAAATGAGGCGCTGGTAGAATACGGATGTCTACTTGGGCCTCTTAGAAGATAGAGCTGATGCTGATCTGGTAAAGACGCCGCAATGCACGAGGCGGTTCCAGCTATCGCTAGCTGCGGAGTTAGTCCTATCGTGAGGATCCCTGATATGCAAGGCTGGATGATCAAACGTAAGCCATCGATTGAGCCTGGTAACTCCGTGTAACTGATGTCTAGTTAAGGTGCGTTAGATGCAGGGGCGCACGGGGTGAGTGACCGACAATCAGCAACGAGTACCAGAACGCTAACGAAATAGATTTTGGTCCCTCTTCTCCGTTCCGCTGAGGAGGCCAGAAGGATCGTCAGCGCAGCGAAATTTCCACCCCAAGGTCAGCGTGGGCTGGGATCGCCATTCTCAATGGAACGTTTCAGTCCGATCCCAACTATGACGGAGTATCTACAACAAGCCAACGAGTCTCTGCTCACGATGGTACAGATAGAGACTCAAGAAGCGCTTGATGCCGTTGAGGAGATAGCGGCCGTCCCGGGGATTGACGTCCTATTCATTGGCCCATTTGACTTGGGGAATAACATTGGCTATCCCATACTGGGCGGTATCATCCAGCCTGAGCTAGAACAAGCAATCGACAAAACCCTGGAGGCGACTAATAGGGCAGGAAAGAAGTGCGGTATCCTTGCCACGAGCGGGGAGCAGGCTAAGCAGTATGCCGATAGGGGATTTCATATGATAAGTGTCGCAGTTGACGCGACGTTGTTACAAGCCTCGCTAGACGTGTCGTTAAGTGCTGCTCGAGGGCAGCCGGCACCAAAGGCTGGTGGGAGGTACTAGGGATGTGATGATGATGGCCGTGTGTGGTTGGGTTTCCTCATATTTAATATGAGAAGGATCATGAACCGATATACCTCAGACCGATAAGTTCTCATAAGAAAGCTCCTACGTCAGTAATACCACTTCATGCTTTCTCGACGAGATCCATCTTGGCTTTCACTTGGTCAGCAGTGAACCGGTGCATGAGTTTGACTGCTTTCGAAGCTGATTGCGGATGCTCTTCCGGGGCTGAAGACTTGCTAATATGAATCTATCAAGAGGACGTATATTAGTTTTATTTAGTTTTACGACGCGTTAAAATCAGTACATACTACGGGGACATCAAACTCATATAAATCCCGCCATGGGGGCTTGAAATCGGATTTTATAATATCGATCTCCTTGAATTGAAATGGTCGGGAATCCCAAACATCGGAGAGAACTGATCTTGCTTGAGTGCAAAGCCCGCAGTTTTCACGTGTGAATAACGTGATCCTACAAGCCTGAAGCAATCTGTTCGTAACACGCATTTTTCGGAGAGAGATTTTAAGTGAAAAGGGTTCCGATATGAGCTAAAGTTGAAGTTGAAAATGAATCGTACGATGAAGATATTACAGAAAGACATTCCTAATGTACCTAGGTACCTAGGGCTATAAGGATGGAGTAGGTAATTGAAGCTCTTAGTCTTAGGCTTACGTAACCGGCCTAGACTCTAGAACCCCACTAAGCGGGGTTCAGTTAGAAATTCTGCCGGTGCAGACGATTTGTAGGTACTTTTTGTATCAATGCTTTCTTAAGCATGTACGGGCTATAAAAACGGTACGTCATAAGGCCCTGGAGTTACCTAAAAAGGTACCTACCTACTGCATAAGCTCCCACAAATAGAAGGCGGTGAGTAAGCTTCGAGGCTCTCGTAGCTTCCATCAGCTTCATCTACAAAGTCCCTTATTAAACAAATAAAACAAATGTTAGGTACCTCTTTCTTAGTAAATTCTCCAAAAATAACTTAAGAAAAACACATACAAAAAAAAAAAAAAAAAAGAAGAGAGCATCTTATATCTTATGCCTGATCGACTCAAAAGCTTTGAAAGACACCGACTGAAGGTTGACTGAACACCAATTATTCGCTAAAATAAAATAAAAAATACTACGTACGCGCCGACAATGGCTCAGAAGTGTGTCCACAGCGGTTGTGGCAAGGAATACACCGACCCAGACGAGACTTGTGTCTACCATCCGGGTCCTCCAGTCTTTCATGAGGGCCAAAAGGGTATGTAACCAGTCATATCACCAGTTAGCTAATAAGCTTGTTTAAGGCCATTTGCTAATATAATTCCACATTTACCATCCTTTAGGCTGGAAATGCTGTAAACCAAGAGTTCTTACCTTTGATGAATTCCTCGAAATACCACCTTGCACAGAAGGGAAGCATAGTACAACCGATCTACCCCCGGAGATTGAAAAGAAGGCACCGGAAAATACCGATGCGACTTCGTCCTTAGCTTCAAAACTCGCTGAAGTAGTATCTGCCGAACCCACTCGCGCCCCTCGCGCCCCTCTCACCCCTCAGCCTGCTCCTACTGCGACCCCGCCGCCTCCCGAGTCCGAAGATGACGATGCATCTCTCGAGATCCCCGATGGCAGGGTTTGCCGTCGGAAAGGCTGCAATGTAGCTTACAAGAAGAGCGAAGGCAGGTCTGATGATGAGAAATGTGTTCATCATCCTGGCGCCCCCATATTCCACGAAGGTAGTAAGGGTTATAGCTGCTGCAAGCGACGGGTGCTGGAGTTTGACCAGTTCATGAAGATTGAGGGGTGTAAAACTTCGCCCAGGCACTTGTTCATCGGGTCCGGGCAGCAGAAGAAGTCCGCCGCGGCCGATTCTTCCGCAAATGGAGAGGAGCTACTCGAGACCGTGCGGCATGACTTCTACCAGACACCTTCGACGGCGATAGCCTCTTTCTTCCTCAAGAAGATTGACAAGGATAAAGCGACGGTAAAATTCGAGACTCAGGCACTTGTGCTTGACCTACCAACGACCGATGCGCAGCCTAAGCGTTATAAAACCAGCGTCCCCTTGTTCGGGCGCATTGACCCCGAGAAATCGACGTACAAGGTCCTCGGCACAAAGCTCGAAGTTAGCTTGTACAAGGCGGATGGCGCGAGCTGGCCCGTCCTGCGGAGCGATGAGCGACTGACAGGCGAGATCTTACAGGTCGGACGGGCGGGACGCGTGTAGTGTCAACCTGTCATCATAGGTAATAGAATACTCGGCTCCCGGGAGCTACGGTTACTTCGGTCGAAAGAACCGGTGACTATCAGGATACCTAATAATGAGCAATTTTGAGCGACGAGCATCTGCTCTAACGACTCATCTGCAGGGGCCAGGCTAATAATCCCTGCGCAGATCATAGCCCCTCTACCCCATCCCCTTGTCGAGCTGGGAGATATTCAAACCTCGCCAGTCTCACAAGCAGATCGATAGTATGAAGACGTTCAGTTATGACGTATTAATCATATTTACATCGTCAGTATTGAAAAAGACAAATTCCACAATGATTTTTTTTCCCCTAATAGGCTCACTTGTCCCCCTTTCTTTATATGACACGTAAACACTTAAACGAAACTCTATGCACCAAGGACTCTTCAGAAAGTTTCTTCGGAATTCATGGTCCGTCGCAGCATTAATTAGGCCGCTAAAATGACATTCTACACTCGTCACCGCTTAATAAAAGAGCATATACCATAGGCCAGCCAATTCCTCCCCGTGGCACCTTTAGATTACGCTCGATGGATCGATCATTTGATATTTAATATTTGATGACAGCTGAGGAATACGCGATCTAGGCACATTAGGTAGCTTCGAATATACCAAACAAATTGTGTATACAAAACTGCACCAATTAATTAGTTATGATATTGGACTAATAAGTTTATATGTCTCGGCTTGTAAAATAAGTCTCCCTGGTAACCTGTTGATTAAAGCATCAGTGTTTTGTTACGATTAGTTGTATAAATTACTCACCGTGGCGTTTACCTGGCCATGGAAAACTAAACTTCAATGCCAGTTCAGGGGTGAGCGAACAACTGAAAGTGATCCAGGCGATTCTCCTAATATAATATAGAAAATGGACAACCGTAGTTTAGAATACTTGCTAACCTGGACTCGGAAGACTCCCGGTATACGCAGTTAAGCGAACAATAGATTTGCCATCTGCTAGCCCGACGAAGCACGGCCACTTCCTGACGCGTTCGTCGTCGCCCACGTCCATCGCGAGGTACAGGCAGAGGCCGTTTTCCAGGTCGTCGTCGTCGCTTTGGTCCTGGTCTGGCTTGTGGGTACTGCCGAAAGAAACAAAGGAGTGTTAGCATATCGGAATTTCATAAGTGACTTTTAGTCTGCAGACATATATATATAACCGGTACCGCGGGACTTTTAAGCAAGGGAAAAAAATAAAAATGAAAAAATAATAAAAAACACTTACGTTGGAGAGAGAGTGTCGACGTCTTCCCGCTTCTCCTCCTCCTCCTCCTCTTCCACCTCGCCAGCACCAGCACCACCGCCCGCCTCGGCGTCTCGTCGGGTCCGTCGCCGCGCCCGCGCCCGCTTGAAGACCATCCGCAGCGCGATCTGGATTACATGTCCGAACCCAGCGACGACTAGGACCGGGGTGCCCAGCGCGAGAGCCCACAAGCTAACGGAGATAAAAAAAAATACTTAGTTACCTAACTAACAACATAGCACCACACCACAAATCAAAACGAGGGGAACGGGATTGTTATAAGTAGGGGGGGTGGGAGTCTTACGGAAGCCGGACGTTGCTGAGATGGTGCCAGAGCGCCAGCACGACGCCGAGAATCGCGATCTCGGACCCGAGCTGCAGCATCGTCCACGTCGCCCAGTACAAGGCCATGAGGTCCTCGCCGTCGCAGAACTGCAGCGCGAGAAGGGCGAAGACTTCGATGACCAGGAAGACGGCGGCGAGGGAGAAGAGGAGCGTGCACCACTGCGAGCGGCAAGCGTTAATTCATGAATGAATATATCGTTAGGCGGGAAAACTTAGGGAGGGAGGGGGTTGGGCATATCTTGGTGCGGTCATCTTTTCGCATCGATCTAGATCAGGACATTCGGAATCGAGGGAAACCAAAGAAAAAAAAGACAATGGAGTTTCGGCGGTTCATACAGCAAGGCTGACTTTAACCCTCCTCCGGAATTCATCTTCGCAGAACCCCTTTTTCTCTCGATACATCATCGTCCTATTTGTTCGTTGACCATATTAATTAGCGATCTCCTCTTATTCAAGACAGTTATCTTGCTTTTTTTAGTAAAGCATCTCGGAGACAAGAGAGAAGAACGAACAGTGATGGCGGTGATGGTGGTGGTGGTGTTCACGTACGATTGATATACCCACGACGACACGAACAAGATACAGATCACCAGGAAGAAGAGCGTCCAGTAGATGCCGTCGAAATGGGTCCTATCGAGGCGGGACGCGAATTGGGCGTAGTGCGGGCATCTCAGAGGGTCGAAAGGTGAGAACTGCCCGCCCATTCTTATCTTAGGTCTAGAAAACAAATAGTTATAATAATGGGCTTACGTAGAATGTGAGAAAGCAATGGGAACTAAATATGACGGCAGTGTGCACTTCTACTGCCGAGTTATATGTGTATAGGTAGGTAACTATAGACGGCTCAGATCTAGGTGTAAGGGACCGAACCGACGTCTTTCGGTGACTAAGTACTACTACGAAGAAAACGGACAGGAATCAATGCTTCATATATGTATATTCGAGCAACAGATATATGAGGTCTCAAAGCCACAGGCGAAGTGTAGGTGGATTGCCAAGTACGGCCGAAGTATACTACGATCCGCTGCCCAGCCATACGAGTCGCGCGGTCCCTGCCTAGGCGTTGGGAAGGAAAAACAGCCTCACATGCCGGACACTCAATACATGGCCGTAAGAAATTACCTAAATAGCTTTATGTTTCACCGTTAAAGGCCGGGATGTGAGTAGTGATGCATGGAGGCTGTGTAGTTAGTGGAAAGTCCAGATAACTTAATACCAACCGTAGGTTTTGCCATGCTTTCTTAATTCACCCCCTACCCACATTATTTTACATGGATACGACGCCTTTCACACCCCAATGTCCGCGTTGGGGCGCAAACAATGTTGTAACTGATGCATGGTGAGCAAAATGATAAGCCGTAGCTAAGGGAGTAGATGATGCTCTTGACGCCTGCTTGTTACCTTATATGGTGTATATCCGGGTCTGAGATAAACCATAAAACAGTTTCTATGAACGCTCGCAGCGGCTCCGCAAGGACTAGCCGAACAGATCGGCATCCGATCCACTCGCTAGTAGTCCATCCCCTCCATTAGTTCCGTCCGGTCCAACACCATGGCCTTCTGACCGATATACTCTCTGAGCGCGTCCCACTCCGCTCCCTCCTCCTCGCCTTGGCGCCATTTCTCTTGGAATCCCCACGCGCAGGCGATCTTATCCAGAGCAGCCCTTTCCTCTTCTCTTATCCACCGCATTCGCAGAGGTACTCCCGGAGCCCAGGTTACCCGCTTCATCTGATCGTTTGCGGTTGTCAACGCCACAACGCCGAGTGACGCCGTAAAGCCCACATAGGCCAATATACCAACAAAGGCGATATTCGTCGCCGTACCGCTGTCCATAGTGTCTTGGAGGTCGGAGAAGTTTCTCGCAAGCACATAGGCGGCTAAGGGTGTTGCGGCAAAGGTTCCCACAGGCAATAAGGCTTTACGTAAGAGCTTATTTCGGATGAAAGCTTTTGTTGCGTAGCCATTCTCGATGATCCCAACTGCGGCGTCTAAGTTTCTGGCTTCGATTGCTGTGTCCAGGGCCTTCTCGATCACATGAGGCTCAATAGCATTTGCTACCTTGTTAGGGTTCTGCTTCGCGTAGCTGATAGGCCCCTTGCCCTCACGGGGCATTGGCTTCGAAGCGTATAGTTGAAACACCCGGGGAAGTGTCTCCGGTCTGCCTAGACGTGCTTGTACATGGACGTATTTCTCCAGTAATGCTGGCGTTATGAATACAGGGGGGTGAGCTATAACCGCATAGGCGGTATCAGATATCCTGTCGATGATCTGCTTGACCTGACTCATTATGCTTTCAGGACTAGGATTTGTGAGTTTAGGGGAGTTGATGTTGTTTGTGTTGTCCAGCGAAAGTAGCTCCGAAGCAGTTGAGTCAAACTCGTTAATCATGTGAGCGATCATTGGTTTTACTGCATCATCCAGAATATAATCGGCCACTATGCGGCATGCCTGGAGAGCCGCACTCACATCCGCTTCCGAGGGTATACGTGGGTTTGACAGCACTTTTGATTTGCTTCTGTCCAAGTAAGTCATCATATTAGTGACAGATGACAACTCTTCGCTCGCAGCCGTTTTCGGCGTTGCTCTGATCTTGCTATCATGTTCTCCCAGAGTATCCCGAGTATTGCTGGTTTGTAATATCTTCTTTCTAGTCGGTAACACAGCAGCGTTTAGAAACGCCTTCTGGGTTGTACTGGCTCGTAGAACATGTTGTACTATTTGCGGTCGATGCCGGGCAGTATTGTGAGAGCTCGATGCGAGCTTTGTTGAATAAAAACGGCGAGCGATAATAGAATCGCAAAGCTGGCAAACCGATTGCGGTCGCGGGACAGCGGCCGGTCGAGGCATCGCTGCTGCTACACCTACGGTGAGTAGGGGATTGACATGTGGTGAGAATAAGCCTGTGAGTACTTAAACACACAAGTTGTTGCTGCTGCTATGAGATTGGAAGTTGGTGATGTAAGGGAAAGGAATTAGAGGTACCTATTGACTCGATACAATTATGCGATATAATACTCGTCGGTTATCGCGAAGAGAGAGATTCAATTGAGCTTCGATAACAGAGATGCGATAATTGATTATCGTCTCATATCTTCTTCGTCACATGCAATTTACGAAATAGATGTATCAAATACCTAACCTCCCTAGGTACACATGCATGTACCTAGTGGGTGGAGACAGGGGCAACCTGCGCCACAACGTGACGACAGCGCGGCTACACTTCAAGTAACTTGTTACCTCCTAAACCATCGATAAGATACCTACCTAACCTCCAAACTGCATTGCGCGTCGTCACGTATCGACCATTCCTCTTCAATACTTCTGCCTAAAAAAAGACATCATATTCACCGTAGTAAAAAAAAACCGAATAGCAGAACATAATCAATTCATATTAACTTTATAAACCACTTAATAACCAACCGATTTCCCATATTTTTTTTTATCGAGTCGACAACACACGCTCGGTGACGCTTACTATATAGACCTCAACTTATACTTATAACAAAAGTTCTCACCGACCCCGAAGCAACGCTCCTCTATCTCGTCCGAGCAACCGAATAGGTATTCATAATATATTGGAGAGCCGGAGTCCCCTATCTCTCCGAGATGCCTCCTCCACCGCCTCCCCCGCCACCACCACCGGGTATGGGAGGGCCACCGCCTCCTCCCCTTCCACCTGGCGGATTGCCGTCACGACCGGTTGCCGGTGCCGGCCGAGGCGCCTTGCTTAGCGACATCACGAAGGGGAAGGCTTTAAAAAAGGCTGTTACGAACGATCGTTCTGCTCCTCAAATAGGAAAGGTGTCAGGAGGAGGAGGGGGGATACCCGTTGGAGGAGCACCTCCTGTCCCTACGATACCTAGAGGAGCCCCTGCCGTTCCCGGTTCCGCACCGCCCGTCCCGGGGTCTCGACCGAGTAATAATGACCACGATAGCGGTGGGGTTGCGGAGCCTGCGTCGCAGTTGGCAGGTTTATTCGCGGGCGGCATGCCGAAGTTGAAGAAACGAGGTGGTGGTGTGGATACAGGAGGTAAGCATTTTACAGCCCGGCCCGGCTCTGTTGAACTTGGGAAGTGAACAGTACTGATCGTGTAACTGATGGTGTGACTGACCGTATATATATATATATATAGCAAACCAAAACGCGTCATACCTAACCGATACAGAGTCTTCAGCCCCGAAAGCGCTGCTAGTACCGAGGCCACCTGTCGGGTCCGCTCCCACCGTACCAACTATTCCAGCTCGCGCGGTGCCCACGCCCCCGGCTACCGTTTCCCACGCGTCGGTAGCGAATCTAAGGAAGGTGATTAGCGATGCGCCTAGGCCCAGCTCAATAGCATCAATGGCATCAGCGAAAGGTCCTCCACCACCGATAGGGAAGAAACCGCCTCCTCCACCTGGATCCAGGAAGCCTTCGGCTCTACAGTCACCGTCCCATCCTCCTCCCTTACCGACCTCGCACGCGCCACCGCCTCCCCCGTCATCCGCCCCGGCACCTCCGGCGCCTCCGCCTCCACCACCAACATCGGCCCCAGCGCCACCACCTCCCCCGCCAGTATCAGCTCCCGCACCGCCGCCACCCCCTCCAGCTGCGGCTCCCAGACCTCCCCCTACAACGACGCGATCCCAACCCCCTCCTCCGCCGCCGTCAGCACCACCATCTAGCTCGCCAGCAGCAAGTATCGCCGTCCAGGCAGCGCTACGCGCAACCGCAACAGGCGGCCACTCCTCACCTACCGGCGCACCAGCACCTCCCCCTCCTCCCCCTCCTTCATCCGCGCCTACCCCACCACCGCCACCTCCTTCAGCATCATCAGTATCATCAGCAGCGCGCGACCCGTCCTCGACCCGCCAACGCGCCGGCTCGAGTCTCCGCTCGATGCTAGACCCCAGCTCGTACACGCTCGCCCCCAACGGCACCGGCGCCAGCAAGAGCCCGAGCCCGGTCCCGAGCGCGATTCCCAGCCCGCTCGGCGGCGGCGGCGGCGGCGAGCGGTTCATCGTCCACGACAGCCGCTGGCGCTTCAAGGACGAGAGCGAGCTCCCCAAGCCCCGGCCCTTCCAGGGCGGGCCCCGCAAGTACCGGGCCGGCCGCGGCAGCAGCGTGCCGCTGGACCTGAGCGCGCTCTAGAGGAGCGGGAGCGGGAACGATGGTCGAGGTACGATGGTCATTATGCCCATGTCTAAGTCTAAGGGACGAAGAGATGTTGGGGTAGGGAGAGGAAAGGGGGAGAGGGCAGGGAGAGAAGGGGGAATGAGAGATGTGCGGACCGTAAAGGAGAAGAAGACTAAGAGAGAAGGACACGAGTGGTTGAATATCCGATGGTGAAGCTTCTAGCTAGGTATCTACCTTAACCTAGGTAAACCTGGTAAATCCATCCAACCAAGCAAGTACCTGTGGGCCTAAGCTAGATAGATCTACGTGGAAAAAAAAACCCCCCAAGACAGGCACATAAGGAGATCATTCGAGGTCCAGGGGGAGAACCGGGATGGGAGAAGATGCCTTGCACATGTACAACCGTACGTCTGCGTACCTGCCTGGGTGTGTATACCTACTTGGCTGTTATCATAAAAGGAATACCTGCTAGAGGTAGTGTAGGTGTTCGTTCTCCAACCCCTACCGATTCACAGATGAAGAACGTTTGAGGTTATATCGACCTAATTAGAACAGCTCTCGATTGAGAGCCAGCAAAAAGCAAAGCCAAGCATTATAGAAATTTATAAGCATTTCAATTTGCCTTTTTTTTTTCCCCTAGCGTTCATTCATGAAGCATGAACTTGAATTGTAGACTACCTGAGGTAACCTAGCTTCGAATATCCGATCAATTGAAATTAAACTGCCTTAGGTATCACCTGATAAAGTACCTCTCATTATGACTGTAGCCTTGCCCATTAAGGGAATATCGATTATGTGATATCTTATCAAAGTTTCGAATAAAAGCAAATGATTACCTATACCGTATCACACAAGCAGAGATAGACTAGAATAGACTAGAATAGAGGTATACAGCAGAATTTGCTCACGACGCCGATCCGGACGCCAACATTCCCTCTTTCAACAAAACATACGTTTTCATCTTCACGCGTCACAAAATAAGGCCAGTCGTTCGTACTCCTTGGCTGAATAGTCCCATTACCAGTAATGTGACTTGGAAGTTGCTGTTGGCCCTGATGGAGGCTCGCCGTGGATCAAACCGTCTTGGAAGTTATCTCCCCAATAACCTACCCCATCGATTTGCTTTACCACTTCGGTTGCAGACATAATAAGATCACTCAATGCACCGGTGCTTTGAAGCTGCTGGGGTGTCCAAGTCACTTTCTCTCCCAGTTCGAGATCTCGGTTCTGTTGCAGCGCCTCATTGATCACCTTGGATTGCAATGAAACCTCGTACCAAGTGGGTAGCTGGCCAAGCTGCTGATTTCCGCCGTACTGCTGGAATTGGATTGTTACATCTCCATTGCTATCACCAACGGTTCTTGGTGCCATGTCATGCACCTCGGAAATCTCAAGTACTCTCGAAGCTGGTGACTGTAGGCCATGAGCGCCCAAGGCTGATTGGATATTTCCTCCTTTCCTCACGTAAGTTGCGACGTTGCGGGTTCGGACAAGTAGTATCTTGACTTGATATGCTTCCTTGACAATAAATTCCAACAACGGTATACTAGATCCTTGCGTTCTATCCATCACATTAGTAAAGACATCAAATTTGGATTTAACATACTTAAACTTACATGACCCGCATATCGTTAACGAGATCTTCGGCGAAGTCATTGTAAGTTTCTCTCAAATCTTGCAACTTGCAGAGAGTAACTTGGAAATCCCATGACCTTTTGGGGCAATGCACAAAAACAGAGCAAGAATCACCACTCAGCTCATGGATTCTATACTCAAAGCTCTTCGCATCGACCTCTAGAGTGAAATCTTGATGCTTTCCACCAGTTGTTTTAGCACGACAGTGGATCTCATAGATGGCGTGACGAGTATTCGGCGACCATAATCTTTGTCCAGAACTGTCCTCCGCAAATGAAATATAGTTGGCATCTCCACCATCTCCTGTGAGAATCTTCGTAAAGACAAGGTCTCGTGGCTTAACATGATGCTTATCCAAGGCTTCTTTGATGACTTGCAGTGGCTTAGCCTTACTATGAAAAGGGGTGTCCTCTAGACACACATGATTGTGATTAACTTTGGTAAGACAGAGACGTCCAAGTTCAGCTTTCAAATATACCTTACCAGTAAAGACATCCAGAGAACTCAACATTTGAACAAGCTTCTGGGTAATGGCTTGGATCAATTCCGGATCGGAGTCTGGAGCCTTGTGTTTGTGATTAGATAGGAGATCTCGGACTAGAATATTATCACCCCGGCGACCGGCCTTTTGCCTCATAGTAGAATGCTGAGTCTTAGGAGCAGCTCGAGGTTCCACGCAAATATCTCCTTTTCGAACACCATTCCATATCTTAGCAAATGGATCCTCTGGTACGATTTCAGAGTCAGAGGCATTTGTAGGAATTTGCGCGCCCACCGGCGACGCCTTTGTTGTCTCAGCCATGTCAAAACTGACCAAGAGCCCTTCCTGTTCTTTCTGGTCGGGCTTCTCAAGATTCTGCTCTGTTGGATGCTTTTGTGCACTGTTGGCGACATTGCAAGGTTGCCCCACACCTGACACTACTGGAATATGAGGTGATTTAGAGTCCAGTAAGTGACGGGTTTCATCAACTAATCTTATGTTTGATCTTCCTGTTGGGTGCTGATGTTCATAGGAAGTTTGTTGGGACAGTTCCTGTGTGTTGGGCAGCTCAGAAGAATTGTAACCCACACTTTGGTTGTTTTGCAGATTATCCGGTATATCTTGAGTATGCTGGAGAAGTTGCACTTGTGTCCTATATGGCAACTCAGGAGAAATGGCTCCATTGCTATGATGTAGCATCAGCTCTGGTTGGGGCAGCCTATTAATCCAAGAAGTAACTTGTGGGTTATTTCTAGGATTGGGCGGAGCATCCTTTAAAGCGTAAAGTCTAGATTTCGCTTTGTAGTGCCATGTATTAGGTGCAAATGCCCTATATGGCTCATTCCTCCCCCTCTCCAATATAGCAGGAGTTATATCTCCCGGACCTTTGGCTGGTTGAGAGTCGGTATCTAGTAATGATACCACAACACCTCGCTCGAATATTTTCCCGTACGCAGAAGACTTTTCGCTCAAGTCATGGATTGCTCGGTCAAGGAAGTAAGACTTGAGGTAGGATCTTCTTCCATGTGCCATGTAGGTGAAGACAGCAGGATTGTTTTGCTGGTCCTCTCCGTATATGAAGCTCTCGCAGCGGACATCGGCTTTATACGGCGATACCTAACCAAAAATTAGTTTTTTTTCTCCCCATAGCTGCCTGATAGTAGCTGGATAACAAAACTTACCGCCGCTTCCGCAAGAGTGCTCAGCTTTCGCATGGCATTATTTGTAGCTTCGACCGATTCCCCTCCAATGAAAACGGCGATGCCGTCGCCTTCCGACATCAGGGTGCAGCCTGTGATACGCTGCAGTTTGGCTAGTACTTCGGCCGTTGCTAATTTCAAAGGGCTTGAGCTTCTTCTACGAAGCTCTCTAGGGACCATCCACACCGCTCTGGAAGGAGCGGTTTGGATTTCGGCAGGCGCAGCTGCCAACATCGACTGCTCGATGTTAGGTTTACCACCAGACTTGATATTTGCACGCCATTCCTTGACAGGAATGACTTTTGTGCTGGTGGACTAGCCGATTGTTAGATATCGTGATGATGTGAACTGGGTTGATAGGAAAGAAGAAAAAGGTAAAAGGAAAAAGAGAAAAGGAAATGAAACTGGAAAGGGAAAAAGAATGGGAAGCTGAAGCTGGAGGAGGTGGAGGAGGTGGAGGTGGAGGTGGAGGAGAAATGAAGGAGAGGGAGAAAAAAAAGAAAAAAAGAGAAAAAAAACTCACCAAGCCCGAAGAAAGTTCTCTTTGGACCATACGGTCCAATACAGACTGACAAGCAGCCATGACCTTCGCCTCATCGGCGACCAGGCATTTGACCTTGGTCCAGGTTGTCTTCAGGTCATAAGACACCTGGACTGCCTGTAATTGTATTAATAAAGTCGGCCCAAATAGGCAAACTCATTCCAAGCTACCAAGCTAGTAGGTAAAGCAGCATGTGAGAAAGGGATTGAAAACTTACTGGGAAAGCACGTCGGAGTTCGGTGGTGAACTCCTGGAGTCCTTCTGGGTGGAAAGCCCAGTTGGAAGCGAAAAGAAACACTGCGTCCTTTTCCTTTCGTGCGGCAGCGGCAGCGGAAAGTGCATCCTGCTTTGCAACCCACTCAGGGAAGTCGTTGCGGAGTGCTTCGGCGACGCGCTCGGCAGCCAAATTACGTGTTGTAGATGAGTAGTCAGACATGGTGAATCCTATCGCCGCAGATGTTAGCATTCATTTAAAACATTTATGGTCTTCATTGATAAGTGTATAGCAATTGATTTTATAGACAAGACATGTTTATACTAGTTCAAGAGGTGCTGTTGTGAAAGACTTACCTTAGAATTGCGTAGATGGTTGGCAAAGGGTTCTCAAATGACTCTTCAGTGGATTAGTTGATAAGAATACCAAAGACGCGTTAAAACACAGGTGACAAAGGTAGTTGATGATTAGGATGTAACGCAATATTGTACTGGGTAGTAAAGGGAAAGAGGGACAAGAGTTTCTGGTCCTGGTAAATGTTGGTAAAGAATGGGTAAGTAGGCAGGTAGTAATGAGGAAGAAGAAGTGGTGGTGGCAGATGTCAGGTAATGAATATCTGGATGATGAAGGATTAGGCAGGTTCTGAAAATGAAGTTAGGCAACAAGATTACCTTTTTTTGTGGTTGGGAAGTTCGCGTCGGCGACGTGTTGGGAATCAGGACTCGAAGGCTGCAGTTTTAAGACACGATGTTCTTGAACTTCAAAAAACAAAAAAAGAGCAGTGATCAATACCTCAAGTCCTATTACAAATGATAGATGAGTATATCAACAGTGGTATCAAGTAGAATAGACAGTTGTGGTTTGAAAAGGTGAAGAAGATTGAAGATTGACTGGATGAAAAGTTTGGAGTTGGGGATTGAAAAAGAAAAAAAGATGTGGACTGCAGAGAAATTTTTGAAGTAGGAAGGTTGGAGTAGGAACTGTTGGTAAGTTGGTAGGCAGGAGGTACCTAAGGCATGTGGGTACCCAAACTTGGGTAAACAGTAAAAGGGGGGAAGGTGGGTGGTTTTTCAGGCTTCCAGTATCAGGTACCTAGGTAACAGGTTGGTGAGCTCTTTCCTGCAGCTAACCGGGCAAGACACTCCTGGTTTTGGAGGATGCCTGGCACTAACTCCTCCCCCCTATTTGCCTAGTTAGGTAAGCTACCTGTACCTTACCATAGATGCATGCATGCTAGACTCGCATCAATCCTTAGGCACCTTTTTAGGGTGCTTCCATGGGTGCCTAGGTACGTAATTGCTCCTTACACTTCTTGGGACGGCAATTTCAGAAGGACACCCTTAGGCACTTTTACTCAAAGCAAGGCTGCATCCCCTTAGGTGAGGCCATGTTGGGCCTGTAGATGTTTATATGTGATATATGTGATACCTTACATTAGGTACCTACATATGTGAATCACTGGTATATATTCAGTCATGCTTCATAGCCTTGGTATATATGTAAACACGTAGGTACCTAGTCTATGAACTACCTACCTAAGGTACCTAGTGCTTTTATACAATCATGAAAACCAATATCTCTCTCACGATGTGGAACTAGAGAACATGGGAATAATCTTATCATTCTAGGGGACTTTGTTCCTGTGCTTATTATGGGAACTGGTGGCTATACCTACCTATGTCCTGCAGGTATACTTTGTCCAAGGGTTCATCTTGATCCTGAGGATGTTACTGCTACCATTTCCTTGAAAGGCCTTTTACAAGTGATTTGATACCCCTTAGTTCATCCACAGAGCTAGGTATTGCTGGAGTAGATCAATGCCATATTATCCAGCTACGGTTCACGAAGCATGCTCGTTTATGATAAAATTCACTGCCCCTTTATACCGAAATAGGAGAATAGAATGTTAAGAATCTGACATGGTTAAGCCTCATCATTCTATGTGCTGTATAAACAATCCTTTATAGGATACCATATGTTACTACGTAGTGCCTAGAGGCACACTTCCCAGGTCTGAATACCTTGAAGAGCTTCTCCAAATGTGTTCCTCTGGTCACATATACTAACATATGTTAGAATTACACTATAAAATGCTCCAGGCTAGCCATTCAGTAAACATATTGATAGGATTATAGCTGAGATACCTATAACGTAGGACGTATTTGTTATGTCTAGCCACAAGCTCTCCTAGTCAGACTCAGGGTTCCTTGCAGAACAGCAATGCTGTTTATATACTAGTAAATAGCGAGATAGACTAATGATTAGGAGCTAAATAATATAGCTTAGGTAGGTAGGTATGTTCTATAGTCCCTGGAGTATACCATGTTCTGGAAATTTGATCACTGAAGGCTGGTTTGATATCTGCTGACATTAAAATTGGCGACCCAAAACCGGCGACAGGGACAGGAGAACTTAAGCAGGTCTTTTTATTCCCGAGCAGCATCGCCGGGCACTGACGGAGCAATGCCACAGTACTTGTTCTAGGCAACAGTATGGAGAATAGGTCTATAGCCCAGATGAGTTTGATGGTATAGGAAATGTTGGAACTTGGGAATATGTGATGGATTGACTCTAGTTGTAGCATCCTGAGGATGTATACCTACCTACCTAGCTTATTTGGGCTATAATATGCTACTAAATATAGCCATACCTGAAGCTACCTATATAGGGAAGATATATATGATAGAATACAACATAAATGAGTAGGCCGGCAGAGAGACAGAATGATCAGCTTGTAGGTGTATTAGGTACCTGATATGGGATAGCAATATTACATACAAAAGAACATTGTTAGCTCAGCTCTGGTGATACTTACTTTGTTATGTTAGGAGATACATAGGAAGCTTTTGGACAGTGGTGCAATGTAAAATGTCATATCAAATGGATTATCTGATGGTGATGCATTTGCATGATCTGATTGGCTGATTCATAAAAAAGGGGGAGAGTATTTTGCTTATGTAAGCCAGTTAGATGTACACTACGGCTCACTGTGATTTTCGTGGCAGCCAAAAAGTATAACACAGCCAGATTTGGATGGAAGTCAGGTCAATATTGAATGTCTCAATTCTAGTGATATACAAATTCGATCTTGAGAGAGGAGCATACTTGAGTGCTTGTAAATCTGCTGACCACAAATGCGTTCCTTCTATGGTAACCTTCAACTAGTAACCTGGGTATATGCAATATGCAATGTAGAAAGAAGGACAATGGAAGGGAGGGTCATTAATGTGAACGTTCATATGCTTTTTGTGGTACTAGCTAAGGGCCACCCCTCTACCCTCTCAAATTTGTATCTTATGATGGGAACGACAATATCACGGACTGCCGGCTCTCGCTCCAATTCAGAGAGAAGCCGTAGAATATTATTTACCTGGAACGCCAATCCTATTTATCGTAACATATCCAGACCAGAACTCTCTTCGAGCATCATTTTCTGACCTGGCCATAGTTGCTCAATTTCGTCAACCATCGGGGCTGCAGTATAGTATCGGAAAGGGCATCGCTGCAAGGTATTGCAAAGGGTGGGAGGAATATTATGTAGTTGAGTGGTATCATTTTGGTATTGCCTGCATGCTCGAACTGCTGAGCCGCGATGCACCAAATTGGAATAGAGTAAAGGAAAAGGTAAAGGTAAAGGCAACGGTACCGTAACTTCGAAGCTGTCATTCGAGTATATGTTAGAAGGGAATTTCCCTTCCTGTCAAAGAAGAGCGAGTAAGTATATGCAATAATGTTGCAAGTGTTCAGAGCATTTGCTGACGAGAAGCGCGGCGCGGCGCGGCGAAATTATTGATCGAGTACATCACTCAGCACCCTTCACGTTTTTCTTCACGTTAAGCGCCCATTTCAGTTGACCGAGTACGCGCTTTGCCTCCTCGAGTGTCCTCTCCTGTTCTTCTTCTCTCTGACGGGCGGCTTTCTTGATGTCTTGCAGCGATTGTTCCTGTTCGCGCTTATAAGCCTCGAATTGTTGGGCAATCTCTTCCTTTTGCCGTTGTAGGTCCCGAATATTTCCATCTTGTTGGTCACACAAATCGCGGAGGACGCTGATTTTTTCATCGTCCTCCTTGCGTTCCTTAACCAACGTTTTGATCTTCTTATCAAACCCCGCCATCATACGCTTCACTTCGTCGCCTTGATCCTTCCAATGCGATGAGATGGCATTATATCGACTCTCCATCAATGCCGCCTGCATGTTAGCCTCCTCTACTTGGACTTTGGTGTCCCGGCGGCACTTCTCTATCTCTTCGCGCCATGTTCGCTCCCGTTCTTGAGCATCCGATGTGCGCTTCTTCTCGAGCTCGACGGTAGATTGCAAATGCTCAACTTGACGTTCCTTACGACTAAGCAACGTCTTGGTCACCGTGGCTTCTAATAGGCGGCTCTCGTAGTCTGCGACCATACGTTCCATCTTGTCTTCGAGTAGCTTGGCTGCCTGTTTTGCCTCCTCGGATTTAAAACGTTCGATTTGGATATCCCGTTTCAAGGCCTCGTTCTCAGACACCAATTTATTAATTACTCTGCCCGTCTTTCCAAGGCCAGCCTTCCCGACAGCACCATCCCATTGCGGCGAACTTCCTGGTCCTGTACTTGGCCGGTCTTCGAGCGTCGCTGTCTCCGGAACCTGTAAAGATAAGGTTGCGTCGTCTGCCATCTCTTCTCCGGGAGTTGTATCGTTTGCGGATATATACGGGTCTTCACTTCGTGTTATTGGTAAAGGTGGCCCTAAGCTAGGTGATTGCGGTTTTAACCTCACAGTCGAGCTGCTTTGTGCTTGTTGAGAGCTGTATGATGTACCGCTGACATTGCTATTAATAGAACTAGAAAATCCGCTGTTTCGCGCGGACGGCGATTCGGACGAGATATCCGAAGATGCTTCGAAGCTCGGGACGGTGCGAATGGTGGAGGGGATTTTGCTCTTGCTTTTGCCGTTAGGTGAAAACCCGGAGTTGGCATAGGCGTTGTATTTCGACTCTGGGCTGTGAGTACTCATGATGTTCGAATCGTGGGAAGTATGCGCCGGGTTCGTTTTTGAATTGGCACCCGGTACACGATCATCTGCGTGTGTAGGTTCTACGGAAGAATATATTAGCCATGTTCTACCGCCGTCTGAGTAAGAATATAGTAGGGATTTTGCTTTGTCTTGAATAACAGGGCTAGGCGAGGTAAGGAAACAAAAAAAAAGTTTCGCCCGTTTCCGAGACAATGCTAATGAACAATTTGTGGAATAACAACAGAGACGAGTAAATTATGCAAACACGTAGGGCTGAGTTATGTTCACCTTGTTCAATACTTTGTCTGCTAGGAGTTCACGGCTCTCGATTAGGACCAGAATGTACTCGAGAATTTTGCAACCGGCTGGGCATTTCTCATTTCCTATTTTTTTCTTTCTTATCCGCTGAAGGGATGTCACGTCGCTTTGCCGATGCACGACGACTAATGACGGAAATATCGAGCAGTTGATAAGCGCCTTATGGTTTCTAGCGTTTTTACTCCGTTTGGTGCTGGTTATGTGGGTGAGGGAGGGTTCTGATTTCGAGTTTACACGCGGTGGTACCGGAGGTGTTATGCAGAGGTGTTATCCAGGCGACGAGGGCGCAAAATCGACGTCAGTCAAGATAATAAGTGCTGAAGTAGACTAGGGGCTGAAACACGGTGATTCACGCTTCGCTATTCCCTAGGACGATGCAAATTAAGTAAAATGTAGCGCCGACTACAACAAAAAGGATAGCAAAAGGTAAAATCAAAGAATATAGAGAGGAAAGCCGGAACTCTTCAACGGTTGACTCTAGGTATGCGCTGAACTTGAAATTTTGGTGTACGGATTATGAAAGTAGCAATCCAAACTAATGGGATTTCAAGGTCGAGTTAAAACGAAAGACCAGCACTAAATCACACATACCCCATGTTTATGTTATTATGTGTATTATTATGCCACGGGTGACGGGTCAGATCGCGGGCCTCTCCAGTTGTTGTTCTTGTTAAGAATTATTTAGTGAAGGTAGTGAGTACGGAGTAGCATTGTAGTGTTTACGAATTGGCCGCTAGTACAGGTAAGCTAGAGAGCTTGACTTTACTGTAGAAATACGGTATGAGGTACATAACGTTTGCATTTCGCTAAAAAGCCACGCGTCAGCCACCTTCAGCCAAATTTTAAGGATGTCGGGGTACAGGATAACCCCTGATTAGACCCCTTCTAATCCCCTGTACGTGTCGTTTGACGCGTTTCCCGTATCCCACTTTGTATTGTAGGTACAGACCTAACCTAAGTAATTACAGCGTTTTTAATGTCCCGGCAACGGCGACGCACAGGCTCCTCCCGACGGATGATATTTAAAATGCCGTATCATATCCGCTCCCGAAGCGCCGGTATCACCATAACCTATCAACGGGAGTTACTCCTTCTCATGCCTCACTTTCTTTTTTTCTCTCGAATAATAATAGTCATCTAATCTATATCTGACAGGTCATTCGTAGTAATCTCAAACAATACCTACCTTTTAGATATCTCAAGTAAGAATCTATGATGCTATTAGTAAAAAGCGATTGTTTCTCTCTTACATGTTTGCAGCGGCTCGGTTATATTTTGCTTATTCATGCAATGCCTACGAGACTTGAAAGTAAAGTACCTAAGGTTAGGTTGGTAGGTACCTAACATGATATCTGACCTCTCTCTCCCTGTCTAAAATTGTAAGATAAAAAACCCCGTTTGCCAAAAATCTGCTCTAACCCCTTCGAAATGGTGACACTCTCCCCGCTCGACAAGATTATGCCCCGGGGCTACGTCCGCCAAATATTTCTCTTTCCCTCGACGCATGCTTACATTTTGGATACGCTCAGAAAGGGCTTGGGAGGAGTTGTAAATGATGTACCCTACCTTCTTTCCGGCATCCTCGTAGGCGAGGATCCTAAACATGTCTCGCTCAGCGATCCCTATCAAACTCTAGAGGACCTCTGCTACGAACAGGACCTTTCAGATACTATTGACTATGCCGCTATCAAGGAGCAGCATTTCCCTCCGTCGGCATTGGCCGTGCCGGGAATTATACCTCCTGACACGCAGCCCCCGTTCCCGAGTCCTGCGCCGGTATTCCGGGCGGGCGTCTCGCTCGTTAACGGCGGGTTCATTCTATGCGTCGCTGTTCATCACTGTACGACCGATATCACCGGATTTGGAGCTTTGCTCAAGATATGGGCCTCTCACTGTCGTGCAGGCACGACTGCAGGAGCCGGGTTCGATCCGTCTTGGTTAAGCCGCGAGGCCCTGATTGGAAGATCCAACTCTCACAATTCAATAGCGCCTACTTCAATGCCTAAACTTCTCCACATACGAGAACCTGATAAACATGCTAGGCGTACCGGCTCAGTACAGTCACCGCCTAGTGATCTTACGACTGGCATATTCTTCTTCCCTCAGTCTAAGCTGCAGGCTCTCAAGCATGCCGTAAACGAACATATCGCCTCTCAGGATGGTACGGGCTGGATCTCTACCGGTGATATTCTTACAGCACTACTTTGGAGCGCCACACTGGCTGCCGAGCAACAAGTGTCCGTCTCTGCACCTGGTGTGGCAGCTGAGCAGAAGAGCACCCATACGATAGGCATCCCCGCGAATTTCCGCTCTCGTTTAAACCCGCCCTTACCCCCAAACTACCTCGGCGCCGCCTTTGTGATGACAGCTGCCACAGCTCCACGAGCAGATCTAATATCTTTTGCCACGGAATCAGCCTATCCTCCCGACTACGGCCAGTTGGACTCTGCCTTGGTCGCAACACTAGCGGTGCTTGCCTCAACGATCCGGGCTTCCCTTCGCAGTGTCCACGAGCAAAGCGTGCGAGATGTGCTGGTATTTTTAAATTTAAATGAAGCGTCTAAAGATCATCCGTCAATCACGTTAGGGCCGCGCCACGATGGTATATCCATTGTCTCATGGGCGGATCAAGGTGTATACGAGTTGGATTGGGGTGAGGTAGTTGGAAGATGCGAGGCTGTCAGGTTGCCCAAGTTGGCAAGTAAGAGATACCCTATTGTCCTCCCTAGGATTCCAAGTGGCCTGATAAATGGTGAAGAGGGAGGCTTAGAGGTAATTGTTAGTTTCGACAGGCAAGTACTGCTCGAATTCGAGCAGAGCTGGCCCATCAGAAAATTCGCAACTGTTCGGTGTCGTTCGTGAGGGAAAGGCACCATCTTAATTCAGCAACGGTGGGTGGTGATATTCAGCATTAGCTATCTACCTAGGTACCTCTCATGCAATTATTTTATTTATTTATGTTGCCTACAACTAGCTATAGGTTTTCTTCGCCAATCCAATCAATTCGTCATATTCGCCGCTATTTTTTAACATACCCCAGAATGCGCCTTCAATGTCAATCAACTCCGTAGGTATTCCAGCCCTATGAAGATGTCAGTAACGAGCCATGGCTACAACCTAATTACCTAGGTAGTTACTCGGCTATTATGCATGGGGGAGGGGTTGGACATACTCTATAACCTTTCCTTCTTCCATTACAATTACTTGGTCATAATCGATAATAGTCCGCAGACGGTGAGCGATGGTTATGATAGTCGAGCCCGCGAACTCCGACCGAATAATCTGCTGCATACGCACGTCCGTCTCGTGATCGACGGAAGCCGTCGCCTCGTCCAAGACAACGACTTTGGAGCGACGACACATGGCGCGCGCGAGCCCGAGGATCTGCCTCTGCCCGTTGCTGAAGTTCTTGCCGTTGGCCGCTACTTGGGTATTGGCCGAAACGCCGCTGGTGGGATGCCGGCTGTCTGAGTCGTACATCTCGGTTAGACCGCATGCTGAAAGGATTTTGTACAGCTCTGCCTCGTCGAGGTGCTCGAGCGGGTCGAGGTTCGATCGGATGTCCCCGGAGAAGATCACCGAGTCCTGAGGCACGAAACTGATGCTTTCCCGGAGACGCTTAAGGGGGATATTGACGATGTTGACGCCGTCAATCACGATACTACCGGAAACCACATGTGTTGAGCGTAGCAGCGAGCGTGCAATAGTACTCTTGCCACTACCGGTACGGCCGACGATAGCGACTCGCTGCCCCGGCAGTGCGTTAATCTTCACATCCTGCAGGATGTCAGGGCCATCCGTAGAGTAGCGAACAGTCACGTTCTTGAATTCCACATGGCCAGTCGTCGGCCAAGCTGCGGGCACTTCAGTCCCCTTTGTCTTCTCTTCCTCGGGGTTTACCTCGGGTTCGACTTCTGCGTACTCGGATACCCGCTGAAACGAATTCAACTCCACCTCCAACTCGTTGATGTTCCTCACCAACGTTAAGATAGTCTGGCTTAGGCCAATAGCGTTAGTCAGTGAGAAACCGACGAGACCCGGAGACCCAGATTTATAGTAGGCTATGCATCCGGCCGCGACCGCAACGGTAGCAGCGCAAAAGTCCGAGCGAATCGAGACCCAGCGGTTGCAGTTGTATTGAGCCTCCATCGCGCGCATGTACACGGCAAGCTTGTCGGCAAGAAGCGTCTGGAAGACATCGTCCATCGGCTGACGGGCTCTAATGACCGCGAGACCTCCAGCAGAGTCGGTGAAATGAGAGAATATAGGCGAGTTTTGCACGGCGCATAAGCGTTTGATCGAAATCTGGGCTCGTGCATAAACTTCCCCGGTAGCAAAGCCGAGGAGGCAGAAGAAGCCCGCTGGTAACGCGAAAATGGGCATGATGGATGCAATACTCGCCAATCGCAGAACAAGCCTGATCCCGTTATCGAGTGCCATGCGTAACCAGTCGACTAGAAGACTATCCATAGACTGTATGTCTACACCGAACCGGTTAATGATACGACCGACAGGGGTGTTGTCGTACCAAGGTATAGGAGCATTGAGGACAGCAACAACCAAGCGCTCGTGCATGGTCTTCGCCGCTTTCCACCCTCCCCGCTGGTAGATGTAGTTATTGAGGAACTGAAGGGATATGAATGCCATAACCGTGCCGATATGAATAAGGAGATACGTCGTCGCTTTGGAAAAGTAGTCGGGTTTGGCTGATAGTCCAGTCCAGATAGACAACCAAAAAGTGATCGAGAAGTAGGCTATCTGCACGAGGAAGGTATTTATGACCGTTAAGATAGCGGCGACGTAGCCACCAAATAGTAGCATGTATCGAACAACTGTTTACGTGATTATATTTAGTATAGAAGTCCTTGCATAGGATCTCAGAAGACTTACCGAATCCACGTGGGACGCGCCCCGACGCCCTCTTTTCATCTCTTGCTGTATCGTCTACGGCCGCCTCTTGAGGCTCATAATGCGTTAAGTCAGGACTTTCACTCTGCACAAAAATTCCTCCTGTGGGAGGGTTCGTAGTTGATTGCGATGAAGAGTCAGCTGCGCCCTCTTGCTGATGCGTTGTCCAATACGACTTGGCATCTTTAGATGGGCTTTTAGCGTTTGTTTTCATATCCGAAACTCTCCCCTGAGCCAACGACACTACGAGTTCAGCATCTTCTATAGCAGTGGTAAAATGTGTTACTAGAATGACTGTCCGACCGTCTAAAAGTCCACTGCGGAAGCATCGCTCGTAAACTCTCGACGTCGTGTGGGTGTCTAGTGCCGAGAATACATCGTCTAGGAGAAGGGTTGAAGACGACGAGTACAACGCTCTTGCTAGTGATATCCTTTGTTTTTGACCCCCCGAAAGGCTGGAACCCTGCTCCCCGGCATGTGTCAAGTCGCCGGAAGGCAACTGCTCCAGGTCTTCAACGAGATCGCAAGCATAGAGGATCTGCTTATATCGGCACTCGTCATATGGGCTATAGAACAGGATATTCTGACGGATGGTACTGTTCTGTAGCCAAGCTGTTTGTGGCACGTAGGCTACGTCCGGAGGGCAGGTTGCTTTTCCATTTTCGAGAGTTGTCTCGCCTAAGAGCGATAGCAGCAGGGATGTTTTGCCACTGCCGATTGGACCCGTTACCACATTCAGGGCTTTTTCGCGAAATGAAATAGATATATCGCGGAGTCGGAATCCAGATGATCGTGTCAAGCAGAAAGTCGCGTTTGTAAGCTCTGGAGGGCCAGCTGGGAGACGTTTCCTTTCTTCGGCTAGTTCGAAAAATTTGTCGACTCGTTGCAATGACTTATGGCCCTGTGCTACCCATTGGATGACCTTGGACAGCCATACAAACTGCGCACGCAATATTTCTGTAAGAGATAGTGCTGTAAAAGCCGTGGGAGCTCGTAGCGGTCGGTCTGTAAAGAGGACAAACGACGTGAACATGGCGAGAAGACTGACAAGAGAGAGCATATCGCCAGCCATGAAAATGAGCATAGAGGTTACGTTACGCTTCCAAATTCGTTGTTGCTCCGTGGCTCGAATTGCGTTAATCATCTTGGCTGCCACATCTTCCCACGCGAAAAACTTCAGAGTCCGAATCGACTGTAAATATTCAGAAATTCTTGATAGTCGACTATCTGTCACCTCCATTACCGATCCATGTAATCGTGACTGGCGTCCAGAAAGTCGGGCAGGGAGCGCGGTTAAGGATAGGAGAACTGCAACGCCAACGAGAGATGACCACCCTAGCAGCTGATATAGAAATGTCATAGCTATTGCCGCCGATACTGTACTTGCTGTCAGCGAATAGAATATGTCGGTCACATTAGCAATCGCGTCGGCATCATATGACAAAAGGCTTTCCATCTTGACAGAATTTGCATTTTTATCCGTTGTTTCTGTATCTCCAGATCCGTTTTCGCTATGCGAGTCAAGTTTCTCTTGTATACTATTGTCCACTCTGGCCCATAACATTGTCTGGTATATTTCCTGAATCATGGTCGCTTTTGATAGTACAAGGAGCCGCGTGCCGGCGAATATAGATCGTTGATAGCAGATAGAACGGGCCATAGGCCCTAAGAATAGGAGCGCAATCCACACAAAGGGGTGAACGACAGCAACGGTTGTGTCAGGGTCTTCGAGGTAGCCCAGCAGGTAGAACATGGCACACGGTGCCAAATACTCTGTCATCGCCGTTGCAACTGACCAGAGCATTATTGTCTTGATATCGTTTCGAAACGTTCGACAGAGGGTCCAGAAAGTCTTCCCACCTTTCAACCGGGCCTTCCGCATACGTTGTAGTAATGTCGTCGGCGCATCGTATGTCGGAAGAGAGGGAAGATCGTCCATGACCAAGTCCCGGGAGAAACCCCGGACCATGAGATATGTGAGCCATCCGTACGAAATGTAATATGAAAACCACGAACAGGTTTCCTCGGCAGATGGATCAGCGTTCACGTCACTTATACCCTGCCCCTCGGGATTTGGCTCTTTTCTTCGTACAGGGCGCGGAGAGACGAATGAAGCCATAAATGCTGATGCTAGACAGGCGAGTTTAGCATATTCAATACTTGACAGGCGATTATGTGGACCAATAATTGCGATGGGCGATAGGAGCCTGACAGCCTCCAGAATGGTAAAAATCGTTACCATCCAGTTCACGTGGCAGCGTAAAGGAATGCTGGTAGCCTTCAGCCTCCAGGCGAATTGCGAAATACCCAAGAAGAGCAGATAGCCCAAAGCAAGTGATTCCGTCCAAGACCCATTTTGTAGATTGGAGTAGAACGTCAGAGATAAGGCTGCCGCAAGAAGGACTATTTGCGTAATGGCATACTCGGGCGGTGTATACGGCCTACATATTCGGGCGTCACGGGGCTTTACAATGCGGCCATACAAGCCATTAACCCGAGCGGCACATACCAACAGTAAAATAAGGGATAACCCAACGCATGCGAGCTGTAAGTGACCAGTGCCTATAAAGTTAGATAATATGACTGCGCGGTGTTGCCATATCCCACTACAGGCTTAGTTAGACGGACTCGGACATAAGAGAGCAGTTGTATGTTGATGTACATACCCCTTTGGGGCTTTTTCATCCAATGGGATCCCGAGGCCTACGATTGGTATCTGCGACACATCGGAGTTCATGGGATGCTGGAGGAGAACTCGATGCATGTTCGTCCTCGTGGTCGTAGAGCATGTTTGTGTGTCTCGAGCGTATAAGTCGAGGAAGCCGGGGACGAAATACTTTAAACATAAGACGATGATGAATTTAGGCTTCTTTCACAACTCGGTTTAGGGACCATCCGCTGACAAGCTTCACTAAATGACCGCTTCGAATACCTAACGCTGTTTTGGGGGTTAGCCACGTTCTATATGAGAGCCCAATAACCCTAAAATCGGTTTATAATAAAAATGCAGCACTGGAGTACACCGGCGTCGCTAGTTGCTATCTGTTATTGGACATGAAGATGCCGACGCGGCCTTGTCCGAGAGGCGAAGGCTCGATGAATGCGGTAGTTTGTATCCGATTGGACAAGCTGAACCCTGTCATTTTTTTATACTCCATACCGGTAGAAAAGGTTATATTAGAGACTCTTGAAGCCGGCGTAAAAGCTGGTGGATCCTAAGGCCGAGACCCAGTTCTCAGATGCGAGACCTAATACAGTGTTTATCGCACTTTGTCCATTGCAATGAGCCTGTGACCTATCTATCAGTCTGATAATTGGTAATTGGTAAGACACTGTCCGCATTATCATACCAACTGATAGCAGAGGAAACTATGAATCTGATATGCCTATTTGTTAGCTATATATATTGGGTATTCCTTGGATGTAGTAGATAAAAGGAGATGTATGTATTGCTGTGCCAAAGGGATAGATAGCATCATTACAACCAAATTTCGGACTTGTAACAGCTCTTCCCAAGTTGAGCGATGGACAAGCTTCAAGTAAACGTTCCTTGCAAGCTGAGAAAACAGCCGAACAATTTCAGATATCCTCTTCTGTGTTCATTAGTTTCCCTCTGTCTAATCCCTTTATATTTTAGTCCGACATTACGCTCAGGAGTCAAGCATTGCTTATACAAATCACGCAACAGCCAGCCATATTCTAGTGATCCGGAGAAATGGTGCCCCCTACCAGACGTCGTAGTTCCCGAAGGCGACGGTTTAAATCCAAGTGAGCATTTCATGAGCTCTGAGCAACTAGAACTACAAGTGCAACGACTCTCCGCAGCCCTACGCGTCCCAACCGAGAGCTACGATGATAACGGCAACGTCGACGAAGATCCTCGCTGGAAAACGTTCGAGGACTTCCACCAGGTGCTGGAACGGCTATTCCCGCTTGTGTAAGTGATCATCACTCGCAAATTGAGGTCCACCCCTGTTTTCTTTTTACCTGCGGCGTATTTATCCTTATTCTCAAAAAACACAGGCACTCGCAGCTTGAAATTCGCAAGGTAAACCGATATGGCCTTCTGTATACGTTTAGAGGCACGGATAATTCCAAGAAGCCCATACTGTTGACGGCACACCAAGATGTCGTGCCTGCGGGACCTGCTTCCCGTTGGACATATCCGCCGTATGAAGGGCATTTCGATGGGTCTTTTATATGGAGCCGAGGGGCGGCCGATTGTAAGAACGTCCTCATCGGTATACTCTCGGCTATTGAAGATCTTATCTCGCAGTCGTTTGTACCTTTCCGTACTATTGTGCTAGCTTTCGGGTTTGATGAGGAGACAGGCGGTGTCAGAGGCGCAGCCACACTAAACCAATCTTTAGTACAGGAATGGGGTCCGGATTCGTTTCTGTTTGTGTTGGACGAAGGCGGCATGGGTGTGCAAAGCCATGGGGATGCCCTATACGCTTATCCTGGGGTGGGAGAGAAAGGCTACTACGATATCCAGCTGACCCTCGAGGTTACAGGCGGCCACAGCTCGAGGCCTCCAAGACATACCGGTATTGGTATCATGGCGGATGCAATCGTAGCGTTGGAAAATGAGCCGTATGCCCCTCGTCTAACATATTCAAACCCATTTCGCAGGGTATTGGAGTGTAGAACGAAACATTCTCCCGAAGCAGTGCAACCATGGTTGCGAGATGCTCTTCTTAGTGGAGACGAGTACGAGATTGCTAAGAAGCTCGCTGAAGAAGAAACAGAAGAGAAATGGCTAGTTCAAACAAGCCAGGCCATTGATGTCATTAACGGAGGCGTCACGGTGAATGCTTTGCCTGAGAGTATCGAATTTCAAGTGAATCATCGCATAGCACTACATGAATCAGCCCAGTACATTAACAGTCAAATTCGAAGAGTGCTGGACCCCATTGTACAGAAGTATGAGCTCGAACTTCGCTTTGAAACTAACAACGGCTCTTATGCAGGGGGACCAGACCCGGACGCTATTTCGTCTGGGATCTTAAAGGCGAAAGGCTTGCAGGTAATCAACATAGCCCCGATATCAGCAACTGATAACAACGTGTGGAGTGTTTTTAGCGGTACTATACGACATGTATTCGAGAGTACAGAAAGTGGGATGGGCAAGACTGTTGTCCCAGCTGGGAATATCATGACAGGAAATACGGACACTCTTCATTATTGGAATCTTACGGACAACATATACAGATTCACCCCATCTAGGAACGGGACAAGGTTGAATCAACACGGGATCGACGAGCGGATGGGTCTAACTGCTCACTTGGAAGGCATCAGATTATATTACGGTAAGCGATTAAATGATGTGATATATGTAAGGTACATGACACTGAATTTTTGGTAGACTTGATTCGAAATTTTGATAATTGGGAGGACGCGTAAATCGAAATCGTGAGCTTGGATACCTATGTACCCAGAGCGATGACTTCAGTTGATGAGATAGAAATGAAAATTTTAACTCGCTATTAATAAGGTATCTAAGGTAAGTTAAATTGAGCATAACAAGAAAACCTGCTCTTCGTAAACCTGCGGGAGTCGGGGGCGAAGAGTAGAAATTATCCTAGTTTTGTATCGCATAGCCTCGGCCAGATAATAGTGACGATATGACCATAACACTTGATACTACATCATAACACATTAGTATCATTCTTTTAGCGCAGAAGTTTCTACTGGGCTTGTTGCCTCAGATGATGAATAAGCCCGAATGTTGCTTCATGACATCAACGTAGTTGACTCGGACTCCTTTGGTGCTCTGGATTTTGATGACTTGCTCGAGCAATAAACGGGTTCTGCGGAAATTATCCCCCCAAACCTCAGCCTCCATAAGTGTCTTAACTACCCAATCTTGATAAGCAATATCCATAGTCTCAATGCCGGCTAAGAATAGAAGGCGTGGCCAGATATTCTGCGGCGAAGGCGGACGCAATCGGCCGACCAATGATGCTAAGCGGACGATATAAGTTGCTGCTAGATCGGCTGGCGTGAGCTGGTTTTGTAAGTTGGTAGACACGGCAGCGGGAACCTCCCTGTGGTAGTTTATCACGACACTGTAATATGCCGCAAGGAGAACTAGGCAATTAAAAGATTTTGTCGTAATTTGGCCAGCAAGAGCGCGGCTCGGCTCGTTAATATAAGAAATGATTGGTGCAACGGAAGGATCACGATTAAATCGTTCGCGAAGGGTAAGGAGCCCTAATTGTACCTGGGACCACATTGCAACCGGTGCGGGACCTTTCCTGCGATGCAGCTGCACGATCCGGCTATCCAAGAAGTCAAGCTCCAATGACAATCGTAGAGAAGGTTTAAGATCTTCTGTGCTGGCAGGCAAGTTTGGAAATGCAGCATCTATAAAATTGTAATCTGCAAAGAAAGACTCGAGATTCTCTAAAAGACGTCCCGTGCCACCTATCCAGGCCCCCCGAGCATCGTATGCACCTAACCAGACTAGCATGCGAGAGCCGATGTAGCCGAGCGGCGTCGCCTCTCCGCTAGCTTTCAGGTGACGACGATGAGCATCAACGAGGTCTGCAATAAAGTCCAGGTGCTGGCAGAAACCAATAACATCACGTGCTGCAAGGAGTTCAAACTGAAGGGCAAACCAAATGGTGACAATGGAACGTTCAAATTGGATGGCAACAGTTGGATCTTGATGCAGCATCGAAATGGCAAGCGAGTATCGCTCTTCAGCCTTCCTAACTAGGTCAGGGTCAGGCCTCGTTTGACCAAGATGCAAGGCTGTCCACGCCATTATGGTATTAAATAACGGTGCATAGAGAAGGGCCATACTGGTAAATATATGGTTATAGAGGTTCTCCCCTTCTGTGCTACGTATCTTGGAGAAGCCAGTCATGACACTCATGTAGTGTTGGATAAGACTGTGGTCGTCGGGCCCGATAACCACAGTAACATCATGGGTATTCGAAGTACTTGGAATACTCGATATACCTGTAATAGGTCCCGGGACCTCAGCCTGGTATGGCCCCGAATCTGGCTCAGACGATAACATTGTATTCCCTGGCGTATTTGTTGGAACTAACCACTCTTCACCGAGTAGGTCAAAGTTCATGTTAAGGTCAAAGAAAGCTGGTACGTAGCCAGGGTTTATTTGCGGATGAGCCTCGTATACATCTAGCTGTGAGATAGTATTAACGATGACAGGTTCTGGAACCACCCTAGTCTCGGCGCTATATTGAGACGGCGGGCCTGTGGGGGGGATCTGAACGGGAGAGAGATGCGGGAGAGTAGTAGAGTGGTCCGGCCTATTTACGCCGGAGATGGGTTCTACATTGTTCCCGGTATTTTCCCTGGTATTTTCCCCGGGATTGGCCTGGGTATCTTCCTCGGTATCATTGTCCTTGGGAGCCTTTTGTTTTTGTTTAGGCTTGACTTCAGGGGCAACAGATTGCTGGGAAACAGATTGCCGAGACCCTTCGGACGAAGTAGGTTTGTCTTCTACACGCGATCTGCTGTAGCGAGAATTGACAAAACGTACACGGTAACGAAGGGTATCCGTGGAATTTGCCCGATTAGGCTCGTAAGAACAAGGTAAAGATAGACGCGTACAAGCGTTACAAATGGGCTTCGCCTCGTCGCACCGTACCTTGCGACGGCGGCAGGAGGAACAACCAGTCTTGGACCTCGCTGGCCGAGTTCGATTCATGTTTGTTGTGAGATTGGAAGACTAACTTGTTGACTAATTGACGGGTTCGGACAGGATCCATCCTACTACACCTTTGGTAGATGGTAGACCGGGTAGAGAGTGGTAGAGGATGGTAGAGGGAGACCCTGACAAGCCCCGAATGGCCCTGAACGAGCCAACGACGCTGTGGGCCTGTTCCCACTTTGCGGGGCTTTCGGTATAACTCTTACCTTGTTGGGACAAGCTGGGCGAGTTTGGTAAGGAACGAACGATCATCTCCAGATTATAACTTTTGCAAATTGTAACTTCTTCCCGTACGATAACGGAGGGTAGTTGGTAGTTGCTACCTTACCTAGGTGCCTCTTACCCACCTGTCTACATGTACAATACCTTAGGTAATTTATAGTCTAGTAAGTTTGATGTTCAACTAGTTATGGGCAGTTACAACTTACTGTCAGCCAAGGTAGTATACATTGGTAGGTGTCTTCTGCAGGCTTACCTAACCCAAGCAGCAGCTACCCCCCTACTCGCCTAGGAAATTTGCCAATGAGGAAATCAATGCAGGCAATATCGTCTCCCCTCCCCCTGTGCTATTGTCCTATGCAGAATCATATGCATAGCTCTTATCAATGGAGGTAACGATGAAAAAAAAGGTCAAACTAACAGACTAACAGACTAATAAATAATAAACTAATACCTCCTCAACCCACCCAGCCTTAACTTAGCTTCAACACCCCATTTCTCCTCCCGCCTAGTCTCCCTAGTGGCGCGGTAATAGAGATAAGGTGCGAGACACTCACAAGTAGCTTTATAGGGCTATGACGGGTAGACCATCTTGACAATTGCCTATTAATCAATAGCCTGCGACCGGACAGTAGAAATATCTAAGATGGAGAAAACTCTGGATAGAACCACAGCGGAATCCGTACCCGAGGAGAGACTAGATGATGTCGACGACGCGTACGAGTTCGCAAAGGAACACCCTGTTGGACCCTTGAGCGATGAGGACAATAAGCACATCTTGCGCAAGATTGATCGTCATCTGCTACCGCTGGTATAAGGAGACCTCGTCGATCTTGTCGCTTTGACCGAATTGCTAATGATATCTGGCAGATGATCGTCACCTATACTCTGAATTTCATGGACAAGAATGCCCTCTCCTATTCCGCTAATTTTGGTCTTATTACCGATAATGTGCGTCTTGATTCTTTAATGCAGTTCTCACTTGCGAGGCGACGCGACTAAGTCTTTTTGTTGTTGATTTAGAAACTAGTAGGAAACCAGTACAACTGGGCCTCCGGATCCATTTTCTATCTTACGTATATGGTGTCCCAACCTATTGTCGCTCGTCTGATTGTTCGCTTCCCTATCGGCCGCTTCGTCGCCGTTGCGACTACGCTCTGGGGCGCTGTGTTGATGACCACGGCAGCGTCGCGTTCCTTTGCTAGTTTAATGACCATCCGTGCCATCCTGGGCTGTCTTGAGTCTTGCATCAACCCCGCCTTCATCGTTATATCTTCTCAATGGTGGACTCGCGACGAGCAACCCTTGCGCATTTCTTACTGGTATCTTGGTAATTCAATAGGTCAAGTCTGCGGTGGGCTTCTAGGTTATGGCATTGCTCATATCACGAACCCTAACGTCCCAAATTGGGGTTGGTTCTTCCTCATTTTTGGTGCGATCACCATTCTTTACGGCGCTTTTCTCTTTTACTATCTTCCTGATTCGCCATTGAATGCTCGTTGGCTCTCAGATCATGACCGTGCCCTAGCCGTCGAGCGTGTTCGGAGCAACCGTACTGGAGTCGAGAATCATGTATGGAAATGGTCGCAAGTCAAGGAGTGTCTATTAGATATACAATGCTGGCTCCTTGTAGCAACCTTTTTCCTCGATGACATTCCTGCCGGTGGGGTTGGTTCTTTTGGGAGCATCGTGGTCAAGGGATTTGGTTACGAAACTCTTTACTCGACACTTCTCCTGGTACCCTTGGGCGTGATCCAAGCTATATGTGTTCTCTTCGGAGGTTTTATGACAAGGCGCTTCAAAAACATCCGAACTTGGCTCATCGCTGGTATGTATTCTTGACAGATAATACCTTTGTTCGTCCCTTCATAATTGACCGTATATTTAGGTTGCCAAATACCAGCGCTCATCGGAGCTGTTCTGCTCTACACTCTGCCTCGAGAAAACAAGCGTGGATTACTCGGCTCGTACTATGTTGTGCAAACTCATGGTATAGTCGGCACACTCACCATGTCGCTAGTATCTAGTAATTTTGCCGGATACACGAAGAAAGCTACCGCATCTACGATGATGTACATAGCCTTCTGCGTCGGACAAGTCGTTGCTCCTCAGCTATTTATCCCAAGTGAGCAGCCAGCATATAAAACCGCCTTCCTTGCTGCTTTTATCTGTTTCGCATTATGCATCATATTTACTATTGCTTTGCGATTCTACCTTATCTGGGAAAATAAGAGACGTGACCAGCTACATCTGGCGGAAGGCGAACTCAGCAACGCTAACGACGAGTTCCTTGACCTGACGGACAAGCAACAGAAAGCCGTCTTCCGTTATGTTCTTTAGAGAAATAAACTAGCTATTGAGGTCATTTACGGGCAATGTCAATGTACCTCTTGGTACCTAGGTAGGTAAGAACGACATATACAATGCATATTATGAAGTTATTATATCTATCTACAACGCAGATATGACGGACGAGGGTATTACCGGTGGGAGTGTATTAGCGATCTTGAATCTGATCGGGGTATACGAACACACTATTACCTATGCGAATCTCCGTATATGAGAGGGAAAAGGGAAGGAAGGCAAGGAACAGCAGGCTCTATATTTATAAGGAAGAATGGCAGGAGGAAACTATCAACATACAAACCTATTACCCTCTTACACAGCAAAGCTGTCCCTTTATGCACGTATGTCATGTCATCTTCGTAAAGTCTATAATAGTCGTCAGAATGATGTCAGAATAACTAGCTGATATCTTACAGCGGTTGGTTGTATGGCACATTACTTCATATCCATTATACCTGTCAGAAAACAAAAAGGTACCTAGGATGCATATCAGTACAATCAAGCATTATTAATTCGTGGGCTAACAACGTTAGGCGTGGGGTTCCCCAGATTGTTAGCTACATAGACTATGGGAATGGAGTCGAGATCAAGGATGTGCTCTTAAAACCTGGAAGGGTTCTAGGATGCAAACCATGCCCACATGGTTTGACGCCGTCCTTAGCCGTTGAAACCAGTCCGCCCAAGCGCTTTCTTAGATCTTGGGTAGTCCGGGTAGTATACGACGGGTTCCATAGCCGCGGGTCCACCGACGAGGATACGAATTGGCCAAAATGGTTGCGATACGCACTGTACTAAGTACTCCCTTCCTTAAGATCGGCAATCACGACATTTACAATGTACTCGGCGTTTGTGACCGAGTTTCATATCGGCGGCTCTTCCGGAAGATGGATGGATGCTGGATAAAGCGATCGGGAACTTAGTTTCCTATTTCGGCTGGTCCGACGGTACGAGCCGCTTCGACAATGGATTATCCGATGGGGCACCGCTACGACAACTTACACGATTCACACGTGGCAGACTGAGACGGAGGGGAATGAAGATCAGGGTTTTGATATTCCTTAATTACCGAATTACTAACAGGTGCCTCCTAGCAAGACTGAATTTCTATTTGGAAACAAACTTACTCAGAAATTGTTCTTGGTGATCTTCTCGGTTCGGAGTGGCAAACGAATCAGATTGCTCTACAGATGTCGTAGTGAATCAGGTAGGTACCTACCTAGTTTCGAGTGTAACAAAGAAACAAAAGTTCCCCGTGTCCGGAGTGAATCGAACGCCGATAGTCCCAAGTCTAATCGCGACCGAATATGAACGTTATTCCTCGGCTTCGCCGTATTAAAAAAAATTGCCGAACCATGCTGCCAGAATCATGATTACCTACAAACCCCTAACAAGCCGCTGGGCATCATGAAACTGGAAATAATGTGCCGATGGTTGCTTATCTCTTACCTTTCCGTTCATTAATGCGACAGCGTTGAATTATGCCTTCCCATCCGAAGACTTTCCGTCCCCGGAAGACCTACGACAGCACGTTTTTATTTTACGAAGAAAGAAAGGCCTGTACCGAAGGGCACGAGCGCCGGCAAAGTAAGAGATATTCGTGTGAATTGTAGCTATATAGTTGCCTAATACTACGCAAGAGAAGTCAGAAGTCATCGAGTAGCAGCAGACTCCCATCGCGCCGGAATACGATCCGCAGATCCAGGATCCAAGGGGACGGCGTGGTTTTGCCAAAGCATTAGGCTACCTAATCTCGCAACATGATCTCGCATCCTCTCAGCCGCGAATGGAAATGCTTATTCTAAATCTTTTCCAAGCGCGCTTAAGGACTGCGAGCCCACTCAATTCTTATATCTCAACTATTAAGTCAGGTATAAACGCGTTCATCGGCTACTCTAGGTAGAGTCGCCGATTACCATGCGTTTGCATTATCGTTCGCACTGGGTGTTGAGGTCTTATGACCCTCACTGGCCTCCGCTGGGACGCGAAGATGGTCGACTAGAACGAGAGCCACCTCGTCGGGAGTCGGTTCGCGGAGGCGCAGTTTCTGTCTGGGGACTATTGGCCTGGGGAGCGCCAAGCGATACATCTCCGCCGGAAGTGTGCGTGCTCGATCCTCCGGCAGAATGTCCTCCGCGGGGCACGGCTGGGCGGGCACCTCTGCCACGTGGGCGGCCTCGTTTTCGTCGTTCGGGTTGGGGCTCGGCTAGATGCTGCGTCTGAGGTTGAGCTTCGGGAACCCCGGTTGGTGTTTGTTGAGTGGTAGCACCAGAGTCCTGCATAAAGCCAGATTGTTCCTGGGGAGCAGCAGGCGCGGCAGTCTTCTTGTTGACCAAAACAATGCGCACTAATTTCTTCTTCTTCTCTTCAGGTTGAGCTTTTGCTTCATCCTGGGGGTGCGGAAGCGCCTCTTTCTCTTGAGTTGCCGGGGCCGGAGGGGGCGCAGTGGTAGATTGTTGCTGTTGCGCGCTGCCGATCAATTCCTCAGCGTTCTCCGCCATAAGGTCAGATAGTCTAGGCTTTTTCACGGCCATAGGTTGGGCCTCCAATTGCGCCATCGGCTGGGCCTCGTTCTCGTTTCTCAATTCTGGTTCAGACAAGGCTTGAGGCAGGAGTTCCAAGAAGGGCTTAGGTTTGAAGGCCTGCGAGTTTGCCTCCTCCTGAGTCGTAGACTGAGTCTTCGGTCGAGCCGGTGGATGAACCTGCAGTCCAGGATTCGATACGTTCTGCGGTAGCTCAATTACGTCGTGGGGCGTCTTTCGCTTCCGATCCTGTGATGCCCCCGTTAGCGCTGATGCAGCGGTACTTGGAGTGGCATAAGAGTTATTCTCTCCATTCTCCTTCTCGATTTCTCCATCACCCCCGGCGGAAGGTCCATGGTCATTATTGCGAGAAGGAGGGTTTGCCATAGATTGGTTGGGCGCAGTTCCAGAGGCGGAGGTCGGCAGGGATTGGACTCTAAACATAGGAGACGGGTCAGGGTTTCTAAGGGCCTTAGCTAGGTCATACTCCCCATCGGCACAAGACACCACTAGCTCACCGTTCCGTGTGGACAATCGATGGAGGCCATTTCCAACTAGTCGAGGAAACATTTTCCCATCACGGAACACAGCCATGCGCTCGTTGAACACTATCCAAGCTATGTCACTTTTCGCTCGGGTTATCTCTCTATATCTGCTAGGATCGATGGCGTGCTCTGGTGGTACGAATATATACTCTCCCCCATGGCCGGGTGAGCTGTCTCCATCTCGTTCGTTGATAGGAGCTATATCGAGGTTCATCTTGCAACCGCTTGGGGATATGATCAAGTAACCCGGCGGAAGATGGATCTGCAATAGAGCGCTATACCCTTGCTGGTTCAACCCTCTCATGGCCAGGTCTTCGGTTGCGGGTTGAAGGCACAGAGCATCTTTCCGAGGTTGCAACAACAGCTCGGGGAGAAAGTGAGCAAAATCTGCGTCGGTAGCGGTGGGGCGTCGCGGAACGAGGTTATCGACTACTGCCCTCTCGACCACTCGAGTACGATGTGAGATCGTGTCGTCGAAAAAGCTGCTTTGAAAGTCAGTCTTTGGAGACTTTGGTAACTTCACAGCGTTGTCACATATCACGAACTGATGCAATACGTAGGATTCTGGAAGGGGAGGGTTGATTACGGTATATGTGCCACCCTCGCCAAGCTGCTTTGTCCCCTGGGGACTGATCACGACAACGCCAGCAGGCAATCGAAAGGAATTGACCGTCGAAAAAAGCCGGCCACCCATCGTCTTGTTGACGCGGGCGGAGATGGCAACCGATTCTGTAGACAGCGAAAAGAAGCGCTCAGTACCCGGGTTCTGCGTAACCCTAGCTTGCGAATCATGACGTCCATGAGGCAAGAATTCGACGGTCGGTTCTATGTATTTCATGCACTTTGGGAGGGCGTCGAGGCGCAGATCGCTGAGGTTGATCGCCAACGGCCATTCGTGGACGTGTCGTCCATATTCCCTGAGGGATTCCGAATACCCTCCAAGCCCTCTGGAAAAAAGGAACCTGCAGCCATAGGCTATAGATTCTTCTTTCAATGCAAAAGAATTGGCAAACAGCTTCTGTCGTCTCTCGAGGATTTCTCTGACTTCGCTGACGAAGAGTTCAAGCTTGTAGCAAGCATCTTGCAAAGACCCGAGGTCATCGGATAAGACTTTGAGAATAGCCTCCCTGACGGTGTGGTCAATAAGGGACCAATAGGGGTTAGCTGTGATCGGAACGAGTCTGGTCTTTGTGGGTGCCAGAGCTTTGAGCATAGGTGGGTCTATACATAGAGTCTCGCCGGAAGATCTCGAATAACCGGTGAAATGGCGAAGGTACTCGGGGTAGAAAACGAATACGTCAGAATCATCATCTCCTGGTTTATACTTCTCCCCGGTTATATACAATCGCGCTTGCAAATCCATGGAGCCGGCTGTCAGGAATGTGCTCAAAGCTGCGTTGAGGAGGTTATTTTGACGTGCTTGTGTCTCCTGATGTGGTGCCATAGCTGCAAATAAGGGAGGTAACGTGATTAAGAGGCAAAATGGAAGTCAAGAACTAGAAGGGCCAGGCCTTCTGGAGGGAAGCTGAGGCTGTTGTGTTTTTTGACTAGGAATAACGTCCACTGGTGGCCCAGAAGTAATTTCGGCTGGAAGGTAACGCTCTGCCAATATCCTAGAATGGGGGTTACGGCGATCTTTTGCAACTGATGATTGTAGCATTGCTTTAAAAGACTCGTAAATCTAAAAGGAACTTGGATGAGTAGCCGTTCTGATTGTCCAGGGAAATTTCAAAAGGGAGGGTCGAACGAAATGGTACTCTAGGCAGCTTCCATAGCCGTATGTGCATGGAAGGCGGCGACGTGGTAGGGCATGTTAACATAGTTGCATAATGTTTGCCTACCTACCTCCTAGGTAACCAACTTACCCTAAGAGACCTGCATTTACTCTGCAGGCGCCGTACCTGTACCTGCACCTTTTATTCTGATCAGGAGAACTGCAGCCTGTCCGTATCTTAGTTACCTAGGTACTTGGAATTTTCCAAATATTCGACTGCTGACTGAAGGAAGACATATAAGAATACACGAGATAACTGGAATTCCAAGCCCATCCATATTATGTGTGATTCTATAAACGCTCTAGATATGTCCCTAAGCACTATTACCTCTAGAGAGCCTCTCCTGATTTTAAGGAGAAGAACACGATCTGCACATGCTGGGAGTAAACAGCAGTATTATCCCATTGTTTTGAGATGCCATCGTGAATCTATTTGGTTAGTAGTTTACCATTTGACACTTTAATCACCAAGCTTGTCTTAAGAAGGAACATTTATTATATATATCTTGCATGGCACTGATTCAGTGGTTCCATTCCGGGCTCTTCTTCATAGACTACCATCATGAGTAAAGCCTTTCTATTTAGAGCCTCATACTATGAATTGGGTGCATTTATTGACGGTAGGCTGACCCAAGATCCTAATGTAATATTGCCAACGATTAGGGAGTAAAATCTTTGTTTTGGGTAACATACCTAGATGCCTACCTAGGTACCTAAGGTATCTTTGGCATCCATCCACCTTGACAAGTACTGTCATAACTGATACATATACACACAGGTGCCTTAGGTACCTAGGTAGGTATTTACCAGGGCTACTAAATCGGTTGCCATGCAGACCTTTAACGACGCCAGTCTTTCCGGGGAAGCTATTATGACACTTGTTCAAAGTTGAGTATTGTTATGGAACAACATTCCCGTTTTAGGATATAGCATAATGAGCATATGAGTACCTACCTCTTAAGTACCTAAGGTAGGTAACTAGCTGAATATTTTACCATTAAATGCGCAAGCACCGTTGTGATTCAAAGCCTGCGTTGGTCTAAAATCATGAAAAAGGGAGGAGGCAAAAGAAAGGCAATGATCTAAAGAGAATATTGGATTGTCAGTGTTATGTGTGGAAGAAAACTTGGCTGAGTAGGAGGTACCTAAGGTATCAGATAATGTAGGTAAACAAGATGGCAAGTCTTTGCTACAAAGTTGAAAGATCTAAGGCAACGGAGAATGAATTGGGAAAAAACAATAGAATGTCAAGTTATCTTCACTTTTGGATTATACGCATATCATTGCAATAATAAATTGTTATTTTATCGATTTTGCTGTCAGCAGAATATGATAATTCCTCTGCTCTTGTCCCGTCCATGCCATTGTTACCCTCGTCAACCACCTCAAAAAAGTAATATGGGTATATGCCATCCAGTACGCCATTGCTAACTCCATGTGGTTTGGTAAAGCTGACCATGTAGCCTGCGACCCTCAGCCTGATCCTTTTTGTATGCCCTGTAAAATCAACACTGTAATGAGCCCTGTTTGGGGCCTCACTAGTTAGACTCCTCTGCCATGTCCTCATCAGCCATGTCGACGAAGGGAACAAATCTCTGGCGGTCTAAGAAGCGATCGTAGTCTAACCTTATTGACTCGTCATCTCCTCCCATCTCTTCATCTCCGTCCACTATGGCTTCGATGCCCCTCTTGTGTTTGTGTACACTAGACGGGGCAACATTTTCATTTGTCTGAGTTGGACGGTTTTCAAGCTCATGCCAGTGCACGGTACGTTGTGCGGAGAGCAAATCCTCGTACGATTTCATAACGAACCTAAGATCGTCGGTTAGGCTGACACAGAAGCGCTTGAAGTGGACAAATTGGCAAGCTTCAATCATAGTCAGCCCAAAAATGGACATAAGGTAGGCTACGACGACACCGGCGGAACGATCGTTTCCGGTTTCGCAGAAAACTAAGACTTTGCCTCTCCGAAACTTGTCGTTGGGGATCGCCATCTTTCCGTCTCCAACCTGCATTTGCGCATTTGTAATGCGTTGTTCGCGGAAAACATTCAGCATATGGTCATTGATTTTTCGAATGGCTGTGGGAAAGGCGCGAATGAGCTCGTTGTAACCAGATACATCGATGTATTCAAGCTGAATACCGAGCTCTTGGGCAACCTTTTTGGGAGCCATTAGGTGCATGACAGCCATCTGGGAATCTCGTGCAGCGAGCAACATTGTGATGCCCTCTTTACGTAGCCACTCACGGTCTCGAGCGATACTTGAGGGGCCGAGGTAGAGAAAATCGAGAATAGGTTGAGCGACACGACGATTCTCGTAGGTCCAGTTAAGAGCCGAGTCCTGAGCTAGCTGCTCCTTATGATTCTGTGTGATGATCTTAAGGTCATTGGCGCTCAGCGAGGCCGGATCAACCTTCTCGTAATCTGGCACAACTTTGATATGTTCGTTTGCATAACTTAAAATGGGAGCGGGTATCACGATAGAAGGTGGACTAGGAGGACGCATAGAGTAAGGCGCTGCTGGAACGGCACCATGCCGGGAAGAAGTTGGATATTCCATTGTGAATTATGTCCAATTGTTCATCTTCCTCCTTCGCGCTCCTTCGTGCTCCTTCGTGGGTTTAAGATGATGTTAGCCGAGCTGTTCGAGAGATAACTCAAGCCTCGACTTCAGATAGGTCAATAAACTCAATCAAGATGGCCAAATTACTTGTGCGGACAGGAATTATTATGTTTGATTCTTGATATCGGATACTGGATACTGGATAGTTAATGACTTGTCGTTGGACTTGTCGTTGTGAAGAAATCTTCTTTTCGCAGGCAGATGGATATATGAATATGAGTGCGAGTGGGTTTAAGAAGAAAATGCTAAGCGCGGATTGCAACCTTGGAAGCAGCTTGAAGTTGTAGTGGGAGTGGTAGTGGTAGTTGATAATGGAACCTCAGGTGGCAGCTGGCAGCAGGGATAAAAGGGAAAGAAAGCAACCGCATTGTTGTTACCTACCTACAGATTGTACCTAGGTACCTAGGTAGGCATCAGGGCTGCGACCAGGACCTCGGAGGCTCAGCCTGGGCGTGGTTGGAAATAAGTGGATCCATACTGTAATGTACCTAGGTACCTATCTGAGGTACCTGATGTCTTTTAGGTATTTGAGGTATCAACTTTAACTTGGAACTTTAAGATGTGCAACTCAGCAGGATCACATGTACTTACTACCGTTTTACTGTACGTGAACAAAGATAACCCACTTAAAAAAAGAAAAAAAAATTAGGGGGGCCGTTGCTCGTTCTCATATTCTATCTTCAACACATTAGATCTACGTAGACAGGATTCATGCAAATTATAAAGCTGCTAGAGCCATTATAAAACTATTCGAGAAAGAAAAAGCAGCACCGCTAAAACAAGCAAATATAATGGCTGGCCTTTCGATGATCGCTATAGACCTTCGCTGGTACCAATGCTGCTTTCCCTAGCGAGCGGCGAAGTGAATTCCGGTGTGACGGATCGTGACTCGACGCCTGGCCTCTTCGATCTGGAGCTTGTTGAGAGGTGCTTCTTTCGCCTCTTCTCAGAAGTAATCGAGGTCATGCTGCCTCTCCTACTACGGCTGACTTCCTCCGATTCTACTGGCGGCGTAGGACTTCGCGTTGATCCGGCCGAGTTACTAGCTCTTCGAAAACTGCCGCTCCTAGCACGCTTGCTCTCTTTTGATAGACCGACATGTCGATGATGTATCGTTTTCTCTCCTTCTACGCCTGAACCATGCGCATGCACCTTGTCCTCTACTTTCGGGCCTCCTAGTAACCACCAGAGCCAACCATTTTGCTCCTTTGCCAGCTGCCTTTCCCGGGCCTTTATTTTGGCTCTTAATAACGCTCTCCGCTCGTTTTCCCTTTCCCAGTACTCGCTTCGGTAAATTTCCCAGTTCTCCCGGAAGTTTGGCGAGAAAGGCTTGGGCCATAGTAAAAGCTTGACATAATCCCCTCCAGGCGATAGATCCTCTTCGTGACCGCCTCTCTCCTCGTCCGCACTCACGAACGGGAGCGGGGGGTGCTCGTGCCGATTGAGGTTCAGCTCTCGATCAACTTCGCGTAATATCGAAGGTTCGACGAAATGATACTGGCCAGCCCTGCTAGAGAATGCGCCGTAGGTGAAGAAGAAGCCTATAAGTGACACGAGCTCGACCCACCAAGACCTTTTGATAACGACCAATTTGCAGTTGAATCCGCGCAGGCCTCTATTGCATATGTTAAACCAGCGACGCGGCCACCTAATTCCACGCTCCCAGATGCCCGTAGCCCAAACTAGTATGCCTGTAACTATACCGCTTATGAAGCAGACTTTCTCCGTCATGTCGACAACCCAATATACGGAGCCGCCGACACCGCTGCCGTCTTCCCGAGGTGCGAAGAATAGAGCATATCCAAATCCCGCCAACCACAGGCACAGCAGGCTCAGAAAGAAGGTGTGTTTCCGCCGGCGGGCGCGAAGCTCGAGGTACTGGGAACGTAGGGAAGCTTCCAGTATCAGCATGTTGAGGTAGATCATGGAGGGCGAGCTTGGCGTGTGCTTTAGAGGATCGCCGGGCTTGTCTACACCGATAGGGCTCGTGCCTATCGGCGGGGACTTGATGTCCTGCCCGGGTTGAGGGGCGCCCTTAACGATGGAGTCGATCGTATCGGCCATGGTTCTTGTGTATGTCGGGTTGTGATCGCTTATAATACGAATCAAAGAAAGAGGAGGCAGCTTGGGACGTAGGCCCGCATCGACGTGGTTGGAAGATTATAGGTGCATTAGGAGTTTCGAGATTAAAAAATGTCGTTATTGCGTGGGTCAATAGAAAGAAGCCGGATTCATCAGGTTGTCGTGAGTTGTCGTAATTACATAGGTTAATAATATGAATTAGTGGTCTCTAAAGTGCCGCCATCTTTTTTTTTTTTTTTTTTTTTGTATGTGTGTGTTCACGTACGAAGTACAAAATAATACGTAGTGCTGGTAGTGCCCACTGGTAGTAGTGCTGGGCTAACCCCCACAGCAGGCTACCTACAGGGGGCAATGGGACATGGTGATATGGTGTGGTATGGGCAGATGGGTTAGCAGCTGAAAGCTTTTAGGTTATTGTTATTTACGGGTGGCAGCTGGGGTGGTCATAGCTCTAATTCCGAATGCCTAGGGTAAACCCGCCTTCCATCCACCTGATGCGGGGTGCTTGTGATGTGATAACCTTACACCTAGGTACCTCCTAATTATATACCTACCTAGGTTATTACCTCTAGGTACCTAGGTACACGCAAACAGCTCTACCTATACCTGCCTCCATGCCCTGGGTTAGGTGTATTCATAAATATTAATAAAAACCTCACGACAGAAATAAAATCCTCATTTATTAGTGAACACCCAAGTCACTCAAAAAAGAAAAAAAAAATTAAAATTTGTGCCTAACCCTCAACCGAGCTTTCGGCCAGATCCACATCCTCAACGACTCGCCGAGCATACAACGTATAGCTCCGCACTATCAGCCCACATGATCTTTATAAACAGAAGTTTGACGCAACGCTTGCAGGAATCTTAACTTATAACGAAGTAGCCTCCGTTTTGCACCCCGCAGACACATAGGCGCTGACGTATCCCGGTGACGATCTTGAGACTTGAGAAGAATGTGCTCAGTCCAAACTGCTTGCTACCATGAATATCAGTCCATAATTGGGTTTCTATGGCTTCTTCTTGTTCTTGTCTGTTCGTGGGGCACACAAGATTCAGACATATATAAACTTAGTAAACCCGCAGTTGGTTGAGTTTAGTTTTATTATTATTTATTTTTTTGGTCTTCTCCAACACTAGTATTTGAACATTCTAAAGATTGACTGATAAAAAAGCTCACTACACCTTTCATACTCGATATCGAAGCAATCATGGACCCAGGCAAATCTTCTACGTATACCCACTCCTCGAGCTCGAGCAATATGAATTCCAAGACCCCTAAAGGTCAAATTCCTAGGTCCACTCAACCAGCTTCTAACCAACCTACTACGAGGCCAATCAACTTCAATTATCCTGATATCTTACCTGGCGGATTCCAGCCAGGCAAAAAATGTATGCTCTTGTAATAAGATGTTACATGAAGAGCAACGGATTCATTAAGCAGGCTGAAGGAGCTCTACTCTCTACTCAGTTATACCCGCAACTATAACAGCTCTCATAGATTTTCAGCAATTAGCTGTGGTGGGGTTCTGGGGTGGTGACAACGATAAGAGATACCCCTTCACCTAAGGATTCCCGGTGGTTTATTATCAGTCCCATCGGGACCGCCTCCGAGGTCATTGGTTTTTATGCGAAGCAATGTCGTTTGAGGTTTCGCAACACTACCGACGCTATGCGAAAGAAATTATTCGCTTCGGAGCCGCATGCTATCGTCTTACTCGGTTCGATAACGTTGACGTGCAGTGTAGGCTTTGGCATTGGCGAGATTATCGGCCAATAGACGAGAGGATCATTATCACCTATAGCAAGCCGTTAGCAGCTAGCTAAAAGCGGACGAGGTTAATGGATTGGTCTTCTAAACACGACCCGAGATGTCTCTTGAGAAATTTAGGGCGATGGAAGTCCGAAAAAGATATGAGCCATTTGAAATGTCTGTTAATGCCGACTTAAGAAGTACAATTAACCGAGAGACATGGAAAAAAAACAATGAGCATAGTAGAATCCTAGCGCGGCAGCTTAATAGTAATAAGGTCTCTAGCTTGTGAACATCAAACATCAATCTCCATACGAAAGAAGGTTGTTGCTTCGATGTGGCACCGACTCTAGATAAACCAGGATAGATCGAGATACCTAATACTAATTACTATATCGCGGAGTTAATGTGCTGGAGTTTAAGTACAACCCGTTAAATCCGGCATTACCACGCTAAAAAGACAAGGATTAAGGGATAAGTTGCCTTAATGATTCAGTAGAATTCCCTCACTTACCTGCCATAACGTTGGTATTTATAAAATACGGTAATTGGGGAAGCCAAGTCAAAAAGAGTTATAAGAAATTTATTTTGAAATAAATATTTACTTGGAAATATACCTGACATATGTGAGATATTTCAAGAATGTATCAGGTAGCTTACTGTTTTGTCTGATTTTAACAGGTACCTAGGTACCTATCAGGCAAAGCAGGGGTCGGGGCGGGAGGACGTAAAAAGCCGAGCTGAAAGTTAAACTCGCCGTTTCGATGTTTTCGGATCCAGTCTAACCAAGAAATCCATCTTTTTTCCCCTGACTATGCCAGTCCCCCTTTTTTTCCCCTTTGTTTTTTTTATTTTTTTACTATGTAGTTCGGTTCATCCCAACAGCCAATCCGAAGTTGAACAACCCCCGAATTCCGTAATCTGACACTAATCTTAGTATCAAAAAGGTCACTCGTTTACCTAAGTAATCCTTCGTACCTTCGCTCTGCCACACAGTTCCTGCATGCTCTATGCAAATCCCGCGCTGCGGATGGACGGGACTTTTGCGCCATCATTGTCCCAATAAGTCCTAAAACATACGCGGTTGTATGTATCATTTGGCCGAGTAGTTATCGCATCCCATGTCTCAGACTTTGCCCCCCCTCCGTAATTATATAAGAAAAGACGTGACCGGCTTTGCCACCCCTCCGGTATGCTTAAAGCTTCAACTACAATTTTTTTACAGACCAGGAAGCTTGTGGCCACCTTTGCCCGGACGCACCAAGCCGACAATTTTATCCCTCCGGTGAAGAATCCTCTATCCACTGAGGATCATAACCCAGTTCCGTCCGGCATACCAATCGAACGAATACCGCGAGCAATGTCAGTAACTCGAAGAGCCAGAGAGGAAGTTCCAGAACGGGCGGCTCCCTCTAAACCCCCTTCTACTGGAATGTTTCCCTTAGGTTATAAAGAAGCCGCATCTCAATGGGTACGCCTTAGATCGTTTTTATTTAGAAGATAATCGTATTAGTTACTCGATTTTAAATGTGGCCTTTTCTGACCGAATCGCAGTGGAACAGTGTAACACCCACCATCGCTGAACGCAACGTGATATCATGCATTCCATATCTTCGAGAAGCTATCGCGTCGGGTACGAGCTCTGCGACTGAAGTTCCATCGGCGGAACATCCTGGAGAAGCTGAAACATCGTCGAAAATCGATCCTTACGGACCCAGAGTATGGAAGTCGACACTGGTCCAGTTGTCTGGCAAGAACAGGGGTCTAAACGAGTTCTCCGTAGAACGTGTCGGAGAAGACGTCGATGACACGCTCGTTATGCTTCACGGATACGGAGCCGGACTGGGGTTTTACTACAAAAACTTCGAGCCCCTTAGTCGCGCGAAAGGTTGGAAGCTCTATGCGCTAGATTGGCTAGGAATGGGCAACTCTACAAGACCCCCTTTCAGGGTTTGCGCGAAAGACCCGGCGGCGAAGATTACAGAAGCAGAGAATTGGTTCATAGATGCGCTGGAAGAATGGCGAAAGATTCGAAAGATTGAGAAGTTTACTCTACTCGGCCACTCTTTAGGCGGCTACTTGAGCGTTTCCTATGCGCTCAAGTACCCAGGTCACGTAAATAAGCTCATCCTTGCCTCTCCAGTCGGCGTACCAGAAGATCCTTATGCCGTAAACGCCGACATGCCGGAACCAACAGAATCGACATTCCAAGACGAGTTTACCGTAGACCAGAAATCAACAACCGAAAGTCACAGCAATGGCGGTTTTAACGGGGACAAGAAGGTGCAACAACAGGAAGCTAAGAAGCGGCCGTATCCTTCATGGTTAGTGTGGTTATGGGATGCCAATGTGTCGCCATTTAGTCTTGTACGATTAGCGGGACCGCTAGGGCCACGACTTGCATCAGGCTGGACCTCTCGCCGGTTCGACCACTTGGGTCCGGAAGAGAAGCAGACGCTCCATGATTATGCATACTCGATTTTTAGGCAAAGGGGAAGCGGTGAATATGTCCTCCCTTATCTCCTCGCCCCTGGTGCGCACGCACGACGACCAGTCATCAACCGAATCCACCGTGTGGGTAGACAAGTTATCACTCCTGCGACTGAGACGACACCGGCCGTGAAAGAAACAGGATTTCCTATCATCTTCATGTACGGGGAGAACGATTGGATGGACGTAGCCGGTGGTCTTGCCGCGGAACAGAAGCTCAAGGAAACCAAAGCTAAGATTTTAGCAAACGCTACCGAGGAAGAGAAGAAGAAAGAGAAAGGCGATGTGAAAGTTATCATCGTTAGCCGAGCCGGTCATCACGTCTACCTCGATAACCCAGATGAGTTCAACAAATACATCCGCAAGGAGCAAGAAGATACGAGGCGACAAACGTTGCGAGAGAGGGCTCAATCATAGGATTTCCTGCCTATCAATAACGAAGTAGATGGTTGTTTTGATGCATTGCCCGGCGTTTTTTTTTGGTTGGATATATTAGACTTTAGAGCTTTCGATTGACGATAATACGATAATAATGAGCAGAAGCTAACCTGGCTGTCTTGTATGCTATTCGCAAGTTGTGGTACAATAATTTTATATATATCCCGTATTACTACTTGATTAGGTATTCGTTACCCTTTTCCCTCCCCAAGTGCGAGACGAAATGCAATCTTGATAGTTCACAGTATAGGATACATTATCGTAGCCATTACTAGACCCAATAAACTCTTATTTTATCTTAACGTGCATATCCGTGCAATCAAGCACTTACCTATAATACTATGTAAAATCCGGATTGACGGAGAAGTTAGGCTTTATATTATAGGTATGTTATGTTATGTTAGGTAACCTCAAGTCACAAGATCAATTTATGTAAAGCCCGGATATCCCCCGATATCAGTATGAGGTACCTAGTACTTAATCCATGCATTATGTCAATCATCAACGACCCACAACCTCCGAACATATCCCGGATTCGGATTCGTTCCGCCCGTTCTCCTGCGTCCATTATTCTTCAACAAACCCCGCGGGAACCAAGTTCCATATAGAGCTACTCGTAAACTTTTTAATTCTTTTTTTTAAAAAAAAGAATCGTTTTCTAAAGATGTCAGAAGAAATAAATCCTTCCACTTTCCTTAAGTTTTTCGATCTGCCTATCGAATTGCGCCATTGCGTCTGGGAACTAGCCATCCCGGAGGACATCCCGGAGATATGCATCCCTTGGCCGCTGGAGGAGAGGCCGGTACATTGGCCTCACGATCACGTCGGCCATGTCTGGTCAACAAACTACTTGCATCCTTTCCTCGTGGACACGTGCTTCCCTACCATCATGTACGTGTGCCAGGAGTCGCGCTACTTGGCTATATCTCGATTGCGATTCCGATACTCGCCCGTAGCTGGTTGTCCCGTGCCCTTCCGCGCGTTTCGCCCGGACCTGGACATCGTATACATAACGCTGTGCCGGCCGCCTACCGATATAAACGCAGTCCCTAGGTGGGGTAGATATCCTCCCGGCACGCAGCGCGTCGCATTGGACCTGCACACCATCAAGGACGGCAGCTTCCTCTGGATCCTGTTCAGCGACCCGAGTCTGGATCTGCGGACCGTGTTCTGCATCCTCCCCGCTTCGGGGGCCATCCTGGACACGGCGGTGCGGTTCCGCCCGCCCGTCCGACGGTGCCGCATCCGCGAGATCGAGAGGCCGTCCAACGGCTCGGAGAACAATATCATCTACGTAGATCGCGGCTACGACAGGCGGATGACGGGCATGGCGCGCTACCTGGAGGAGGTGCGCGACACCATCAGCACCGAGTTCGCCGAGGTCCTCGAGATTCAGGAGGTGCCGGAGCCGTACCTGCGCCGGTGGAATGACGCCGAGGTCAAGTTCGACGTCGAGCTTGTCGCGAGGACGTTCGAAGAGTATCGGGGCGGGCGCTGGGTACCCAGCTCGGAGCACTCCGTCGGGTTCGACTTCCAGTCCATCATATTTCCCGCCTCGTGGCAAGCACTTGACACTGCTAGAACCTACCAAGTCAGCGAGGTGGAGAAGTGGACGCCTTTGCGGAATCCCGAGACGTTTCGCGTCAACGACATCCAGCAGAACGAGGTACCCTTCGAATGATCCCGGAAGAGAGACTGCTGTGTAGAACTTTCATATTCTCATTAATTACCCACCTCTACCACTTAACGGATAGGTTGTGGGAACAATTCAGTGCCGCTGCTGAGGCTGTCGTCGTCGCTTAGAAGTACATGGATTATCTAACTGCTTCAAATAACCACCTCCTACCTATGTATGTTTATAAGAAGGTCTAGACGGAGTTAATCCCGGTCCCGAATGCGATGGAGATGGCATCCTTGAAATGCCAAGAGTGGAAGCTTGACTAGCATGAATCGCGCGCAAGGTCGAGGGTCCCTAGTTTAATATTCAACGGGCTAGCCCCTACTCTTCAGGCTACGAACTCCGCATTGTTGTTACATCCTCATCGAATTTCCGGTCGCCAGGTTTAATGGTCATAGCATAAGGGGCTTTTTCTTTGAGGAGGAAAATTCAAGTTTTTTTTTTCAAACCAAACCTCATCGGACACCCATCTTGTGAATGAATATGGCATGCAGTATCCCAAGAGACGTCGTATTCGGGAAGGTAAGCATTAAATCAAGACTAAAAGGGATCTTGCCGTTGTGATCTCATCTACGTAAGTAGTATGTATAATGCCAATGCTACCTAACCAGGTAGGTACCAATAAAGTAACGTCATGAATACCTACCTTTCAAGCAAGTTGACCACATACTCGGAATTTGTCGAAGAATTCTAAACCTGGACTTGGGAAAACTTGACCTTAGGAGTATTCTCCGTAATTCTCCACTATATTCTTTTTCTTTGAACACACAGAATCCCGTCATAGCAATGATGGGAATTATATGCGTCACGGTCCTCTCGCACAACACTACTACCTATCCGTTTGGATGCCGGTCTTGGATAGAGCTCATCGGGTGTCATTAGTATAACTAAGTCGGTTGCTAAAGTGTTCATACCTAACGTTTACGAGTGTGTGGATTAATAGCACGGCATTCGTAAATCCCGATTACCGTGGGAAGCTTGTTATCCTTCGTCGTCGGTCTAACTGCGCCTCATATTAATCCGTATAAAGTACTCTCTCTAATAACACATAAAACAGACCATGTCATGCGACATGTCAAAAGAAGAATTAAATGGTAACTAGATAGGTACTTAGTAATAGGTAGATGGTCAGGTAAATCGTAGTAGTTACTAGTATCTCTCAAAATATAGGGGGGAAGCGGCGCGATCTAGCGTTGGAATGGGTCATATTTTATGCAAATAGTCTCGGATGGTGCGAGATGGGAGGGTCTAAACGGTATTCTTATTAAAAATAAATACCATGCCGCCTAATGCCGTTCCGCCCACCGATAAATCCAGCGAATCCCGAGGCTAAGGGTAGGCTGAATCCCTACATTTGAGATTCGGTCCGCTGTCCACATGAGGCCAATTCCATGTGGGTGGGTATTGGATAAATTTATGCCAACCTCACTCCGGGATGAAGCTGTATCCGAATAGACCATCGGATCTATATGAATTCTCGGGTTCTTTAACATTTCCCGACTATGCTATATATAAGCAATGGAGGTAGCACGTTTTTTCAAGATGGCATTATCCACCGAGTCGGGTACAGATCAGCGTCGATTTTATATATTCGATTTCCCTCGAGCCTCAAGGACCCTCCCCTATAACGACAACCACCAGGGAGTTAGCTATTTCATCGCTCATTCAGAAATACAATATGTCCGCGATGAGTACGGACACGACAGAGAGGGGATCCGTCAACACCACGATCCCTGACAAGAACTCGATAAACGGGTCGGAATCGGATCAAGATGTCGAGGCGGGTGCTCATAGCCACGAAACTAGTCTCGATGAGAAGGACCCCGATGTCGTGGATTGGGACGGCCCAGATGACCCAGAGAAGCCGTTAAACTGGGCTGAGAGTAAGAAATGGCTAAATATCGCCATCTTATCTATAATGACCCTGGTAACGTAAGTACCTAGTAATCCACCTTACCAAGAGACTCTCGATCGTATAATTACTAGATGTCATACATTGTTGCTAACTTCGCCGCAGCCCACTGGGATCTTCCATGTTTGCCCCTGGTATTCCCGGCATTATGGTAGAGTTCCACGAGACCTCTACAACCATATCGACTTTCCTAGTCTCGGTATATATCCTAGGGTTCGCCTTCGGCCCGCTCCTCATAGCGCCGATAAGCGAGATCTTCGGTCGTCGTCCCCTGTACATCTACGGCAACATCCTCTTTGTCATCTTCTCGGTCGGTGCCGCCCTCAGCACCAGCATCGGGATGCTGATGGCTTTCCGGCTGTTGATGGGCCTTGCCGGATCGGTACCGATGACTATCGGAAGCGGTAGCATTGCGGACTTGATGCCTATCGAGAAGCGTGGACGCGCTATGTCTGCTTGGGCTTTAGGTCCCCTTCTTGGTCCTTGCGTCGGCCCTATCGCCGGTGGCTATCTGATCGAGGCCGCTGGATGGAGATGGGTATATTGGCTCCTTGTTATTCTGGTGAGTCGGCTGATGCGCGCCCCTTTTCTTATTGTGCCGATACACAGAGCTAACATAAATCCAGAGTGGCCTCTTTATCCCTCTTTCTTTCTTCTTCCTCCAGGAGACCTTCGGCCCCGTCTTACTGATGAACAAAGTCAAACGGCTCCGTAAAGAGACCGGCAACCAGAACTTACGCAGCAAACTGGCAGGACGGCTCACGCCTAAGGAGCAGTTCACGCAGGCCATCGTCCGACCGATGAAGCTCCTCCTGTTGACGCCAATCGTCACTCTCATGTCGCTCTACGTCGCCATCACCTACGGTATCCTATACCTTCTCATCACGACCTTCTCCTTCGTGTACACCCAAAACTACGGTTTCAGCGAAGGCGACAGCGGCCTGACGTACCTCCCCGCCGGAATCGGCATGATGATCGGCGTCGTGGGTTTCGGACAGCTCACCGACTACATGGTCCGGAAGAACAATGAGAAGGGGCTCAAACACAAGCCGGAAGTCCGCATCTCGCCGCTAATGACCGTCCCTTGCGGAGTCACGCTCCCCATCGGCTTGTTCATCTACGGCTGGACTGCGAACTTCGGCGTGCACTGGATCGTCCCCATGCTCGGCGTTCTTATCTTCGCCGCCGGACTCATGGGCATCATGGTAAGTCGCGACTCCTAAATAAGCCACTAAGTGTAATAATTAATAAGGTATATATGCTAACATTCCCATCTCAGTCTTGTGTCCAAAATTACCTCCTCGACACGTACATCCAATACGCAGCCTCCGTCACGGCTGCGATGACGGTACTCCGGTCACTCATCGGCGCCCTGCTCCCTCTCGGCGGGCTCGACATGTACAACGCGCTGGGGCTGGGCTGGGGCAACAGCCTCCTCGGGTTCATCGCACTCGCGCTCATCCCGATACCGGTCGTATTTTTCATATTCGGCGAGCGTATCCGCAATAGGTTTAATCCCAAGTTATAAAAAAACATTTGGTTATGATATTTGCATAAGACTTTATACAGAATAGACATAATAGACTAGAGATACCACAGGCTATAGGTAATGATAATGTATGGTGGGAAACTTGCATATTATTAATAGACTTAATAGAGGTTCATGCCACTCGACTTTGAGGTATTTGTTAAAGTGAGTTGAGATCCAGTGGTGTTGATATCCTACCTAAGGTTAGGTACCTCTCCGTCCTGCGGGGATAAGATGAAATCGGTAGGTTCTAACCTACTCTTCGGGGGCTCGCGGAGCCTTTGGATACGGGCTTGGCCGGAGCAGGGCCGGATGGGAATGGAATTATCTAGGATTTTCCTCAGATGTTATTGCCAGCCGGATGGTTTCTTAGGTGATCCTGACGAAGCCAAGCGGCGGCGATTCGGGAGCAATTACCACTGATATTTTGCTCACTTAGCGAACTGGCATATGTAAGAATTTTTTGCTCAACTGTCCTAGGAAATTTAGTTTCACAAATCCAAGACCCTTTTACTCGAGTATCGAAAGTTCTTGAAACCCCTACTACGTCATCACAACCGAGGGAATCTTCTACATAGTCGTTTGCCCCCAGCTACCTTAGGTAGATATGATGTAAGTTGCACGTGTATTTACTATTCGCCCAAGTGACACTATTAATTATTTTTAACTTGTCTTGCTAGTCTTTTTATATTACCTGAGATACATATAGATCTTTCTGGGTATCTTTTTAGAAGACAGCAATGTCGATGGCCGACGACGATGAGGAATTCAAACACCCGCGTAAAGCATCGCCGGGGGCACCTAAGCCAGATGGAAACTCCCCGGCGACCGAACCCGACTTTGATTCGTCTTGCGACTGCCCACCGAGCGAAAAATTCCATGACGGCCACCGACCGTGTACTTTCGACACGCGCCCGTCCCAAACACATGTGAGCGGTCGGGATGGCTCGCACGGACTGTCCGTAGCGTCACGAATATGGCATCGCCCAGAATTGCTGCCGTTCCACCACCAGCGCGCGAAAGACAAGACCGGAGAGGAGTCGCTGGTGGACTTCGACGGGCCGGACGACCCCTACCGCCCCGTAAACTGGCCGCGGCGCAAAAAGCTCCTCACGACCCTGCTATACGCCCTGGTGACCATGTCCGCGACCTGGGCGTCCGCGTCCTACTCCCCCGGCACCAGGCAGGTCGCGGAGCAGTTCGGCGTCGGGAGGCAGACTGCGACGCTGGGCACGACCCTGTTCCTCCTCGGCTTCGGCATTGGGCCGCTACTCTGGGCGCCTCTGTCCGAAGTATACGGCCGGCGGCCGGCGGTGCTAACGCCTATGTTTGTGTCCATATGTTTTGTGTTTGGCTCGGCGACCGCCAAGGACTTCCACACGCTCATTCTGACGCGGTTCTGGGCCGCCATCTTCGCGTCTGCTCCGGTGGCGAATACCGGCGGCGTTCTGGGCGACTTGTACACGCCGGCGTACCGCGGCATCGCGATGGCAGGGTCTGCGATGGCGATCGTGAGCGGACCGACGGTCGGACCTATCGTGTCGGCCGCCGTGGTAGCGCAGCCGAACCTCGGCTGGCGATGGACAGGGTATACGACGGGGATACTACAGTCCGTCATCCTCATCCTGGCCGTCATATTCATTGACGAGTCGTACCCGCCGAAGCTTCTCGTTGCTAAAGCCAAACGGCTGCGACTAGAGACGGGAAACTGGGCGTTGCACGCAAAGTTCGAAGAATGGGACATAAACATTGTTGAGCTCATGCGGAAGTTCCTTATTCGCCCAATCCAGCTGCTCTGCACGCCGATCTGCTTCCTCGTTGCTTTATACGCGAGTTTATGCTACGGTATCCTCTACATGCAGCTAGGCGCGGTGCCGATTATATTCGGGGAGATCAGAGGGTGGCCACTGGTGTCGAGCGCACTGCCGTTCCTAGCCATATGTGTTGGCTCCTTCACAGGCGCAGCTATCAACATGATTAACCAACTTTATTACAACAAGGCTTATCGCGCGTCAGGAGGCAGGCCGGTTCCCGAAAAGAGGTTACCTCCAATGATGCTAGGCTCGGTACTGTTCACGGCGGGCCAATTCATCACGGGATGGACCGCAGCGCCAGACGTCGCCCCCTGGATCGTCCCCGTCGCCGGGCTCTACCTAGCCGGATGTGGTTTCAGCACGATCTTCCAAGCTGCACTCAACTATCTCGTCGAAACGTTCCAGATGTACGCAGCAAGTGCCATAGCCGCCAATACGTTCTTGCGGAGCTGCTTTGCTGCCGCATTGCCTCTGGTCGTCACTCCTTTATACCGCAACATCGGGGTCGGGCCGGGGGCGAGCATCTTTGCCGGGTTCTCGTGCTTATTAGTTCCCGTGCCGTTTGTGTTCTACTTTTTCGGAAGGCGGATAAGGGCTGCCAATAAATGGAGCAAGCATAGCGTGTTCTAGATGGTTCTAGATATTCCTAAAAGGGTGCATGGCACTTGGGGTTTAGAATGGACTGAGCACTGCGGGAAAAGGGGTTTTGGTTTCTCTCTTTTGAAGTGTCTTTTACGTTTATGGGTTTACATTGCTAGTAGAGATAGGGGTTCTCAGATATTGTGGTAGATATTGAAGTGAACAGATATTTGTCACCAACTCAGCATATTCCGATATTCTGATTCTTGGGAGTCGGACGCAAACCATAGATGTTGACGAGTAATTTTATTTGTCATCGGCTGACGCTCACATTCCAACTCAGGTCAGAACCGTGTCGGATCACCGACTTGAAACAGCAGACTCGCGTGCCGGGGATCTTGGTGAAGCACGGCATTGATGTTGTGATGTTGTTCCGCTACGAAGAAACTCCGGCGTGTCGCTGGTGTAACAGCGGATGTCACATCGAAAGCGGCTCTTGAAATTTTTATCTTCAAAGAATTACCTTGTTGAATGTGTGAGTAAGACATACGCGCATGAAAACCTGCATCTACTTGCTGCAGGGCCGAAGTAGAAAAAAAGGGAAAGGGGAAAACAAAAAGCAAAGCCAGAGGAAGCACAGAGTGGAAATATCGAGATACGATATGATAAAAGGTTTCTACAAATATAAAACGTAAGGAAAAAATAAAATAAAAAAGATGGTAATGATTAAAAAAAAAATAGAGGTTGCTTATCCCAGTTTACTGGGAAGCATCAGGAATTGAGCCCGATGCGGGGGTCGAACCTTTGGTAAGGTGTTAGTTATATGCAATGTAGATTGTGCGGAATGCATCAAGAACTTACCCGCAACCTTGAGATTACTATGTGGATAGTAAGAGTCTCACGCTCTACCGATTGAGCTAACCGGGCACTTGTTGGTGAAAGACGAATCGGTTTTGCGGTATATAATGGTTTGCGCGGATTGTGTGTGTATTGTGTGGGTGTGTTTTGTTTGTGTGTGGGTGTGGGTTGTGGGTTGTGGGTGTGTCGATACTTGGTACTTTGCTAGTTGCACCCTTGCCCTACTGTGTCTCCCCGCCGAGATCCAATTATTTTCACACTTATACAAGTCAACTTTGCCAAGTTTCATACCTCGAAGTTGTGCTTTTTACCTAAGTTGATAGATCATTCCAATTTTAAGAATTGAATTTATCTAGATATCTAGTTCTGGAAAATCTTCTTTTGGGGGGTGGGAATTGTCTTTAAATTTTCGATTATTTACACGCTTAGGAGATGACAATACAAACTGCCGTCTAGACATACCCAGGTTAGCTGCACTAGGTACAATACATTGTATGCCGAATTTAATACTATGATATATTTACTCGAAGAACATGTTTGATTCCTATCCGTCAGGCGATAGTCTAGGCTATAGCTCTATGCCCCTCTGCCAAGTGAATGGACTCTAATTATAGATAGAAGAGATGGACAAGTATGTTTATCACTCCATGAGAAGTAGCGGCTTAGTTATTTGTATATCTCTTTTGATACATGATTTAGGCCTACAATTTAGTCATGCGCCTACTGACGTGTCCTTCCTTACAGTTCGTGTCTTGAGAATGAATCAATATGTGAGGAGAGGATTTAAAAAATTCCTATGGTTCGTTGATAGAGCAGAGTTTCAGGTAAGCCAACTTTTAGCACTTGTGGTCAACCGACATCAGCATACTCTAATAAATAGTTCGCCCTTAATAGGAAATACAAACACCAACCTCTAAGTATAGCAGGTCGCCAGGGCTTTTGTAAAGCTTGGTATTCTTTTCTTAACTCATGAACTCCATTGTGATAATTAAGTGAAACGAATCTACCACCAAGAACATCTTTTCATCCGGGTATTCGGATAGTCCTAGTCGTCTTCCTGGGGCTTATAAAAAAACATGTGCTGATTTAGTTGAGGGGATAGGATTTGATTACTACGTAAAAGAAAAGAACAGCTCTAGAAGGCTATTACGTGTAAGAATATTTTATATTGGCTAAGCTTGAGCAGCTTCCAAAGTTGATTAATAGGATCAATTCTGTAACTCGACCTTCTGTACGTACCCGCATCTAGGTACTTCGTACTGCGCCATGTCTTTCACCAGGTGACGTACGGAATACAAACAAGGAATACAAACAAGGCTATTTTTATCGAGTCGGAAGTTTACCATGTGATCTGGTTATGTCATTTAATTATTACGCTGAATTGTTTAATTCGTCATTCCTGTTTCTATTCAATTGTTCTTTCCATGGCGTGCGTATATGGTGTTCTTCGTAGAACCTATTAAAATTACCTACGTTTCTTAAGATAATAATACCACAAAGCCTCTTTGACCCTGGTAGCCCCCGGAGATGCTATGCTACTAAAGGTAAGTTAAGCGATCACGAGTCTGGACTTCGGTCGCTTCCCGGTTTGATTCCCAGGAACTGGAACTGGAACTGGAATTGTAACTCTCAACAAGGTATCCTGCAAAACCCGTTACTGGCATCTAGGCATATCACCGTTCACACCACGTGCCTAATGTAGTACATATCTAAAGTACGGCGCGGGCGTGATGCTTACCAGATACCGAATTGAGGCTTAAGTTAATCAAAGAGATCAAACTAGGTAATTAATAAGTTGATTACTGGGTCAGGGTCAGGCCTACACGGACTTTGAGAGTCTGGGGTTCCCTGGCTTATTACGGTACGAGGTTTCTTTATGATCTTACTTTAAGCAGGTATGAACGTTTTCTATTAGCCGTTTGGTACTGAATATTACTGACGCCATACCCTTACCGCGCGCTACGCTATTATTATCTTTTTTTTTTCTTCTTTTTCCCTTCAGGTACCAGGTAGGTAACAATAGCACCTGTCTCTACAAAATTTTCCGTTAGCCGCGCTACGAATCAATCAATCAGCTGGTTGAGATCGATCTTTACTTTATCTGTCAATCTAAATAGGGGATGTCCAAGTCGAAGTAGTGTAGAGATTAATTACAACACACGCACCTCTAAGCGACCCGACGCTCCCCCATCTTCCCACAGGCAGACAGGGTAGAGATTGATGATCATTTACCAATCACGTTCAATTACGCTAACCTAGGTTGTTAGGCTGGGCATGTACGTGCCGTCGTATGCAGATGCAGATGCAGGTCAGTACCTGCAGTAGGCAGGAGAATGCACAAACAAACTGTAACCTACGTGTACCTACTTCGTAGGTGCATGGCCAGCAGTGCAACAGAAATAACCTTTTTATTCCCTTCGTCAACTCCTTACCCGCGTATTGGCTTGCAAAATATTATGTTCCTCATCCTCGACTTACACCAGCCTTGCCCGGAAGGTTACTTGTACGGTTACAGGGGGTTAAAATTGCGAATGGACAAAAACGGATGTAACAAGGGGCTTACGGGCTCGGAATGCTAATGAGTATTTTGATAGGCTGACAGGGGGTGGAGGATAGGAAAAGTCGCGCGTCTACAGTTACTAGGTAAGCTGTCCATCATCTTTCAAGCGCTTGCTTCATTTTGCAAGAGCCACCACATACCTACATCCATACATCCATCCATACGCCGGACAAGTGTACATAGACGTCCACGGTTGCCCACGTCCTTGATACCCCCCTGGACATTTCGATGGTCTAATAATGGATAAACGTCCGGTTGCGACGCTACCCGGCCTGTAGTCCCATGCCGCCATACCCCTTTCGAACATTCCCAACCCATGTTCCCCCATGCTAAGACGCGCGAGTTGTGGCTCCCTTTTCGCTCTTTCTCTATTGTGCGCCCTCACTCTTTCTGGCAGTCTATTATTTGCTAGGTTTACTCACGTTGCCTTCCTGTGATTGATTGTATCAGTGAAACATTACCAGTTCCTCTGGCAGGCCGATTCGATAATCTCTTAGCCTAAGCCTGTAACTCTCCACTCATTCCTCCTAACTGCCTAACCATGAATGACAGGACAAGGACAAGGGAGTAACTGATAGTATATCGACCACCATGTCTGTCCCTCAGCCTCTGCCGAACCAGATCCTCCAAAACCACCAGCGTCGGCCTTCCTTAACAGCCTACTCCGAGACTTCCCGTGCCTCATCTGATCTGTCTATACTTCAGCAGTCCATTCCCTCCCTCCCAGACCAATCCCAATCCCTTGACTCAGCTCAAGCCTTACCGGGTTCGAGAAACACGAAGAAGCTTGTTATCGACAGCTCCGCCGTGGTATCGCCCGTCCGGTCTATTCGCCGCAAGCCGCTGTCATCAACCGCGTCGTCAATTGCTACTAGGTACTCTTCTGGAGAGTATCTTGCTTTTGCAAAGGGGCCGCCCGGTCCAGACCACAGATTTTCTCGTTCCTTTTCGGTTGATAGTCCTACTGTTTACGAGTTTCCTCGCCCTCCAACCGGTTCATTAGACAAGCCAGGATTGGAATCGCCCCACGATTTCATATTGATTCAGAGCAACGTAGAGTAAGTCAAAAAGTTTTATTGATCTACAATCCAATTCCGGTCATCTAAGTACCTTCATTTATTAATCCTAGAATTTATCCAGGAAACCTCCCGAGGCTCGTCATCCATTAGCTTCCGTCGACTCCAGCCCGGCTGTGACGGCGGGTGAAGTCGAACGTCCAACTTCTCAGGGTAGTAACCCTGACGCTTCTCAAACAAGTCACACCACCGACTTGTCGCAACATCACGAACCGGCCGCCTATGACGATTTATTTAGTGACGAAGAGGAGGATCGGTTAAGTGACAATATTCTCGACGGATATAAATCGGATTCGTCGGATTATAATAATAGTCGTAATTCTTATCACTCTAGTACTATGTCATTGCATATCACCCGGAAAGCAACACCCCCACAGTTGAGGATCAACCCGGATGATATATCGTCGACTCCAAAAGCCGATAGAAACGACATAAAGACTCCTAATACCGATAAACCTCTACCGAAGTCACCAGGCTCGTCAAAGCTAGGGACGTTCTTTGGCTGGACTACTTCTTCGCCTTCGAACACAGAAACGTCAGACAAAGGATATTCGCCTATTCCTTCACCCTTTAACTTTTCAAAGGCGACCAGCGTTACCGATGCATCCCCAGTTACAACAGTCGGACCACAATCACTACTGGATGCCCCCAAGGGATTATTTGCATCTCCAAACTCAAGGGAATACGGCGAATCTTACCTGTCGCCATCAGCCGCTACTATATCGCCACAATACCTAATCGAAGAAATGGAGGAAGAATTAAAGGCCATCTCGGCCGAATTGGCAGCGTCCATTCGGCGCGAGATGGACCTGGAAGACTTAGTAGACAGATTGCAAGCAGAGAGGGACAACCCCACGACGAATGCAAACAAGAGGACCAGCGACTACTTCTCCGATTCGGGATATAGCTCTGCTAAGCTAAGCGAGTATGATCAGTCGCGAGAAGAGATAGAGAAGATTCAAAGAAGATCAGAGCAGGAGAAAGCACAGATTAGGCTCGAGTTGACTAATAAACTTCAGGATGAGAGGTCCAGGAGACAACAGCTTGACGTACAGATCAAGGAGCTGTCGGAAAGGGCGTCTCAGATTGACCTTGCCAAAGCCGACAACGCGGACACATCCGGACGTGTTAAGGAGTTAGAAAATACTTGTGAAACTTTGCGGCGTAAGCTCACCGAAGAGCGACAAGTCAAAGATAACTTTGAAGATTTGCTCGCAGCGCTCAAGAACGAGCTCGAGAATGCCTCGAACCAACGTGACAACCTTCGCGACGAGGTTGTGCCTCAACTCCGAGCACGTGTAGAGGGTCTCGAATCACAGGCGGCAGAGCTCGAGAAGATGGCGTATGAATCCACGAAGATGCAGCAAGAGCTTCAGGCTCTGAAGAACGAGAACACGTCCTTGAAACAAACGCAGCCCAACCCCATGGGCACCATCTCCGAAGAACCAATACTTGCCGGATCTCGACTATCCCGGTCCAACTCGTTGACCGGTCCCTCACCGTCCTTTAGGCTTCAAAGAGCACCCCCCGGTCTGACAAGGTCCAAGTCAGTCAAGACAACCGAATCTCGGGATCAGCTCTCGGAGCGACTTAAGGACGTCGAAGAGCAGCGAAATGCTTTACATAAAGCCCTAAAGAATCTACTGGATAGACAAGAATATCAGAACAGGGAAAACGAAAAGAAGATCCGCGCCCTCGAGATGGAGCGTGACCGTCTTTTAACTGAGTCGCCACAGAAAGCTGGTTTCCAGAAGGAAATAGCTAACCTCAGAGCCGAGATTACCCTCTTACGACGACGAGCCGACGAGGCCCTGGAACAAAAATGGCAAGTGGAGAAGGGTCTCGGCGGTCTTAAGATGGATCTTGATCGAGCCGAACAGGAGATAGCATCTCTTAGGAGCTTGCTTAGTGAGAAAGACATTCTAATTCCACCATCTCTCGCACGTCAGAGCAGTGCAAGCGACAAATTCGCGGCACCCGTAACTTCAGATTCCCTAGCCCAGGCTTATGAAGATCTCCAGAAGGCATATGCCGATTCTCTTGAGCGCATCAAGAAGCTCGAGGCTATCAGCTCGCCAAACGAGATAACCAGGATTGCGATGGAAAAGCTTGAGCAGGCACTGACGTCTACAACCTTTGAGCGCGACATTGCACGCCAAGAGGCAACGTCGTACCAGGAGCAGCTCGAGGCTCTCAAGGCGGGCGAAAAAGCCTACCTCGAATCTGAAAAAGCACTAGCCGACGAACTAAGCGAGTCAGCTCGTCGTGTTGAAGAGCTAGCTATCCAGGTCCGCCAGCAGCTAGCTATCAACCAGACTCTACGTCAGAGAATCTCGGATACGGTAGCTCGTGGCGAAGCCGAGCAGAAGGCCAACAAGGACCGTATCACCGCAATGCAAGCGCACCTCAGGAGCCTCGAGGAGAAATTAGAGGCCGCGCAAAATCTCTCGGAGGAGCGAGCCGCGCGGTACGAGGAAGATATAGCTAACCTCAGGGCCAGCCACAACGACCAGCTAAAACGTATGCGTGACGGCTTACGTTCTCCCCGGATGTTTCCGGCAAAGTCTCCCCTATCCCCTCTTTTCTCGGGCCCGAATGCTCGATCTCCTCGTCTCGCCGCGCGCCCCGGCTCGGCTGTCAAGGTATCCGACGATGCCCAGATCGACAACCTCCGCGCCCGCATCGCCGAGCTCGAGAATGCTCTCAGCGATGCTGACAGCGAGATGCAGCAGGTCGTCAGCCGTATGAACACTGCTCAGATCCAAGTCATGGAGCTGCAGGAAGAGCGCGAAGCAGCCGTCAGCCAGACGCGAAAGCTGGAGAAGGAGCTCCAAGCTGAAAAGATGAAGGCCTTCGAGGGGCGATTTAAGAGCCTGCAGTCGTGAGGGCCATTACTGGCTTATGATGACCCTTAGTCTGACCGGTGTATATCCTCACAACATCACGATTCCATGAAAGTCAAATCAACATGGGCGACACGCCTATATATGGGTACCTACCTAACTAAACCTTGTTTTTATTTTCCTTCCGTTTTGGCATTTACAGGAATCAGGCATCCTACTACGCATTGGGTACGGGCAGCGCGCTCTCACCTGGATTCAGCATGCGGCGTTTTGTATTAAAGCAACGACAGCATTGCATCGTCACCTTGGTTTACTGTTCATATCCCCCCATTTGTAACTTTTTTTTTGGAGCGGTCGAAATCTGACCCATCTCCTTTACTTTTGTATAATACTCGAAAAAAAACTTTGGCAATGTCCAGAGACACTCGAGGAATTGTATAGCTTAATGTTTTAAACCTAGTAGTTACCCTTCTAAACCTGTATATATGTACCTATACATATATCTACGCGGTCGCCTACGGAAAAGTCATGCAGAAAGAAAGAAAGAGAGAGAGAGAGACAACACTGGCATCTAAAGAAAAAGGTGCTACGTTAGGCTAGGTTAGATAGCTAATATTGTAACTATCGGGTATGGCCAACCCGGAATTAGTTGATAATTGAAAGAAGAACAAAACAAACAATTGCTATAAACTGCCCTTCGGAATTCTTATATCTCCCCTTTCTTGGTGAAATTGTGCTTCCATTCGTGACTGAAACTGGAATTCCCTTATACTAGGTACCTACCTATTAGGTTAGGTAGTAGATCATGTTTAAGGGGCCATTAAAGGGGCTCGAGAAATTTATTCACATGCTCGGTGTTATCCAGGGCAGAACAACGTCGTGGCAAGGGTGTAAGTAGTATATTATGTATAGATGAGCAAGGGAGCTCGTTCTCCTAAGCTTGTCAAGTCGCTCGACCCGTCACTTGTTCTGACTGAACGTTATTCACATCAGCCTTAGGAGGCGACAACTCGCCTGCGGGCACCTAGCCATAGGAGATTAGGTCTGCTATAGTTGTAAGAGATATCTTAGGCGGGAAACCATAATTTGCTGCTACGACCTTTGGTGAGATCCCTAGTCTACGTACAAGACTTTGCTATCTCTAGACGGTGGCGTCAATCGTTCTCCCATCGAGACCAGCGCCTTCCGAGGAGTTGTTCAGGGCGTCTATGCCGGTGTGGGTGCACGACAGATACAGCGTTGGAAGGACGTAAGAAGCGCCGGCCTCAATCGCATAGGCAAGTCTGCCGGTAAGTTTTTTTTTTTTTACCATCCGTCGGCTGTCATGCTCCATAAGCGCCAGGATAGTTGATTCCTGTCGAGGGCGTCTACTGGGGGCTCATATCGCTGTGGTACTGGAGAAGGTGGCTGCGCATGCTCCCGACCAGGCTAGGGTTCTTATGCCAGGTACTTCTACTTTTATCTTGCCTGTCTAGGGGTTTGCCCAAGCCGAGTTCTACGACATTAGTCACATCGTCGCCGAATCCGTCCCCGAAGATGGTAGGCTCCGTATGCGTGCTGTAAGCCACTTCTCATCTTGACTTTTCGAACCTTGCTTAATCTAAGAGGTTAGGGCGTTCAATCTCCACATCTTCCATATCCGCGCCGTCTATTTATACTCGAGCTAGGCTGTCTCTCATCATGTGCTGCAACCAGACAGCATGGAAACTTCGTTGTTCCACGAGGAACTTCCACTTATGTACCTAACCTAGGTCCCTCTGAGCCAATCGACTTCCTCTCCTTTTCCTTCTCCAACCATATTTATCTGCAGTATGATTTCATGTATATAACGAGTGATAAGCTTACATATTTATGTATGATAGTTTATCAATTTACCGAGTTTCAATATGGTGGCTTGCAATCTGTAATATGTATGCCACCTAATGTTAAGGTGCCTAGGCTGAGGAAGCCGACACAAGGCTTGCTTCCCTTTTCTAAACTGCATTAGGTAACTATTAGCATAACAGAAGGTTAGCTCAGTTTATCATAATGGCATTCTATCCATTTGACCCATTGGTGCTAAATGATACGCTTCGTTCGTTCCAGTTCGCAAGGCCAGGTCCTGATGGCGACGGGGAGCTGGGTTTCTTCCCGGAGGCTCAAGTTCTAGCCTGGCACTCTGGTAAAGGAAAAGCACAAAAACGCTCCGGCGCAGCGGGGGGAGAAAATAAATGCTCATACCGCCAACTTATTGATCCATATGAAATAAGGATCTTGGAACTAAAGCCGGGGAAAGATGACGAGAGGCTATATGGTGCTCTACATCACTGTTCTGTTGAGTTTGGTTAGTGTGATAAGTTATCATTATTCTGCAGACCTGCTCCCACTGACTTGGGTATATTTAGAGGAGGAAAACTCGACAAGGTTCGCCTTAGCCACCAATGTATGTGAGCCCGTATGGTACACAGCTTTAAGCTACACTTGGGGCAAGAACGTGTTCAACCGGGTTATTGAATGCGATAACTTTAGTAAAGATATTACTGAATCGCTAGAAGCTGCTCTCCGCCAGTTTCGAAGGCCCGATCACTCAATTATGCTGTGGATCGATCAGATATGCATTAACCAAGACGACCAAGAAGAAAAGGGTAGACAAATTCCGCTCATGTCGAGGATATACAAGCATGCATTGAATACGATCGGTTGGCTAGGAATATCGACTCCTCAAACCGGCAGTGTTCTGCAACTTCTACAACATACGATTACAAAATTGCAATTTATTGAGTCTGTCACATGTCCGGATGACTTTGAAGAGCTCGGTCTCCCGGCTGCCGACTCTATCCTCTGGAAAGAGTTATGGGATTTTGTTTCCCGCCCATGGTTCAAGAGGCTCTGGGTTGTTCAAGAGGTCAGCTTGGTTCCCTTAATTCCTTACTCTTGTCGTTCCTCGAGCCCGTTTGGGGATGTATGTGTGTTTATATGCTGCTTATATGGCGATCTGATAGGTAGTACCTGGCCGTCTCACGAAAGATGCTAAATTTGAACTCGGAATAGATGACCCTTTCCAAAGACTTATGGCTTATGTGCGGTAGCTATATTACGACGTTTGATATTGTCTCAACCGCATGTATCAATCTTGCTAGTTGTGGTGTATCTCGCTGGCTGAATCAAAATTACGCAGCAGATACGACTGATGACAGCTGCAAGTGGATATACGATATCAGTATTCAAAAAGTAGATATCCAAGCAGGTCAGAGGGGTCCCTTATTCAGGCTTCTATGTCGTACGCGGGATGCGCTTTGTTTTGATCCCAAAGATAAAGTGTACGGCATTCTTGGTATCTGCGAGTCATCCAACATAAGGATCGATTACAGTGATGAGTACCCTGTATCCAGACTGTATCACGATGTCGCCTTGCGAGAGCTGCGTCAATCGTCTTATTTCGGAGTTGTGAATGAGTTGTTGCCAGTCGTCGATTATACTAGTCTACCATCTGCTCTCCCACCTGCTCTCCCATCATGGGTACCAGACTGGAGCCATCCACGGCAGACGGTCACGTTAGGAGGCCACACCTCAAGCTATGCAATATACAATGCAGCAGGGGATACCAAAGTTACTTTCTCACTTGGCGGCGAGAAAGACTCTGAGTTGAATATCCACGGGATATTTTTCGACGTCCTAGGCCATCTAAGCTACCCTTTTCGTAACCCGGATATCACATACAGGAATCCACTTAACGATAACAGAGATCTGCGTACATGCATCGAATTATGCAAAGACTTGAACGAGTATCCGGGTGGTAGCACAGTTTTCGACGCATTTTGGCACACACTGGTTGCTGATAAGAATGGCACCGGGCTGCAAAGGAGTCCGGATTCGTTTGCTGAGATATTCAGCCTCCTTTTGGACGAATCTTCTGGTACATCACCGACTTTACCCGGGCAAACGTACACGGCTCGTCAAAAAGGATCGAAAGGACAAGGGAAGCTGACGCTGGGTCACTTCAGTTCCAGAACTCCAGGGCAAACATTTCAGGATGTGCGTGCAGCCTTACAGAGTGCGATGCGTAATAGAAGACTAGGCATTACCAGTGAAGGCTTTCTGGGATTGTTCCCCAGTAAGACTCAGTATGGCGACACTGTCTGCATCTTGAAAGGTTGCTACATGCCGTTTGTGGTACGAGTGTCCGATGGAAGAACGGTTCGTTTGATAGGTGAATGCTATGTTCATGGAATTATGAAGGGGGAAGTTATAGGAAGGGAAGGGGTTAGTTGGGAGTCTGTTACGATTATTTGAAGGAATTATAGTTAGAGGTACCTTAGGTATTGTACTGAAGTGTTGGTAATTTGATGTTGTATTGGTAAACATTTCTAATGAATGGAATTATTTGTGAGATATGATAAGTCATCCTCGACTTGCAAGCTAGGTGAACACCCCACTTTTCCGTTGTCTCCCCGCTATCCCCGGCTTTTCCTCCAATTTCTATGGGGTAAATTCAGCCGAAGTCTACCCAAAGCCGGTATTAAGCCGGCGGAATTTCCCAATCAAGTATCTTACATCTTACATGCAAACCTGGGTTTTGGCGTCTGCGGGTTTTTAACACGGCAGCACATGGCAGCACATGGCAGCAGCAAAGTGATCAAACAGCTTCCAACGCCCTGCATTAACAGGAAGCCATACAATACACACTCCGTACATGATCCATCCAACCGGGCCTCCACCAGGCTAGATGGAATGGTGTTAACCCCGCGAGTTAGCTCGCTTTCTGCCCATTAGCTTCAGCTTTCCCATCCCCGTCTCCGGTCGTCGCAGTGGAGAGTTATCATCAAATACATAGTATGTTTTCCTGCTGTCCATGAATGGTCATGATTGGCAGATAAGAGCTCTTATGGCCCTACCCTAAGGATTACTGGTTACCAATGGGGTAGCACCGCTCTACTTAAAGGTACCAGTTACCTGGCATAAGCCTGTCGGCTGGGGATGATGGGGTCAGATCACACACCGACATGATCGTGAATTACTTTCTTGAGTGTTATTCCCTGAAATGTTCAGCGTGATATACTATGTACAATAGGTACACAACAGCTTATACAGGTTATCAGACAATACGAAGGGGAGGGGGGTATGAATCTTACCACCATGAATTAAATATTATTAAGCTGCCAACCCTCTCATTTTTATCCGTCTTCCTTCACGTAATAATTTCTTTCTCTAAACCACATCCTTTGTTTCTCCAATTCTTCACTGATATCTATCCGAAGCCCTCTCATCTAGGCCATGAGATAGACAAATATTCAAAAATGGATCCTTCATTATTCAGGACTCTCGTCCATGTTGAGCCTAACTCGAACCTACACGATGAACACCCCCTCCCTGTACCGCCGCGGAGAGTAAAGTCCAGAACGTATCCGGCGGTCCCTCAGCAAGACTCCATCGAGCTGGAGCCTCTTAGGCACCATCCCAACAACGCGGGCGCCTCTAGCGCTTCGGGGCCTGCTACTCCCAGAGAGGAGAATGACGTCGAGATGAGCGCCCCCGGAACGCCAGCCGAGCCGGCCGAAATCTTCGAAGCTCTCCCGACTCTGAAAGATCCGCCCATGAACAAGTTCCGCTTGGCCGCCTGTTGTTTCCAAAACTTCGTCGGTGGGTTGACTGATTCGGCACCCGGGGCTCTAATTCCTTACATGGAATCGTGAGTATAGAATCCCCGAAGCCACTTCATAAGAGGTATCTATCTATCAGTCCCAGACTGATTGACTGACTGGTCGAAATGAATGCAGTCATTATAATATCGGATACTCCGTAGTAGCTCTCATCTTCATCGGAAATGCTCTGGGCTTTATTATGGCCGCGCCCTTTGTCGACCAGATCCGCCAGCGCCTCGGGCGAGCTAGGACCATCGCCTTAGCGCAGCTCTCCATGGTTATCGGCTGTGTCCCCCTGATTTGCGCTGCGCCCTTCCCCGCGGTAGCGATTGCCAATTTCTTCATCGGTTTCGGTCTTGCCGTCCAGTTGGCCATAGGTAACGTGTTCTGCGCGAACCTGGCCAACAGCACGACCATCCTCGGGGCGTTCCATGGAAGTTACGGTATTGGAGGTACGATTGGACCCCTGGTCGCTACGTCGATTGTGTCTACCGGTGCCATCTGGAGCCGGTTCTACCTCTTGACGCTCGGCATTATCATTTGGAATGCCGGCTTCTCCACTTGGGCTTTTTGGAATTACGAGAAGGAAATGAGCAGTGGCGAGCCGAACGCCGTATCGGAGACCAACTCTCGTGGTATGGAACACGTGCCGGCCGTGCTGATTACTTTCAAGTCCAAGGTCGTTCTCCTAGGGGCCATATTTATCTTCGCGTACCAAGGAGCCGAAGTGTCCATCTCGGGATGGGTTATCTCCTTTTTGATCTCCACCCGCAACGGTAACCCTTCGTCCGTTGGTTACGTGACGTCGGGTTTCTGGGCTGGCATTACGCTCGGGCGGTTCGCACTCTCGCCTCTCGGCTCCAAGGTCGGGGAGAAATTGTTCGTTTACATCATTGTGGCCGGAGCTGCCATCTTCCAGTTGCTGGTCTGGTTAGTCCCTAATATCATCGGAGAAGCCGTATCCTTGGCCATTGTCGGGCTACTTCTCGGCCCTGTCTACCCTTGTGCTGCCTATATCTTCACGCGTAACCTCTCACGCCGCGAGCAGGTTAGTGGGATGAGCGTCATTAGTGCCTTTGGTAGTTCTGGTGGCGCCGTCGCTCCATTCACTACCGGTCTTTTGGCAGAAGCCGCTGGCACGTTCATCATGCATCCCATCGCTATCGGGTTGTTTATGGTCATGCTACTATGCTGGTTCGGCCAGCCTGGAGTTAGGAAGAGGGCAGAGTAGCGAGTTTATGCCACTACTATAAACTACCTCTTACATACTATACGTAGATGAATATAACGGCGGTAGATTAACTTTAGGGCGAAGCAGGCAAGGCGTCTTTTGTCTAGGTAGGCAGATATCCGGGGAATCGTATTGGTTTGGGTTTTCGAAAATATGCTGTTCCTCCCACAACGGGTTTCATGACTACCTCACATATGAATTAGCCTTGCTTATTGGTTATTGATATTTATCGTCTCTAAAGGTCTATCCGGAAAAGTCCTTATAACCGAAATATAACTTTATAAGCCAAGAATATTTTGCAACCGTCGGCTTAACATATAAAAGCAAGGAGTCTTTGAACAGCTCGTAACATAGATAGGTAATTTAAAGAGGTTTTCCACGAAGATTATCCCGATGAAGTGTTCGTTTCGTTCAGCTTGATGATATCAATAATTATGAATCCCTACCATGTTGTTAAGGTTTGGAAGATAGGTAGGTAGCTATCAAGCTGTTACACTACCAAAAGGAATTACAAGCTGATTCATAGATTCAGTACCCGTTAAGGAGAGTAGTTGAGGTTGTGATTTTCTTTTCTATAGGAACACCAGCCAACGCTCAGCATCGAATGGCATTATATCCTGTCTTAGGTAGGTACCTAGTACCCATCTATCTGTTCGTCTAAAAATAATATCTACCTGCGCACTAAAAATGCCTATGTCATGATATTTTAACGTTTATAGTGACAAAACGAACAACACACTGAAGTCTACAAGAAAAAAAAAGATGAAGATTTATAGTCTTCCCTTCGCCGCCTCCTTGACGGTGATCTTGCCCTCGACCACATCCGCAACGATCTTGTGGATGTCAGAGAAGTCGTTGAAAGTGACAAAGGGCACCTTCTCGTTCTCACAGTATGTTACAAGGTCTAAGGGAGTTAGTATATCGCGGAGGTTGAAAGAATAAAGAGAGAAATTACCTCGTCCGGCCTTGGCAAACAGTAAATCTGTCTCCTTAGCAGCCGATAAGTCGGACACGCCATCTCCGGCATAGAACAGGATAGGTCGCTCTGGCAAAGCAGAGTACGGTCTAATCTCAAGGGACTTGTCATGTCCAAAGTCACTACATTCAGTAAAATTATATATATTAGCTACTGGCTTCTAATCTAGAACTATCTGTGCACGTAAGGTACATGTCTTGCCCTTTAAGAGGAACTTGCGTGTTGTGTAATATAATATAAAATTTAAAATGTATCCAGGTAAGATGTTCACGAGAAGAAAAGTGCTAGTCTCTGGAAAATAAAGTAAACAGGGACTTACCTATCGTCGTGGTACTTGATGTTCCAGCCATCTTCGTCGTTAATGCTCTTACCAGGCCTAGCTTCAACATCGTTGCTGACAATCTGCATATGCTGAACGGCCTCCTCGCCAACGAGGTGGGCAAGCAGAGCACGGATAACGGGTTGCATACCACCGCTCAGAACGACAACAGGAACGTTGTTCGCGCGAGTCCAGGCGAAGAACTCGGCGAAGTGAGGGTCAAGTTGTACATTCTTGAGCAGGGTGGCAATGCACTGGTCATAAGGAGTCTTGATGCTGTCCATCATTTCCTGGAAGCTGTCGCGGAATGTGCGCTTGCCAAACAGAACGTCGTGGTTACCCTTCTTGCGCAGCTCCACGCCGAATCCTAGGTTATCTGTTATGAAGTCGTTGCTGTCCTGCAGCGTGATGGTGCCGTCGAAGTCGGTGAAGAAGATGGCCTTGGGGTTAGTACGCAGCGCCGGGAGCGTGCCATTGGTGCCGTTCGATTGAGCCATAATTTCTATTATCTATCGTTTGAAATTGTCTTGTTTTCTTTTTTTTTTTCTTTTTTTTTTTTATAAAAAAAATTCTATTTGTATAGATGTGGGTAGATGTATTGATTCTGTTGTTGAGGTTGTCTTATATGAGGGACTTTGATATCTCCAAGATGAAATAAGGAGTGACGTCACGCAATAAATGAAGGGGTCCTTGCGTGCTGCAGTTAACCTCGCATCTAACAAATTTGCAAATGAAAAGGACGAGATATTCTCCAAGTCAAAAGAAAAGAAAAGAAAAGGTTGAGAAAAGGGTGAGCGAAATAAAGTTTCCCCAAGGGTCTACCTAGTACCTACTATGTATATGTATTACAGCCAATGTCAACACCGACACTGGACATGCGACAAACAAAGAGCGATCCCGCGGGGCTCTTTCCTTCTGCCACTTCTCTGCCCCTCTGCCCCTCTGCCCCTCCATCAAATTTGTCGATCGGCGATGTTTTTCTGCCAAAACGGAAAGAACCCCCACTGAGGCTTGTTAGCCATCTTGGCAGAACTATGCCTTTAGCGTACATGTACCTGATTGTACCTAGCAGCTTAACAGCGATATACCCAGCTGTGGTTCCGGTAAGGCGGTGATCGGGTAATTCCCGGTGTTACTCTCCCCCAACTTCTTTTCCCGGGAACTTACCGCAGCGTCATATTCTGTTCCCATCCTTACCCTTTATCTTCCAACTATAGAATTGAAATCAGAATCTTACGCTCCAATTCTCTGCTCGCAGCAAAGAGGAAGGGTAGCCCGACTCCCCCCCTTCCCTCTAGCTTGCCTTCTTTGTTTTGATGTCGACGGCTCGGGCCTTGAAGCCCATTTTCGGGCCTAGCTACCGGCTTCTCCTCGATCAATTGGCTCCTCAGTCCGCTGCTACTAGGAAGCTCGTCTCGAGCCGGCCATCCCCGGTATGCCCGACCTGTCGGCATAGCTCCGTTCTTTTCTTCAGCCGCCAGCTTCGCTTCTCTTCGTCGTCGTCTTCTTCCAATTCGAACCCACCGAACCCCTCTAGGAATAATGACAATGACAATAACATCGATAACGACAAGAAGCCTATCGACAATGATACCATTTTCCACTTCCCTCCACCCTTCATCGAGCCACCTCCCCAACCGGAGCTAGAACCTACACCGAAGCCACCACGAACGCCGGAACCCACGCCTCCGCCACAGCAATCACCACCACCACCACCTCCTCCTCCTCCTACCCCCGAAGATGACCGCTCCGTCGCCGGGAAGGAAAAGGAGAAGGAAAAGCAGCACGAGCTCCCCTCGGCCCAAAACTCGCGGCGCTCGGCGCTCAACCGGTCGCTGAGCACGTTCATGGACCGGGCGCAGACGACGCTCTTCGCCGCCTCCCAGCGGATCAACGACCTGACGGGGTACTCGGGGATCGAGACGCTCAAGTCGCAGATCAGCGCGCTGGAGGCGGAGCTCGCGGCCGCCCAGGCCCGCCTGCACGCGGCGCGCGCCGCCTACAAGTCGGCCGTGGCCTCGCGGTCCGCCACCCAGCGGGAGGTCACGACCCTGCTCGCGCGCCAGAAGATGTGGTCGCCGACCGACTTCGAGCGCTTCACGTCCCTCTACCGCCAGGACTACGATCTCGACGCCGCGGTCGCCGCGCGTGCCGCCGAGCTCGAGGAGGCCGAGCGCGAGGCCGAGCGCCTGGGCCGCGAGCTGAGCGCGGGCATCCTGAGCCGCTACCACGAGGAGCAGATCTGGAGCGACAAGATCCGCCGCATGAGCACGTGGGGGACCTGGGGCCTCATGGGCGTCAACGTGCTCATGTTCCTGGTCTTCCAGTTTGGCGCCGAGCCCTGGCGCCGGAGGAGGCTCGTCAAGGGCTTCGAGGAGAAGGTCCGCGAGGCCCTGGAGGAGGAGCGTCACCTCGAGCAGGCGCTCAAGCAGGCCGAGCGGGAGAGGAAGAGGATAGAAAAAGAAGCCACCGCTGCCGCCACCGCTGCCGCCGCCAAGGCCACGGCCACGGCCGAAGCCGAAATAGCTGCTGACCAGCCAGAGCCAGCTACGCCCGAATTAAAAGCGGAAGAACCAGCCGATAATATCGTAATAGGGCCGCCGATCACGTCGTGGCGCGAGTCGCTCTCGGATCCGGAGTGGTGGAAAGCCGCGTACGCCGACCTATCAAGTGATAGGAAAGTCGCCCTAAAAATGCGAGACGTCTCTATAATAGTGCTCGAGGGCGCCGCCGCCGGTGCCGCTACTATCGGTGCCATAGCTGCCATTTTACTCATCCGAAGATCTTAGAATAGAGCACATAGTAGTAGTAGTAGTAGTGTCGAGAGGGTATGTATGTACTCTTAGCAACTTCAACACCCAACCACAGCTGTTTTTGTACAACACGATATCCGCCCCCAAAAGGCCGCCCCCTTGATCAGTACACCCATGTATATTCAACTTGTATATAAATCCGTTGAAAAAAAAGAAGGATGACGTTTGCATTATCTGCTGGTCTAATTAACGGGGGCGAAAACTACTATATGTCAGGGTAGACTCTGCGATAGTATCTGCTTGCTGCTCCATGACGATTTCTTCTAAACCGCGCTCAACATTAATCGGCTTTTGTTTCTTTTCTTTTGAATATTCGCCCAGCGAATCGTATTTCACGCAACGCCTATGTCCGTGGCACGAGTAGTAAGTACCTAACGACGTGGCCTACATTGATATCAACCGTGCAACAACAGGTCTTTTTTTTTTTTTTTTTTTTTTTTTTTTTTTTTTTTATCAATGCGCCTCGAAACAAGCAGATCACCTCGCCGTCGCATACCTTCTCGACAAATCCTTAACTTCCAATCTTGGCGCCTAGTCAAAATCCGCTGTGTATGAGAATCCGCGGAACTCTTCTTGCATAGATTGCGAAAGCACTAGAACTTTATTAGAACGAGTAATATTTCTCATCATGGATACAATTATCCTTACCTGACTGCACCGGCGTAAGAACCGGCGTAACGCTAGTAAATTCGGAATCGAAATTGCTGGTATCTGTCGCGTTCTTGATAGTGGGCATGAAAGGAGGGGCCACCCTCTTATGGTAGATATCATCCCATACGATGTTTCTGAAAAAAGGCTGACTCATGACCTCCTGAGCATCAGTTGGCCCACTTCCCAATCGTTGGTCGGGGTCTCTCGTGAGGAGTTTTTGTAGTATCGAGACCGATTCCCTGGGCATGTGAATAGGATAGAGCGGTTCATCTGCAAGAATCGCGTCGTAGATCTCGTCTTCGTCTTCACCTCGGAAAGGTGACTGCTGCAAAAGCATCTGGTAAATTAGAACTCCAAAAGCCCACCAGTCTACCGCTCTGCCGTATTTCTTATCCAATAATATCTATGACGACGTTAGATAGGATTTGAGACACCTAAAAGGAAGGGACAAACTTACTTCTGGGGCCATGAATTCGGGTGTACCGCAGAAAGTACTGGTAGTAGAGCCATACCACATGTCCTCTTTGCACAAACCGTAATCAGCAATCTTGATATGACCATCCAACGTGAGAAGGATGTTGTCAAGCTTCAGATCACGATAAATGACGCCGTTCTCATGGAAATACTTAAGCGCCAAGCAAACCTCAGACGCGTAGAATCTGTAAAGAAGATCAGTAGATATTCTTAAAGGGGATCATACCTAAAAGCTTACTGTGCACGTTTGGTGCCGAACTGTCCACGCTGGATATGAAGCATCAGATCACCACCGCTAATGTACTCCATTACAAAGTATACTCTTGTTTCGGTTTGGAAACAGGCATGCAAGTTAGTCAGGAACGGATGACGCTCTCTATTCGCAATCAGGAACACCCTTTTCTCGGACCGGATACTTTCAACTTCGTCGTTTTCAATGATAAACTCCTTCTTTAGAACTTTGATAGCGTAAAGCCTTCGCGATTTCTTCGTTTCAGCCAGCATAACCTTACCGAAGTTACCCTTGCCGAGAACTGCGAGGAAATTAAAGTGGTCCAATCCGATACGTTGACCAGTTCCTGGATCGGTTGCGGAGGGCAAAGGTTTCCTAGAGGGAGGTGGTAATGTAGAAGCCGTTGTTAGGGAGGGGGTTTCCTGGACCGGCTGTGGTTTAGAAACAGGTGCAACGGGTGGGAACATCTGCTGCTGCTGCTGCTGTTGTTGTATTTGAGGCACCGGGGATTGCGGTTGTTGGGCTGGGCGTTGCTGTTGTTGTGGCACTTGTGGCTGACTTGGAGGGTAGTTGGCAATGTTTGCGTATGCTGCTGGGTTATACTTCGGCTGCGAAGGTACATTATAAGGCTGGCCAGCTGCGTAAGGATCCTCCTGAGTATCTGCGGTTCCTCCGTAACCACCAGTCCTGCCAGAGTAGTCTGAAGCTTGAGTTGGACGACCTGGCGAACTCACACTACCGCTCATAGCAGCTGTGGCGGCGGCGGCGGCGGCACTTGAGCCGGATGAGGTACGATCAGGATAAATAGGCCTTGTTGGCGAGGCCTGACTAGCATACATAGCTTTAGCAGCATCGGTAGCCTCTTGAGAAGCGGTGCTCGGCTGGTAAGACGGCGCACCATGAGTGCTATAGGGCGACATAGGACCAGAAGATGTGCTAGTAGGGCTACTCTTGCCCTGTCTAAGGGTCTTATCGGTCAACGAAGTTGCTTTTTGTTGTCGTTTTGATGATCTAATGCCTTCGAGGATCTGATTAGCAACGGCCATACTCATACCACAGAAGTCCGGTACGAGATGCACACAGTGTGCATGAGCCGTAAGCCCGCATTCTATATAACTATTAGCCATACGCTAAAGAATTAAAGGGGGGAAGGAGGTAGGTTTCCATCATACCGGTACACTTCCTGCAGTTTTTCTTTCCAAAAGGCAGTATATAACCACAGTGACAGCACCAATTAGCTGTAACGTTCGAAAATGGCGCGAATCTATGGGGAATGCGGTGGTTGATTTTCTCTTCATCTGGATCCGTTTCGGCGTTACTTTTACTAATACACTTCGTAACCACACTCGGGTAACATTTCGTATGGCAGGTATATTTGCAGTCCTCACACTGCATGCCGGCGGAATATTTGAGGAAATCGCCGCAAAGGGCACAGCGCATGATGTTGTAGAATTGGTGTTGCACGAACTTGTGTCCGTACATTTCGTGTACCTCTTCCTTGCGCTGGCGAATGGCACCCTTTCGCCCAAGACCAAGATCGACAGGCCGACGGTCTTTACTTTGTTTTATGAAGCTAAGTGATAGATGGATGGAACCTGTAGGCTCCAGGTTAAACCAAGCATCGATCGGTTGAGAGGTAACTTGGGGCACTGCTTGTGGTCCAAACTGCTGCTGACCGGGACCAGCGAGGCCAGGGGAGGCAGGTCCGGCACCAGCTTGCGGTGGATCCATTGGAAACTGCGGCGGAGGCACTCCGGGGCCTCCTCCCATCCTATCGGCAGATACCCAACCAGAGTTGCTAACTTCAGCCTCAATTCTCTTTTTTCGCATCTCTTCCACAATATCTGATATCCGTACCCATAGCATGGCAATAGGTAACGCGTGTTCGCCGGGCTTATCGTAAACTGTAAGTTCGATTTCGTTCGCCTTATCTACCTCGATGTTGTGATATTCGGCTTCCCATCGATCGGTACGTGAGACCCTTGTCCGTGCAACGACGTTGTCCTCTACCTTGATAGCAATGAAGGTTTCTGGGCCTCTCGAGAATCGCCCGGTACTGGCATGGTCCACGTCTCTTACTTGGACAATTCTAATAGAGAGCTGACCAGTTAATGGTTTGCGTAGGTTGGGCATGTTGATACTATCATCTGCGAAATAGGCTTGTTAGCGTAGGATATAACATTAAAATTGCGGAGCGGGTAGCGAACCGTCAGGAGAGTCAGCTGAATCCAAATCATCTATATGAAGTTCTTCGTATCTCTTTAGTGCCTGCTTCAAGAGATGAATCTTCTGTTTACTCTCGACCCTTCTTGCTGCGGCATCGGCCTTGCTTTTGCGATCGCCTTCCATGCCGTACAGTTGAACCATCTTTTCTACACCCTTGAGGTATTGCTCCTCGACATTAAGTTTAAACTGGATTTGCGAGAGCATGAGTTGGATTCGAGGACCGAGATATGGGGTATCATATTTAATAAGATCTAGTTTCGTGACGGATGAAGATTAGTTCTACCGGTTCATCACAAATACCACGGCATAGCGCCCGTAGTAGCAATAATAGGGGCGGTACGAAGGTGGTGTGACAAACCTAACTTGGTAAAGTTTGGCCGTGGTTTCGGAATGGTCGAAGTTGGGCCCGGGGGTGCGTATGGATGCCGTGGCGGCATGATATCTCCATGACCGCCGATTTGGCTGTAGGGCAGCGTGCCATAAGAGCCTTGATCTCCCGACAGCGCACCGGCATCTTTAGGCGGAGGCGGTGGTGCATCGCTATCACGCATTTCGAGGCTGCTAGGACGTAAAGAACCGGTGGCAGAGCCTGAACCGATGTTCATGTTATCCACCCCTTGTCCCAAACGCTTCATCTGTAAATCGCGAAGCTTCTCTTCAAAAAACTGGAGATTCCGACGGCCCTCGCGCATCTGGCTATCAAGACGCGACCTGACATCGTCGTTGTTGGTCTGCTGTCGCATAGAATTGGCAGCATTGATCAGAGCTTTCTCGCGCTCGATCTTCTTGTAAATATTGGCCATGGCCTCTTCGTCGTTCATGATGGGCAGTTGGGTTGCGCGTCGTCACGCGCGGGACCGGTATGTAAGTAGAGTATGGATTACCTCTAAGACTTTTTGTTGTGTGTGTATGTGTGTATGTGTGTACGTGTGTGCGTGTGTGTTTGTGTGGAGGAGAGTGTTTTTAAGAAGCAGTTGTTTAAGAGGCAGGAAATGCGGGCAGCCCGAGATAAAGCTGGAGAAAAGAGGTAGGTATCTCGCAACTTCGGTAACTGCCTACTACCTTGCTATCGGCGGGCCTAGGGCATACACTACCCGTAGCGCTAACGTTAGCCTTATGGTAAATTAGAAGCCAAGTCGATGTTAGATTGAAAGCAAAAGTGCAGCTGCCGGGTTGGCGTGTAGGCGTTTAGGCGGGCTGGTGGGCTGGCGGGTAAGGAGTAGAGGTAGGTAAAGATTAAGAAAATTGGGTAGTGCGATGTCGTCAGTGTCAAATAACGCTCTACCTTAAGAGGTATCTAGTATGTACAAGTTTGCTCTTGTGTCAATGGCGGGGTTTTGTGTCTCGCATGCGGCAGGCGCAAGTCTATGGTGGTCCGTGTGTGAGGTAAGTGTGTAAAGCTCCACTATGAGTTCTCGTCTTTCTTTTTCCTTTTTTTTTTCTTCCTTTTCCTTTTGTTGATTTTATGAATTGCGGATTTCAAGATTGCGGTGTACTTACACTATTGCCTTCCTTATTAGGTCCCGTATTATTATTCGAAATCGGTTATTATCTTGCCACCTTTATCATACCTAGTGCGAGGGAAAGTTTAAAAAGAATGGTTAGTGTATCTTGATGTTAGTTACTATTCGTCAAGCTTGGACGAAGTAACCAATTTATAAATTCCAAAAAAAAAGATGATAAGGGGGAAGATGAACTTTACCAGAAACCCCGAAAAAAGGAAGTGTAATGCATTATGCATACCTACCTACCTAAGGTACCTAACCTAACACTTATATAAAGTACGAAGTCAGTACCTTAGGTAGACTTTATTGATTTCGCTACGTCGGTGTTAACCGTACGCGTGTCATCGGTTTACCAGGTAACCCAGCCAAAGAAGTAACTCGTTGAACCTATCCAAAGCCAGCTAGGTACTACGGCTACAATTACCAATATCCAAGTTGTTTATCTTCTGTTTATTTAAGATCTCAAACCCACAATTCTATTGGTTTGGAAGACGTTAGAAAAGAGTGACTAGAACAGCGAATAAATATATGTCTAGATGGTAGTGTTCGGAACAGAACCGATATCCGGGGAAGCAAAGCAATATCAGACAAGTTGAGGTCAGTCAACTCTAAAACAGCCCACGTTCCATCTGAGTAGGAAGTCGGGACCTTTTTCTTTCTTTTTCTTGTTGAACACATATAGGCGGTCAGGTATATCCCTATTCTCAACTAGGTACGGTACACGTCGCTTTGTTGCTATTACGGCTGGTAAGCTGTAGCATAGCAACTATTATTTACATATCATCAACGCGCGGCTTACGTTTAAATCTACTAAGCTAGGTACATAATCAGAAAGCACATGTAGGTATGAGGTTAGGTATCTGGTGGCTTGAGACCGACGGTCAGAATCTGCAACACAAGACAAGATAGGCAAAGAGCGCCACCTGTGCACATGTGTGGAGATGCGGGTCAAAGAGTCGCGGCTCGCATACATACCTACGTACCTACCTAAGGTACGTAGGTATACATATAGTTCTACGACTATGTCAATATTTGATACTGATCTCGCCCTACGGATGTAACCATTGGGCGTCACGAAAACAACAAAACTATATCCATTTGCCGGCTGAGAAAATGGGTTGCGCGTCCCCCGGAGATGCCGTAACGCAAACTACCTTACATGCTATCCATATCAGCGATTGAGACGGTCATTTTCAAGGAGTGACCTGTCAAGTCAAAAGTTGATACAAGGCGGGGAAGAAACATCATTCCCTGGATTTTAATCACAAGCACCACAAACGACAAGAGAAACATGGCCCCGCCTCACGTACCTATCAAACTGCTGATATCAGACATGATGTTGCGACTATTCTGCAATTCGTAACTTCACCAAAGCAGGTCGATATTTCACACGTGACACGCAATTTCATTCGACGGCGCATGGCCTATTCAAACTATCATAGCATAAATTTCCGAGTAAAGATGATCCTTGATGCCCAAGGTCGTAAACTAACGTAACATATTCTTCAGATTGAGACCTCATATACCAACACAATCAGGGGTATCGAAAATGTCAATATTAAAGCCAAAACGTCTCATGAACAAGCGTAGGGTATCAGGGTATTATGGAATACCAAAAAAAGAGGAGCAGCCTAATCTATACTCTTCCATCACGACGCTTGGGCAGGTACAGCTGAAGTAATGGGCGCAGCTTTTTCGTTATTCGAGTTTGCTGGGGGCTGAGCTAGCAAATAAGAAGGCTGCGGCGGTGCCGGCGCGTAAAATCCAGCAATATTCTGGTAATTCTGATTGACCGGATTTGCTTGAGGGACAGTCGGGACTGCGGCACCTGCCCCGTTAGGAACTGGGTTCAATTGGCCTGGTCTCGCTTGCGAGAGCTGTGGTGGTTGTGGTAGCATCTGCATCGGCACCGGATACGGATAGTAAGCGGCACCCGGCGGCGGCGGCGGCGGTGGGTAGTACATGCCCCCTGCCGGTGGCATGGGCGGTAGAACAATGCCAGCAGGTTTCAGCAAATTCCTTTTGTGCGTATCGATGCATGCCATGACAAATAGTATGAAATGGTCGATAGTTGCCAAGCCAAAGAAGGCATTAGCAGCTCGAATCATGGGCAGATACGCGCCATTGCCATACATATCGAGATAGTCGCTGGAACAGTAACTATAGCTAGAATACGAGTAGTGGGTGCTATCCTCTCCGGCGCATCTCCTAAGGATAGACTCGACTGATGCCAAAATCGAAACCGTGAGAAGAACAGCGAATATACAGGCAAGCCAGAAACAGAGATGTAGGCCTACGTGTGCTCCAGGGTGAATTCCTCGTTTGACGTCCTTGCGCGAACGGATAGCAAAGGTGATCAACTCGGCACCATTCCACAGGATAGCAGCGATGGTAATGGGAAAGGCGTATATCGCCATGCTCTCGGCACCGCCATCATCGCCGAGGAAGACGCATGACAGGGCCAGGATCACGGTGGCAAAAATAATCGAGAAAATCGTGAGAACAAGCTTGGCGGCTGTCCAGAGCTTGGAATAACAAGGAAGAACCCGAACAGGTTGCGCATAAGGGTATGGCTGAGGCGGGTATGAATATGGACCATAAGGCGATGGATATTGGGGATATGGTTGTGGTAATGGCTGCGGAGGTACAGGCGGCCCTTGTTGAGCAGTCGTATTCCCTACCGGTCTAGATGGCAACGATGGTGTTTCCTCGTTTGCGGATTCTTGAGGCTCGTCCCTCGTTACTGGAGCTGGGTTGTTCTCGTTGGTTGAAAGGACCGGACTGCTCAGGGCCGAAACTTCATCCTCATCCCCCGTCTGAACCTTTGGCTGAGGTTTTTCATTCGATGCCATCTTAGGGGTAATTAGCTACGATAGACACCTAGACCTATGTAATATAAAGCGGTTTGGATAAATTTGAAATCGAAGAGTAAAAGAAAGAAATAAGTAGACGGGTTTATATTAAAAAATAATTAGTTATAATTGGAAATAAAAACGATGGGATGGATATATTCCAAGTACCTAATATAACGAGCGACGACGAGCTGGATGAGATGTCCAACACGGTGAAGGGCTGGTGAGAAAGAGAAAGATAAATCGAAAGGGGGATATTGTCGCCTTCCGTTTGAAAATAAAAATAAACGAGAGCCAAGCTTTTTCAGCCCTGCTCGTCTTCACATTAGGCTAGGTGGTAAAGCGCAGGCACGATGTGCCATTAGCATGGTATGTTACGTGAAGTAGATATCCAGTGTATGATGCATAATATAACGGGCAGGGCCGCTATATTTCAATACAGTTAGTTCTAAGTATTGTACCAACCTGTTATTTATATTCCTATTATTAATGTGCCAATTGGTATTAGATATAAGGTATAAGCAGAATCTAGACAAATAGACCATCTTCAAGAGGTATCTCGTAAAGAATATTCCGTGATCAGGGGGGGGACCATCAATCTGTTAAAATCCGATGGTGGTAAAAGTTCCATCCCATTTTCGGGTTTTGTAAGTTCCAAGGTTACAGCGCAGTCAGCCTAGAATTACACACTAGCCAAGAGGTGCCTAAGTAATTCTAGATCGGCCCTAATCTAGGTACAATACCCGGTACCTTAGGTAAGGTCCTAGACCAGGTACGGAAGGGAAAAGCGAACTAATGCATGCAACTAAACTGAATTTGCATCAAAGAAACAGAGCAGTCTTGAGATATTCATATAATAAGGATTTGGTCCTCTACTAGTAAGAACTACTTATACTTCTACTATCAGTGGACCGTGTACAATAATCTTACCTTTACATCAACAACTATTATAATGATTCTTCTTATATGACAGCCTAGGTACCTGGCAGGCTGTCTACCTCCCTTTTATTTTCTACATAGTAGATAAATACCTATATAGGTACCTAATACAGGCAGACAGGGACGTCGAACCACAGCGATGAGTTCTCTACCTAGGTACTTATCAAATATGTTGTCAACATCATCAGATAAAGCAGCCACTCGCAAACCCCCAATACAAGCTGCTCCGTTAGATGATAATCTATCCTTAGTGCTTCCTAGCCAACTTTGACCAACCTCGAATTCTCGCGCCGAAGAAGTATAGGACGTAGACTAATGCTACTAGGCCGAATGAGATGAAACCTAACGTCGCCATCGCCCACTTAGCACCCATGTTATGAAACATCACGATACCTAGATTTCCACATGTTAGATTATGGGGGAGTGAAACGCTTTTGAGTAGGATATACTTACCTATATGGCAACAAGCTGCCGCAATCAGAAAAGATGGTATCAAAAAAGCAGCTATTGCCGAGGCGGCGACATTGGTATATGAATCAGCAATGTAGTTCAGCATACTGAGCCACAGGAGCGGATCGCAAAATCCTAACAGACCACCTGCTATTACGGGTGACCAAAACGACACGCTTCCGTCACACGTAAAAGCGAACCACAGTAGAGATATCGGGAAACACCAGACGAATAGCAGCGACGTCAAGAATCTCGCCTCTGGACGACCAACACCGCCGTTTCTCAAACGGTCACGTTTGTAGAACCACGTTTGAACCGGTACAAACGCGAACATGATAGTCACGCTAACGACAAAATTCAGATATGTCAAGTCTGCCGACATATACCTAATCCTGTTAAGCTTGATATCCGCCTAGTTGAAAAATGTGAATTAGATACTTACGATAGCCCGTTATTAACCACGAAAACATCAAACACTCCATCCAGATATAAGTAGAGCATCCCATAAGCAAACCCATTATAGACACCCAAGAAAGTGACGATGGGTTCGGTCAGCATAATGCGAAAAGCCATCGAAGTTACAAATCGCATCTCTCGAAGGACGTCGATGTGCTCTTCCATCACAACTATTTCGGTTGGATCCGATGGGTTGTGCGCCTTGGCCGCGTTGGTAATGACTACCCGCGGTAGCGTTTCTGGGATAAAGCACATTACGATGGCAAAAGCACCAGCAATGATGACACTATCCGAAGTCAGAACGAAGTGTCTTCAAAACTTGCCTGTTGTGAAGCAAGTTGCCGTGCCCAAACTCACTTGATCCAAAATATCCACGGCAGTCCCAGGCGCTCGTTCTCAACAATCAGTTCTCCAATGGGTGAACCTATGCTTGGACCGTAATTCGCCGACATCACGAATAGCGCCATCGGCTGACCAGCTCCATCCATATCACCAAAGAGATCAGCAATAGTGCCAGCTACATTGGAGAGAGCCGTGCTTCCAGCAGCTCCGCAAAGAAACTGGAAGATGATGAGCATCGGTAAATTGCGCGCCAATGCTGTGCCAATGTTCAGGATCGCATAGACGCCAATGGAAACAACATAGATCCATTTTCGTCCTCCGATATCACTAAAAGAGCATTCAGTTTCCAGAAAAGGGACAGATTCCTTGAACCCGCAATGCTAAGGACACACATACGACAGAGGACCTAAAAATGCCGGTCCGACAGCTGTGCCGACGATGAACATGCTCTGGCCGAGAGCCACAGCTTGAGTAGATCCGCCATACTTCTCCTGGACAAGAAACTCGGCGCTGACGTAGGTGGTTGTTGAGAGGGTTATGAACGTCTGAAGCATGCAGTAGACGATGATGATAGGCCATTTCTTTAACGGACTCCAATGAATGGGATGAGATGCGCTACTGAAGTCAACCTTCTGGAGGGCAGAGAGTGCCACATCTGCACCCGAATTAGGGGTATGCGTTGTTGGCTGCTCAGCCTTCTCTTCCATTCTTCCTCGCGATAGCTATGTCAGCTCTGGGCTCTTTAGAAGTCGCCTTGCCTGGAGAAATCATGAAGAGATTTTGTCAACCAGCCGGAGGCTGAGAAGCCATGCGCTAGATTAAGTACCTAACATAGGTATATACCTAACACTAGCATTCGGCACATTCAGGGTGGCAGGGTGAATGTCAGCATCCTACAAATTCTACTGGGCCCTAACTAAATACCCTAAATTTCCTGAACACCAGGTTGAGATAATGAAGAGGCACCCGGAAACAAAAGGATCTACGGGACGTTCCCTGGCCCACCAAGTCGGGTCCAATCAGACGTCTCATATGCTTATCATTAGAATGGATCACCCTGCACAAATGCCAGATTTGTGTAGGGGTAACGGTTCGGAATTCGGGTTGAGGCGTTGAATGACGTCCGCGTTAAGAAAGCCAGACCAATAGTTAGTAGCTTAATTGGTCCAGTCGATTTTTCTCAGCATTTTATTCCCGTAGCTCGGATGGGTCGGACACGCCGGCGTAACAATGAAATACATAAAGGGCTAGACCGCGCGAAAAAAAAAAAAGATGAAGGAAAACTGCGTTATCGTAAGACGGTCGTTATGAAAACATTCGTGTAGGAGAGACCAGTTATACTAAGATGTCACTAATATCTACGATTAAACAAGACCGTCTAGGATCAGCTGTTGATGAGTAACATGCTCCCAACTTGACCCAGTTACTGAATGCGCCTTCAGCCCAACGCCTCAGACGATGTTTCACATCGCTCCACGGAAATTCACCATGGAGCCACCCGAAGCATTAGTGCCCAAATCTTAGCCTATCTCGGTACATATGGCGAAGTTGAGAAGTTGGGAAGTGCTAGATCTAGCTATTATCTTATCAACTGCAGCTCATGAGCTCAACGATTCACATCTGCCTTCTAAATGATTCTACCTCCCCTGAAACTCCGTGACGTGGGTATATGAGAGTAGACATAAACTCTAGGATCAAACTCCAATATAGAAGGCTTTAAATGTGAGATGCTGTGTGTCAGGAGCAAGTCTTTCGGAAGACCCATGGTCGGAATTGCAGATACAGGACCTTCTACTTCTCATTATATATCAGGTACCTAAACTATAGAGCTTGCAACAATACGGCATGAGTATTTGAAATATAGGGGGTGGGGCTAGTTACATAGTAGGCGTACCTAGATGGAAATACCTAAAGCACGTAATATCTCGTTTATTAAGGTTTGGAATTAAGCTTAACCAAACAAGCAAAACCGTAGAGATAAATATAGAGTTGAAGACCTTGGAAGCTAATACGTACTATAAATCCTCACATTTCTAAAAGCGTCAATTCCAGTCCGTTTCTTTGATTGTGATTGGATGAGTGTTATATATCTACCTGCTGGGATGAGTGAACTTGTTATAGTATTGCACTCATTAACAGTTGTAACTGTTGGAAAATACTGTTTGATAATACTTAGTATGTGTATTTTTATAGGTGTATCCTTCTACTGGTATAACTATCCAGGTATTTGAGTTGAAGAAACGGGTTGGTGTCCTTTAGGTATGGTTACACCAAACGCATTGTCATTGCTATTACTTCCCCCTTGCTTTCATGACTACCTCCTAAGTAAGTTAGTTTAGGTATGCCATCAGTTCTTTTGATTAACAGAATAGAAAGCTTCTCGTATGAACGCTTATGATAACAATGTTGTTTCGCTAATGATTTTCCTCGATTCCGTTTTTTTATCCTCTAACCCCTATACACCGTCAACACGTAGAGTGTGATCCAGAGAGCTGAGCAAACTAACACAGTCTCTCCACTTCAAATATAAGAATTCACTCCCGACTCGGACCTTCACCAATACCTGTGAAATAGAAATTATTTGATAGGTTTTCTTTTGCCGTCAAGATACTAAGTGCCCACCTGAGGTCAAAGCAAATTCGTGCCGATTGTCAAAATTGTAAATCATTGGCTCTTATAAAGAATCGACTCCGTAGAACGCAGGGAACCCCTGGGATCCCTCGACTCAAACGTGGAAACGCGATCATTCTAACCAAAGTTGTCCTTTTTCCAACGCCAGGCTTGGTAAATGCATATCCCGGTGATATCCCAAGATTCTCCGGCTACGAGAGTCCCAGGTACCTTGCCACATGGGCAGCAGCTTCGCCAGCCACCTCGCCAGCAGCTTCGTGTCCTCCTTCGGCGGTTGCTCCGTGTCCGGCAGCTTCGTGGGGGTTCGGATAGTAAAAGGCGGCGACGGCGATGGAAACGTAGACGATGATGCACAAAAAGCCCTCCAGATAGTCGCTCTTCTTATTCCTCAAAAAGTTTCCGACGGTGATGACAGCAAGTATCAGCATAACGATATCGAAGATCTCAAAGTTGAAATCCATCGGGAAGCCATAGCCCCATCCGACAATGATAACCAGCGGGGCGTTGAGCATGGCGGTCTGGATCGTGGCGCCTATGCAGTGGGATAGGGCGAAGTTGATCTGGTTGTCCCAGGCCTCGTCGATAGATGTTAAGTGCTCGGCGGCTTTCTCGACTAGAGGGACTAGGATCAAGCCCATGAAGGGGTCGGAAACGTGGCCTTGTTCCACAATGGGCGTGATTTCCTGGACTAACGCGATGGCGATGAATGTCACAAGAGTAACAGAGACGGCGAGCGCAATTACACATTCCGTAAATGTCAACTTGGCTTTCGCTCTGTCCTTGTGGCGATCTACATCTCGTTCCTCGTCATCTTCGAATATAGCGTCGTAGATACCATGGTGAGTGTGCATCTGGAAGAAGAGGAAGACAGCATAGGCGACAAGGAGGAGAACCGCAATGATGCGAGAGATTTCGATGACCCTACTATCGATCTCTTCGGCGGTGAGGTTATAGCCAGTACTGTTGATCGAGCGTTGGAAGACCGTGGGGATCGCTAAGCCAAGACCGCTAGAAGACGTTAGTAAGTATTTCTATAAATATGATTAGACGAGGGTTGGAAGCTGGGGCATAGGCGTACGCGATAAGTAAGAGATTCGAGCCAACTTCGCTGACTGCGCCGTCGAACGTGGCCTCTTCCCGTCGTAAACCAGCGGTAAAGAAACACAGGCCCAAACACAGCAGCATATTAGCCAATATAGATCCGAGAATAGCAGCTTGAATAACATAGTACTGGTTCCCGCGAAGCAAAACCATGAATAGAATGATCTCGACTATGGATCCGATAGTTGTCTCGACCAGAACACCAAGCATATGCGGTAGCTTCCTCGCCAGCTCCTGGCCAGCGAAGCCGATGAGGTTTGCACAGGGGACCATGGCGATGTACGCCAGACTAAACTTGAGGATATGATAGTCGTCAATCGAATGTTGGACGGCAATTGCAGCGGGTACAAATGGCCAGAGGATATTCACGGCCCTCGATATCCAGCTACTAGATCGCCAAATGATGGAGAGGAATTGGATGGGGTGTAAACCGCTTCGCCCCGATTCACCCGCCGACTTGATGCGTCGAAGGCCGCGTAGGCCGCCGCCAGATGGATTATCCATCGCGTCTTGTCTGGTCTTGGGGAGTGTCGATACTTGTTCGCTGGTTTGAGAGGGTCGTGTAACTTTTTCGTGACCCCCAGTTACACCTTCAACAACCGCCGTCGTCATCGCATAACCAACTTGGTAATATTTTCTACTTTAGTAACTACCGTTTAAAAGGGGGGAACCAGTCAGCAGAGAAAAGAATAAAAATAAAATAAAAAAAGAGAAAAGAAGAGACAATGGTGATAAATAATAGGATGCGCCGAGAGAAACAAGTAGTAATAAGCGGGAAAAAATAAGACAAGAAAAAATAAATAGAGCGTCTAAAATGCTTATGATTTCAATGCATCAGCCCCAGCGCAATGAAACAAACAGGAAGAGAGGAACCTCGCACTATGGATAGGTACCAATACGTTAGTTACCCCATAAACCAATTTCTAAATTCATTACACTTGGCGCGCCCTCTCTGGGCCTCTCTGCGTTGTCCGTTTGCCAAGAAAGATCTAAAATGAACGAATCGACGAACTGCTTCTGCTTGCTTACAGCCAATATTACCTCTTACAGCTACTCATAGCTACTCACAGCTACATGGTTACAGTTATTATATACCTAGCTAGATGGAGGTAGTTAGGAGGTAGGTAGTAACTTACCCCGTCCCTCCACCACCCATCATCCACCATTCACATCGTCAGGCCTCCCATGGCACGTGCTTTGTGATAGATTCCCAGGATCCACCTCTGAAACGGGGGGAGAGGGAGGTTGGCAGGGCCCTGCACTCACTGGAGTTTTAGCACGGTAGACGCGATGGTGGGGGCGTTGAGGAAGATTCGTCGAATAGGAGGCCTTGTTTCGTATAGAGAAATACACGATTCCGGTGTAAGTTGGCGCTGGCTGGTGTCAGAAAAAGACACTACATTACTTACCTAGGTACAAACTAAACATTAACCATCCCATTGAACCATATAATTTCGATGAGGGTTTATGTTTTGTTGAATACCTGGTAGTTAAGCACTTGAGAGGTAGTCAGGTAGCCAGGCTGGTTCTAAAGTCGGTGGGTTTTAATACCTAAGACATTGAATCAATTCCGATAGGCTCAAAGATATGAATATTCTCTCTTGCGGCGCCTATACTGTGTCGAGAAGGGCTATTAACGCAAGGGCAAAGCGTTTGTTTGCCCCTGATGTTGCTTGTGAGCTTTACGCACTTATAATCAACAACTCCTGCGTCAACGCATAGCAAGATGGAGGGGGATTGGGTTAATATATGTTGATGGCAAAAAAAGGCAGCCCTAAAAGATAGCGGGAGCTGGTTCATTTACCGACCTGTCAGCTTGTCTGTTGCTTCATCCGATCCATAAGCCAGGTCCATAGCAGACAGACCGTCATCATTCTTCGCAGCAGAGTCTGCTCCATATTGCAAAAGGAGCCTAACCGTGGGAGCGTTTCTTCTTTATACTGCAATCATTAATGGGGTAAAGCCAGACTGATCTTTAACATGTACTTCAGCGCCCCATCTTAGGAAAACTTATGTTAGGTAGTTTCAATATCATCCGCCCTGACAGTTTGGTGGAGAAGGGGTGGACTGTTTTCAGCAGTCAGCTCGGCGTTTTCACCGTGTTCTAGCAAGAGTTCTGCTACATCAGAAACCCCGACTCACTGCAAGCTGTAAGCTTGTCTTATCGTCGGCACCGTGCCCTACAACGGTAGCACCACGATCCAAGAGGATACGGGCTATACCAGAGTGTTTGTTTTGCACAGCTAATTGTAGCATCGTTACCTTCACTTCTGGATCCATCCCATGCGGAGACATTATCTCTCTAAACAATGAACGAAATGTATCCTCATCGCTGTCAGCTATTGCTGAAAAGAGTTGAGCAGAGTTGAGCAAAGTTAGCTTGAACCGACTTAGGCATTCCATCTGATGACAATGTGTTATCCATTGGATTCTATCCAGGTAGTCAGCTACGCCTCGAATATGTAAGTGGGTATGTCATACGTAAGGTAAGTGCCAGGATATCTCATAGTGTTTTGGCCTTGTCGATCATGGCACCGTTCTTCTCGTTCGTCTCAGTTTTCTGGCAGCACATTGCCTGTGCATGCGCCTCATTATTATTGAAAACATGAACATACGATACGATTGAGGTCCACGTTAGCTTAGCTGCTATGCTTCGTGGTTGGGCTGGATTTGGCTTCTTTGGCCTTGCTCTAACTAGGTTATACGTAATGATAGTTTCGATTAATATCCTGGCTGAACTTATAGATTAAGTATTAGTGTTACAACCTTATCTTTTCTCCCTTTACCTAATATACTCCTCTGAACCAGGCATAGTCACTGTGCGTAGGGTTACGCTATGATGGGGTGGTATTTGGCGAATAGGTTATATGGGTAATAATAACCACCCATCAAGACAGATTTCTAGGTGAATTAGCATTGGAAGAACACCCATGATAATCCAGGCAAAGTTTGAAGAGCTCAGGTTTGGTAGAACAACGTTAACTCAAGAGGCTGACGTTGCCATTGTCACCTATAAGCACATCACGGCACCGTCCGTGATACCAATATATATCTAGGTATCTATCGAGTAAGTTTAAGTACGAATGGAATTAGCTATTTAGAATTACCAGGTAGGCTACTTAATTTTCGGTTTGCTACGGCTGACACCTACCTAGATTGGCAGATATGTTGGCTTAGTCCGTGAAATTCCAATCCGTTTAACGCCCTTCCCAACTATTACCCAAGTATACGGTTACCTCTGTTGGAAGTTAGAGAGCAGAACCAATCCCATAAAGCTGAGTAATATGATAGTATATAAAACTACTTGTATCAAGCTTGTCGTAGGTCTAGTTCAACGTCCTCATTTATTGACGATGTAGTCTTCCAAGATCTCTCCAAGAACTGCCAGCCCCCGAGAACTCCGAACATCATGCTCGCCAGTATAGTAACGTTCGTGACCCGGTACCCCGAAGGCCAGAGCGAGTAAAACAGGAGGGACGCAAGGGACATCAGGACCCCGAGAGCAAGTAGGAGATAATAGAACGACGTGATCTTCCGCCGGACAGGTGTTGGGTCTTTCTTAGTCGACACGACGGTGAACAGCAGCGGAGACAGCATCGACGCGGCTACTTGGGCAACCATAATCGGGTGGCTATCGTCGTTCAAGGAGGGCAGAGCGTCCTCTGGTCGTCTGGGCATTATGCTGACCGAAAGCGTCGTCCATATTCCCATGAGGAAACTGAAGATAACAACGGCGAAGCGAACTATCGTTCTGCCGTCGGACATTGAGCATAGATGTGACAAGACGAATGCAATTGTGTCAGTGAGGTAGACCACAACTCGTTTATAGGTCGGCGGTGTCAACCCGTCGTTGGTATCCGATGAAGGACGATGAACCTGATGTAAGTCCGGCTCGGAAGGGCTAGCAGCAACACTAGTGATAGGTACCAATTCCTGTCGGGACTCTTGGGAGTTTATGGTAGGACCGTCCGTTTCGTGGGTCTGGTTGATTTCGGATTGATTTGAACCACTAGCCATAATGCGATTTTTTTTTTCAAGTAGGTACTGTTTCGTAGAAAGTGGAAATCATCGGATAGGTATCACAGGTTCAAGGGTATGATTTTGTAAAAGAGGACTTTCGGTTGAGATGAGCCTCTATACTAACAAGCTAGCATGGTGCTCAATATGGTGATAACTCGATATAGATGGATGGTATAAGAGGTACCTAAAGATGTTTTGTGTGGGAGGAGAGTCAGGAGAAAGTACGAAGTTATTTGTATTCTAAAGAAAACACACTCTCTACCGGTGGACTCGAATAAATGGAAGTGAGCCTGTAGCTAATCTATATTTATTGGATATCATGACATCCGCCTACCTGTGTTTTTAGCGGCTATTCAACCGAGGGCCGCCTTATATGGTAGACCACAAGAGCCCGACTTTTAAGAAAATCCTATACCAATACCTGAACTTACGAGGGATATTGTGTCAAAGGTTGAAAGATTATTAGGACTGGAAGTTCGTCGGTGCGTAACGCCATTGCATTTTTATTGGGTGTATCTTCCAGAATGGTGGGTTATACAGGATGTCCTTACTTTTGTTCCGAGCAGCGTTGCGCGCGCGAATTCGGAGGCACGTAATACGCGTAAAGTTTCGGGGCTAGTAAGCCCGGGCTATTGTGGTAGGTAGGTAGTTATTAGGTAGCTAATCCGACAGCCTCCTCTAGGCCAACTCGGCCCCGTTAGCCTGCACGTACATACCTCGGAGGTATAAATATTATAATCTTATGAGGTAAATCACTGATATCATAAATGTACATGGGATAATCACCTCCTCCTCTTTCCTCCACCTCCGCCCCCAGCTCCCTCTCCGTCGCCTTTCCTCTTCTTGCCCTCCTTGCGCCAGAACTCCTGCTTCTCCCTCCGCTCCCGGGCCTCCTTCTTCTCGTTCATCTCCTCCATCTTCTTCTTGAACTCGGCCCGCTTCTCCTCCTTCTTCGCCCGGCGCCGGGCCACCACGTCCTTGCGGATCGTCGTCAGCTTCTGCATCAGGTCGCGTGCCTTGCGCTCCTCGCCGCCCAGCACCACTGCCCGCTTCTGCATGTACGTCTTGCGCTTCTGCGGCTTCGTCTGCACGATCTGCGACTTGAACGGCAGCTCGGCCGCTAGGGCGCGCGGAACCTTGAGCGGGTTGAAGTGTCGCGTCGCTCGCTCGATCTGCCGGTACTTGCTGTTGTTGTCCTGCGGCGTTGCGATCCCCTGGTCCCGCCGTACCTCACCCGTCAACCGCATCGACTGCCAGTTGCCGAGGAGGTTGGTGACCGGGTTGTAGAACCGGTGCGGCTTGATGGGGTACCACGCGCGGAGGAATACCAGATCGCTGATCAGGATCTTGTCTTCGAAGGTGGCTCGGAAGTGCCCATCGGGCTTGGATAGAGCACGCTTGATCTGACCACGGATACCCGAAACGGTTTTGATCGCCGCGCCTTCAAACTTGGCTATTTCCAACGAGCTGTTGAACATATCCTTGATAAATGCTGTGTTCTTGAATATTTTGTATGGCGCACCAGTAAGTTTGAGCTTCTTCACAATCTCAGTCGACTCGTCAACAGACAAGACTGTCCCAGTGGCGGCAATCCGGAAGCCTGGGTTGGCAGATGAAAAGGACTGGAAACAGACAAAGCCTGTATTGGGCGCGATTAGAGGGCCGTAAAATGTACCGAAGCAGTGCATGTGTTCTGGCGTATATTTCAGCATACGATTCCTCGTGCGAGAATCCGAAATGCTATAGATTGGGAGTGTCTGGAATCTCCTCCATCCAAGAGAGAAAATGAGGGGGTCGTTGGTTTTGAGAATTTTCTTGTGCCAGCGGTGCCTCTTGATACGGCACTGGACAAAGCCAAATCGATCTTCTGTAGCAAGCACACCTCCGACTATGATAGGCATGCGAGCGTTGAAATTCGTAACAAACTCCGCAGGCACCTTTTCAATCAGAATCTTAGCATACTTGCCAGCCTTGAAACCCTCAACGGCGACTCTTTGCCGTTCGTCTAAAGCTTCAAACTCGGCATTATTGATGTCAAGTTGCTTTTGAATGAGTGCCTTTTGCGCATCATACCAATCGTCTTCACCGAACTCCTCTTCGTCTCCGCCTTCGCGCCTAGCTTGAGCTTTATCGTTTTTAAACCCTTCACGATCTTCCTCCTCAAATCGTAGCTTCAACTCTTCTTTTCTCCGAGCGTTCCTTTCGCGCTCTGCTTCTAGGCTCTCTGCTGGCTCGGGCGCTGGTTCGGCCTTGTGCTGGTCACCAGTCTCAAGATCTTCAAATTCACCGTCCCCCTCGTCGTCTTCATCTTCATCCCCATCCTCATTGTCGAACCCGTCAAACCCATCTTCGTCGTCCTCATCTCCGCCAAGCTTTGCTGTTGTGAAGCGTTGGCGAAGGTGCTCGATATTATCGTCGAGTGTCCATTTGGCAGCCAACTGATCATAATCGTACAAGGGTATCGCGCGGTCTTCTGAGCTTGCGTCTTCCGCATTTTTTGCCTTTTTAAAGAAATCTTCGTCCTCGGAATCTTCAATGTTTTCTTCCTCCTCTTCTGCATCGACTTCTCCTTTCCATCTCTTTAGCACCTCCTCAGCCGTCAAAGCCTCGTCATACATCAGGCGTGCGAGATCTGCCGTTCGGTAGGACGGACGACCGCCATGGCGAAGCAGTGCCTTTCCGGCCAAGTCATCCTTCCACCTGAGCGCAGATTCCTCTACGTCATCGTATTCGTCCTCCTCTTCATCCTCTTCATCGTCGTCTTCATCTTCCGGCTCATCGCCTGATATAGAGCCTAGATCTGAATCGCTGTCCGCAAATGCGATATCTTCTTCTTCGCCGTCCTTCTCTGACTGCTTGAACATTTTGCCCAGTTTTTGCTCATTAAACTCGGGCTCTTCATCCGAATTCAATTCTTCCTCTCCACTAACGAAGCCTTCGTCTTCGGACATCTCCTCTTCATCCTCATCTCGCGCGGCAAACCTGGCATTTCGTTGGCTTTTCCTTCCAGTATCTTCTTCCTCAGGGATACTGGTTATCTTCTCACCACCTCGGAAAAGTTGCAAGCCGTCTTCTGTCTGACCTAGCAGCCGCCTTTCTCCTTGAAGTCCGATGATAAGTTCTTCACCTTCGCCACGCTCCACATCCTCGGCATCTTTATCGAAATTAAACCCCTTTTCCCTAGTAATCCAGATGGCATCGCCGTCTATTTTTAGACCACTTCGATCTGACATGGGAGCATGAAGCTTCTTCTCCTTTTCGTCTAGTCGCTTCCGTCCAGTTTTGCCGGTCGCTTTCGCAATTGCCTGTTCCATAGCTGGCGTTGGACATGGGTCAGGTAGAGCTTCTATATTTGACACAGAGAAATCACCCAGACCAGGAATATGGACTTTTTGATGATGGCTCGAGAAATTGGTTCCTCGGAGGTATCCTGAGAGCACAATTGATCGATCGCAATGTTCGTCCTCTTCAACCTGAGTGGGGTGCGTGATATCTCGAAAGCTGTCTATGACAACGTAGGGGTGCGAATTCCTCCATATTAAAGGTCGAGGGTTTTTCATGACGGAAAGGAAACGAGAAAGATTGTGAATTTCGCGGTCGGGGTATCTTCCGTTAATAACACCAGATAGATAGAATAGATGTGCGCCCTGGTATAATTCACTCCACAACCTGTGTTTTAACCTCTTCTTCGCGTCTTTCAGGGCCTGTGGTTTTTTGAATAAGTCTAGATGAGTTAGAATACCGAAGACATTTCCGGGCATACCCGTTGCGGCTAGGATATTTAAGAATTCCATAGTCTCCATTTCGAAGCCAAAGTTTCCGTCAATCATTAGGAGGACGATGTCGGCAACTTTAGCTATATCGACCATCGCTTCGAGCTCATTGGGACATTCGATGAATGTTAACCGTTGCTTCTTCGATGTGACCACGGTAATGGGCCCCTGGGGGTCTGAGATCGTCTCCTTTGCATATCTGCGAATGAGCGACTTTAACAACGTCGTCTTTCCAACGCCAGGTGGTCCAACAATTGTTACGAGTCTCGGCGGCGGCTCCTCAGGTAACCTATCGACGAGAGGAACGTGAAGTCGCTTTTCTTTGATCTAATATAGCAACATTAGTCATAGCACGGATGAATTAAATTCACGTGGATTGTGCATACATCATGAGATCGAGCAGCAGCTCGTTGTAGTTTACCGGGTCTCGAGAAGGCGAAGGCCTTGGGATTGTGATCTGGTCCTGTCAGTAGAGTTACAATAATAATAATTGGGGTTATACTAACCTCCAGTTGGCTTCTTCTTCTCTTTCGATTTGCGATGGGGTTTGTGCGCCTGTTGTTCCATGATTGCGACTTTGCGACGGTTGAACGCAACAACTCGGCTTGCTGGAAGATTGAGTAGCGATCCACGTCCTTCGCATTGAAGAAAAAAAAATGTTTAGATGATCAATTAAATTCTTTATCGATAGCGATAAGAGTATCTGAAATCAGGATCTACCATGTACATAAGCAGTCTAGATTTATCTAAGGTGATATAAAGCGGGGCAAACTTCAGGGTACCCTCGGTACCTCTTTGGGAGGTTATCGGCGGCTTAAGGTTTAACATTCCAATCAGCACCACGGGATAATTACAGCTTTCTAGAACCTTTAAATCCAGACATCAAGGTATCACATGAACGGGTTCGTATGTTAATATAAATAGATTTATGCAGTGCTTCGAACTTTAAGCAAGTTAACCTATAAAAGGTGAATTAATTACTTAGGACTTAGAAGTGTAACGAGGAATGGTCCTATTCCGTAATTCAGCTAATTATTTGCTCGATGTACCTATGTGTAAGTAGATCAATAGCCTTTTTTAAGGTGCAAAGGTGCAATAGGATGAGTCAAATCCCAGCTGAGAGCCAAGAAAACATAGCTGGCTTGGTTACGTACATCTAACATATCAGAACCTTTTCTACTATGTACAGGTGATTCGAATGCGCGCTAAAGCAGTAGGTACGTACCTAGGTAGTCAAATGATACATAGTAGACGAACGGGAAGTTTGCTCTAAAGGTTAGGCCGCGATGACGTATTCACCCTCCTACTTGTCGAAAGCCTCCTACGCGTATTCAGTCCTACATATGCCACTAATCTCAACTGTGATGGGCTTTAAAAGAGGTACCCATACCGATATTCTAATAAATTCCCGCCCATGCACTCCTTTACTTCTATCCGTCTTGCCCAACTCTTTGTTTTGCAACACCAATACCTATACCACTTTGCAAGAAGCAACCATTATAAACTACCTCTACCTACCACACGCTTATTCTGCGCAAGTACCCCTCTCAAGATGCCTACCTACATTGTAATTATTACCTTCTATTTCTGGGCCCACTAGGAAGGATATCATTGCTCACGGTTAAATAGGTTACCCTGAAGGACACTGCTTCCCCCGAGGAAGTGGCCGCTGCGAAGAAGCACGCTCAGGACCAGGGCGGCAAGATCGGCCACGAATACAGTCTCATCAAGGCTTTCTCGTATGCCGTTCTCTAGCATTGATATTTTAATCTTCTATATTTTTTTTATAATTTTCAGACAACTAATTTACTTGATATAGTGTCACGTTCCCCAATGATGCTATCACCACACTCGAGTCCAACGAGCATGTTAAGGCTGTCGAGCTGGACCAGGAGGTGAGGACGCAATAGTTGTTGTGTACCTACCTAGGATCTAAGGAGGTAATTGAGGGGCAATTGGGTTTTAGAGCCGTGGCGTGAGCGAGCGAGCAATCTGATGCGGGGCTTTCGAAACTAGGTACTTAGGTACATAACCTAATGCCGCTTAAGTAACAGCTATAAAGCTTGACTTATCAACTTGGCTTAATGCAAGATTCGAGAGGATACCTAACCTATCTTTATGTTCTACCAATCTTTTCTAGCAACGTCTCATTTAAATATGTCCCATTTATGATTATCATGATTGTATTGTATTTAGGTCTTTAATTTGGTACCATCTTGCACAATGTGCATGCAGCTCGGGATAAAGGTATCTGGTGTACCTAAGGCATTGCAAGATCAATAAGTGGAAACGCCCCCCCTTTCTCTCCCCCCTGAAAAGGTACGTACCTGTAAAGAAAGACCTTCGGCGTCGGCCGTAGCAGATAAGGACCTCTTATCAATTTCAGTTCTCAAGCAACTGACGTCGATGTTTAATTATTTTCGTCTTCAAACCCTGGTTATGACTCCAACTTTCAACATACGATTAATTCTTCTTCTTCTTCTTTTCTCCTGCTCACCGCTCCACCACCACACAATGCCGCCATGAGCAGCATATATAGGCCTTTGCGGTGTTTTTACCCACACAAGGCCTTCTTGATTGCGACTCGCAGACGAAACGTCCTTGGATCGTGCTTTTATTCGTCACATCCTACTGGTACCTCGTCGTCCTCACCCTCGCCGTCGCCGTCGCCATCGAACGATGAGAAGTGGTCCCACCCCCCAAGCACAGCGACTGTGACAGACGATGAAATTGCAGACCTCACCAACAAGAAACAACACCCGTTGAGTCTTGCTGATTTGGTCAAGTATGTAACTGTTTTTTTTCTCTTGGTCTATCCAAGGTCTATCCAAGGGACACGTAGCTAATGGAAGCCAATTCAACAGACATGGCTGGCCACCTCTTTCGGCAGAAGCTCTTTTCTCGTCAGCTAATTTCACCCTCTCCCTGCTGCCTATACGGCTGGCCCATCGCATCCAGGCACTGCGAAATCTACCATTTATCGTAGTCTCGAACCCCAACATTAGCAAGATCTACAATAACTACTTGCACTCATTATCGACTCTACTACCTTGGAAGCACCGCACCATCAACAACCTAGATGGCGAGATCCTCTTCACTTCGGTTCTAGCTGAGCTAGTCCACACGCACCAAGATACCATCCCTATCCTAGCCAAGGGATTTCTCGAGTGTCGGCAGTGTATCTCTTCCCAGGAAGTCACCCGTTTTCTGGATACTCACCTGCGCACCCGTATCGGCACCCGCCTCATCGCCGAGCAGCACATCGCCTTGCACTACAGCAGTCTCCCGCACTTCGACCCTTCCGCTTCGCCGACCCCCTGCCCGGAGCACCCCTCGTACATCGGTGTTATCGACACCGCGCTCTCGCCCTCCGCAGTCGTGGACTCGTGCGCCGGCTTCGTAGCCGACATCTGCGAGCTGAAGTACGGCGTGCGGCCGCACTGGGTCATCGACGGCGAGCCCTCGACCAGGTTCGCCTTCGTGCCCATGCACCTCGAGTACATCGTGACGGAGCTGCTCAAGAACGCGTTCCGCGCTACCGTCGAGAGCGGCCGCAACCGCGAGCCCGTCGTCATCACCATCGCCCCCGAACCCCCCGACGCCGGCCCGCCCCGCGTCACCCTCGACCCACCCGCCGGCGACAAGGGCGCCTTCAAGAGCGACGCCATCAAGCCCCTCGACGGCAACGCCCCGGGCGTTACCATCCGCATCCGCGACCGCGGCGGCGGTATCGCCCCCGACATCTTGCCGAATATTTGGAGTTATAGCTTCACTACCTTTATGGAGGAAGACGAGATCCCAGGCAGTAGTGGCAGCAGCAGCAGCGGGAACGGCTGTGGTGCTAGCAACGACGCGTTGAGCGTGATTTCCGCGTCTGGGGGCAGCGGGAGCTCTATTGCCGGCTTGGGCTACGGATTACCGCTTAGCCGCGCGTACGCGGAGTACTTCGGCGGCGGGATAGCCGTGCAGAGCTTGTACGGCTGGGGCACCGACGTTTACTTGCGGCTGAAAGGCGTCGGCAAGATTGATCATATAAGTCCGTGAGAGAGAGAGAGAGAGAGACGTTAGTTTTACGACGGGTTAGGGTATAGAAAATAAAGCTCATGTTAATCCCCAATGCCAATGATTATTATCATATTCGGATCCTTTTCCTTTTCCCCCGAGCAGAGAGCGCCGGGTGCCGGGTGTATGATGAATGTAATAGAGAAACAGACTGATGGGGGGTATATAGGAAGTTTAAAATTGCCATTATCTACCTAGGTGTCTAGTGTATTTGTGTACTTGAGGCATTCTGCTGTCGCTGCACTCGTGTTGTTACCGCGCATTTACACGTGTACGATCTTAATCACCTCGCCTTCTGGCGACATCTTTCGTTACACATTCAAGGATACTATAGTACCTACCTACCTGGGGCTGGGATCAACCAATACCCGGGTTTTAGCAACTGCCCGGTTCTCCTACCACATCAACACAGCTTGCACACGGCGCGCATAGTAAGAACGCCCTGTCCTGAGGTCACATCACGTATCTAGAACGATATTCCCCCTCGTAGTTGTGCGTAGGCGGCTAGTTCAAACCACTAGAATAACTGTCAGGTAGTCTGGCACATACGCACATGTCATGTTCATCGTCACATAGAACCAAGATCTGTCTATTAAATTTGATTATTACCTAGTAGCAATGCCCGATATGCGCAAGAGAAAGCCGTGCAGATGTATGTACCTAGGTACCTGTAACGATGTATAACGACGATATGATATGATATGATATGCAGCAATGTAAAAACAAGATACCCGCAAACTGCTCCCGTTCATCTAGAACTAGTTAAGACGTAGCAAATAGGGGGAGGAGGGACGTAAGTGCAAGCAATATACCCTGGAATCCGATCCACTAACCACCACTAACCGACATTATGAATTCCTATCATTTTCTTCTTCTCTTCTTCTGCGTGGATAAATAGTATGTGGCTTCATCTGCTCTTCTTTTGTTTAAAAAAACGCCGGCAAGGACAATATTCATTTAGGATGATCCGGCTCCGTGCCTCCCAGAACCACCAGCATCACGTCAAATACAACCAACCTGAGTTGCTTGCTATATGTACATCTAGATTAATTCGTCCTATATCTGCTCCGATCCATTATAGATAAAAGAAATAACGTGGCTACATGTTAGCCAATTCGTTGTCGATCTGGCGATCAAGGAATGTCTTCCGTTCGCCTATTAACTCCGTCTGCAGTCTTTGTTCAACAAGAGCCCTGACCTGTTTCTTGGTTACCGTGTCTAAGTCGACTTCTCGGAGGACCGCTTGGATCGCCTCTATAATTATGCCATCGTCGGGCCCTAGGTGACCTCGTTGGAAGTCAAATGATGCAGTTGACTGATGACCCTGGCCTAATGGTGGGCGAGCACCCCCTGAATAACCCAGTGTGGCGTTGGACATACGGTGCATCTCGAGTTGTGGAGAGTTGTTCGATACAGCACGCAAATTGTTCATGCTGGGCCTTTGTGTAGGGAAGTCTTGGAAAGGCGATTGCATATGCTGCATGTCGCCAAACGATGCAGTAGACTGTCGGTACATGGGGTTATCGTTGTAGGGGCCAAGGGTAGACTGGCGAGCCATATTCTGGAATGGAGCCGGAGATTGGGGTGGCATGAATCCACCACGACCTTGGAGACCAGTAAGGACTGAGGGTTGTCGAACCGAAGAATAGACTGATTTCATGTCGTCCATTTCATATGTGTCATCGTAGTACTCATGGGCTTTTTCATTTTGTGCGCCACGGCGGCCGGGTAGATTATTCAACGTGGCATAATCATCCCAGCGCTGCAATGGAATGGAACGCGGGTCGAAGCCCTCGTCATCGACTGCCACTATTTGCTTGTTACCCTTTTCACCGATGACAATACGCGTGTTACCCCAGCTGAAGTTGTCTTGGTTCCAGAAAGAGTAGAGGGGTAAGACGAAGGAGTAGATGGGGAATGCGAGAAGGTAGATGATCATCCAACCCACGTGTTGCCATTGTCGCTTAAGAATAAAGATTAAAGCCTGAAGACCGTAGATACCAGCTAGCATGGCGATTGAAACGATTGGGAATGGACCAGTGTGGGAGATGATAAGGTAGAGGAGGTAACCAATATAAACGCAAGTGGCCGGTAAAATGAGTGTTCCAGTGAGGTCAATGAAGACAACAAAGCGCATGGAGAAACAGCAGAAACCGCACATGTCCCGAAGCATCATTAACTCAACAAGGTTATGAATAGTAGAGTTAATCCATCTTCGTCTTTGTGAAAGTAAGACGCTCCATTTCTCAGGAGCTGCCGTCTGACAGTATGCATCAGGGATGAATTTAAATGACATGCGTGGGAAGTGCTTCGTCATCAGCGTTGTGAGGTATCGATCTTCTCCAAGCGACAGAAGATTCTTCTTGTGGAGAGTGTCGACGGTACAGATGCTGTAATCCTTAATCACTCCATCAGAAATAATCAAAGGTCGGCCTCGGTCAGCAGTGCGTAGACGGTACATTGTGAAACTGTATGCCAACTTAGTATATCATGAAATAAAATGAAGTCGACATGAAGAAACTTACCATCCGGGCAAACAAGTAACACTACCAAAAAGCGATTCGAAAGCCTTTGACAAGTGGTGGGAGATGTAGTATTCGTAGACTTGAATCATGCTCCACCAAGAACGTTCCTCGTTTTGGAGACCAGTCTCTCCGCAAATACCAGCGATCTTTGAATTGTTGGCACAGGCCGCGACAAGACGATTGAGGGAATCTTCTCGCACGCAAGTATCAGCATCAACCATCAATAGGTACTCATACAGTTCAGGATCGACACCAATGATGTTATTGATTTGATGGAACATTTCTAGTTCCAGAGGGTTCATCGGAGCCCGGTGGTGGACGCGGTTCAAGAAGCTCATCAGCAAGATTTGGGAGTCACGCTTGCCACGGTTACCAGGCTTCGCCTTAGACTGTTCGGATTCTTTGCCCACTTTGACGACAACGAGGTATGGAACCACATTGCCTTCATATTCGTAGAGACCAGAATAGACTTTGCCGTAATTGAGTTGTTCACTACCAGTACCAACAGATTTGAAGGGCAGAGCTGGAGGGTCGACCTTGGGGTCAACTCCTAGGATGTCAAGAACGATCTTGGGCGTAGGTCGATCGTTACCTTCACCGACAATAACACCATCGCAGATAACACATATCAGCTTCCTCTTGTTATCATATTGCAACGCCGTGAGGGAATCAAGTGCCTTTCTTAGCGAATCTTCTCCTTCCGTATAAGCTGGAACCTGACAAATGACAAACTTGTCTTGTGGGGCTGGACGTCGTTTGGATCCAAACTGCAAAGCTGCAAAGAACTTGGTCGCAGTAACAATGCAGATCATGATAGCGAAAGCTAGAAGGATGTAGTTATTGGCTTGACATTGAGCCGAATTACGGAAGTCGGGTATGCCGACGTAGAAGGTTTCCTTGATACAATTGAGACTGTTCAGTTTCGAGGCAAGCGCTGTCTTATTCCCCTTAGCGTTGTCGATTTGGTTGGCCCATAAGCTTGTGACATCCTGTCCCGGGTTATCCCTGATCGTATCTATCATATCTGCGTCCAGGAAGTTGTATTGAGCGAGGTTCTTATAGTAATCAATGGTGTTGAAATAGTCGGTCAGGTCGTAAATTCCACCTTCATAGATGATCCACATGTGGTTGTTGTTTCTGCCGTCATCATAGACCTCCGTGAGATCCCAGACTAGGTCGCCATGGTAATACTCCTTGATCTTTGGTTGGAAGGTATCACGGTACCAGGTAGCGGACCTTAGCGCGGTTGTCTGATCCGGCTGGTAATACCCAGACGTATGCACACCTTGGGGTATAGTGGGCGTGTTGTTTCTTTGTAACTGTATAGTTTCAGAGATACCGAGGCCGGGGCATGTAAGCGGAAGCGGAGCCACAAAATAATCGTCCAAGTTCATTCCCGCGAATTGCATCATGAGATCGTTCGTTGTCTCGATATTCGAGTCGCTATGCTGCCGTCGCCAAAAATCGCTAATATCGTAGACTCTGCCATGAATACTGACCCAGAAATCATCTCCGCCTTGATGATTGTCAACTTCTTTCTGGAGCCAGGCCTTGTCAAAGTTGGGGCAGATGATCCGACCCAACAAGATGATCCAGAAAATAATAAACACGTTCATCAGAAGTATGAGAAAGACCAAGACGAACTTTTCACGCCAGGCCATGCGAACATCGGGACGCTTCATCCGACCAATATAACGAAGGGCAAAGGAAGGAATCCAAAAGGTGAGACACCAGACAAAACCGACCCAAATTCGTCGAGTGAGGGTTGTATCTACAGTTTCCACGTGTTTACCTTGAGCATCAAGAGGGTCAAGATTGTTGATGAAGTCGCCGTCGGCGGTGTAGTATACTTGGTCGCGATGATTGTCACCTTTTGACCCTAAGCCATAATCGCCATTGCCACCAGCACGCTTAGCGGAGGGTGCAATCGAAGCAGCTCTCATTTGACTCTGCGCAAGCGTAAGTCGACTCTGGTTACGCTGGTGGTTAACAAGCTGGTCCTGGCTACCGTTGGAATAATGATCGGCAATATTCGGTGGGAAAAATCCGCTGCCATTGTTAGAATAGCCGGTCTCGAGGCCAGGCGTGTTGAACACATTGCTCATACCACCAGGCATCGAAGCTTGTGGTGGCCTGAGGTCGAGCATGCTCTCAGCTTCCCACCACGCAGTTTCCCTCATCCATACGCGTTCTTTACCAATAACCACTTCGCCGTTGCTCCAACCCCTCTCAAGAATCCAGGTCTCAATACCCTCCCGGCCTTCTCCGCAGCCGAGGGGAGCGAAACGCTGGTAAAACTCATGCAGATCAAAGTCTGCCGTAAAATCAAGATTCTTATTGCGACGATTAGCCCACTCAGGCAATCTCCAAGCACGTAGCTGGCGAGATACGGTGCCAGCAGACCAGGCAGACGTGATGGAAGGAAGTGCAGCTAGGCTGGCGGGGGTTTCGTCAGTAGGGTGAAGGGATAAATGATACCAAACACGGCTCGCACTTAGGACACCTGGGAGGTCTAGCCGTGCATTTCGACCCAGGTTAATCCCTTGTCCAGAAACAGGGAAAAGTAACTTCTTCAGGAACCCATCGTCATCACTAGCGAAGCCAGCCTTCTCCAGAATTTCTTCTCGCTTCTCAAGCTCGTGTTGTCTTGTCTTAGCGATGGGACCGGTTGTGATACCCAGGTCAGGTGCAACATCGGCAACACTGCTTTGCATTTCTCGGATGACTGAACTGCCAGCAGGAACAACATCCAGTCCATCTTCTTTCATTTCAGCGTTGATTCCTGTAGTATCATCGAAAATACCACGCATTGCAATGGCCTTGCCCAGATTGGGATCCGGAATTTCTACGACAGTTATGCAGACGGTATCCCCATTATCTTCTGCTGACGTCGGTGTTCTGTGGCCGTCTAATGACTCCTGACCATCCCTAATACGGGACATCTGGAGCCCAATGGCCTCATTTGCCTTAGTTATAACCCAATCGACGAGGGCCTCATACAATCCTCCCACCAATACGCGTCTATCGTCAGTTGTGCATTGCCGGGCTAACACTTCTGGGTCAAGACCCAGTAGTCCACCAACATCCTCGCAAACGTCTTCCAGGACATCGTCATCAACATTATAGTCAAGGGTATTTCCAAGTTTCAAAAGCCCAGCAAGGGTCGAGATGAAGTTTCGGTGAGCTGATCCCTTAATACCAATTTCTTTAAGGGCAGTACGGAAGTCATCGGCGGCAGCACCGTCATCGGCGGTCGGAAGATAAGACGGGGGGCTATAAGTACCAGACTTGGCTAATAAAGAATAAGTAGAGGCTGACTTGAGACCCAAGAATTCTCGTTCAGCCGGAGTCGATGCTGAAGTTAAAAGATAGTAGAAAACGTCAAATGCACGATAGCCAGCTTCAGCGGGTATATCAAGGAGACCTTTCACTGTATCGATACCGCCCTGAGATAGCGCCAAGCTAGCTGCAGTTAAGTTTCCAGCTAGATTTAGCGTCAGGGTTACTGCAAGGGCAGATTGCCGCGGCGTTGATGGGTTATAGGGAGTTACACAGCGTATAAAGGGCTTGATTACTTCTAAGGCAGTTAAAAGAGAAGAGGGGATGGCAAGAGGTAAGGACGTGAGGAACGGGCTAAGTAGTGAGGGGGTTGATTGATGGAGAGACCTAAATGCCTAGAATGAGCAACAATTTCATGCCGAATAAGGGGGATGGATATACGAGCTAACACTACGTACCCTAAAACAATGCAGCCGTCTTCTGCGCGTCGTCTAGCATGTTCCCACGCTCTGGCAGCCAGGTCGCGGTCTACAGTCCCTCCGGTCTTGCCGTCTAATCCTGCTTGAGTAGCAGTAAGCCATGTATTAACGACGAGGCTTGTTCCGGCATCGAGTCTATAGGGTTGTGATGACATATAGATATTATGAATGCTGTTCAGAAGAGTAGTCGTCGAGACCTGGGATGATTGCTGGCCGGCGCCTCGTGATCCTCCCATTGCTTCGGAAGCAACCGAGTATATGGACATCCGTGCTTGGTGATTAGCCATGTTGAACTCGATTAAATCGTGTTGTCCGGATGGACAACAACGACAGGCTTTACAATCCGGAATAAACTGATCGAGGTCAGAGGACACAGATATAAACGACGGGTTCGAATTAAAGCAAGTCCTTCCGCTCGTGTATTAGACTAGAGGTAAGGCACTGAAAGCTCGGTAGGTGACTGATGGGTTCGACGGGGAGAGAGCGAATGTATGTCGAATAGGTCCGTGATAATAGAGTATCGGGGAAAAAACAAGGGAAAGGAAAGGGTTCGCTTCGCAAGAGACTGGATAGCGAATGGCATAGATTACCTCTCCCGTTTCCCGGATACTATAATGCAATTACGTACGGTTTATAAGCGATAGTAATTAGTAGAAGCGATAGACTATCGTATCACCAAAGCGAGTGAGGTGACAGAAAGTAGGTACTGAAAACAAGAGAAGCGACGACAAAGTTGAGTCTGTCTTGCAACAAGAGACCAGTAAAACGAGCAGATAGTGTAGGATAATCCTCCCCCTACTGTTCGAAGCTAGAGGAAAATAATGGGCAGATCGGGGTAACCGTGCAAGAGTACTTAATACAGTGCGAATTAATGTTAATGCCTTGGTAAGAGATCAAAAACGATCTAGCGTGTATCTAAATTTTGCTTCCCCCCTGGAGAGGCTCTTTAGAAGCCGCAGGTGGTCTAGATATACGAAGTACCTAGGTACAATACCTAGTCGGCTAGTCTAGTGATACGGGTACCGTATGTACCTAAACTAGCGTATACAATACTTCTATGTAGATACCTTTTTTTTCATCGAGGCGCGCTGATCCTTCTCTCTTTTTACCGTCTCCTAACAACTGGGAGAACTGGGAAGAACTAGGAGAACCCCTGTCTTCTCCCACAGTGACTCTGCGCTCCCAATTCCCTATTTTTGTCCACACTTCCACAAGGATTTCATCCGGGAATTCACACGCGATCATCACTAATTGATCGCTGATCGATTGCGGACAACGATGGGATTTGGGGAAGACATTGACGTGGCCAGCAGCGGGCAAATCAAATTGCAAGTAATTTCTTGATTGCTAATGGCATGATACATTGGCATGGGATGATTCTGGTTTTACGCGACTACCTACCGCCTAGGTAGCCCTGCTGCCCTGCTGCCCTGCTGCCCTGCTGCCCTGCGAGCCCTGTGTGTGTTTGGACCGCTGGTGAGGATGGGCGGGGCCGAAATACGAAGCGGCCAAATGGGGACGACAGGACTCGGCAAGTCGATAGCCTTCTGGAATCCGTTTGTACCACTTTTTATTGGGTGCCTTTGTCTCATTCCTCAATCACCACAGCCACAAGCATAATGCACATACCACACTAATACGAGAGCAACCTTCTGTCATCATTTTCCATCTTTGGCTCAACTAGCAGAGGTCTCGTTCGTGTTGAATGCTCGGTCAACTTATCAAGATCTACCTCATAAGAATTAGAATACGATTAACGAGTACAAACTACCATCGTACAATAGGTTAGGTACAATGCGAAGAACTGGTAGGAATAGTTGAGCAGCAAGGACCGGTGGATGTTAACACAATCTTCGGCTCGCAAATAACCTTATTATTATACCAGCAAAAGCTTGTTAGCAGGATATTGTCTTCTCTGGTATTCAACTCCATTCTTAATTCTTTGCATTTGTTGCCGCACGTCAGTCGCCGACAAGCTTTAAGAGCAAATTGCCCCCCTAGATTTGCATTAGTTATTCCCTATACCCCGGGGGGTATCTACCCTACTTGATGTATATACCTAGTATATGCCACAATATGGTTTTTTACTGCACATTTCGGTCTGATCTACAACCCCCTCTTAGCTCGTCGGGGAAAGGAATGCAATAGCCAACTCCTATCCAAATTACCCACTCCATCTACCAACGTTTCTCTCGTCAGCTACCTCGAGTTCGAAAGTTTCCTAGCACCAAAAAATCGAATCAGCTGTGACCCGAAAACATGGTTCGTGTCTCTCGTCTCTTGCGTCTCTCTTCGTTTGAAGGGTAAACTACGGCGGATGACATCAAGTGGACGGACCGGTCGCCATTGGTCGTCCTTCAGGGATTGTTGATAAATATGCGACAACCCACGTTCCTGCTACTATGTAAAAAAACAGCCCTGTACAAAGAATACATGAATCCCCGATGCGCATATGCGTGTGTCACGATGCAGGGCGTTCTTGGTTAACATAGTTGTCTGGTCACTCCGATCAATAACAAGCTGTCAAACCTATCACACGCCATGGTTCATATATATTATAAACAGAGGCGTCGATTTAACTTGGACCGGCTGGTCAATGTGGACAGCAGTACGTAAATTTTGTTGATTCTATCCAGGATGGCCAAGACACGCGGCTACATAGTATGGAAATAAGTACAAAATGCTGCTGGTGCTGCGCCATAATCCCGTTGATATCACTACCACACGCACCAATCAGCGTACATTTTGTTTCAATCCAAAGTGTAGCGTATTTTTAAAGCCGATATAACAAACTACTAACATCGCGTAGTTTCTCAGCCCTGGAGCAATGCTGTCATTCATTCTAGGATATGTCCCAGGAAAATTGCAAGCAGGTAGCCGACGGGCAAATAAGTCTAATGTATTGGAGCTTTGGGCATTGGAACTCTTTCGGATTTTCGTACCCTGCCTCCACTTCCCCCGTACAAATGCTACTCTGCTACCTACCTAAGATACGTATGGATCAGATCCCCGATCTAACACTGTTATGCTAGGAAACGTCCATCTTGAGTGCTTCGACCTGGCTTTGATTTATACCGATTTTGACAGGGAAAGCAAAGATCAAAAAGATATCCATGATATAAGAGGTAACAGCCTATAGGGTAATCATCATGCATACAAGACCAGCCGAGACCGTAATGGAGACCATCCCCGTCTGTTGCGCTCGACATGCAGGTATCCAAGAAAATTCCGCGCGGTTCGATCGATATTTCGAGAGACCAGCCAGAAAACAGTTAAACGTGCTAACACGAGACGTTGGAATAAATTACTGTGTATTATACGGAGTACATGTCGTAGATCTGCCCTTCACCTGCATTTACGGAATTAGGTAAGAGGTGTACCTAGGTACCTTTGTCGATGGGATGAATGCTTGGACGAATTGGACGACGAAATACTTTCTTAGCGTGTCAGCGGGTCACAGCGCACCTCCCTAAGACTTCGTATGGTTTGGTCTGGTCTTGCACCCGCGCCTCGGGAATCCCTGTACTTATGCAAACTAACAGGTGGTAAGCAAAGCACCGAAAAGCCGTGCACTGTACAGTAGGTACCTGAATTAGTAGCATTAGTTGTACAGAAAATAAACTGCCCAAGGGCAAGAAGCTGGTCCTTAACCCAAGTCCCCTTTCATCTGATCCGTTCACCCAAGAATCAACGTCGGAGAGAGCCTCAGTTTTTGGCTTTCCCTTGTTCCCCGTCTGTTTCCTTTCGCTTTTTATTTTTTGTCACTACGCTCGTTTCTGTATGCTACTATGCACTCGTTACCCGTAACTCGGATTCTTGCCGGAGACAAATTCTAACTAATTATTGCTTCATCGATCTAAAGCCGGCAAAAAAACAGGAGGGAACCCTTTTTGTTTTATCCTCGTTCGCACTCGCGAACATTGGTGGATTATCAATTCTCAATCTCGAACAACATATCTCACCTGGATATCCTCAGAGCGTCAAAGTGACGCTTAATAACTCCTTTTGAGTAGCCATCTCGTTGATAGGCGCCATCTCTTGGCCCTTCATCCAACTAACATGGCTCTCAACCTCCCATCTATGGGTGGGAGCGGAGGTGCTCATACCCAGCCCTCCTTGCCTTCCTTACCTGCCCATCTCCAGTCCGATACTCACTTGACAGCACACCTTGCCAGTCGTTTTCACGTCTCCATTCCCACGGCTCGCTTGTCCTCACATGCCCTCATCTCCCTTAACACTTATACCACGTCGACTAAGGGTCTTGATGGAGGTAAAGAAGGAAGCGCCATGGCTGGCGCCGAGGATATGGCCGACAGGGCCTTCCTTAGATTAGGACATCGTACCGAAAACCAAGCGATATTATTCCTGTATGTCAACCCGACGAAAGCACTAAAGCATTCGATGAGGGTTAGCTAACAATAAACGTGTAGAGGCGAATCTGGCTCCGGAAAAACCACCATTCGATCCCATCTTTTAACCTCGCTCTTAAACAAGTCCTCCACGCCCCTATCCGGCAAGATCTCACTGGCTGCTTATGTCTTTGATACCCTCACAACCACTAAGACGGCAACGACACCGACAGCTTCTAAGGCTGGTCTTTTCTACGAGCTCCAATATGATACCGCCTCAACCACCAACCCCCTTTTAATTGGTGGCAAGCTATTAGACCATCGTCTAGAGAGAAGTCGAATTACCGATGTGCCCACGGGAGAGCGTAATTTCCACGTGCTGTATTATCTTCTTGCCGGAACGAGCGAAGCCGAAAAGACTCATCTTGGTATTGACACTCCTAGGGATGCAGCCGGGCATAGACGCTGGAAATATCTTGGTCACCCCACGCAGCTCAAAGTAGGAATTAATGATGCCGAAGGGTTCCAGCTCTTCAAGACGGCTCTACGAAAACTAGAATTTCCCAGGGGTGAAATTGCCGAGATCTGCCAAATCTTAGCATGTATCTTGCATATCGGGCAGCTAGAGTTCGAGACGACTGCAAATACCACCGCTACTGGAGACGACAGTGGTGGTTTCTCTCATGAAGGTGGCCAGACTATAACCGCTGCACGAAACAAGGATGTGTTGGGTATTATTGCGGCCTTCCTGGGGGTTAGCTCGCAAGATCTCCAAAACACTATGGGATACAAGACCAAGATGATCCATCGCGAACGCGTAACGGTTATGTTAGATCCTAAGGGTGCTCGTGCCAATGCCGATGAATTGGCTAGGACTTTATATTCTCTTTTGGTTGCTTTTGTTATTGAGACTATCAACCAGAAGATATGCGCTCCTGAAGAGTCGATCGCCAACACAATCAATATCATTGATTTCCCCGGCTTTTCTCAGCAGTCTTCGACTGGGTCGGCCCTTGATCAGCTCCTCAACAACGCCGCAGTCGAGTCACTTTACAACCTAACCCTTCAAAACTTTTTCGACCGTAAGGCAGATATGCTGGACACTGAAGAGGTTGTGGTCCCAGCCACGAGCTATTTCGACAACTCAGATGCTGTGAAGGGCCTTCTTAAGCCTGGGAATGGTTTGCTCAGCATCCTAGACGATCAAACTCGGCGACACCGCACGGATATGCAACTTCTGGAAAGCTTGAGAAGGCGATTCGAGGGTAAGAACCCAGCGATCAGCGTGGGCTCCGCGACAGCTAGGCTTCCTGGAAGCAACTTCCTTTCAGAGAATACGGCAGCAACTTTCACAGTCAAACATTTTGCTGGCGAAGTTGACTACCCAATCAAAGGATTAGTTGAGGAGAATGGCGAAGTCATATCTAGCGACGTAATGAACTTGATCAAGTCAAGTAAAAGTGAGTTCGTTACCCGCCTTTTCGGCCAAGAGGCTCTCCACACGGTTATGCATCCCCAAGAGAAGACAACTGTTATGCAAGCGTCAGTCAGCTCCAAGCCAATGCGTGCCCCGAGTGTTATGTCGAGGAAGGCGACGCGAAATATGGGATCTCGGAGACCACGCCGGCAGGAATCTCCCGAAGATTTCATTGGCGAAGTTGGAGATCATAAAGGAGATTCCGGAAAGATCAGCATGCAACACTCTGAGCAAGGAGCATCTGGCCAATTCTTATCTTCTCTCGAAAATGTAAAACAAGCAATCACGGCTCCAAACACCAATGTCTATTTCGTATTTTGCCTCAAGCCCAACGATAGGCGAATTGCGAACCAATTTGACAGCAAATGTGTCCGCATGCAAGTGCAGACGTTTGGTATCGTCGAAATCAGCCAGCGTCTAAGATCGGCGGACTTCAGTTTGTTCTTGCCTTTCGGCGAGTTCCTAGGTCTTGCTGATGCCGAGACGATACTTGTTGGTAGCGAGCGCGAGAAAGTCGAAGCCGTCGTTCAAAATAAGCAGTGGCCCGGTAACGAAGTCCAGGTTGGTTCTACAGGTGTGTTCCTCAGTGAACGCTGCTGGTTAGAGATTGCGCAATTAGGCGACGGCTCCTCAGCCATGAATCGGTACACATCTGACCCTGGGGATGGATCAAGCCCTGAGGACTTGCCATTTGATGCCTCGAAAGAGGGGTTAGTGGCCAATCAGCCATATACTGATAAACCTCGCGGCGGATACTTCGGTAGTGGGGATTTAGATACCCGTTCTGAAGCTGGCGCGTCTGCCTTCGGTGCTGGTGATATGTTTAAGAATTTGGATACCAGAGAACAGATGGCTGAGCGTGGAAATGAGAAATCGCTCGTGGAGGTCGAAGAGTACAAGGACAGTCCCAGTCGGAAACGATGGGTCTTCCTTGTCATGTTCTTAACCTGGTTCGTGCCCGACTTCCTCATCCGCTGGATGGGTCGGATGCCTCGTAAGGATGTTCGGCAAGCCTGGCGTGAAAAGCTGGCTATCAACATGATGATCTGGTTCAGTTGTTTGGTTGCCGCTTTTTTTATTATACTCTTCCCTCAGCTTGTTTGTCCGAAACAGTACGTTTACAGCTCCGAAGAACTTTCTTCCTACAATGGCAAAGACGGGGCCGAGTCTTACGCAGCTATTCGTGGCCAAGTTTTTGATATCGGCAGTTATGCTCCAAGCCACTACCCCCCATATCTCCCTTCCAAATCCTTGACGCAGTATGCGGGACTTGATATCACAGCTTTGTTCCCCATCCAGGTTTCTGCTCTTTGCCGAGGCAAGGATGGTACAGTCAATCCTGCGGTGACACTAGACTATAAGTCGACAAACATCACCGGTTCAGCAAATGTCATCAATAGTCAAGATTTGAACGCTCATTATCATGATTTCCGATCCTTCACCTCTTTGCCTCAGCCTTTCTGGTTCTACGAAAAGATGCAAAAGATGAAGCCGTGGAAGAAGGGTACGATTGGGTACTCTCCAGAGTATGTTGCAACTCTCGGCAGTAAACAAAATTCAATTGCCATACTCAATGGCCGCGTGTACGACCTGACAAAGTATCTTGTGGGTGGTCGCCACGTCGTCGTTAGAGAAGGCGAAGACCTTCCAACTGATCCTACGATTGTGGATTTCATGGACGACCAAGTTGTCGATCTCTTCCAGCAAATGAAAGGTACCGATGTGACCAAGCAATGGAACTCCCTTGAGATCGATGCAGGCCTCCGCAGCCGCATGCAACTATGTCTCGACAATCTCTTCTACGTGGGCGATGTTGATACGCGAAACTCCGTCAGGTGCCAATTCGCCAACTACCTTGTTCTCGCCGTCTCTATCCTACTTTGCGCCATCATCGGCTTCAAGTTTCTCGCCGCTCTCCAGTTCGGAGGCAAAAATATGCCGGAGAATCTGGATAAATTCATCATGTGCCAGATTCCCGCATATACAGAAGACGAGGAGTCCCTACGTCGTGCCATTGACTCGGCGGCTCGTATGCGATACGATGACAAACGTAAATTACTTGTCGTTATTTGTGACGGTATGATTATTGGTCAGGGTAATGACAGGCCAACTCCTCGGATCGTTCTCGATATTCTCGGTGTTTCCGAAACAGTCGATCCCGAACCGCTTAGCTTCGAATCTCTTGGTGAAGGTCTCAAGCAGCATAACATGGGCAAAGTATACTCTGGTCTCTACGAGGTACAAGGCCACATTGTTCCCTTCTTAGTTGTCGTCAAAGTTGGCAAGCCGTCAGAGGTTTCTCGTCCCGGTAACCGTGGTAAGCGAGATTCGCAAATGGTCATCATGCGTTTCCTAAACCGCGTCCATTATAACCTCCCCATGAGCCCCCTGGAGCTTGAGATGTATCATCAAATCCGGAACATCATTGGTGTCAACCCTACATTCTACGAATTTATGCTTCAGATCGATGCCGATACAGTAGTCGCTCCCGATTCAGCAACGCGTATGGTTTCTTCATTCCTCGACGACACGCGATTAATCGCTGTCTGTGGCGAAACAGCTCTAACCAACGCAAAGTCATCATTCATCACTATGATCCAGGTCTACGAATACTACATTTCGCATAATTTGATTAAGGCTTTTGAAAGTCTGTTCGGAAGTGTAACCTGCTTGCCCGGCTGTTTCTCTATGTACCGCATCCGAGCAGCAGAAACAGGCAAGCCACTTTTTGTCAGTCGCGAGGTCGTCGAAGATTACGCAACAATTCGTGTCGATACCCTGCACATGAAGAACTTGCTTCACCTAGGTGAGGATCGTTATCTGACTACCCTACTTCTTAAGTATCACTCGAAATATAAGACCAAGTACATTTTCAGCGCTCATGCATGGACCATCGCACCGGACTCTTGGCAAGTCTTCCTGTCACAGCGTCGTCGTTGGATCAACTCGACAGTGCATAACTTGGTGGAACTCATTCCCATGGCACAGCTTTGCGGTTTCTGCTGCTTCAGTATGCGGTTCATCGTGTTTGTCGACCTGTTGTCAACAGTAGTCCAGCCTGTGGTTATAGCATACATCGTATACCTCGTCGTTCTAGTAACGACTTCGAAGAGTGTTATACCGATAACGGCCTTCATCATGCTTGGCGCGATATACGGTTTACAGGCAATTATCTTTATCGTGCGACGCAAGTGGGAAATGATCGGTTGGATGCTTATGTACATAGTAGCTGTACCGGTCTTCTCCTTCGGTCTGCCATTATATGCCTTCTGGCATATGGATGACTTCAACTGGGGTAACACCCGTGTCGTCGCCGGAGAAAAGGGCAAGAAGATTGTTGTCACGGACGAGGGCAAGTTTGACCCTGCTTCGATCCCACGGAAGAGGTGGGAAGAGTACCAGGCCGAGCTGTGGGACGCTCAAACCAGCCGAGGGGACGACGTACACTCCGAAGTCAGTGGGTACAGTTATGCCACCAAGCAGGGATTGAACGTTCCTGCAGCCGAGTATTACACGCCGTCTCGACCTGGTTCCACCACTGGCATGGTCCCTCCGTACGACTTGAAGAACCCTAACTATCTTAGTCGTATGTCGTTTGCCCCGACCGAAAACCGATTGAGTCAATTTGGCGGCTCGCAGTTGTTCCCGGGCACTCAGATGCAAGATGTAGAGATGTCCAACCTAGCCGGCATGCCAAGTGATGATGCGCTGCTTGCGGAAATACGTGACATCTTACGCACGGCAGATCTCATGACTGTAACTAAGAAGGGCGTTAAGCAAGAGTTAGAGAGACGGTTTGGTGTTCCTCTTGATTCCAAGCGATTATACATCAACAGTGGTATGTATCCCAATTATCCCGCCCACTGGTACAACGTGAATGCTAACGTACTACAGCAACCGAGGCCTTGTTGACTGGTCAATTATAGAGACTGGTCAATCTATGATCCGAAATTATGGATTCTATCTACCTCTGTCATATTTTGCACATATTTGAATGGCCATGTTTCCACTATTTATATAATACTATTGCATCGCATATTTGTTAAGGAGGAGTAACTTGTCACAGGCCAGACATGGGTTGGACAGGAAATTCATCGGAGGCTGGGGAGTTAACAAAAGTAGAATAAGTAAATCACTCTTGGCTAATAGCTAAGTGGAAGCGGTGCCCGATATTGATACGTACCTAACGCGATAATAATGGGAATAATATTGTTTAACTACCAGTTTCATGTCATTTTTATAAATATCTAATGTAGCAAAAGAGATTGGAGTCTTGGGACTTCAAATTGTAATGACTTAATAAGGATGTGCCTCGTCGCGGACCTCCACTATCTTTGCTGAGTTCCAATGGTAGGGACATCAAGAAACAACTTGAGCGTGACCACTCACTACTCCATACCTAATCAGCCCAAGTACAGCCCCTAGGAGTATGGCAGCTGGTGGCGCAACGCCAAAATAACGTCCTCCAACATAGGCGGTTGCAGTGACAACCACCCACCAAGGATCATCACCAAGACTTTTTCCAGACTGGAAACCTTCATCAATGTAGCCCACCTGCCAGATCCTATAAACTGCCGTGTATATCAATCCAACGGCACCAGCGTTAATACCTCTTACCCCTGATTTCACCCAGCGCTTGCTACGCAACACTCTCCAGATTCCCATTGTACCGTGTACCAAAGCAATGCCAGGGAGAAAAATACCACAAAAAGCGATAACTGCTCCGGCGATAGAAGGGTACCCCTGGTTAATAGCCGTTAAGCCACCAAGGAATACGGCGAAGTTGAAATTCGGACCCGGAAAGGCCTGCGCAATAGCAAGGCCTATGAGAAAATCACGAGGACTAACCCAACCCTCCGCGACAACGTATTCCCTCAAAAGCGGGATTACAACCGGTCCGCCGCCGAATATAATGGTACCGGCGAGATAAAGGTTTGCGAATAGTCTATATAGAACAGGCAAATCCGACAAAGCCCCTCGGAGTACCATGACGCCGATGAACGTAACGAAGAAGGCTGATATTATAGCACTTCCGGATTTCCATGAAAATTCAAGAAAATATCCCGGTGGAATAATACGTGGCTCGTCATCTTGTATTCTATTTCCGTCTTGATTGTCAAGGGATACGCCGGGGCTTTCTGCTTCTCTCAAGTTGCTTTCGCCATGATTCGCATTCCCCCTTATATTCAACAGGATATCCTTTATAACCAGCCAAAATCGGTGCGGCCAACGGTAGTCATATATGACAGCAGTGCATGCGGAAGCAAGCATAAGAACTGGGAAGTACCACAGCGCGTTGTATAGCATTCCTGCTACAGCGGTTAGGAAGACAATTATCCTAGTAAGCTTATCCGTGATCGCTTTGTTAGAGAGCTCAACAGCAGCCAAAGCTATAATGCCCACTGTGGCGGCGTTCAAGCCCGAGAGTAAAGCGTATACCGCACGAGGGAGAGCTTCTCCGATATTAGATACGCCAATAGAAAGGCCAAACATGCCTAACGCTCCGGGTAGACTGTTACTGTTGATTAATACATGCCTCGTAGGCGTTGATGCCTTAGGTAGGAGGTAGATATAGGTAAATGCCGTGAGTTTTAAGCTTACCTCCAGATGAAAAAAGCAAGAACGCCTCCAAGTAATCCATCCTGAAGTAAATTTACGCAGTAGAGCATCTTCGTACTCGCGGGACCGGAGAGAGCTTGACAGATGCTGAAAAGTTCCTGATACTAGGATATGATGCTGTTAACCTAGGTACCTAATCCTCGCAGCTTATGTGGCGGGGATAGGAGGTATGTATTATTCAACACAAGCAAGACTTACCACCTGTTCGTCGATCCAAGTAAGCTTTGACACGAACTTATCGTGAAACTATATAGGCAGGTAATAACGATTAGACTGGCTCTGCCGTTTTCAAGTTAGGAGAGTTCCAAGAGCATACAATCCTAAAATGGACGGGAGGTCCGCCAAATGAGGTGAATCCGAGATGCCAATTCACTTTCAACGTCTTCCATGCTCGACGTGCAACTGTCCATCCCGCCTCTTCCCAAGAATTAGATATCATTTTGGTTATGACACAATCGTGTTGTCTCGTTACCGCTACTGGAGTATGAATCGAATTAGGGAAGAGTGGTACATGGAGAAAATACCTAAGGTAAGAAACAAAAAATAATGAAGTGTCATACGGCAAAATACCGGATTGGATGATACAAGGGGCTTGGTATTTTTGCTCTTTAGGGAAAGGTGTAGTTAGCTTCAGTTGATCACTTACAAGAGGCTTAATCGCGAGTAGCCAAGCCGAGTTAGCTTGCATCACGATATTAGGTAGATTTTATGTTTCGTGCTGGCGCCTCGAGCGATCTTTTCCCTACGAGATGGAATTCTTCCGCCCTTCATCTCGGGAACCCGCCTAGAAATGTAGGCTCCCGTGCGCTTTTGACCTATATAGAAGCCATACAACTCAAAGCCGCATGGAATGATGAGGACGACGACATATCATCGATTAGGTACTCCGGCAGCCGACTGCTTGGACATGCTCATTTGCTCTTTTCGCGAAGACTTCCACGCTGCAAAAGCAGGCAAGAGACGTATCAGTTACGCTAACAAACGGCTCGCAGGACATGAAAGCACCACGATTAGGGTAATGGACGATGAAATGGATTTTACGAATGACTTAGGCAGCCTTGTATTCTAAAATAGGTGTAAACAGCTTGCTGGGAGGTAGTCACGTCGTTTGTGTACGTCGACCAGTTGAGTATTCTCATAGCTGTAGCTGATGGAATTATGACATGAAAACTACCTAAAACGGGCTTTGAATGTCTAGAAGGGTCTATGATTCCGGATAGACGCAGAAGTTCCTGGGCATATGCACTTTCATTATTAACCCAGTGAGGGGTCCCGTGAAATCTGCAGGTACCTAGGGGATATCTTATAAAGCAAGCTCCAGACTTGCAGGTTTCTTCTCCTATGGAACATATTATTACTAGGTGGAGAAAGATCACCTTCGACACTCTCATCTTCATAGTTGCTGTTTTGGAAGTAATTGTATCATTTGTATGATGAAACTCTCTACTGCCGTGTATAACGCCGCTGTTGTGCTTCGACATGCTACATTTGTCATCGGTGCGAAACTCTTGGCTGGCGGGACTATTGTTGCATTCGACGATGAGACCCAGCAACTCCGGGTGATCCGTGAAGGGTCACTCCTCATCGAAGGGGACAGTATCTCATCTGTTTCTGATAGCATAGTGCCTGACACTATTCCAATAGGTGTCGAAGTAATAAACTGTACCGGAAACATTATCACCCCCGGCTTCGTTGATACGCACCGTCACGGGTGGCAGACTGTTTTCAAGACACTTGGCTCCAATACAACATTAGCCGAGTATTTGAAACGATACAGCGCAAGCGTAGCTCAGCCTCTGTTCACTCCCGACGATGTGTACATCAGCCAGCTAGCAGGTATCTATGAGGCCCTTAACGCTGGAGTGACTACAATACTTGATCATGCTCACCACACCTGGACCCGCGAGCATGCCATCGCAGGGTTGAATGCCTCCATGGACAGTGGTGGTCGGGTCTTCTTCGCCTATACGTTCCAAAATTCCCCAGATTTCAGCATTCAAGACCAGATTATGCATTGGCATGAATTGGCTTCAACAGTCCCGAGCGGCCTCACTACACTCGGGATAGCGTACGATGGTTGGATAGGAGATCCGCAAGATCCAGACACTGCCGCGGTAGTCAAGCTTGCCTTGTATGATGCCACCTCCTAGTTAATCCCCGGGATAACTTTGGCTAACTGATATATAATAGAGAGAGTAAAGTTGAAGCCCTTACAACCCACGATGTGGAAGGGCCTTGGTCATGTGCGTACCATAGATACCTTTCTTTCTTTCTTTTTTTTTTTCGTGATGAAGCATACGTGCTGACTCGTTCATCAGCGTCTAATAACCCTGAACTTCTCCACTGGCTGGGAATACTTAATTCGAGCATACCTATCGTGATATCTCACGCTTCGCAAATTAGTGCCCGCGGCGCCGAGCTTCTGCGGCAGACAAACCAGCATATATCGATTACCCCGGAAAGCGAAATGCACTATGGTCATCTTCATCCGACGAGCCATTTAATCTTGGACCAAGCCTCTCTGGGAGTAGATACGCATTTCACCTTCTCAACGGACATCTTGACGCAAGCACGCCTTTGGCTACAAAGCACCCGATCCCGTTTATATAAGGCCGCGATTGACAACTGGCAGATACCTGCTAACAGTCCCATGTCCGTGAACCAGGCCTTCCTGCTAGCCACCAGGAACGGCGGTCTAGCGCTCGAACGACCCGATTTAGGTGTGATTACACCCGACACCAAGGCCGATATTCTCATATGGGACGCGCGTTCCCCCGGGATGCTGGGATGGGTCGATCCGATTTCCGCCGTGATCCTGCACGCGAACGTAGGGGACATCAAAGACGTGATAGTGGGCGGCGAGTTCAAGAAGCGCGACGGGAAACTCGTCGTTGAGGACTACGCCGGGATACAAGACAGGTTCCTACAGAGCGCCAGGCGCATACAGGCCAAATTGAAGGACATTCCCTTACCAGTACCCGAAGGCCGCTTCATGGGCGGGTACCCGTACGCGCCGGTCTTGGAAGTTGACGTGCAGCGTGGTGAAGGAACTGGGTATGGCCCGATCTATGTTTGACAGCCGTCCAAACTACCAACCTGAGCTACATTAAGCTAGCCAGGTGTATTATACCTATGGCTTACAAGAAAAGCGTTTTCTTGCTCTGGGTAAGCCTTCAATTACGACACAGGGAATAGACGATATAGACCGTATATAGGAGAAAACTCGCGCAAATAAATAATATCAATTAATCCGTACACCGCTCGTCGAAGCATCATGCCAGATTAGGTTAAACGTCATCGGCTATTTGGTTGACATGATCAAGAAATTGAAGAGGCTCTAAAGGGCTCTCGTTCCGTTCAGTTGGCGGCATGAACCGGGGTGAAGCGGCACAATCATTCCACCGGTTTCCCTCGCCCAAGGATACATCTCACAGAAACGCTTAGTGTATTACAAGGTATAAGTGAGTTTTTTAATCCGAGGATAATGTCGGGTTAAAACAGTATTTCGAACAAGTTCGGGCAAACACTTTTATCCGATATGTTAGATATATAATATAAGAGCTACTTCGTTTATTAAGAGGTCTAATGTAACCACTTTACATCACACGCGACGTGTGAAGGGCAGAAGCAATAATACGAATTAACTACCTAGCCTACCTAACCTAATGCCACAGAAAAAGACTATCCTGATCACCGGCTGCTCTGATGGCGGTCTGGGCTCGGCACTCGCTTCTGCCTTTCACGAGGCCGGATGGCGCGTTTTCGCGTCGGCTCGCAACCCGTCCAAACTAAAGAATGCCCAAGCCGCTGGTATTGAAACCATACAGCTCGATGTTCTGTCCGACGAGTCGGTCGCGGACGCCGTTGCCAAGATTAAGGAGCTCACTGGCGGCACGCTCGACGCCCTCTTCAACAACGCCGGCGCCGGATACTCTCTACCCCTAATGGACTTGGACATCAAGAAAACCCATGAGCTATTCGAGTTGAACGTATTCTCATTAATCAGGGTAACACGGGCTTTTCTCCCACTCCTAATCAAGTCGCACGGCATGGTGGTCAACAACACATCGGTTGCGTCGCAATTAACTGGCGGGGTCCCTTTCCAAGGTGCCTATAATGCGTCCAAGGCGGCTGCCACGAGTATGACCGACGTGCTGCGGCTGGAGCTGGCGCCTTTCGGAGTGAGAGTGATTAACCTGCTAACCGGCTCCGTGCAAACGAATTTCTTCGAAAACGCACCCACCCCGGTTCTACCCCCTAACTCGCTATATAACGTGGCCAAGAAAGCCATCGAGGAAGCCATGATAGGCGCCAGCATGAGCGGCGCCAGCGACCCCAACCAGTGGGCAAGGCAGGTCGTTAAGGACCTTACCCGATCGAGCCCGGCCCATTGGATATGGCGCGGTAAATTTGCGACGCAAGTGCGGATTACTTCGTGGTTCCCCGTCGGGTACTTCGATGGCCCCCTCAAGCAATTATCGAATTTAAATATCCTGGAGCAGAAGATTAAAGAACAAGGAGGGCCGGAGAAGATCAAGGTGACATGACACGACACTCACGGGGGTCTTTATAGTTGGGTTGACGAGTTTTAGGGGTATGAGGCATGAGGACGGATTGGGATATGAGGTCCATTAAGATAGGTGCCCGTATATAAAAGGCGCGCTGCTCCCTCGAAGCACTTTCGAGGGGTAAGCGCTAATAGGTAAATGATCAAAAAGCCAATAGGTATCTTTACCGTGGTCGGCATGGGCAATCCCCCCGCCCCATGTCAGCTTTGTAGATCATCGCCTCTCATAATTTACGTCATATTCGTCATGTACCCTGGCCTAGGGGCGGCTGAGTACCTAGCACACACGATGGAAGAGGCTTTGGCTCGATTAATTGCGATATTAGTTGTATAATACCATCCAATTCATCCGATGGTCTTACAGGCCCGCAAAATGTGAGCATAAAATAAGAACGACCGATCTTTACAACTTAGGTACAGGTCAATTTCATTCTGCTGTCATAAATTGAGCCTTTGGATTTACCTAATGCCTCCAAGATGTGGTGGCTCTTATCAAAAGACGTATTCCAAGCTTGGATGTTCGAGCTTAACCTCTTAGCATTGCAGGCCCTCGTCCCCTATAACAATAGAAATAACAGCAGCCCGATCCGACATATTAGAACACTCACAGCAGTTTATTTCAATGCCGTGTATATTCACATCCTCAAGAAACAAGCTGTACAACATGCTTCAGACCCCGAAACGAACGGGCCCGTATGGCGTACCATATACGCTTGCCTCTTCAGTATGTTTGTATGTGCCTTTAGGACTACATATAACCACTTCACTCAGACGACTGCTTCTTTGAAGCCATCGCATGTCGACTTGTTGAACTGCCATATTAAAACTGAAACCCGCCAATTGGTTCCCGTTTACAGGGTATCATATCCGGCTTTTCGATTTCTCGATACTTTAGGCCGTTCTTTTCAAGAAATACTACATCCACCTGCTCCATCAAGACCTCCACCTTTGGTTCAAGACGGAAGAATCAATATATCTGGCTCCTTTGGACGGTCCATACTGGGCCCTATATTACGCTTTCCTTCAGCTTTTCCAGCTGTATCTAAATTTATCCGGGCCAACAACGTGGGCATTGTGAACGTCCTGCTCTTCGTACATCAGAATTTCTTCAATAAAAACACAAACGAATATCTATTTCTAGTTCTGATACATCTTACTTTTCGTTTTCAGGATGTAGGTCCCGAATTCCTCTGGTCTCTTATTTATCACGATGCATTAGAAGTGGACGGTACGTACTACGAAGTGCGATCTACAACTCTGTTCTCTCCTAGACTTGAAGTTCGAATAAAGCCTATAAAGGGGTCGTCAATAGAGAAATATAAGCGAGATCGTCAAGAATTAGGTTATACATTCTACAATCAGGATGAGATTGAAGCTAAGGGTACGGTTTCAACATTCTCGTTCTCACGCTCTGCCTAGTATCCTAAATACAAGTATTGACTTTGTGAACAGCGCGCCATCTGGCCAGAATCGTACCCAATTACGACCACCTAACCTACAATTGTCAGGCATTTGTGCAGAACTTATTCCGTCGTATCGTGGCCCATGAGCTACCACCCAGGGGCAAGAAACGCCCTCGGCAGAGGACATTGCATGGCTATCACAACCAACGGGGTAATATCCTACTCCTCCTGGCTATATACGCGAGACACTTCCTACCTTCTTTAAAGTATATTCTCTGGCTTCCGTGGCTCAACTACTGGTACGAATTCATCATCTTCGCGACCTGCTCCTGGCACGGGAAGCCTGCCAGCAACAGAGTCGCGCTCTTTCAACTCTTGGCTTCTTTCGCATTCATGTACGTATTTGACTGGCATACGATCCCAGATCATGCGAGCAAGATCTTTCCACACTACGACCCAAAGATCGTGGCTGGCAAGACAGACGCGAATCTGCTATTCTCGTGGTTTGGATGGATGTCGAGTCTGGACCTTTACCTCGGAATCTTAGCAATGCCCATTGCCTGCGTCAACGTTCTCGTCAAACTTTACTTTTACGACCAGCATTGCGATAATGGACTTCCGAGGATCATGAGTACTCCTTGGCATGACGGATTTGGCTTTGAAGGGATGGAAATCGAGGTTGAGCATTTTGCGTCAGACAAGCCCGTCAAAGGCTACTATATTACACCACCGGGCCTTATACCAAAGCTCGACCATGCGCAAATAGAAGCCGCTGCCAAAGGTACGGGCTTTGACAAAAGCGCAGCTGCGAGGATTCATAAGGGATTCCACAAATTGGCGGAGATATATATTGGAGTTTGAACACATCGACAACGTAATGAAGCACAATGCCCTGAGTTTGCGAAGGGTTATTGTCACCAACTTGTTCTAAGTACCTAGAATACGCAAGCCTATCCTTGGCTCACGCCTAACTACGAGGAGATCATGATCGGCCTGACAACAAATTGGGATAAGGTAGTGCTAGGCTCTGACCGACCGTTAATAGTTCCTGATATCATCGAGAATAAAGAACGAATCGTAAACGCCCTGATAAAGCATTTTGCCACCAAAACCCCCAAGTTCCTCTGCGTGGTACACGGCGACCTACACACCGGCAATACTTGCACCGGCCCAAATATTTGGTTGTTCCCTAAACACGTATATAAGAACGTCAAGAGGCAAAACAAGTTGATGTGACGAACCTATACTTAGGTGCAAAGTATAGTCGCTGCTTCTAGGGGTCTTGATTTTAGATGACAGTATTGGTAGTGATCGAGTGGCAACATAGTTCTATGGGTTGGTCAGAGAGGCGTGGAATCCTCTCACTAGTCGTGATGAATAGTCTTAGATTGATAGCTAGGGGACAGTAATGAACAACTAGATACATGACCGGGTGGTTCTTATATCCTTCCTCCTGCTCCGGCCGTTGATAATCCTTTCCCGGAGCTCCGGATGGCTTCAACTCGAGCTTATTCTTTCATGAGAGGTGAGTTTTGTACTATCATGTTATCCTACCAAGATAAATTATACCTGATGGGGATATGGTAAACATACGGATGATATTGCTAATCAGTCGCAAAGGTATAACAGGTACCGTATAATATTTGATATCTCATCGACAAGCGTCGGGGGTTCCACTTTAATACCCCTTTTCACGATCTGGATTCATTAAGTCACCAAGACAAGCTGACAAGTCACACGTAAGAAGGACATATTTTTGTTAGTATAGAGTCACTGCTCTCATTGCGTATATAGGAGGTACCTAACCTTAGGTACCTGGTATGTAACGTTCTTCCTTTGGAAAGAACAGAGAAGAATGGTAATTACAAGGTTGTGCCCTTAAGCTGGACACTCCATGATCTAATTACATACTATGAATGTATGCATGCATAATATCGAGTAGGTATGAAAGATGTATCATGACGCTCGACACAGCCGTCCGTCCGGCTGAGCAGTCCATCTATCACTACCAACCGCCGTCGGCCCGTAGAACAAGCTGTCGGGATCATATTTGTCCTTGATGGATAGCAGTTTTGCGTAGTTAGTGCGATAGAAATTGTTTTTCCAGTCAGGATCCCGAAAATCCGCTTCGTTGAGGTACGTCCCTCCGCCAGGCGTCAGGGCCTCGAGTCGCGGCATTATGGTGTTGGTCATTTTGGTCTGCAGCGCAACGTTGGCCTGAAAATCGTAGGTGTCGTAGGCCCTATGAAGAAGAAGAGAAAAAAGAAGAAGGGGTGTTAGTTTAGGCTTTAATAACTGAAGGATACCCGGAAAGAATGACACCAGCGTTATCTAGGCATGTTCGAGGGAGAGACTTACAGGCCGATGACTAGGTTCAAGATAGCAGTGCGCCAGACGGGGTTTACAGAATTCTGAATACCGGTGCTTGGAAAGCCCGACACATCAAAGGAGTTTCCGGATATGACTCTGCCTTGCGAGGCAAATGAAGTTTAACGCGTCCAGAAGCTCTGCTGCCGAAGAATTTGTCTCGAGCAATGACTTTGGAATCAACTGCCCACCAATGTTGTATTCGGTAATGTTACAAAAAGGGAACATTCCGGTATATGCTTCCAGGAAAGTGTTGTACTGGCGAATCTCGTAGTCTACCTCATATCAGGTATAAGTAAGTACAAGCACAAATAGTATCGGCCAGATAGATGTGAGACTGCTTACCATAGGGAATGCCATTGCTATCCAAGAAGGAAATCGTAGGCTCGAAAAGAGTCTGAAGTTGGTCCTTATCGAGGTTAGGACCGACAACAGGTACCAGCGAAAACACCCCGGTTGCCAACAACCAGGTACTCCAAGCGCCCGCCTCTGCTAGGCTAGGATGCGTCAGGAGAAAAGCGTGCACGGCGCTGTTGAAGAGGTCCGCAGTGACGTTCGCGCCTGTAGTGAAACTCAAGCTCGCAGCAGAGACTTTTGTAAGACGATGCGCCCTTACCGTCATCGAAAGAATCGCTGCATAGGTGCCTCCGCCGCCGCCCGACAGTGCCCAGTACAAGTCGCTATTTTGCGTCGGACTAGCAATAAGGTGACGGCCCGCGGCCGTGACAACTTCTCACTCGAGAACCTGATCTGTTCCAAGCCTGAAGACAGAGTTCAAAGGGCCGTGGTCGGCTCCCTGCGAATAGCCACCGGCAAGACCCACCGTGTCGCAAGCGCCCCCGACGACAGCAACCCCGGCTTCGTCGGCGGCTCGGTAAGCCTCGAGAGCCCCGGTACCGGCGCCGAGCTTCAGGGCCTTCCCGGCGTACGCGGGAGACGTATAGTTGTCGATGAGTTGCGTATCGTTGAGGAAATGGGTCCACAGGGCGAGCGCGCCGGCGCCCGTCGACTTGCCGAAGTAATCGTGGCCCGTGTTACGGACGACGAGGCGGATGTTCCTCGCGGCCGCGAAGGCGAGCGTCGCCTGGTAATCCGATACGCCGATGGCCCTGACGGCGTATCGGACGTAGGCGCCGACGACGCATTGGTCGTCGGGCGCGGTGAAGGGGTCGCAGCTGGCGTTGGCGAAAAAGGGGGCCATGGGAGACGAGGACGTGGCGAGGTGGGTGTTGGGGTACCACCATACGTCGCGCAAGGCCCGGCACGCTTGGGCGTCATAATCGGCTAGGTCCGATTGGTGGCAAGGCGCGGCGATGGGGACCGTGGCGACTAGGCGGCCGCCCACAGTGTCGTTGAACGAGGACCATTCCGCTAGTGTTGGCCAGCAGGCGTCGCCGGGAAAGCATCGGCAATTGTTGCAGCTGCTTCTGTTGTTGTTGTTGTTTCCCCCTTTAGACCGCGGGTCGAGGGACATACTACTACTAAAACTAGTAGCCGCTAGGGCCGCGAGGGCTATGGATGAGGGTGGTCGAACAGTCATGGTGCTATGTAGCTACCCCCACCCAAGGTAGGTAGGTTGGTTGGGAGTTGATGTGTTATGCTTGTGTGACTGGCTACAACCTGAGGTACTAAAGGTAGGTAACCTTGGATCTAGGCCAAGTACCTAAGGTAATTTGGAATCCAATAGGGAGGAGCAAAATGTTTCTTGTACTCGGAGTCGCGAGTGGGACGGCAGCTTGGAGTAATAAGGACTTGGAATAAGTAACAATTTTAGCAAGTATTATAAATGCATAGTTAGATGATGGATGGTTGGGTTGGTAAAGAACTGTACCTTAGGTAGGTAGGTACCTGGTATGTACCTACCTGTATTTATGTAGCAGGTAGGTATAACTGTTGGAAGACGCATCAGCGTGAAGGCCTCGATCCTTCGAGCCACAAGGTAACATGTCATACATAGTACCTAGACAGTCTGCCTGCCTTCCCATAGGAACGGGGGGTAGGTAAACAATGATTCGTCAGCTCTTCGGACACTGATGAGAATCTTTTGAAGCAATGGTCAGCAAAAGCGGCGCCCGCAAGACATTGTAGCGACCTGCCAGACTTGTGCATGTCTGTAACTCTATGTTGAGGATCTAGAACACCTCCTATGTGTTGTAGCTAGTTGACGGGATCCATCCGAGTCTCATAGAGAACGGTCGTAGTAAGTTCCTTAAGGTCAGACCGTTCTCGTCATACGGCCGATTTGTTCCAGGCACGTAAAAAGATTGTTTTAGTTAGTAGTGCCTAGGTGTTTTACTATTTATTACATTACCTACGAGATTTGTTAGATCTTTTTGAGACTTTAGGCTTTTAGGATATAGTTATCAAAAGAATATAGTGGAAGCAATGTCGATGATACTAAATTAATGCGGTCAGTTCATCAAGACGCGGAGTCCAATATACTTGACCCGGCTTGTATCGATTCAGTTGTGCACCTAATGTTAGGTACCTTGGAGGTAGGTAGCTAGAAACCCCTAACTAATCCAACTTGGCTCTTCAACTACGTTCTTTAACTACTACGCTACGCCGTGCATGATCTTCCGATATCCAGCTATAGGAGGTAGGCTTCCGGATGCCTTATCTCAATAGGCCAAGGGAGTGCCGTCGAAGTTATAAAAGTTCCCCGACGTCTCAGCCCGTGTGGCACTTTCAATTTTTCCCACTATAGCCGGGACGACATCGTCCAGGGAATGGGGCGCCTTCTCCATACCCCAGAGCCTGGCGTGGGCGTTTCCGGTGACTGACTGAACGAAACCCGGATTCATGACCCAGGCGGTCAGCCAGGGGTTTTCGAAGTGGGCACGTCGGACGAGGTAGTTGAGAGCTGTCTTGCTGGCACCGTAGGCGCCGACTCTGACGGGGATAGTAGGCTCCATCTCGACGATCTGGCTAGCGTTGGAGCTGATAGCTAGCAATTTTGGAGAGGCGGTAGATGCTTTGAGCAGCGGATGCACGGCTTTGAAAAGGCGCACGAAAGAGAAGGTGTTGACGTCAAAGATGTTACGCAAGGCATCGACGTCTATGTCTTTGACCTCGGCAAAAGCACTGGACGGATTGATACCGGCTACGGCAATGGCGACGTCGAGGGAATCAATACCGGCTGCCTTGATTTCCTCAACGGCTTTGGCCGGGTCCGTCTCGGATGTAGCCTCGATCTTGACGACCAGGAGCCTGCTACCCTCAGCCGGCTTGATACTCTTAAGCGTGGTGGTCTCAGGATTGCGGACGGCACCGATAACCGTCTTGTTGGGGCATGAGAGATAGGCCTCGACAAGGGCACGCCCAACTCCTTGGTTAGCGCCGGTGATTAGGATAGTGGACATGATGATGATGAGAGGTCTGATGTGACGTGACGTGACGTGACTACGAATACGAAGAAGAATGTGGAGATAAGGCGAGGAAGAGACAGGTAAGATGAAGGAAGACTGGGCGGAAACGTGAGGTCAGGAGGTAAAGGAGGTAATTTTGTTGGATACCCCCTAATATATCAAAAGAATATAAGGGGTGACTACCTACCTAACCTAAGGTACCTATTAATATAGGTAGTTGGTTGGTAGATGAAGCAACAACAGACCTTAGGTTAGGTACGTTTGTGCTTCTTTGTTCGATTATTGGTTTACTATGACAAATCCAATTTTCTGTTAGCCCATCCACCGGTAGGCTAGAGGTAGGCACCTAAGGTAGTGTAACGTCGCACAATACGGAGCCGGGATAGGTGATCGTGGATTCTTTGTTAGGAGGTAAGGTAGGAGGTACCTTCTCCCTTCTTTCCCCCTCTTCTGTTGTACAACATGCATTTCGTACGTGAGGTAAGTACCTAGGTACCTAGTACGGCTGGAACCAACAGCATTTAACGTAATACAATATCTCGTGCAACCAAACAAAAGATGCTTAATTATTAATAATGGTCGTCCTAGGTACCTAGGTCCTAGGTAGGTCGGTGGTAGGTATTTATATTTATATTAGGTATTCATCTCTTAAACGCCGTTGGGACATTGCAAAACTACCGAGTCAACAACTTAACAACGACTTACCTGCAAAATGACCGCCCCTGAGAACTTCCCTACCTCTCTTCCACGGGTTGAATGCCTAATTCAGAACGGCCTCAAATCCCGGATTTTGATGCCAGCTGATCCCGCCTACGCTGCCCGGATCGACTCTTACTGGTGTAATAGCGCTAAATTGCGACCATCCTGTATCGTTCAGCCGCGCTCCGCTGATGACGTGTCCAAAGCCGTTGTCGCCCTTGCAAAGGCTAATCAGCCCCTCGCCGTCCGCTCCGGTGGCCATACCAACTGGGCCGGCAGCAACAACATCACCGATGGCGTCACTATAGACTTAGGCCTGCTCAATTCTACGAGATATGATGACACTAACCAGACCGCCCACATAGGATCTGGAGGGAAGTGGAAGCATGTCTATGCCGAGCTTGAAAAGCATGGCCGCACAGTCGCCGGCGGTAGAGAGGCCGAGGTCGGCGTGGGTGGCTTCCTGCTGGGCGGCGGGAACAACTTCTACGCCTCTCGTTACGGTTTGGCTTGTGATTGTGTCATAGCCTACGAGGTCGTTTTGGCTGATGGGAGCATTGTCACTGCCAAGGCAGACGAACATACCGGTAATCAGCTTCTGCTTGCTTGCTTGCTTGTTGGCCCTGTAATTAGCTTGAGTCAGATCTAACTTGCTTGCAATCCATAGACCTCTTCCGCGCTTTGAAAGGCGGAGGCAATAACTTCGGCATTGTCACATGTTTCACCATGTCGACCATACCTAGCGGCCCTATATGGGGTGGACTGGCTCTTCATCCGTTGGACATCTTCCCGGCCGGGATCAAGACCGTGGTCGACTTCACGACCAACAATGCAACGGATCCGGACTCCAGCATGCAATTTGTAGTCGGCTACCAACCCAGATTTGGCGGCGGCGTTTGCATTACCATCGCAAATAACATGGCCGCCGTTGAGAAGCCTCCTTTGCTCCAGGCTGCTTTGGCACTGCCTGAGATTATGAGCAATTACAAGACGACCACGCTCCAAGAAGTTCTCACCTATTCTTCGCTACCACCCAACTACTAGTAAGTATATGCATCGCAACCTACCCCGTATTAACTAGCGCTTAATTCTGACCTACCTCCTTACCTTCCTTCCTTCTTAGTAACATCTGGTTCACTTTGACCATCAAGAATGATGCTTCTATTCTCGTCAAAGCCGCTGAGCTGCATAATCAGATGACGAAGGAGCTCCAGGCAGGTATTCCTGATCAGGATTTCACCTCCCATGTCGCCTTCCAGCCGTTACCACGATTATTTGTGGAGAGGTCGCACGCTACTAACGCCAGTGGAAACGTGCTCGGGCTCGAGCAGAATACCAGCGATGCCATCTTGATTCAGGCGTGCGCGAGCGTCCGTACCGCCGAATTGGAGGCATGGGCTCGTCCCAAGGTTCGTGCGTTGGTTGACGAGGTGCGTGCTTTCGCTAGCAACATCGAGGGCGGTGTCGTGCCGTGGGTGTACCTTAATTACGCTCATTCTAGCCAAGAGGTTCTACAGAGCTATGGCCCGGAGAACATTCGCAGGCTCCGAGAGGCCTCGTCTAAATATGATCCCGAGGGCATCTTCCAGCGCTTGTGTCCCGGTGGCTTCAAGATTTCGGCTTTGAAGAATTGAATTATTCTACGTTAATCTCAAGTATGTAGGAGGTAGTTACATATGCATACCTACCTGGACTTAGGCATGGTACCAATACATATGTCATAAGTAAACCTGAACATACCAGGTAGGTAGGGTAGGTAGGCATTCAATTTTATTGGCTCGATCGTTTGAATCACAGCATGATGCAAGTAGGAATGTCTTAATCCGGCAATTTTCCGCATGAAGAACGTGCATCACCAAAGTGTTACGAACCTCAGAACCGGGGCACATGCGGCTCACATGACCACAAGAAGGAAGTGAAAGGTACCTAGGTGCCTAACCTAAGTGAAGAGTGCGACTAATACAAACAGTATAAACAGTACCTAGTAGTATAGTTCTAGTGATATATTGACGTTTGTCCCCCTCAAGTCTTGAAATCTGTCACGTAAAGTGAAAGGAGATCTTAAAGGTAATATAACAGTTGATTGAGAAGGAAAAGAGATCTAGGCTAGTAGTCTACAAGAGATCTGACAGATACACCGCTGAGCCAAAAGTGTATTTCTTAATAGCACAATTGCTATTATAGTCTATCTGACATGAGTGGTATTACCACTCATAAGATCGTTTTATATATAGCTCAGCTGATTAGTCATAGTGGGGATCTCTTCGAGATCGCCACATACTGCGATAAAATCACTCTCTGGTGGTTTTCTATGTAGGTAGGTGAGCTATACTTCATACTATTATGTAAAGCCCATGCAAAGTATAACCAAGGTAAAAGAGTCTCAAGGAGTTCCAATTTACGGAGAGCCTTAGCCTTTTATCATAACTCGTGTAGGTATATATTCTAACTAACAACTCTTCTATTCGCCAATATTACCTAGGTGCTTTACATCAATAACTCAGCGCTATAGTAGCTAAGAGAGACGCTGCATGCGGTTGAAGCTGTAAAGCGGGAGCCTTCCTCTTCCGATAATACTAAGTATCATATGGCAGTGTGCCAAAACTGGCAGTATAGGTAATGGCAAGCCTACAGCTACCTAGGTAGGTACCCAGACAGTATCTAAGAAACCTCTGGTACTGTCTATGCAGTAAACTTTGAAGTTTGTAAATTTTGCAGACAATCAGTCTTATTCAGGAAATCATCGAAATACGTGGTACTTCTTCACTTTCACTATTAACAAGCCACCTGATACACGGCTACGTTTCCAAGAAGTGTTGGAGTATATTACAACCAACAGGACAGTTGGGATAATAACTGAGGAAGAGGTTATTGGTTATAATGTATCACGAGGACATGCACGTTTTAGGCAGCTGTACCAACATAGACCATGGCCCTTGATATTCTTAGAAAATTATTATATAGAACTGAATGCTCTATTCCAAGCCCTTGATCCAAAGCCCTTGTCACATCACCAATAGAGTAAAGGGGACAACACCAATATGAATCCATAGCTGCCTGGTATATCTATGACCATCTCCCAAATATGAACACGAAAGCTCATGACTTATAATTAAAAGAGTTTGATGGCACGTTTTTACCAATTTCAATTCCTAGCCACATTGATAGACCTTCAGGCGTTCTCGTTATTGTTATGGCAATAGCTGGTGTTGGGAAGAGTTCGCTAATATCTCAAGCGCTCCAAGAAGAAGCATAGGTATATTATCAGTCGCAATCACTTCTAGCAAGTCAGGTGTTGACCTTTTCATGGTCGACTATGCGGGGCCGTATACCTATTCTTGATGGACATCACCCCTGGATTTGATAATACTAAAGTACCTACGAAGGCAAGTAGGTACCAATCTAACGGCGAGGTTCTTAGAAACATCCTAGCCCCCGTCTACATCGCAAGCTCGGCATAGCTAGCCAGCTGCTGGCGTGGTTGACATGCACCAAATAACTGACAATAGAATTTTCGATTCTTCTGTAAATGTTACGGTGCTGTTCTTATAAGTGGAGATAACAATGTCAATCTCTCAAGTTGACGTCGTTTCACTTAGTAGACCTGCATAATAGACACGGCCAGGTTGTCTTGAAGATATAGAAAGAGTAGTTGATGCAAGATAAGATCGCCCTATAAATACTGATGCTGAGGGGTCACTTCAGGAAAAATTCGTTCAAGTCCTCTCATCACACAAAGCAAACCTTTGAGACGTAGGTATCGCCGTAATTTCAAATAGCAATACGTACAAGAGGGCGATGATAAACTAAGTCTTCCGCTACATGAGACCATACCTAGGTAGGTATCTACCTAGAAACCACAGAGAGGTTAGCTAGAAAGCATAATATCATTGTATATTGCCTAAAATATTGCAGATAAAGAGAACATGAGGGGGTTTCATTGGCGGAAACAGTCGCGGTACCTGCGTTCCAGGTACTGGATGAAAGGTACTTACCGATAAAACGGACCCTGACGAGGTTGACCGGAAGCCTCAGAAACAATTCACAAAAGAGAGAGAGAGAAAAAAAAAATAAAGCAAGAGAAATTGAAACCAGAAAAAAAGCAAAAGACATATAAATTCCAGGAATGATTAAGGCCCGCGATGGAGGTCGTAGGTATACAAAGTGAGTGTCAAGTATTATATTGGATCTGATCTTGTAAAAAAATAAAAATAGGTAGCTTGCCCCTATCCTTCTCTCTGGTTAGATGTCAGGGATATGAGGATATATGGAGATAGACAGGGGTTAGGCGTTAACTAGATCAGATCCAATAAACCTATCTTCCGTATATTTTGTAGGAATTTGTTGAATAGTTCTTTTGGAGACTTATTTCATGTCACGTAGTGGATATAAGGCGTAATTGCTAGTTGGCAATTACGACGTCGTTTTTGTTGATATTTCATCTATTCATGAATAGGTTGAATAGGTTTCTTGGAGATCTATTCAACCTATCCATCCTGGATCAATGATTCCTCATTGGTTACAATTTATCCAGGGAACATCCAGGTCTTAGTTCGTAACAGTCTTGGGACAAGTTACCATTTGTTCTGCCCTCATTTATTTCCAAAGAGATCGTTGTATTCTCGCACAGCTCGTCTGTAGTTACCTACCTTAGGTATGTAAGAAGGATTTCCATTACATGGCCGCGGATATAACAACATTTATATCTCCCACTACTTCATCCGCGGACTCATACTCCTTTGTCCAACACTTCCAGGTTATCGCACGGCAAGGATGCACCTCATCCGGGGATTCCTTTCGAACAAAGCGCTCTTCGACCTTCTCGCGCCGTCCGTCTTGCCCCTCGCAAATATCGGGGAAAACAGCATGACGGTTCATGGTAAAATCAGGTTCAGCATCTGCAATGCCCGACTTTTTAGGAGGGATGCTGTTTGGTATTGGAAACTTTCTAGAATAAGTCACTGTGATGAATCGGAGTTTAGCTAAGCACTGCTTCCCACGATCCGGGATCCGGACATTAAGGTGACCTTTACCGCGTTGACCTGTGCGAGTGAGTATCTCTTCCAGACGCGAGTTTTGAATGCCATTGAGGATATCCATTTTCCGTCTCTTCTCATAGTAATTTCTTTATTTTATACTATTTGTTGATGTCACGGGGTATAGAGTTACCTTATTAAAGTTGATCATCATGACTTGATTTAGGTTTTTATTCCAAAGCATATTAACATAGGTATCTTAAATATTTATACTCAACTTTAAGCTGCATAAGCATTTATATAATTATCTCTATGTCGTAATTACTTATAAATATAACTACTTTATACCATACAATAAGAGCATTATTTGCATAATATAAGTGCTAAAATTTAAGATAGAATATTTGGCTAAGTTAATAAAGCTTCGCGTTCTCAAGGAGTACGTTTATTAGACGCTATAGAACAAGATTCTACTCTAAAGAAAGAAAAGAAGAAAGAAGCCAAAGACTTGGCTACGATCCTGCTGTTTAACCATCTATCCTAGGCCCTGGCTTGACGGCCCTATATAGGACTGCTAGAGGTCTTGTGATTGCGAGGCCTCACATAAACCACGATCAATCTTTAGAGGATATTAACATTGGCTTAGGTAGCTTTCTATAAAATCCCCATTCTCCATAAAAGAGCCTATTCTAGTAATTTCTATCCTACCCAGAACAAAGTCGGCGACAATAACCCTTCGTAAACTCAAGACACTACCTATATGGAGAGTATATTTTGTCTCAAGCAAGATAAGGACCTGTGAAATTCAAATTCCTCTTTAGGAACAAAATAAAGGAATTGAGGTTCCCATCTAGCTCTTCAGCCGGATCCTGGATCAGAGATCGAACGTGAGCAGCAAATACGCTCCTATCAGTTTCGTCCTCCATAAACCGGCCATCGTGCCACGCTTCGAATATGCTGTATTCCTTATATTCTTTGCTATAGTCCTTGTCGCTTAGCCTATCTTCAAGGAGAATTTTGTCTTGCAACATCCAACAGACTACTTCATCTTCATCTCGAATCTCCGTCCTCCATCTTCTTAGCGCCTTGCATTTAGTTCGATTTTCGGGCATGGAAAGGCGAACGGTGAAGTGAACCAGCATTAAATCCGGATCGTGGCTGTTGGGCTTGATATAGTCCACCTGTCAGGAGTCTCGCTTGAGACTCCTTGGAACAAAGGAGTTATTCTGTATATAGCTTTGGCTTCAAAGCAACTGTAGTTAGAGTTCCTTGCGGAACAACGAAGTTATTTTACCTACTGCATGCTCTGCGACGTGACAGTTAAGCGGTGTCTGCTGTTAACACCATCCTGCCAAGTGCCATCGCAGAATATGAAAAGTCTTTTCCGTATTTGATCATTATGGCCGACGTTGTTCCAATCTGAGCTTTGACCTCTACTAATGGTGAAGTTTTTGGTCTGTGTAGCCATCAAGTGATAAAGGAGTATTGTCGAGGGTCTCGATGGTCGTCAATCGCTAGCACGTAGAGATACACAAGTCAATTGAACAAAGGGGTAACAAAACTCCTTATTAGAAACATATGATTTCTGGAAATGTATCGTTACACGTCTAACCAGATGATTTACAGATTACTCTTGTTCATAGGAGATTGTGCTCAGCACATTTTCAGAGTGGGATATAAATATTGCCATGACAGTTGCTTAAGACAGGACAATGCGAGAAATTACGAGATACATATTGGACAGTAAGACGGGAATGATAGAATAAATGAATAAAAATAAATCATAATAAAGGGGTGAATTGACATTAAGTGGCTTGCATGGCATATTATGAGTTAAATGGGTATTATAATTTTATTGACCAATCCGGAGTATTTTTATATAGAAGTTTTATTTCTATTTATTATATTTTTTACTAATATTGCATCTTGATCGTTAGCTAAGAGGATTTCGAGGATAAGGCGCGAAGATTAACAGAAATTCATCATTCGAGAGTTCTTGAAAATGTGGTAGGTCTTGTGATAGACGTGACGTCCCAGGGCGACACGATCAATGCCTTACGTTCCCAATGCATCATTCACCTAAACTACCTCCTACCTACTTGGTACTTAGTAGAAAAGCTTAACACCTTATAGTAGGTTCACCCGTACCCAGCTGCACATATCTCTGGCTGCCACTGTATATATTTCTACCCCTTGGAGAGCTAACGATATAGCCCGGCAGTTATGGAAATCTGCAACCACATCTAGCCCTAGCATGGTTACCTCTCTACCAATATGGAACAACACAAGCCATTGATCACTGTTCGCCGTTTCAAACTTGTACGCCGCCTCCCTCATTTACAGTGGTCACACAAAGCACCGGCGGTCGACACCGATGATGATTACGGCGATCAGGATGAGCAACGCGTTGAGAGCGACCATCAATTCAAGAATGAAGAACAACTCGAGGATAAATACCAGCAAAATCCATCCCAACCCTTACTACCTGATAGCCTAACCTACGAACAGTTCGAAGAGATTCTCCAGAGGTACCCTAATTACATTCGTGATGTATATCAGCGTGCGGAAGCCGAGCGGTTCCGGGGTATACCTAAGAAACTTGAGGAACGCAAGGAGCCATATATCCAGAAGGATGACTTGCTATACTTGGACCAGTGGATGCAGTATGGATTCAACATCCCCAACACAGTGTCTACCATAGTGGCAATAAACTTACCATCTCGTTCTCTTCAGGAAACGTGGTACCCCCTTGACTAAAGAGGCACACCTGCACAACAGGGAGCTTATCGAGAAGCTTTCCAACATTATATGCAAAACAAAGAGGTTACCTCAGCTATGAAAATTCTACAGGATGGTCTCAAAGGTGTTGGACCTTCCAGAGCGTCCCTTATGCTTTCGGTAGCGTTCCCTAGTGTTTTGCCATACTTCTCTCGGTCGCTATACCGATGGACCCACTGGGATGAAAGAACTGGTTGGGCACAAGAGTTCAAGTGGACGCCGGACAAGTACCACAGCATACTTGAACGGGTGGCATCCCTAGCTGAGAGGCTCTCTGGGAACCGCGAAGTTATACAAGCTATCGATGTCGAGAAGGTGGCATTTGTGTTAGAACATGAGAGCTGTATTAGCGGTGAGTAATGAATTACATATGCATCTGTTAGGAGCACTTTCACAGTTTTGCAGCATGTTAACATGCCTATGAGACAGAATTTCAACTCTTCACCATCGTGGACGGTCTCGTCAATAACAAGGAGTCCATATCTAACGGGCGTGCGAGAGTGTTCGAAGTTGATAGAGAGGCGATAGATGGAAAAAAGGGAACGGCTGCAGTCAAAAAGATCTTCAAATCGGGCGATGTCGAAAAAGCAAGGAACAGGTTCCTCGCCGAAGTAACGTCCTCATACCACTTGTCTAAGGTATGTTGCAAAGATGGACAAACCTATCATCTCTCCTCCATGATGATGCCTTCCCCTTAACCATTCTTCACCTAGTTGTCGCCAGATCACTTCGTCGAATTCTTTGGGTGGAATGAAGACCCGGATAGACTCTTTATTGCCATGGAATATGTTAAATCCGGCGACTTGGAGAAATGCCTTGGGGAGAGCCTTTGGGGCGAGAAAGACATAAAGGAAACAACGAAGCAGATATTGGAGGGGCTACAGATCATGCATCACGAAAGCATCGCTCACCCGGATCTCAAGCCACAGGTAATTATCTTCCCATTAATTATTTTATCGTATCGTGCCATCTACTAGAAAACTTACTTCTAGGGGCTTAGAATATTCTTGTCGTCTCGACGCCGCCAGACATAAGAGTCAAGATCACCGATTTCGGACTCACGAAGCGACTCTCAAATAGGAAAACCACGGCTCTAGTCACCAAGGGGATCGGTACAGCGGGCTATAAAGCACCCGAAGTCGTGGAGCTGTGGCACTCGGAAGATTCGAACCATCATCTGAACCACTTCTCTCGGCATTCGTATACCTTCAAGGCTGACATCTGGTCTCTAGGTTGTATCCTTGTCAGAATGTTCGTCGGCGAAGATAAGCGCTTGTTCCATAACGACATGGAGTTGATAAATGAACGGTGCCTCAGACAACAGGTCAGATCTATTAAGGAGATTCTGGAAAACGGGGCTACCTACATAGGACCGGAGGGAATACGGTTCATACAGAAACTAATCGTTATCAGAGAAAAGGACAGGTACGACGCAGAAAGCGCTCTGGAGGCGCTTGATAAATGGACAGTGTCGGAGACTACCTAGAGTTTGAGCCGTAAACGATGGGGAGGCGACCTGCAACAGAATGACACCATCCCATGCAGATATGAAAGACGACTATCATATATGGTCCAATGGAGGGGGGGTCCATATGATCGTATCGTGGCATACCTACCCCTGACCCCGTCTTATTAAAAGATGGCGACTATGGTGGACATTTCACATGCTTTGATTGATTCTATACACTACCTACCTAGGTAAGAAACTCCCCCCGGGTTATAGGAAATGGGCCAAAGACTGGAAATAAATGGCGCGAGCATCGTATGCCATTAGCATGTAATGTTGGAGGGGCCAGCTTGATTAGTTAGTGTATGTCTACCTAGGTAGGAGGTAGTTTGCATTTACAATTAGTTAACTTAAAAAGTAGCTAAAAAGTGATTAGAGTATTTCTATTAGCTTCCAAGAATCTCAGTCAGCAGAAATAAATAAACTTGTTGGGAACACGAGATAGGTAATCTATTATAATGGGACTTTCATGCAAGTTTCTGTAATGCTATTATGTGGCCGCATCAATCTGTCACATAATTATTTATCATTATTATACGAACCGAGGTAGAAGGTACAATATTATATAGATGGGTTACCAGCCCTACGTGCCAAATTAAGGCCTTCAGCTAGTGTAAGGGCATTATAGATCTATCTCATCCAAGGTGGGGTGCAACCTATTAAGAACCCCTGCTTATATACAAAATCTAGGCTTTGCTAGCGGGGTCCTACGAGATGGGACTTGCTCCTAGTAAAGTGGATACGCTATAATATCCAGTGATGTTTAGTGATGTTTAGTGATGTCCAGTGCTTACCCAGGTGTTAGGAGAAAAGATGGGAAAAGATGGGAACCTAGTGATGATGTCGTTGGTCGGGGGCCCGGCGCAGCCCGCAACCCACGCAACCCACGCTAAAATGTCAATTACCTGGGAAGAACAACTCGAATCGTCCTCCTACATAAACTTCGTACATATACTACATACATACACCACGTACTACATTATCTACATACCTAGCACTTATAATCCACTTATCCCTTTTTATTACTATATTGCAGATTGCAGCTACGGATCACATACCCGCCTTCGCCCGCCGTCGGTCCCCAAGTTGCATGTGCCTGTGTTACATCGTCGAACAAGACAACACCCCATTCCAATCTTCTATTCGTCGCCTTTTGATTCTCTGCACCATTATTTTTTCACCAGTTTTTTTCTTTTCTTGATCGCCGATCCACACACCACAAACTTCTCTCTACCGGTCTTGGTTCACGACAAATCGAGCCAGTATTCAGCTGCGCCATTCTTTCCTCCCCCACTCCGTCTTTCCGTCACTCCGTCCGTCCTTCATATCATCCTCATTATTTCTTCACGGGACCGCCCTGCGACGACTTAGCAGTCACCCCAAGTCAAAATGTAAGCAATATACAGGCGCATCGCTTGTATTCGTCCCCTCCCATCCCGCATCGTTTCACCAGAACTGCTGCTGATACTGAAGCTGGTGCTGATGTTCAACATAGGCATATCACCGTCAACGTGAATAACCCGGACATCGAAGCTCAAGAGCTTCAACTAATAAACCTCGATGTCCCTCCCGATATGACCCTAGCCGACCTCCGAAGCTCCATTGAAGCTGAGGGAATACCTGCCCCGTCGCAAAACATCTACCACAACGGCCAGCTCATTACCGACAACTCCAAGACCTTGCAAGAACTGGACATTTCCGATGGAGACATGCTGGCACTGCACGTGCGGGATATGCGAGGCAACACAGGCGTTGCGCCTGCCCACCGCGAGCCCCAAAGGCGACAACCGGCTGCTCTCTCCCAGGATCCGGAACTCATCCGCTTGCAAGTACTCGGCGACGCTCGGCTGAGAAGCGAACTCGAACGAGCAAACCCGCACCTAGCCGCCGCCCTTGAGAACCCCCAGAGATTCGCCCAGATTTTCCGCCAGAGCGCAGACCAGCAAGAGGAGGCACGCCGAGCACGTATGCGAGAGATTGAGGCCCTAAACAATGACGAGTTCAACCCCGAGTCCCAGGCCAAGATTGAGGATATGATTCGCCAGCAAGGTGTTATGGAGAACCTTCAAAATGCTATGGAGTACAACCCCGAATGTAAGTCCTGCTCTCACTTTCGACATTCAAACCCTGTGTCCTATTCTAACCCTATCCTGTGCAGCTTTTGGTCGCGTACATCTTCTCTACGTCGACGTCAAGGTCAATGGTGTGGAGGTCAAGGCTCTAGTCGACTCCGGTGCCCAAGCCACGATCATGTCCCCAACCTGCGCTGAATCATGTAACATTATGCGCCTTGTCGACAGGCGGTTTGCTGGAGTTGCTCGCGGTGTTGGAACTGCCAATATTATTGGCCGTGTCCATTATACGATGCTACAGGTTGGTACGAAGCACCTCGCGGCCGCCTTCACGGTCATGGAGGGCAAGTCAGTTGACCTTCTAATCGGTCTGGACATTCTTAAAGGTCACCAGGCAACTATTGACCTCGCACGGAACAAGCTCATCATTCAAGGGGAGGAGGTGGATTTCCTTGGCGAATCAGATATCCCCAAGGAAACCGAAGAGGCTGTCAATCAGGAACCAACCGTTCAGGGTCCAGGCGGTACGACTATTGGTGCCCGCTCAGGTGTCGTTACTGGTCCTCAAGTCTCATCCGCAGGCCCTTCTGCACCTAGCACATCACGACCTGCAGCTCCCGCGGCCCGCCCCGCCCAACCAGCAACTCAACCTCAGGCGCAACCTCAAAGGACTTTCCCCGAAAACGACATCAACACACTAGTAGCGCTTGGCTGGGATCGGCAGGCTGCGATTAACGCTCTAGAAGCTACAGGTGGCAACGTCGAATTTGCCGCATCCCTCCTATTCAACAACTAATAAGCCGGGTCTGTCGTTTGTACTTACGATGCCATTTACGTGACCGAAAAAAAAAACGCTGCGGTAACAATGGTAACAACAAAAGCATAGCGTTATGACGGGGCTGGGTTTAGGCATGGAATATGACCGTATACTCGATACAATATGTAGAGGGCGCATCATGTAACGTTGATAAAAGGAATTTCTTACGTGCACACAGCCCGAAAGCATTAGAAAGGTCCATCGAGAACGACGTGTATTTTTTTCTTTTTTTTTGCCTAAGTCGGGGAGCCAAATAAAAAGTAAAGTTAATAAGGGCGCGCTTCGGAATCAAGGTCTATGTATTACGGGATTAGAAAGTTACGGTTCTGCCTGATGTGCGTAGGTGTAATGGGGAAAAGCATGTATGTGTCTGATAGGATAACGAATAGCTTAGCTCGTCCCCCTCCCTCCCCCCCTTTTTTTTCATCGCAGCTTATAGACGCAGGGCTTCAAAATAGAGCTCTCATCTACCGTAGTCTGGTCTTCTCCTTTCGCGTCGATGAACTTGACTCCTCCTGCTCCGTTCTTCTTAGGTCCCGCACCACGCGTAGATTCCTTCAGGGCAACAACGCCCTTTCCGACGGTCGGCGACGCCGCTTTGATGAAGTGCATCTTGACGAACATCTTGTTCCTCAAGTCCGGCGCGCCTTGTAAAACGAAACCCCTCTTCCGCAGGGCTTCGACGAACGCGGAAACGTCCGTCTCTTCGCGCTTGTCATCCGCGCCATCGACTTCAACAGCCAGTGCCGTCTCGTCCTCCTCCCCGTCCGGCCCTTCCACATCCCTCGCCTTCCCCTTCTTCCCCTGCATCTTCCTCCTATTCCCCACGCTGTGAGTGACGGGCGTCCCTGCCTTATTCCCTTTTCCTTTCCCACCACCACCACCTACCTGCCCGAAGCGGCTCTTGATCTCAGCGACCCAGAGCTCGCCCTTCCAGTGCAGGATGCGGTAGGCCTCCTCGACGAAGTCGAGCCAGTTGGTGCCCATGAGGGCGAGGCAGAAGATGGCGACGTCGGCGGCGCCGTCGGCGAGCGGCAGGTTCGCGATGTCGGCCCGCGTCACCAGCGGGCTCGGGCTCTGCAGGTCGTAGCTCAGGACCTCGAGCCGCAGCTTCTTCTTCTCGGGCTGCAGGGCCTCGGCGAGCTTCGCGTCCCCGCAGCCCAGGTCCGCGATCGTGCAGACGCCGTTCGTGCGCGGCAGGGCCGTCACCCCCGAGGCGCTAGCCGCGGGAGCGGGAGCGGAAGAATGGCCGTGATGCTTGGACCGTTGCGGAGGCTTCTGGCGCCCCCGCAGCTTGATGTCCCGGATGTACCCCTCCACCGGGTTCTCGGGCCACACGTCGACCTGCCGCCGGAACCCCTCGTGGTACTCCTGGAACATCTCGGGCGACTCCTGGAACAGCTTGAAGGCGTCGGCCGACGGCTTGGTGTACAGCGTCTCGTTGAGGTGGCGGAACCGCGCGGACACCAGCTTCTCCCTCATGGCGGCTTGCAGGGGTGTTAGTTTTGGTGCGGCGGCTGGAGCGGCCTTGCTGGTCTCTTTCTCATCAGCTTGCTTGCCGTCGCCGGCGTTTTCCTTTTCGCCCTTGGACTTCTTTTTCTTGTCCTTCTTTCCCTCCTTGCCCTCCGTGGCATCAGGTGACTTTGCGGACGGCTTATCACCATTCCCGTTAGTAGTTCCGGCGGCGCCTCCTTCGCCATTCTGGCTCGCCTCCTTCTCTCTTAACTTCTTGAGTTTTTTCTTTTCCTTGAGAGTCATCTTCTTGCCATGTCTCGGCCTGCCCTCCGGGGTTTCATCGCTCTGGTCCTTGTCAGGTTTGGCCTTCTTCCCCGACCTCCCTTCGATGACCTGTTCCCAGAGATCCGCCACATTAGATGAGGTGACGTTTCCAGGTGTAGACGATGGCCTCTTGCGCTTGTTTGACTTCTGAGATTCATCCTGGGCTGCTTTTGGAGCTGATGTAGTCGTCTCGGGTTTGAGACTGTCCGCAGATACGGACCAGCCTGGTACCGCAAACATTTTCAATCAAAGTGATAATATCAGTCCGGTAAAAGCGGTATGTTTATTAATTAATTCTTTTTTTAATATAAAAAAATCCAAATTGTAGTATTTCAGCTTTTAGCAATGAGTTTTATGAAAATTCTCCTACAAAAGTCTATCAGGAAGATTTGAACGTAATGAGTTTATCTAAACTTTTGTGCAGGGATTACTAGTGCAGGAATTCCAGGTTGAGAGTACACGGGTACATTGGTACGAAGTACTGCGTTCCCTCCGGCCCCTCCGCCCCTCCTGTCCTCCAGGCTTAGGAGAAAGCCCCGCGCTCTATAGTCACGTGCATAGGTAAAGTGCAAAAGGTACAGAGGTATTCGTACTACAATACGGATCCGCAGATTTTATCAACTTTGAAAATTTCAACTAAACAAATCCGAGTGTAGATGAAAGTTTTAATAAGTCAACCTTCCTTTATTCTAAGCAATTCGCATATTAGATCCTCTAATCAATAGAGAGCCCTGTTGATATTGTCTTTGAGATTCTTTCCATCACGATCGTCTCAAACAAGCTCAAACGAGTTTATCGAAGCTTGAATGTACTCCTTGCGTCTCGGCCGAGATCAGCCTCATTTGGTATATACCTGTAACAACATCAAATTTACCAAATCATCGGCATCAGTCATAATGTTCTCACCTATATCGTACTCATAGTTTGCTCGACAGTTCCTAGCGTAACTACCTATCTACCGAAGCATGTCTGCTTTTCACAAGTTACCACATAGCAGCAGACATGATAGGGTCACAACTCACGATAGATCATAGGCCAAGTGAGTAGGTACTGGGATGTAACCAGTAACTAATAACATACTATGTATAGCTTCAATCTAGTACGTTATGTACGATAAGCCGGACCCCACATGAGGCTGCAACTGGATGAAACACCTGGATCGATGAGCAGGGTTACGACTTACGGGCATAGCGATATTGCTCACAAATACTGCTACGGCCGGCCAAAGCTCCGAGAAGGGAAGACTAGGGGATCGACGGTTACACGGCGGCTGGGCCAACTTCAAGCAGGCCGGTCTATCGTTGATAGGTATCGGTTGATTCATAACAATAAACGGAGAATCCAGGTCCTAAACTAACCGTTTAGTGAACTAACATGAGGTATCGTATGTATCGTAAGTCTCGCAGTCACGACTCGTCGCTACAATGCAATGTGGCACCAGACCCTGGCTCAGATTTCCGGCTAGAGGGTTCATGTCTTCACCCGCCTCCGCACTGGAATAGGCACAGCTCCCCCCCGGCTTAGCTCTTTGCAAGCAGTGGCAATGGACCAACCTAGTTAGCATCACCTTTCCATTAATGGATATGCAACCACCGTTTTCTGCATCTGGGCGGGGTCACGGGATATGGCATCGCATATCCTGCATTACGACGCACTGTTTTCTATGTTGTGACTCTGACGCTTCGGCCCATACATGCTGTTGTATGCAAATAGTCTATCATCGGTTCATCGCGGCTATGGCCATGGTCAACTCCTCCTCAATACTGCCTACCTACATACCTACATACCTACCACCTAGAGGTACCTAAAGCAGCTTTGCCATGCAATTTTCTGCGTCAGCCGGAAGGGCTCGAGGCTTCCCCTCCCGAGACACGCGGGAAACTCCTACACCCGGGCCTCTGCTATGCCTAACTCAGCCTAGGTAGGTATTTTTGGATCCCGTTGGCCATAGCACATAGCATGACAGGGCTCGACTACGTCGAATTGATGACGTTGTGTCATGTGCTATGCGAAGTCGTGAAATGAAACACGAAGATGTAGCTTCAAGTTACCCGTCTAACGAGAAGATATTTAGGGATTTCTGCTTTCCTTCGTCCGTAAGCTCACGCTCTACAACAGACGGGTTTGCCCCGATGTATGGGGGAGAGTCCACCTTTTTCATCGAGCCTCACGATAAGAGGAGTCGAGACATCCGCGCAGCAGCCCGCACGAGCTACAAAAAATCTTACCTGGTGCTCTTATGTATGTCTAGAAGCGCGAATTAATGATCAGCCAACAAACTGTGGCCTACGCGTAGGACAATTCGTCCTCGCCACGAATGGTTGCTTTTTTTTTCGGTGACACAGGTGGGTTATGTGAGCAATTATCTCTACGAGATTCAATTTCCCAGGTTACAGGAGATAGACCCCAGCTGCGGGCGCATCATCAGACGTCGCACTTCGATCTACCGCGACTTGAGCGACCCTAATTGTATGCAAGCTTCATAGGATCTCCAGCGTATCGCACCGCCACGGCTTCGGCCTCGGCATCTAAAGTGCTACAAAGCCATTGCGATACAGGGCTCCATACGGCATTTTTTGACATATGCTCCTGTTCCGCCGTTATACCACATACTTGGTCTTCACGTGGTGTTGTAGCTCTTTAACACCAGCAAATAGGGCGACAGAAAAGTATAAGCAGTTTATTCTATGATTCTTCCAGTCCTCCGCCTTCCCTCTAGTCAGTCCAATAAGAGACGATGCCCTCTCATAGATAATTCCTGTAACAGGTATACTAATCAAGTCTGGCGTGGGTTATACCTTGTCGAGTCTGCGATGACGATGGTGAATTTCACCTGGTCCCTAAATTGGTCACCATCGACATCCCTCCTGACCGGTGCGTGGTGTCGGCTCTAGCGACGGATCTATTGCTGAGGTCGGGTCTGGATTGCTCCACCCGGAAGCTGGATCTAAGCTGAAAGAGTCCAATGATACCGTAGCATTCAAGGGTTGACTAACCTAACAAAGTCGGGTTGCCCAGCCTCGCCGAGGTCTAGGAAGCAGACCTACATACTACATAGTACCTAGATCGACCACAAAGAACATAGTTACTAACTACATACTAGTATAATACTGTGATCTCTCATCCTTGTCCGGGTTCGACAGCTTTGGTAATAACTAAAGACACCCCACCCATTTCTATCCTCTGTTTCCCCATGCCAGCGTGCAACCATCTACATATTGTACATACCTCTAGGTACCTACTGAGTTGACTTTCCCCTTAGGCCTAGACGCCGTCATTTCCAGTTCGCATTTTCTATGTCGCACCCGGTCTTAATCTTCGAGGGTTGACTGCCCCCAATTGCCCGTGCCAGAAATCGTACTCCGATCCTCTTCCGTCACACCGGATGTTTCACGGAACGATATAAGCTATGGAAGCAAGTCGTGACCTTCATTTCTTCGTATAGAACTTTTTTATATTTTCTTACATTATTCTTGCCTCTGCTTCGAATGTCTCATTCGACTAGCCAGTCGGAACTGCGGGAATTATCGTGCCGTAATTCATATTCCGAATTCAGATCCTAGGGAGACAAGACGTCAGAGACTGCTATAATCGCCATCCGCATTAAGGGACGTTTATGTCCTTGGATTGAGGGGACTGGCCCTGAGTATACCCAGTACCGTTCCATGGTCAACGCTCTTCTTATCCTAGATCAAGCCAATCGCCAAAGTACCATGTGAAAAGTTTTGAGATTTTTAAGCCACTAGACTATAAAGAAAATCAGCCACCACCTCACAGTAATCCGATTAGGCGATTCGGTGAAAGCAATCGTCAAAAATGAATCCAGCAGGAGAACCGACGGGAGACGCGTCCGCAACATCTCAACCTCTTCGGTCGTCGACGTCAGAAGAGAGGGATGGCGATAATCCGGCGCCTAAGAAACCGATCGTTCGGAAACGAACAAAGACGGGCTGCCTTAGTACGTAGTAATCTCGTGCCTCTAAATTATGTGAATAGTACCAGCTAACTGCCGTTAAGCCTGTCGGAAACGCCGAATTAAGTGTGATGAAGGCAGACCGACCTGTAATAATTGCTTGAAATCAAAGCGGCAGTGTGATGGATATAACCAACGAGTCGTTTTCAAAGATCCTCTGGGTGCATTTGCCAACGCCCCCTTTGGGCCGATACACTATCCAGCTCCTTCTCCCCAGGCATTGGTAAGAGAGCAGCAGCTATCGGCAGCGCAGCAAAAGTCTTCATCGCAGGCCTTACAGATCATTGCCCCTAAACCGCCTATGGGATACCCTCAAATGCCTGGATTCTACCCCGGCCAAGTTGGACAAAACACGTCACCTATGAACTTCGACCCCAGCGGACTCGGATCTCATCCTTCCCAGTCAAAATATACCTTCTTTCCACCGACCACTGTCGACGCATTTTCACAACAACAACAACATCACCAGTGGAGGCAAGAACAGCCTTCGAATTTCGGCCAGCTACCATCTTCTATTGCTCCTGAGAATATTGCCCGGAATGGTCCCCCTATTCCACCTCCGCAACAACAACAACAACAACAACAACAACAACAGCCAGGCAATGTCCATCTAGATAAAGGCAAGGCTCGTGCCGAACTTGAACAACCTATCCAAATTACGGAGCCTGTATACGAGGAATGGGAATACCCCGTGTCGGACGACGAGTCTATGGCAGAGTCGGACGATATACTAATTAGTGAGCGGCGCACTTCTCTCGACTTCAACGAATTCGGAGTAGTTGCCTTCCAAAGGCTCGACCAGCCATACGACATATTCGGAACTCAGACGAGAACGTTCTCGGCTTTCGCTTCCGATCTCACGACATATGAACCGTCGCCGTCCAATTCTCCCTTGAGCGATAAACAAATAGCAGGAGTATTCTGGCATTTCGTAAACGTGACCGGACCTAGCATTTCCATGTATGAAAGGTATCCTATTGATCCGTCGCCGATCTTCCAGGGCCAACCTATACCTAAGTCTCGTCAGCATATTTGGACCTGTAAGTCTGCTTCAACTCTCATCAATTTTCGTCGCTAACACATACCAGATACGTTCCCGGTTCTCTCTTTTACTCACCCGGCTCTCCTTCATGCCATACTCGCAATCGCAAGTTTACAGGTTGCAAAACTTCAAGCTGTGCCACCTACAGCATCTCTCAAGCATTATCACCTGGCTTTGAGGAGAATCGCGCGGAACGTGAGCCGACCGACAAGGCGGGCTCAGCCAGCAAACCTGGCAGCAACACTAGTATTGGCATTTTATGAAGTGTGGAATTCCGACCATGACAAATGGAGCAGACATCTTCTAGGAGCGCGGTTGATCATTAAAGAAGTGCCATTCGCCGAAATGACTCGCGCCATGATGAGAATTAAATGCCAGCAGAAGATCCAAGAAGCGCAACAGCCTCCGATGGACGCTTTTGGGATGTTCGCGGCATACGAGGAGACGGGTCCCTTGCATAAAGACTGGGACCAGCTGGACGTCCCGCTACTGAGGGAGATAACCGGCAGGGATATCTCGTTTGACGAGTTAGGGATGGTCCCCGAAGAGCGCAGCGCGTACCCCAGGTCGAGGTTCCAGCAGACGGATAAAGACATGGAAAATTACCAACAGTTGAGCGACCTCTTCTGGTGGTACTGCAAACAGGACGTCTACCAGAGCGTCCTGGGCGGAACAAGGCTATTGTAAGTTTCGCATCACGCTGTGCGCTCCTATCATGTCCAAGGTATACTTTATATGTCTATTTTAGCCGTGTTCTAACCAAAGCCAAGCCTCGATTACGATGCATGGACTCAATGTCCGCCACGAGCCCCAATAGGAAGACTAGATGCTATGTAAGTTCACCCACCCATTTTATCCGTCCCGAGAGGGAGAGGGAGTACTACCTCTACCTACGTACCTCCTTAGGTACCTAACCTAAGGTAGCTAACACGGTTGGATTTATTTAGTTATGGCACGTACGACCACCTCATGCTATTGCTTGGCCGCCTAGCAAACTTCACGTCGAAGGACCTAAGCCGAAAACGGGAAGCCCTAAAAAAAGCAGGCGGACCCGGCGCGAACCCCGGCCGCGGGGGTTCTCCGGGTATGTTTCCGGGCATGGTACCCCGACACCCGGGGACGGTAACGGTGCCGATGGGGTTCACCCCTCCGAGGGAGACGTCGCCGTCGTCATCATCAGGTGATGGGAGCCCCGAGAATATCGACCTCGACGCTAGTACCGCCGAGGCGTATCGCGAGTGGGAGGAGATCCGGCGGGCCTTCGAGACGCTGCGGAGCCACTTCGGCCCGGAGTTCGAGGCCCTCGGCACCGACGTGTACCCGGCGCGGGCGACGCCCTTCGGCCTCGCCGCCCACTACAGGACCTACTCCATCGCCGGCGTCTGGATGAACTACTACATGGGCCTCATCGTGCTGCACCGGGCCCACCCCACCATGCCCCCCGTCGCCATGGTCGCCGCCGGCATCTCCGCTCGCACCACCGCCTCCTACTGCATGGAGGTCGGCCGCATCGCCGCCGGCCTCGAGGAGAATATCGCGCACCTCGCCAACGTCAGTACGCTTATGGCGGCTGCGCTGATCGAGTGCTGTTTTCCGCTGTTCGTCGCAGGGATCCAGGTAAGCTGCACAAAGTCCTACCTACCTAACCCAATTCCCCCTTCCCCCCTTTCTCTCTCTCTGTGCCCCTCTTTCCCCGTGTTATCTAGATTGCAACATACTTACCCGAAACGACCAGTACCACGACGACTTCCAGCGGCAATGGCTCATCCAGCGGCTGCACGACATCGCGCGGCTGACAGGGTGGCAGTCGGCGCGGCAGATCGCGGTGGGGTGCGAGTCGTCGTGGACGAAGGCGGCGCAGCTGGGGCGGGGCCCGGCGTACGCGCGGTCGGTGAACCTGAACGCGGAGCCGCCGGGGTCGGTGTGGGTCAGCGCGCGGCGCATCGACAGGCGCATCCAGGAGGAGAGGGACCACGGCGCCGGCGACGAGTCCAAGATCGTGCTCGCCAAGGGCGAGAAGGCCTCCTACGCCATGGGCCTGCTCGCCGTCGAGCACGACCTCGAGAAGCTCGACCTCGATGCCAGCGAGCTGGATCGCCGGTGAAGAAAACTAAACTTAAACTCTCTAGTCTGGGTCGGATTGGGTTGGGTTAGGTTAGGTTAGGTACCTCCTAAGGTAAGGTAAAGTAAAGTAAGGGGTCTACGGAGGGAGAATAGCTTAGGCACGGTAAATAGGTGCTTATGTGACGACGAGGGAAAAGGGAGGGAGGAGGAGGATGGTGGAAATTTTGGATTTCCTAGTTTTAAGGGAGAGCGATATAACGAGGAAATGGATTGCTATGTTTCATGATTATATGGGTTATTAAAAGAATGGGAGATGGATGGATGGATGGATGGATACTTGGAGTAGGCGTCTTAAGGAGAATTCGGCTGATTACGTTGGATGCGTTTACCTATGCGAAATAAAAAATATAGGTTCAAAAGGGAGGAGGGACCAACGGCGGACAACTTTGCTTGTATGAGATAGCACATCGGGTTTTGGCGAAACTTAATACGAAGTCCACCTCCTTCTCTAAGAATATCCGCGAGTATAATCAAGCTCTCGACGAGATAGAATCTTTCACCCTAATCCCTTGTCTACCTAGGTAGATAATTGTACTATGCTGCAGTTCCGTTAGTACTAGGTTCTTGTGGTCCAACCAACTCCCTGTTTCTCCCTTTAGTTGGCAGGTAGTCTCTCCACGACTTGGGCCATCTCCTCATCCGTGTATATCCTGAAACCGCGCTCTTTAGTTACACTCGCCAGCTGCACGTTCTTCGAGTCGAGCTTCTCCTCCATCACTTGCTTCAGCGTCTTCAGGACTAGCGTCTCCGCATCTTTGATCGTAAGAGACTACCCAGTAACGTTAATCAATGCCCGAGTTAAAGTCAGCTCAGTGGAATATAAGAAATGCGTGTGTACCTTGTGGTATTCATTTTGTAGTTCTGCTTGGGCACCCTCGCTTCCGGAGCCGATGGCCTTGGCGTCGTAGCGGTAGAATGTGCCGCTAGGTTCGGCGTGGTAGAGCTGTGGGCCGTCTTCGTCATAGCCGGCGATCAGGAGAGCGACACCGAAGGGACGGCTCATGATGCTCTCCTCGCCGTCGGCGCTCTCGCCAAAGCGCAGAGCGAGATCGCAGATGGCCTGGGTGCAGCTCTCGACGCGCAGGTTCTCGTTGTAGTTGAATGCGTGGTTCTGGCACTCGACACGGGCGTGCTCGACCATGCTGCGGGCGTCGGCTTGCAGTCCGGACATGGCGCAGCCGATGTGACGGTCGATCTCGACGATCTTCTCTACGGACGAGGTCTCTAGCAGCGTCGACGTCACGCGCTTCTCTACGCCCAGAACCACACCCTCCGACGTTGCGACGCCGATTGCTGTCGAGCCGAGTTTGATAGCCTCAAGCGAGTATTCGACCTGGAAGAGACGTCCTTCGGGGGAGAAGGTACTAGGGATGCGACGTTAGCATCAAGTTTGGGGTGCGAAGGGGGGGATAACGAGGGGAACGAAGTGGTTCGGAAAGTCGTACTTGATACCCCGGTCTGGTTGACGCCCATAGCAATTAGTTATTTATATATTTATTATAGTTACAGGAAGCTTTGGGTTTTGGGAATAAACAGTTGGCTTACCGTATTCAGATCTTGCCATAAACATCTTGGAAGATTTATAAAAAAAGACTTTCTATAAACGAAGGTTATGGGGTCGTTAGGTCGAGAAGTTATGCGTCGGTTTGAAATGAAGGGTTTGGTTTGAAATGGGGAGCGGGAGGTCGAAGAGGCTACGGATTTACTTGCGTTTACTTCAGTGCTACCTAACCTTGGGTGCGGTACTGCTAGGTAATAGGTACTATGTAAGCTTCCAAAGCTCAAGGCTGCTGCCGTTTACGAAGCTCGGGTTTAGGTACCTGTCTTGTTTGCATAAATCGGGGGTTTAATCTGGAGCTTAGGCCACTAGCACTTAATACCTGCCGACTGGATAAGATACCAGGCAGCTAGGGTACCTAGTATTACGTATTATCGATAAGATATGCGTTTAAGTGCATGCATATTGTAGTTTTACTATGTACCATAGCGGCAGCGGGGGTTCCTATTAAACGGTTCTAAAAACGTAAAACCATTCCTGTCAAAACCTGCACTCTTTCAGATTCAACGTTTCTAGTAAATAAAACGATTCTGGAATCCTAGAACGGTTCTATATTGAGATAAGCCCTATAAAAAAAACTGCTGCCCCCAGTGAGGCTCGAACCCACCACCTTTGGGCTTTTTTTTTTTTCGTTTTTTTCTCACTAAGCTACTTTTGGTTTACTTTACTTTACAGATTTAATTCACTTTACTATTTTAAGTTTACGGTACTTACCACTAGACTAAATGGGGATTAATGTAAACCTTATTTGATTTCTACCCTTATAACCTTAATACAGCCGAAGATTTCCCAGCCGCGCAGCCACCTGCAATTCGATCAATTTGATCAATACAATCCATTCAATCAAGACAATTAAGACAATTAAGATCAAGACTCTTGTTGAGCTGATTCCGAGCCCTGCCACCTCCCATTTAGAATAGCTGATTGAATTGATTGAAGTTATGGATTGAAGGATATATGTATTTAAGGGGTGTTGGTATATGTAATTAATAAGATGGCATATGCATATAAAAGGTAGTATGTTTTGGTTATAAGAATGCTTTTTTAGAGGTGAAAGTACAAAGGCGATGTATACCCCCACTTTTATGGGGTTTTAACCAATTAGAGCCACCAAAACTATGAACCGTTCTATTCAACAGAACTATTTTACGATTAGAACCATTCCCTAAAAACCCCTCTGCCGCTACGGTACCTAACCTTAAATACCTTACCTATATTCCTATATACACTTACATACCTCTAATATATTACCTAGATCTCTGTCGATAGCGTCATATGCTCCGAGACCGAAAGTTAGGGGCTTAGAAGAAAGCTGATGTCCATCCTATGGTCTCGATTCATTTCGGCCATCTCTACAGAATGGACCCCTTTTTCGATTTTGGGTTGGCCCTTTGAACACATGTGTATCTCATTAAGCTCACGATACGCCTGCACACTGCGGAGTAATATACAGTATAGCCACAGATACACCTAGAAGTATTTGTATGTCTACGCCTTATATATGTGCTAATATGCGCCACGTGCTTAATCAAAGGGCTTTCGGTCATCGTGGACTGTGCCTTGGGTACCATTTCTTCACTTAAGTAACATGAACAAGTCCGACGTCCATTTAGTGGTACTAAAATCATCAGTTACCCTTCATTGGCCTCCTTGAGTAATATTAAGACTACTGATATAGATTGATCATACTAAAACAATCACAGCAAACTAGAATTTTTCTTTGTTATCAGGGTTATGGTTCCGGAACCAAACTATAACGTATAAAATATTCTCACGCAAACAAAGACTTGTTCTAACTAGTAGATATCATATTTCTTACCACCCTATATGACCTTAGAAACTAGACGACTACGTCCCTCGAAATCTTGTTCCTTGCTGTATCTTGACTATCCAGGTTTCATACCATGGCACACCTTGCTGAGACTCCATTTGTCGATTGGCCAGCAGTTCGATACGCTGAATTGATTAAACTAGATCGGCTTGCGCCCAGAGTCCATCTTGTAAAGCTGGCCGATGCCTCTGAAACTCGAATGGTCGCTAAATACGCCTCTGGCGATTCAGCGAAGGGAAATATAGGGAAAGAGATAAACATATTGGGAAGGCAGCAGCTTCACCCTTCTATACTTCCTGTCGAGTGTATCATACTAGATGATAACAATTGCGTTATTGGGATGGGAACTAAATTCGTCCCTGGCGGGGATCTTCTTCGTAACAAAGACCGAGTCTTTAAGTTAAAATGGCTCCAGCAGCTTACGGAAACTCTGGATTTTCTTCACTTCAAGCAAGGTAAAATTCTACAACGTGTTACAACGTGTCACAACGTGATAGATGACCATTACCTAACGCGGCTCTAGGCATTGTCCACGGCGACCTCCACTTGGGTAGCCTGCTGATCGACGAAGCTGCCGACAGGCTTGTGCTATGCGACTTCAGCAGGGCAAGGGAGGCTACGGAGATGAACCTGATGGAGGAGTTTTGGAGTGTTATGTGGACTCTCTACGAGTTGGTCACACTTGACTTCGAAGCCGAGGAAGAACAATTGCAGAAGTCATACGCCAAGTATGGGATATATAGCTTGGATACCGAATCCATAGAGAAATTGCCGAGCTGGCCGGCAAGGACAAAGCTGGATTGTGATGCAGAGATACTTCGAAGCTATATGCGGGAGTGGTTGAAGAGGCGCGTGGAAACTTTGCAATTTGTTGAACCAAGAGAACCAGACCCGATGACAAGCTTTTCGAGGCATGGGGAACATCAATGCGAAGAGCCAACTCACGGATGCCAATGGGGGGCCAAGACGACACGGTTAAATTAATAATGTCATTGATCGTTTGGGTAACAAAGGCTTTATTTACTTGGGTTAAGTTGGGTACCTAGATAGTTGACTCTTGTCATTTGATTAAAGAATAGAAATAGAAGAGAAGAGAGAGAAAGGGTTTAACTGAGGTTGTAGATGGAAAAGCTAAACAATGGCGTTAGAGTTGAGAGTGATGAAAGGTAAAAGGACGTAACTACCACCTATAGAGGTTAGATAAGGTTAGGCAGGTAGGTACCTAGTATGGAAGCATGTTTTTATTGGTGGTCAACGCGCTTAACTCGAGTTTCGACGCGACCTAGCATCAGCCAATTATCGATAAGGCTCAATCGACACAAGCTTTAAAGCCTTACAAGCTTAAAGCCTTAAACCTCTCCCACCTAAAAAGCTACCCTGGACCTGGTTATCCAAAGAAATACAACATAGCATCCGGACCCGGAACCACTGATGATATTGCCAGCAAAAGGCGTTCCCAATGTCGCCTTATAGCGACAATGTCTTCGAGAGTCTCCAACTACTCAGAGAGGCGCACAAATGGCACCAGCGATAATGATACCAACCCCCGACCCCGCGCAAGTGCTCATACTTCAAGAGCTTCTCAATCTCAACACGATCAACGGTCAACTCGCTCCCCCCAGAGTGCCAATATCAATCCAGCTCATAAACGCAGCGCATCAGGAAACCCTCGCCCGGCTAGTAGGACTGCAGAAGAACGAAGGACCGAGCGCACGACAGTGACTACGAAAGAAAAACTCATCTCGAGGACAAGGAGCCCCGATAGACGGTCTAGGGATGCGCCTCCGCCAGAAAAAAGGAAGTCGAAAGAAGCGCCTAAGCCTCGTCACTCTGACACGAAATCGAGAGATTCAAGGACTGATGTGCCGCCTAGTATGTCTCAAATGAGCAAAAAAATAACACCTTGAAAGAAACTCGAAATTTGGAGCTTAGACTAATTTCTTTTGACTGCCAGCATCATGGGAACCCGTAGCTAATCTTACGCCGCACACCTCTGCGCCCCTTGCGATACGTGTATCCATACCCCCTTCCGCTTCAGAAGCGCCGGTCTCGCTGCAACCACAGCCTCTGCACGAGTTATCCTTAGAAGCCCAGGAGGCCGCCATAATCGAGGATTTATTATTTGTTTTTATGGGTTATGAGGGACAGTATATTCGCTATGCTTATTCCTACGACCCCAACGAGGAGAGGGACCGACTGGCAGGACCTGAATTCAAGATCCTTCCCGGCCTCGATCCTAGTCTGCAAGACCTCACTCTATCGATGCTCAAGATGGCTACTTACTACTCGGCCCTTGAAACCTTTGTTGACGTACAGAGTAGGGAAGAGTTCGGAGCGGTTAACCATGCCCTATGTGCCGCGATCAGGAAATCCTTACACGACTATCTGATAATGGTCGCCCAGCTGGAAACGCAGTTCTTGACCAACGAGACCTTCACCTTGCATCTCCTTAACGTTCATATACTTCCCACCAGTCAGATGATGTTCCAGCTTTATTCATTAGCTCACGAATTTCTCAAGAGGAACGCGCTTTTGGATGACGAGAGCTCGGAGGATTCAGATCCTGACGACATTGAAAATATTCTAGAAAATCTAAAGCGGGGTGGTGATCTTGTACCTGGAAACATGACCGGAAAGAAAGTCTGCAAGGGAGGCGTGGTTATAGGTCTGATCACTAAGAGATTGGAAACCATGTCTGGGGACCCTGCTGCTAGATCGTTATTGACGTCCTTGTTACGTGATGCTAGCCGACCATACATGGCGATGCTGAACGAGTGGTTGCACCATGGCGAGATCAAAGATCCGCATTCCGAATTTCTTATCAAGGAGCAAAAAAGTATTAGGCGCGACAGGCTGGAACAAGACTACACTGACGACTACTGGGAAAGGCGATATACCGTTCGAGAGCACGACATACCTCCACAGTTGGTAGCTGTCAAGGAAAAGGTCCTGTTGGCAGGGAAGTATCTCAACGTCGTGCGGGAATGTGGTGGAGTTGACGTTAGTAAAGTCGCCCAAGACGTTCCTAAGTCCTTCGATGACCCGCACTTCCTCGACAACGTCAATAATGCATATGCTCACGCGAATGAATCGCTCATGAAGTTGCTCCTAACTACTCATGCCCTTCCCGCCAGGCTGCAGTCGCTGAAGCATTACTTTTTCCTGGACCCATCCGATTATTTTACCTATTTTATGGAACTCAGCGCATCCGAATTGCGAAAGCCGGTAAAGTCTGTCAATATTATCAAGCTACAATCCCTACTTGATCTTGTCCTACGGCAGCCAGGAAGTATTGTGTCGATGGATCCATTTAAAGAAGATGTACATGTCGAGATGAACGAGGTCGGCCTTATAAAGATGTTACAACGCGTCGTAAATATCACAGGTATTGAACAAGGAGAGGCACTACAGCCTTCAAGCAGCCAACCTATCGAAAACGATAAGAATGCTGTCGGCTTCACATCGCTACAGCTCGACTACACGGTACCGTTTCCCGTGTCGTTGGTCATTAGCCGGAAGACAGTCTGGCGTTACCAAGCGCTATTCCGTTATCTTTTGTCGCTAAGATACCTGGAGTCACAGTTGGCTACTACATGGCAAACGCACAATACAGGGGTTGTTTGGTGCCACAAGTCGTCCATAAGACGGATCGAGATCTGGAAGAGGCGAGTGTGGACTTTGAGGGCGCGAATGGTGGTTTTTGTCCAACAGTTGCTCTACTTTTGCACTCTGGAGGTCATTGAGCCCAATTGGCAGTCTCTGATGTCGAGACTCAAAGCTAAGGATGGGAGTATAGATGGGTCGGGCAAGCCGGACCGGACTGTGGATGAATTAATGCAGGACCATGTGGATTTCTTGGACACTTGCCTGAAAGGTTGCATGCTAACCAACGGCAAGCTAATTCGAGTAAGTGGCTTATGAATTGTTGCGGTTACCGCGTTCTCCGCTCACAATATTCTCAGATCCATTCGAAACTAATGCAGACCTGCACCGTATTCGCCGCTCATATGAATTGGCTGTCGCGCGAGCTTGAAAAGTCAGACCCAGATTTGATCGGCCCTATAAAACCGCCAAATATGACCGACAAGGAGTGGAAACGATTCCAGGCTATAAAGTCCCAGAAGTCGCATGGCGATAGCGGGTCGACCAGCCAGCTCCAAGATGAAGAGACTCGGGTGAACAACCTATTTGAGATTATCAGAAACTGGGAGAAAAACTTCAGCCGGCACCTGCAAATCCTCCTAGATGCTCTAAACCATTACGCAGCCACCGAGACCGTGGTTCTATTGAGCTTGTGTGCGAGACTAGCAACAGCTAACCAAGGAACCGACTTCTCAGGTCCACGTAACGAGGAGGACGTCGCTGCGTAAGGTGTCTCGTGTGTCTTGTGTCATTTTATGGAGCTTCTTCTGACACGATGCATCAGCCCGGGGCCCAGGATATATTTCACGGATTGAAAACTTATGACAGGCGTTTAGGCGACGAGAAAATAGTTGGCGTAAGGCATAGCTGTGGGCTACGCAGTGTGAGAGATAAAGATACCTTGGAATTATGAATTAATCGGTACTCCAAATATACATGAACACCCCCCCTATCCCTTCTTTGGCTAGGACTTAGGAACTAGCTCTTTGGCCAAGTATAGGGAAAATGACTTTTTATGAAGCTTCCCTTACTATCCCTACCTACCTATTTATTCATGCGCGTTTACTATCATAATATACTATCATAATATTTGTTAACGTGCTGTTGCCATGCGAGATCCTAGTCACGGGGTAGGATATCAGAGATTTTTATTTTATTGAGTGAGGATATGACTTTAAAAGAATTAGTCGAAATTATATGCGCCGGTTGATGCAATGTAATCGTAGCCGCATTCGTCGCCATGTATATATATATATATGGTACAAGCATTGATACGCATATCTCATAGGTACCCCCTTGTTCTATTTTCCTCCCTCCTTTTCCTTACCTACCTAGGTAGCTAGGTAGACCCGCAACTTCTTGCGCACCTTACCGATCAGCAGCAAGCTCCTCCTTGACGATCCTCGCGAGCTGAGCCTTATCGACGGTTTTCCCGTTGAGGGGGCCCTGGGGGGCCAGGAGGGTCTTCATGACGTCGCCGAAAGAGGGTCTGGGCGGAGAGCCGACGACGAGGTCGGCGGGTTCGGGGTCGGCGGCGGCCTCGCTGGTGAGGGCGGTCAGGACGCCCTTGACGACGATGCGCAGCTCGTCCTCGGACACGTCCTGCACGCCGCTGGCGGCGACGTACTCGCCGAGGATGGCGACCTGCTCGCGCTCCTTGTCGACGAGGTCCTGGCGCCCCGCGGCCTGGAACTCGGCGGCGGCGTCGTCGCAGGCGCGCTGGGACTTGCGCAGGAGCACGACGAGCTGCGCGTCCGTGGTTATCGGCGACGAGGTCTTGGAGGCGTTGAGCACGGCGGAGAGGACGGATCGGATCGCGGTTAGGCGGGAGGCGTCTTTGGCGCGCACTAGGAGGAAGGGAGGGAAGCTTGGTCAGTAAAGATTGTGCCTTTGCTTTTTTTTCTTTTTCTTTTTTCTTGTTTGCTTCGTCTGCTCAAGCTTAAAAACGTTGTTTTGGTGTTACGCACTCGCCGTCTTCAAATCGCCTTTAATCTTTTGTAATAGAGGAGGCGGAGGCGGTGCCGCCTCTTCGCTCGAGTAGAACCGTGCGCTGCTGCATCTGTGGCTCGGGGATGTGATAAAGGAAGAGGAGGAGGGGTATGTGATGCGTGTCCGTAGTCGTAATCGCTCCGCGACGCGGTTGAAGGGTCGTAGGGACGCCATTATGATCGGATTACTTTAGGTAGGTACCTATTACTCGTGTACCTAGACCTAGGTGTGGTTTGGGTCCGGGGATAATTATATTCAGGGGAGACTGGATGATGTCGAACCAATCGAGTTTGAAATTCGGTACGGTGAAAAATCCCGGGTCGGTCAGGCTTACCTTGCCTAAAGGTAACCGGCGATATCACGATCGTCGCTGAGCGGTGGGAAGTTAGTTGTATGAGCAAAACTTAAAAAAAAGGACTGGAGCTCTCCGAAATGTAGGTGTAGTGTATATGCGACTCTACTTCGTACATAGTAAAAAACAAAAAAAAAAAACAAAAGGAAGCTAGAGGGGAACTGAATTAAGTTCTAGAGAGACCCCCATTGGCTCCCGCCTTCCCCCCATGTATGCACGCCCTAACCTTAGGTAATGTCCCTTAAGGTTGTAAGTCTTTTTAGGATGATGATCGGATTATAGAATATCTAACTAACAAGCTTTGCCTGCCGGAGGGAAGACATGGATGCTGTTTGACTGATGAGGTATGTATTTAGCAAATGAGATTTCGTAGCGAGAGAATACATACCTCTAAGGTACCCTAATAGGACGTCATTTACGACCCATATTTTTTCCCCATACTGATCATGATAATGGTTGCTACGTTGATCGACGGTCGGGTTATTTTTTTTATATGCTAAGGCGCCCCCAAAGAACTAAAGGGCCACACACACACCAAGTTCATACCACCGACTCCCAAAGCCCTCGCCAACGTTTCAAGGAGATATCAAGGAGATATTATTATCTGCGTCATATTAGATAGCAAATAGCAAATAGCAAAAGAAAAAATGATCTGAAAGATGTCACCTGATGGATAATAGCAGCGAGATTTCTCCCAGGTAGCAAGGGTCGGGATGGGAATTTACATCCGCGGTAAGGCCCACTACCATCACCTACAGCCCAACGGTTTTTGTCCTTGGCCGCCACTTCGTTACACGGTCACATAATCAATCACAATTACCTGCCCGGACAAAGGCTCGTGATAGAGTAGGTAACACGGAAAGCTACCCGTGCGGTTGAAATAGAGGTAATATATTTCAACCGAGATGAGCCCAATTTTTCAGTGATTGGCCCGGAACGTTAGGTCTATAATCTTAGAAGAGAGAGGGAGGGAAGGCCGTCTCACTCTCTGTCTCTGTCTCGTCACTTGCGATTGTAACGTTCGTAGATGGTGACCAGGTCCCATGTTGTCTTCCGAACCAGCAGGTAGTAGCAAAGCTAGGTAGTGTGTGTAGTCTCATCAATCTAAAACAACGGCATTTTTTTCAGAATTTGGAAACAAAATAGGACCGGGGGTGGCCCACTGGTGGTAAGTTGGTCCGCTCGCAACTAAAGGAGGCCGGGAATGCGGGCGGAATGTGCGATCAAAAGGGGACGCCGTGACAGCGGCTCTAGCCGCCCGTACCTGCTTTAGATACTCAAACGGGGCGTGTTTCTTGATGTTAACCAGTAAGATTGTTCTTACCTAGGTAGGTACCTTAAGTAGGTAATGTAGTGTATGTATGTCAGGTGTGTGTATGTATCTATATGTGCGTGTTACGCATCGAATGTACCTTTTATACTTTTTTTATACTTTATTTTTTTTTCTTCTTTTTGCCCTGTATACCCTAAAGTACATACGTGTGTTAGTTACGCATGAACTCGATGCCTATCGTGTTGGGCAGGAGGTACCCTATGGGTTATCCGCTTGATTGGGTTGAGACACAACGACCCGAACTAGCTGGACCCGAGACTCTGGTAGAAGGAGCAAAGGGGATCCCATGATTTGCTGCTTCCCTTTTGGCTGCAAACCTTAAGCTGACCTCATGTCGTCCCTTCCAAATTCTCTATTCTCTATGTTTTCTCTCCACTTGCCCCTCTCCGTCTTCGCTGCCTTCCATGCTTTTACAATATACTCCATCTCTACTTGATCCATACACCACCATACACCATCCTCCATATCCCATATTCCATACGTCTAGCCTACCTGTATATTATATCATATACCCTCCTTGAACATCTTTCAAACCCCACAGGGCCCAATGCTGTATCAACGTATATTCTACGAATGCAGTTCTGTCCTTATCCGCTGATTGCCCAGCTTACAACGTACGAAGCCTGGTCCTTTCCCCACAAGGCATGTAGACGACAACCTGTGGCAGCCTCATCGACATTCTATACAATTTCCATCATACAGTCGAGCCCCCGCCCTTCTTTTCCGCCATAAACGAACGAGTAAGCGACCCGATGTCGACCCGATTAGTCTGGCCTGCGTCTGCTTTGACCCGCCGTATACCTTGCCTCTCCACCGTAGCAAGGTTTCTATCCGTAAGAGCCGCCAAGCTAGTTCCCGCCGATTTCAGCGCCGCGGCTTTCTACCCACGCATACATACCTTGAGTAGCAATTTATTAGCCTGATATCAAGTCCGACTGTCGTTGGGAGCCTCAAATAGGGATACTTACAACCGAAAATACGGCTACCATTTTGTAGTACTCATCAGCATCCCCCATGATTCATTTTGAACTTTCAAGTTGAGGAGCTAGATTAGGGTCTCACCTTAAGTGCAGGGTTACTAGCTTCTGCTCTCGCCTGTGCCACCAGGACGTGAAATTCCGTAATAGTCATGCTGCGAATTGTCAATAACCACGTTCGCACCCAAACATTCTATCAAGCAAGCCGGCATTGGGCTTACTTACTTAAGTAGCTCTGTGAACGGGTACAAGGCTAGAGATCCAAGCAACAATCGAACATTTTCTTGGTTGTGGACGCCAATATCAAATTCCCTCGGATCTACACGAAACGTCAGGACCAAAATATTCGGGGAAAGCCAACGACAACATACTATCAGACCAGCCGCACATGGGCAAGGGGATCACTGCTCAAAAAAAAAAAACAATTAATTAGCAAATGCTTTTATGTCGGTCGAGCTGGGGGGATTGGGATTTGGTTTGGAGGTTTACTCCGAAGACGAGCGCCATGATCAGGCGCGGGAGGAATAAACCCAGGGACAGATGAACCCTTTAATACTTACTACGCTCCTCGACTTCGGTAAAACCAGCTTGTCTCATCCAATGCCCAAGATGCCGTGGTGCCTCAACGTTTTTAAGCTGCGACATTGCTCGGCTGTATTTATCTGACCATTGTCGAAGTGCGTGACCTGTTAAAAACCCCTGATGAGCACAAGCACGTCTAGCTTCAGAGTTCACCCCTCTTACCATCTGTTAATCTACCGTTGTCAGACTGTGCGTTATAATCGATTTCAACCATTTGGCACCATCCGCCTTTGCGCAAACACCGGAGGATATCACACATATAGTCTTGCCATCGATTCCGGTCGATGCCGCCAGCTACAAGTCTACTATTGACGAGGTCGAAATGATTGGAGGGGAACGAAAGTCTGCAAAGGGTTCAGTTGATATTTCCGGACTGATGATCGGGTATTGCGGTGCTTACGGCATATTCAAGTTGTCGACATTCAGGTAAAGGTTCTCGACACTCTCTTCAGGGTTGTAATGATGGGGGCTCACGTCGATGCCAATGACCTGCATTCTTCATTGTTAGCTTCTGAAGAGCCTTCAAATCATATGCATATCCTCTCGCGTATCGCCTGTTAGCATCAAGCTCACCAAACCAGTCTTGCATTTGAATTGCGCTGGCTACAGCGGCTTTCTGGCTCTGGCTTGCGGTTGAGGAGACGTCGCCCCAACAACAATAGCTTGACACATCGCAAGAGAAGGTATAGGAGTTTTCCTCTCAGAGATGTAGATGTTAGAAAAGGCTCTCGCGATGAGATTTGGTACCGAGTATCGGGGAATCGTGGAGTACAACCAATGCAAAAAACCGCTATATACGTGCCTCGCACCCAGGATTCTCCCAAGCCACCTGGAAAGCCCACATCCCCGTTCCGAAGCCACAGTCGAGTACTCGCCTTAGGGCGCCCATCGGTGGGAAGATAGATCTCCCGTCAAAAACTTTGGCCAAGACGTCGTACTGAATGCGCAAGCGAATAGTCTCATCCTACGGAAGGCACGTCGGCATCAGTCTGTGGGTCCGAATCGAAAAGGAGTCTTTAGCGTTTGCAGACCTCGTCAATAGGCACAAGATATATCCTACGGTCTACTGAACAGCGCTGGTATATCCTGTTGTGATGAATAAACGTTTCGCGCACTTCCTCGGTGACCTCTTCGGTGTCGGCGTGCCTATTGGAAGTTTAGCGAGCAGAACACTTCTGCTAAAGCTTTGTGGTATATCTACCTACCCAGTCATTTTATAATAACGCTAGCTCTGTTGGGGGGAACTAAGCAAAATGTCTCGTTAGGGATACCGTGAGGCTGTCTTACAGCTAACAGACTATGTGTTCGAGATGATGTGTGGCCTGGATGAACAACTATAGGCTCCCGAATGACGGCTTTTATCCAGTCCGGCATCCTCGGTTTGGGCTTCCAACACCACGAATGCTCACCACCCTTTCGATGAAGCGGCCGTCTAATCTCCTCTTCACTAGGTACATGGGACCGTTAGTAAAAAGTGGTATATTGCAAGAATAATAAAGCTGCTTAGGCATGTGTGGAGCCAATGGCCCGGTCAAAACCACCACATTGGTCACACGTCCACAGCTTGCACCCCACGAGCTTTCTGCTGATCCTGGGTACTACGGTTACTCCCTATGTAATGCATCAGACCTTCCTGGCCAAACTAGTTCAGCTATAGACCATTGAAGCATAAGGGCAGGCATCAGAGTTCCCTAGACCTGTTCCTCTATCTATCACACCATGACCCAATGCACCCGCACTAGTTCCCGTCTCTCTCTTGCATTGTCCATCGGAAAGAAAGACATTGCTGCCCAAGCCTGCTTCTTTACTTGTTATTCTTGGCATATACTCCGCCCAATGGCTCCTTGGTTTAGGTACTGCGGAGGTTCACATTGCATTGAATGACATATAGCGCAGAAACGGTCTTATATCTGGCTAGGTGGGATTAAGCAGCCACGTATGAGACTCAACGTATGCTTATGATTGATCGTACCGGTTCGGTAGCCTCTCGGTACTATAGTAACCATTCTTTAAAGCTGCTGACAGTTTACTGTACTGTGCTTCGTGTGGTAACAACACGATCTGGTCAAGTTGATGCGGCCGCAACCAAGGGTTTGGATCTCTGGACTGTTATGTAGCCGCGTTCAGCGCGGGGAACTTCCCAAACCCAAAAGATTTGACAGCGGCAATAGGGGATAAGAATCAAGGAGGTCCTCAGTGAGCGTGAAAACGGCTCCGTCTACGTATTTTTAGTTTGGGTTTAGACGAACCAGCAGAATTACATGGAGCTGTTGCGAAGGGAGTTCGGGGATCCAGCTCTCTGGACTGCCTGCGGCTTCGTTTCCATGTGCCCCTATACGGAGTACGCGCAGGATGACAGCTACGCCAACGGGTACTCTTAGTACTCGCAGGCCTTGGTTGTGTCTTAGGACTCTTACAACATCCCTTACCGTTGGATGTCCTGGAAAGCTATATTTCAGGACCCCTGACAACTGCTACAGAAAAGACGCACGAAAGTCTCGAGTAAGCATGCCGGTTGCAGCCTGAGTCAGAAAGAATATATTACACTCTCAATCAATCAATCTACTACATATTACGGATGTGCTCAGTCGCAGATGAATTTCACGTACATGACGGGCCAGGATGAGGACAGGGATGAAGACCTCGAGTGGCCTGCCTGGTTACAGCAACTTGTTCGCAAGGTAACTGGCCCGGACCATTTATGTACACTTAGTATTAGTACATATGCGTAAGGGGAGTAGGCTCACCCGGGTCCTGGGACGGCGAGATTGGCGTGACGATCGCGGTACCTACTATTACTCACAGCTCATTATGTGCGACTACCCGGACGGTGAAGAGATTACGGGATTTCCTTCTTTCAGTATGGCTTCCTCACACCGCCACTGTGGTCTGATGTAAACTAAGTTTAACAACCCGGCTAGGAATCAGCAATGGTGGTTGACCATCAAATGGCCGTCTCCCCTAGTTCGGTTTTTGGTCTTGGACAACAAGTTGCACGCAGCGTATCTGGGACCACCAGGGGACGTTTATTACGCCTCGCACTCATCAATATGGGCTAAAGGATAACTAGCATCACAGGAGATCAGAACAAAGCGGGCCGTTGCAGTGGAGATAGCATTGAGAGGGACGGCGCTAGAAATTTGGGGGGGTGGCGGCGATCTCCAAGTGGCCGGTACAGCGGTACCAATACGTTTTTAGACTGAAGAGTTACAGTGCCGTACTAGCCTCTGGTGCAGAGGTTTTGCCATCAGCAGGAGAACAAAATGGAAAGACTATTCTATATTGACCACACCCCTCAACGACTACAGTTCTATGTCGAGAAGCGTAACAAGAACCTCGATATCGAACTAGATAGCTTAAGCAGCTTACAACTCGACTATTCAACTTGTTGAAAAAAAAGGTTACAAGAGCTAGGGCTGGCCAAAATCAACATCCACGTTTTCTGGTGAGGGCTCCTTGCCGAGACGAATGGCAGAAGTCTATTCGTTGTTCGACACTAACAAGTTACCCCTGGTCTATAGGTAGGATTATGGCCGGAACAGGCCCACAGGTGGTTAAAGCCTCTGTGCCCTCATACATACAGTACTACACACGCACGCAATTTTCCCTTGCTGCTGGGATAGCGCCCGCCCCTCTGGATCACACTCTCATGCTTTGTGACGGGTCTCCATGTAGGCCACGGTTGAACTCGGCTTTTCCGGGACTTCGGTTTAAGTTATGGCTCCTAGCAAACCTGCGATCTCGATTATAGCCTTGTTGGAGCATCTCAATATCTCGCAGGCTGATCTGTACTGTCTTCACCGTCGTTAAAAAACCTTCGTCATCATCGCAATCAATGTGTCTTACTCTAGTGAGCCATGCATTAGCGTGTACCAGAGTATCGGGTCCAGACACTACAGGCGTGATCGTATCCGGATCTAAAAGGAAAAAAAAATAATTAAAAAAATAGCGGGAAAGCACCGGTTTCGACAACTAATTTACTAATTTGGACCAGCCTCACTCTCCGGTACGATGATCGCCAATGGGAACCCTTGTATATCATCGCCCTGGGAATCTACCATTCCTTGACAACCGTGGCTACTATCATCTCGGCTACTACATACTATTGTTTGTAGAGAATAATAAACCGTACACTACTTGTAATCAGGGATCCCGTCGTAGCAAGCACAAGGGAGTCTCCATCACGTGCGAAATTGGGAGGTTTATGGAGGGAGTTTGGCATAAAATACTATGTATACATGGCCCCTTGTACCACTAGCCCGAAGGACTGGATCTATTTCCCGGAGGAGCTTGGCTCGCCTCCCAACGCTAGAAATTGAGGGGTCGGTTAAGAATTACCTAGGGTGCTACCCTGCGGGAGAGTCTACTTACGTTGGGAACCTCTTGAGGCTAGATTGGCTTGCAGTTCTCCCGTACCACGAGCCACCCTTGATTGGCTAAGCCAAGACGTCTTGAGTTCCCAGCGGGCGGGACGCCGGCTGCCAAACCTTCCTCACCCCTTTCGGGTGCGGCAGCATGCAGACGCGAGGCGAGAGTGCCTTACCGCGTACGCGGGAACGCCTTACATGACCGTTGCGACTCTGGACTCAAGGCTTGGGAACCTGGAGCGTTGAAATTGCAACGAGGCTTCTTACCCAGCAGGCCGGTAAGTCGATCTCACCGATGGATGGCCTGACGACATTTCCGCAGGAGTGGTTTGAGGATCTGTCTCGCCTCTTGCCGTCTGATAGACAGATGCCTTCCCCGTGGAGAAGCAAGACGAAACAAAACGGGCCTATCTACACAATCTGGCGCGCCGCCTACTCGGGTCACCCTGGATCGGCCTTTCAATATTGCTACATAATTCCCATAATTTGTTTTCCTAAGCTCGCCGCCCGATTACAACGACGTAGATCTGGAGGCCTCTTACGATGGCAGGTTCGAGCAGAGCATCTGCCGAGTAGAGCGGCATGCTATTCTTCCCCCAAACCCATCACCGAGCATACGGTGGCATAGCATGCAGGCTGTCCCGTACGGCGACATAGGGTACCTAATGCTAGTATATCTAAGACATGGGTTTCTGATACGCGGAGTAGAGTCCATGGACGTCGACTTGATAGGTACGAATTCGATACCGCACCTGGTAGAAAGGAGGTGGGTACGTCCAGTAGGGTGACAACGGGTAGAGTAGTAGTCCCGGACATGCAAAAACATGCAGCATGAGCTGTTCTTTGGGCCCCCAACCCGCGCCATCATTCTGATACGTCAAGTTTATTTTTAATTTGTCTTTTCCATCATTCTCTTTTCTTCCCCTTCCATCTTCTTCTATGCCGCCCTCGCCCCTCCTCCCCACACCCTCCTTCTTTCGGCGCCTGCTTCGGTGTATCAAGGAGGCGCTACTGGACCTTGTCAGTCGTTTCGACGTCGGTAAGGCAGGACACGCGCGTGGAAGCAACGCGAATGGGGGGGAAATAAGGGGGGGGGGGAGGAAGAGTATGGGAAAAGGGCATAGAAGAGAGAGCCATGTTATGTATGGAGAAGGTGGTACGTAACGCCCCCCTGGATTTCCTTGAATTTCCCTGGATTTTGGAGTGAATTTAGGAATCTACCTGCCGCACAGCGCAGGCAAGGCAAGGCAAGACGAGGCGAGCAAGCAGGGAGGAGGACAATGTCGGTGGTCCCGACAGTGCGTCTTTCGGGCAGACCCCCAATCGCGGGCCGTCCGGGGACTCGGTCGGGGGGTCAAGTGTGGGTTTGACGTGGTTTTCCCTTCAGGCCTTTCTGTTCTGCTGGGTCTTTGCCGGGTTACTCTAGCTGGGGTCCGTATTGTAAAGATGAGTTGATATGTGATAGGTCACATATCAGTTTTTTTATTTTATTTTTTATTTCCTTTTACCCTTTTTTTTTTCTCTCTTCTTTTTTTCCCAACCCATTCCGCTTCCCACTTACATAGTATCTAGTGTATTCCCCCGAACCCTGCACCTGGTCTCTTAATCCCTGACCCTGACGCGCTGTCCCTCTTTCTCGGAACCGTCTTTTCTGTCAACCGTTTTTAATTTATTATTATGGGGTTCTCTCTATAGGATTTGGATTCTTCGTTGCCTTTTCTTATTTTATTTTTTCTTCAGTAGCTTGTGACTTGACCTTACTTTCTTAGTAAGCGGACGTCAACTCCCGTCATTACGTGGTCTTCTTATTATTTCATGTTATAGAGGGGTTTTTTTTTTTAAAAAAAAAAGATCCTAATTTTCTTATTGGTGCTTATTCTTATTCTATCTCGTCTCATACTTCCTTGCTTGGCCCGCATACCCGGTAATGATTGGGGAGGGACGAAGATGTCAAGTTTCCAGAATACTACGCTCTTATTAGGTTAGGTTGGTAGTTATTGGTTCCCCGGGCCCTGGTAAAAGCTAGAACCAGTCAGTCCCAACCATTACTAGCCGCGGATGCTGGACTTCTGGGACTTTGCTCCTGACAGCCCCGACAGCATGGTATGGCATAACATAAGAACATGGGAAATGGGGCGTGGGACATGGGACATGGGTATCGCGTTGGTGTTGGGAAATAATTCCGCTGTTACCTAAAACATTTTCTTCAATGCTGGATACCTACTATGTACCTAATGTACTATGCTTGTATGCTGCATGGGTTCAAGTTTACCTAGCTCAGCTCACGGACCAGGAAATCAAATCCTACCCTACCCTCACAAGAGTAGAATTAGGGGTGGGTACTATGTACTATGTACATACATCGCACATGGTTGTTATCTACGATTTGCCTGAGTGCGAGTTCCCGTGTTAGGCCCGGCGCTGTTCCATTCTGTCGGTAACAGCTAAAAACCTCAGCACATATATACCGGAAATTTTCAATTTTCTTCGTAAACATCCAAGAAGGCGGGAAAAATAAAATAACGAAACAGAACAGAACAAAACCAAAAAAAAGGACAAAACAAATATCCTCAACAAGAGTATGCATGTGCTCATAGTAGTAGATACATATAACACGTACATATAGGTATAATACCTATATAACTTAGGTAAGTACGTACATACATACATTATGTACGTCTTATGACTGATGACTTACGATTTATGAGGTACCTTAGGTAGGTTTCATGGCGCATATCAGTCCTAAATTTCGCAACCTGACGTACTTGTGCCGTGCCGTGCCGTGCCGTGCGTGCGAGCGTGCGTGCTATGCCAATGCTATGCTAATGCCAATGCCAATGCTATGCCAATAATACCATGTTATGCGAAGCTGAGCCGCGCAGCGCGTAGGTACGTGTATGCTCTGCGCTCCGTGCTTCTCTTTCTGTACTTCTCTCCTTTTTCTCCTTCTCTCTCGCTCGCTCGCTGTTGTAACACTACTACTACCAATTTTACCACTTTAATGGCCAATCCGCAGTTCATTGCCCCGTCTACTCATACGCGTGTAATCTAACAAGATCATGCAATTCGATCAAATGCCCATTTCCGTAATCCGTACCGCCATTTTCCATGTCATGATGAGACGTCTGCCCTCATTTCTTATTTCTTCTTATTACTTATTTCTTTCTGTTCCGGTTTGTTCCGTGCTGTCGAGCCGTCGAGCGAATAGCAAATACGAGAATTCTCTTTTTTTTTTTTTTTTTTTTTTTTTGCTTGCTTCTTCTCTAGCAGAATCAAGCATTGCTAGGTACCGCACATTTTTGATGCCGATGCCGATGCTGATGCTGATGGGCGGATAGATAGATGCATACTAAGATAGGTACCTATGCATAGTCGTATGCATGTAATATGAGAAAAAGACAGATTAAACATGCGGACCTCCTTTCCTTATTTGCTGCTCTTTGGACGTTGCCGCGCAGGTAAGTAGGTGTGCTTAGCACCAGGTGAACACAGGGTTTCTAGCCTTGACAGTCTCCAGTCGCTCGACAATCACCTTTCGCCTAATCCCGTCCATGGTCTCGGCCGCGGCGTACCCCAAATCCCCTTCCATATCGTCCTCGTCGTAAGCGCTTCCGTTACCGTGGAGCTTCGCGGTAAGCGAGCTGCCCGTCGCGAAGGAGTACCGCCGCTCCTTGCGGGGCGTGTACATGTTCATCTGCGAGCGCGACGGGCCCTGGTAGCTCGACCGCGGGGGACGCGAGAGCTGCAGGAGGGTGGGGGCGCTGGTCGACGGCAGGGCGTCCAACGGGTTGGAGGACGCAGTTGCTCCTCTATCCGGGGACTGCTCGTGGGAGCTTGCGAGCTCGAAACGCCCGGGGTTTGGCAGCGGGCTGGAGAACCCGAGCAGGTCATCTACGGTGGTGCTGGGAGGCGCTGACGAGTTGACCGCACCAATGTCCATCTCCTCCTCGATGGTCCCGCGAGCCTCGGGCTCTGCCCTGCGGCGCGCTTCGGATGACGTGGCGCGCATGGGTACGGCCACAGGGACCTCGACCAAGTCGTCCCATACGCACACCCTTGCGCGTCGCGTAAGCTCTAGCGGGCCGTGATCCGGGGTCTTGAGCGTTTCGACAACGTTCCAAGCCTGTCCTTTCATTACGGCCATCTGCCTGGAAAACATCTTCTCCTGGAAGTCCGGGTCTTTTTGGAAGACCTTTCGTAGCTCGAGCGAAGTCTGGCTCCACCATTGCGTTGAAGTGAGAAGGGGGAGGAAGTGATCTCGCGTTTTCTGCGAGAAAGGTCGGCCGATAAGGTCGACTGGTAGGAAAAGCCAGCCGAAAGGGAAACTATCAAGGGTAAGCTACATTTCTTAGACGGCATGGGAAAGAAGGAGGGGGGGTAAATAAATAAATAAATACCTTCTCCATGCGTCCGGGTGTTTCCATGGCCATGACAGTGAATTGTCGATCGCGCCGATTGAGATCTTGGGATCAGGAACCTTACTCGTGCCAGTCGCATTCATAGGTTTCTGGGCTTTATAAGGGTTAGGACTTCTTGGTTTCCCCCTCTTTGGTAATTGCACAGGCCTTGCAGGTTGTTCTTCGTCTTCTTCCCCTACATCTAAGTTAAGCTGTGGGGGTTCGGAAGTGATCGAGACCGCTTGAGCTTCCCAATCGACCTTTACCATCCAGTTGTCGAGACCTCTATCCGTATTGCGCATGATGTAATCTAAAATGACGAGCTTTTCGAGCTCTTCCCGGAACGATTGCTTCAGCGACTCGGTCCACCTGAAGTTGCCGGGCCCAAGAGGTTGTTGTTCAGGACTATCGCTTTCATTTTCACTCTCACTACCGTCATCACGAGCAGGTGTACTGGACGGTCGACAGCTCTCTGTCCATCTCCTTTGCCTATGTCGATGTGTCTCATTTGAGCGGAAGCTAGACCAATGTTGATCCGGCCAAGGGTTTTCCCTTAGAAAGACATTGGCATCTTTAAATCCTTTAAGGAAGACTTGAAAACTCCCAGGCTTTGCAGGGAGAGGTTTCTTCTTCCTGTAGTAGTTCCGACGGTCCCAATACGGATAGTGAAAGGACTTTGATGATAGCCAAACAACATCGGTATAAGGAACTATGTGAGTACGGAGCTGGCAATCGAGAACATACGCTGCCGCTTCGCTCACGTATGAGAGATTGGGTATTAGACTAGGTACAAAATAAGTCAGGACCTTGTCTTTTTCTACATTATGCCGCACCGGTCAGTACTGTACTTACCATGCTCGACCAAAACAACAAGGAAATAAATTTCGGTGAATCCACTTGTTCCACTTCGGGTTTCCGGCCGCGTACGGTTCTTCGTCCTTGGGCTTGAATACACCAACGATCTTACCGTCGGTGTTCCGCGCGAAATAACTCCCCGAGCTACCCTGAGTGATCAAACTCGGATGCATACCCTGATCAATAGCAACGCGCACGCTTTCGACGATAGCTTCGAACTCGGGTTTGGACATAGGGGGCTCGGGCATGGTGGCAAGCGTTTCGGCAGTCGCAGGTCGAACACCCTGAGGGGGGTGAAAGACGCTGTAATGAATTTCCAGGCGCTCTTCTTCACCCGTGTTGCCCCTTCCCTTCCCCCTCTTGAACTTGGAAGCGATCTCGTCGGCCCATCGTTCCAGACGAGCGTTGATAGCTTTGAGATCAACACCGGAGTTGCTTCGCCTTCGCTTCGTCTGGTATTTGAGTTTCGAAAGCACTTTGGGCGACGTCATGCCCGAGTGAGGCCTCGGTTGGGTGATAGGTGCATAGCGAGGAGCGGATTGGGGTTGAAGCGACGCGGAGCTCTGTGCTAAGGGGTCATCTTCGGAATCGTCGTCGCTAAACTGGTCAGCCTGGGCCAGGCGTTCATAGCCGGTCGTAGCCGGCCGACTTGGAGGCATTGTCGGGCGGGATTCCGGGGCGTAAGTACGTACGTCGTACGGATGGGGCGGGTATAAATATATGAGTTGTGAATTTAAAAGGCTTTGGGTTCGGTTGGTTTGGGTTATCCTTGGAAATTATTGCATTCTATTAAGGAAGATAAGATGAACAGAAAAAAAGAAAAGAAAAAAAAAGAGAGAGAGATTGGAATGTTAGGCTTTGCGTTTGGTCCTGCCCCTGATTTGTGTCTCGTAGGAGGTATCTACCAGGTAGTTAATTTAATTTATTAACTTATTATTTTTTCCCCAACTACGAAGTACGGGGGGTCAAATAATATGAATAGAATGTACGTAGCAAAGAGGGACTCATGAACTATACACAACAACGCCAAGTATCTGTAACACAGAAAGAGAAAATTAAATAAAAAAGAGGATAATACAATTGGCGTTGGAGAACTGGTTGGTGTATGTAAGTTGATGTTTTTTCCTGGTCGGAGATGGATGTCGAAACACGTCACGTCAGTAAGAAGCGTATTTCCTTAAAGAAGGCATTAACCTTGGGTTAGTAAGATATTGGGGTTGGGGGGGGGGGCCCCCCCCCCCCCCCCGCCGCCGGCAACCCGGGGGGAGAGGAGGTT